TTCAAAGCCTAAACAATACAAAATAATAAACTTTCTCAACATCTACCCAAGATACGAATATGATTAACACCAGACGATCCCAGTAACACATTCTAATTAAGCGAGGTCTTGAAGATGTTCCGAAAAAGGTCCTAATTAGAAGCCCGCATTGTCCACCAAATTTGTGCCATATGGCCACAAATCGCGTTAATTCCGCTCCTTAGGCTCCGCCCACTTTTATTCAAATTAGAGAGCCCATACAAAAGCGTTTAATTACCGTAATTACTGCAATTCAAATATTTTGGCAACTCTTGCCAAGAAATAATCAAAAATTAAATGAAAAAGTGACATGCCCCGCGGGCGAATAGGCGTTCTTGCATAAATTAATATTACATGACTGTGTTGAACTTGAAAGTGATGTTATTGCAGTAAAATATGTTTAATATAGTATCTTTTACAGTATTTTTCAAAAGTTTTACCTAAATATTAATATGCTACACTTATGTAAAACCTTATGCTTAGAAAGTACAAGTAAACTATTGTCAGTTCAAACAAACCCAAATTAGGCCGCTACTAACAACAGTTGCGCATTAAGCCCCAAATTGTTATTTGTGACACTTCGCTTCCGGTTTATTCACTCCCCAACCCTAAAATCAGTTTCGACCGCAAAAGCGAAGGGATTAACAAATTTTAATATAAGGCGCGAACGGCACAAACAGGAAAAGGAAGCGCTGTGTTTATGACAAATCAACTGAAACTAATTGTAAATCTACATATACAGCGGCGCGGCTCAGAGAGACGTAGTACAGATGGTGTAATTGACAGTGGGAGAGAGGTTGCCAGAAGTAAAAAAATAATTTAGCTTTCCAATAGGTCTACCCTACCCTACCCAACCCTACCCTACCCTACCCTACCCTACCCTACCCTACCCTATCCTATCCTATCCTACCCTACCCTACCCTACCCTACCTTACTCTAACTTATCCTACATTGTCTTACTGTGCCCTACCCTACATTGTATTACTGTAATCTACCTTACATTACCCTACTTTACCCTACCCTATTTATAAAGCTACTTTCCGATTGAAACTGACTTTTCAAATTAAAAAAAAACTTTGAAATTTAACGAAAAGCTCTGTGCCAAAACAATTTTCACAATTTCCAGAATTCAGAACCGCTTTTCGGAGAAGTTCGTTAGCAACAAGATCAAGTGAGTTCAGTGAAACGTTAAATCTGGTCCACTTCTGGCTTCCTCTCATTCAAAGTGTGGCCATAAAACGCACTCAAAACAAATCCTTACAATTTCAGTCGCGCGGAAATTTCGCAAAAATATTTCAAAAATGGTTGTTGTGTTTTTAAAATGTTAACAGGACCTTAATATAGCATTCTGAATTTTTAAGTTTAAAAATGAATTTAGCTTAAATTTAAAGCTAAAAAAGTAAAATCAAAAGTAATGGAATCCGTTTGAACTTAAAACCTCGAGGAACGCCAAAACTTTTCAACCATTATCCGCTGACCCTGCTAAATACGGTCATTAAATGCCATAAAACGCGGCGGAGGTCGATGGGCGGTAAATGGAGGCCGTCACATTATACCAAAGTAATATCCGATACTTTTAATAAACTTTAATTACAGGCTATGATCTGCGGCTTTATATTGAGGACAATATGACTATATTCATATATTTATTTACTTATTTATATACTTTAAATTCTTCAAACGGCAGCTACAATATTATAACAAAAAAATATAAGTTTACAACCAGAAAAAAAAATTTTTAAATTATACAATTCAAAACTTCAGTTTGATAGAGCATAAAATCTGTTGAATAAAAATGCCACTTTTGAATTATTCAGAACCAGCTTATCACCCCTCTTCAACCCCTAAACTCAGTTTATCCTATCTCTACAAATTCATCATAAGTTGTCATTATTTCGTTTTAATCCACTGACTTTGTTTTAGAATGTTTTGGCTTTAATGAATGATTAATATGACAATTAATTGATTAGTTGTCTCTCCATATCAAAATGAATTTATTTTATATTATACCAATTCCACGGCCATAAAAATGACTGCAGCTGCAAGGCTGTAAAAGTGTTTGTTCCCGACATTCATGAGATTTGTGTCGTAAAACAATTTCGAACCAAATAGGGTCATATTCAGGTGGAAAATGCCTGATATTATTTTAGGTAGAAAGTGCCTAACACGTTTTAGACAATAATTGCTTTTTAAAATGTAAAAAAAAGGTTTTTTGCTAAAAAGTAACGAATTAACACAATGAACAACACTTTATTGTTACTTTTTATGAATACTTTGGTTTCTCGAACGCTACTTTTTGGTTTATTTTGTTTAAAGTAGCTATTATTACAAGACATAAATAATATCAGACAAATGTTTTTAAAATATGACAAACATAATGTAAAATATATTTATTTACAGTATGTTTAGTTTACAAAATATACTTATTTACATATGTCTGGCTTTCAAAAGCTTAAGATGCCGCATGAAGAGTACAATGCAGTACCAAGTAACCTAAAACATGCTTAACATCACCGACTTGAGCCAACACTGCAAGATGCTATCACAAAGTGGCAAACCGTGATTAGATGCAAAGTTTATTTTCTAATAGTAAACAAACAAGCTGACACTCGAGATTCTCGTTCCGCGTGCAAGAATCTGAAGAGGTTCGTGTTTTCGTATTCTTTGCGCGTAACACGTATTGTACCATGATCGGGTATGATATCATTGTTCTACATTCTATTCAAAACAAGTTAACCTTCTCTGTTAATTACATTGACAATTGGAGAGAACCTTGGAAGTTCTACCGTTTCTTGTTTTAAACCATGTGACTAATTGCTTTACCTTCAAAAGTCATTATATTGTATGTCATTTTTGTAAAGTTAAGTATTGTAGTAGTATCTCAAAAGATGTAAACATTACAACATGTGGTTCAACTGATCAATCGACTAAATGTTAACATGTTTTACATCATCTGCAGTCCACAATCTTTAAATTACCTACTTTAACTTCTATTTTTACACCATCTTTTTAAAGTTTACATTTCGAACCTATTGTTATAGTTACAGAGCACAATAGCCGTTACATCGGCATTAAAGATTGTCTATTTCCAGCTGTGTCAGAGTTATATTTAGATATTGTACTTGTGGTTTATTCAATTAAACTAACAGTAAGATACCGCAACGTTCTTCGAATATCACAGATCACGTTTCTCTGTTTGTATTTACCTCAAAACTTTAAAGGCACTGTAATCAGGGATGGTAAACAATGTTTAACAATATATCTTGACCATGTTATTACAACGTCTTTTACAGAGTTTCTTCACCATGTTATTACAATACATTTGACCATAGTATTGCTATCGGAAATGTAATTTGTTTAAAGCTTGTAAATCATGATAGTAGGTCATAAATTAACTATAACAGTGTAAAAGAAAACAATAGTAAACCACATTGTAAGTAATAATTGTAAACTAGTTATAAGTAAGCAGTAAATACGATCTGTATGTCAACTGTTATAGTAAACATTCTATCGAAAATGCGGAAGTTTAAGTCAGTATTATATTAAACGTTGAATAGTATGGGTAAAGCGACTATTTGATAACAAGTCTGCTCGCTGTAATCTTACAAAGTGATGTCTTAAATGTATCGAAAACAATAAATGGCACTTTCGAGAAACGCAAGTTTAAAATATTTCAACTTTAAATATTGTTGATTATTTTGAGAGTGATTTCGTTTGATCTCAGTATCTATGTCGTATCTTTATTTTAATATTTGAGATCCTATGAGCTACAACACCACTTGTTGTTTAAAAAGCCGAAATCATGGTTATCATACCTATTATTGAAAGAAAAGATAGACAAAAATCCGTTAAGTAGATTTCCTTTCTATAGATCAGCACATTCAGCCACCGTGATGCCAATTCCACCATTTAGCGCCAATCGGCCATCCCCCTAGCTCCGGCTGGACTAAAATCGTTCGTAAACTTTGTAATGAAAGTTTTTGCAGTCATATTGCAGCCGGAAGCACGTTAAAACCCTAATCTAAAATTAGACCTACTCCATTAACTACTTAGCCAACTATAACCGGTATAAGTTACTCATGACAGATCAGTCTTACTCAGTAAACATTAAGACCACGTTATACTTTAAACCCCTTGTTATTGTGAAATCGTATACTTTGATAGATTGAGATCACATTGTGTGTTCTTGTAGCTTTACTACGCTTTCTGGATCCAATTGACGCTAAGCCAGTCTAGAGTGATCTTAGTCAGCCAATGTAGTTGTGAGCCAATGTAATACCAGTCACTGTAATAATTACAACTGCGGTTTAAACAACTTGTCAATCACAACATGGCGTTGCCCTTGTTTTGACCATAACTCTTTCGTCTTTCGTAAACACGAACATATTACCCTCTTGAAATAGTAACAAACAGATCTTTGTCGCGACTTTCACAACCTTAATTAGACCTTTCACAAGGGATATTTACTGTTACAGCTAGACTTGTAGATTACAAAACCTTCATCAACCAGCTGATATACGTCAGACTGATTATGAGAGCAGTCTTCTTACATTTGATAGAGTTGATTTTTAAAATATTAACACGATGTGATGAATCGGTCTTACAGCGGAAGAGCGTTCAACGTCCGAAAAATGTCCTTAAGTTCCTGGTGAAGCGATTGGGCTACAATGGAAGACTACTATCGCTGTGGTTTGGACAAAAAAGTAACTATAGTACTGTCATACCATATGACATTTTCTATTATGTTTTGTTTGACCAACTGAATAAAGCCGCTCCGTTTGAGTAGATCCTTCCATCAAATTTGGTGCAAGCCTTCCATCAACAAACACAAACTACAAACGATTGCGCATCGACCGCCTCGAGGCCCCGCCCTCCAATCACGATCGAACGGAACGGAGGCGGGTTGACCCATCGGTGCAGAGTTGTCTATAAAAGCGCAGATCCATTTCCATCACCAACCAAAGTGAAAAACATTCAAAACGATGAATTCAATTACTATATTCTCAATCGCCTTCTTGGCTTCTATTATCTCGTCCGCTCCATTCGGAGCCCCGCCACCGCATTTGCCTCCGGGCTTCGACGAGTTATTACCTAATGAAGCTAAGGACAGACTCATGGAGTTGCATCTCAACAAAGCCTTGAGCTTTGAAGAACGCCGTGAAGCCATCGAAGAGGTGTTTGACCAGCTACCCTTAGAGGTGTTGGCCAAACTCCCACTTCCACCAGGACTCGAAAGACTTCCAGCTGAACACAAACAAAAGTTCAGAGAACTTCAGATGGACCGCACGATGACCGCTGCTGACCGTCACAACAAGGTCAAACAGATGGTGGAAGAACTACCAACCGAACTCCAGAAGGTCGTCAACCCACCCACAACTCCTCCAATGATCCGTGGCTTCCCATCTCGACCTCCACCAGGCTTTGAAGCCATCGTCGGACCATCAGTCTTCAAACAATTGGTCAAAGTCCACGAGAACGCTGACCTCACCGTTCCTCAAAAGAAGAACATGATTGACCTTATCATGCGTCAAGTGCCACGTGCTCAACTCGACAAACTCCCATTGCCTCCAGGATTCGACCAACTCCCATACGAATCGGTTCAAAGAGTCCGATCGATCTTCACCAACTTCGAGATCAACTGGGACGAGCGACACCGACTGGTAATGGATTTTGTTCAACAGCTGCCACGTGAACAGCGCCGTCTGCTCCGTCCTACACCTCCACCCTTCGTGATGGAGTTGCCTTCAGAAGTCCGTGACCAGATTGAAGACATCTTCGACGACGTTTCCTTGAGTCCTCAAGAAAGATTCCACAAGATGCGGCTGATCTTCCAGTCGTTACCAGCTGAACTCAGAGCCAAGCTGCCACCAATGCCAGTCAACATGCCTCCACCACCACCCATGATGAAGTCATTGTAAACCACAGTAACATCTCAAATTTAGATGCTATTATATTAAGATCAATATGATCTTACACTGATCATATTGATCTACGTTTTTGTATATTAACTAGACTCATTTAGCCACAATATTTCGTATACATTAACCCATGTATACTGTACTATTGTTGCCTATATGTTTAAGCCTTTCGGTTACTGTAAGTACTGTAACTTAATCTGTAAGATTCTCCGAAAGTCCTCAAAATCTCATCACAAATACGGTCTATCTCTCAACGCACATGTACTGTTCATGTTCTCATTGTATGACGCAACTCTTATAAAAAGTAATGTTGTTGTAAAGTTTACTGTTCGAACCATTTATAATATAGAACTGAAATAAACATAAATCAATATAAAAGATCAGCCTTTTTGTAGTTTAGTTAACGTAGTAAATCATACATGAAAAACATAAGTATAAAAAAGTTACAATTATATAAAAGTTACAATTAGCTCTTCAAAAACTAACTTATTATTAAAGCTGAAAAGAAGGTCACAAGTTCAAACAAATTCAGTAAAATTTAATAATTTTCAAAATTTATTTACTCTTTACCTACATAAAAAGGAGAATAGAACAAGCACTGAATAAAACAACACACAATTCCAACAAAAAATTAACTTTAAACACTTTTACATTAACAATTTTCGATATTGAACTAAAAAATAACTCGAGCAACTGAAGACATTATGATATTCAACAAACACGTCCTTCTATCAAACACACATAAGATACGATCAAATGTTAACAAAAAAGTTAAGTAAAAATTAAAAGAATATAAAAACAACATTTAATTTTACAAATTACAAGTAAAAAGCTAATTTCAAAATTGCTTGTACAAAGAATAAATCGTCGTTATGCCAGGCAAATTATTCGTTGTAGGACCAATCGATTAACGAAATGTAATATTATTTTTTAGAATTCTTTAAATATTGTATGCTTTTTTTATGGTTTACTTTATCGGGATTTTTTTATTTAGAAATGAGGAACGGGCCGGCCTTGACCCAAATTTAGATCGGTCCTGAAAAATGGGCTCGGATCTTACCTCATGACAATATATATTTTCCTTTATTGAAATCTGTTGCGAAAAATTGGATTTTTGGGGCTGGGACAATTTTTCATTATGGCAAGCAGGGACGTCGTTTGGGGGAGGGGGTACCCCTCTCCCAGAGCCAATCTGAAAAAAATTCCACAGGTAGGTACTTGTACGCGAAAAAACGAAAAAAACTTTTTTTCGACCTCCCCCTCCCCCAGAGAAAAATCCGACGTCCCTGATGACAAGCTATATCTTATAATAATGATGTTTACGATTTTACTTTTTTGTAAAGATTAAAAACGTTATTTATAAACCGTTTTCGTCGTTGGACTTTGTTCACATAAGTTGACTGATTAGATGACACAGTAAGGCATAGCTGTGATTACAGTAAATCGCTTTTGAAGGTTGCCATTACAACGCTTAAAAGGAAGTAATTCGTTGAAAGGAATCTTTAAAAAACTTTGCAGAATCTTTTAAAAACTGCCTTTAGCAATTACAACCGATCGATCAAAGTAGTCTGACCCGAGACATTATAGCCTTTACACTACTTGAACGTAGAATGGAAAAGTTTGTAGCAAAATTGTATTTTTACAACTTTTTCATCGGATTTAGGTATATGGCATTATAAAATTCAGTGTAATATATTATTTTATGGTAGGTGTGAAACATAATGTTGTAGTAGTTATATTCAGGGCAAGAAGCAAGTTACGGCGTATAAAGACAAAGATTTTATGCTGATTTTATCATATATACTAGGTGTGTTACTTGTGATTGGTCAGTCAAAAACAACCAATTCTTGTTACTGTTGATGTTGTTGAACAACAAAAAACAAATCTTGTTCATATTCATACATTGTGTATCTTGTAGCGACTTCCTACTGTGACTGTTCTTTAAAGATATTCGTTTTTAAAAAGTTATCGGCAAAGAATAGTAGACTTCACAAAGTAGAATACTATAATCGATTTGTATTAGTAACAGTAGGAGGTTTTCTATTTTTAGCCATAGTAATCTTTTCGACTTACTGTCTGTATTACTGTCTTAAAAGAGTACTTTGCTCAAATTGACTTAACACAATATGTTACTAAGAAAGTAAGAGCAAGATGGATTGATTTTTGCTACAGAGCAATCGAAAAATTATTTCACAATTTTAAAAATTTCAAAACATGATTGATTCGCGATAAAGTTGAGAACAAAATATACGTAGATGTTGTCATGGATAACTAGATAAAGTAATAGGTATGACTGGTTGAAAATGTAGATATAACTGGTTCGAAAATGTAGCTGATGAAAGTATAGGTATAGTCTAGTGTCAGTTTTACTCGGTTTAATTTAATATCTTGGTATGTTGATTATGAAGGGGCTTTTAATATTAGCTAGCATTTCTGGTTATAAGAAGCATTTCCTGTGTAACCATCTGCTTTACAGATAATTCTATCAATTTTGAAAAGTTGAGATAATTATAACAGATTGGAAGCTCTGCTTCTGGATAATAGATTACTCTACTTGAAATTGTGTTACGGTAGATTTACTCTTGCAAAAGGCTGCTTAAACTTTTCAAGTGTAATATAACGATGTGCAAAGAACACGATGTCTGCTTGATTTTTAAATTTTCTAACTTTTGAAGGTGTATATTACACACTTTCGAACGTTTCTAGACTTTCAAAGTGTACTTTTGACCGTTCAGCTGAAATTCATAAGTCTCAAGTACAATATTAATCGATTTCTTAGGCAGTTTTACTGTAACGGTTTGAACTTGTTTTATTTTAATAGTCTTAGGTTTTAAATACAGTAATTTAGGGCTTGTTAAAGGCTAGACATGGGGAACGAGCCGGGCCTTGATTTTTTGGTCCGGCCCAACCTAAATCGGGGTCAGGCCCGATCTGATGGTAGGCTTGGCCTATTCTTCATCTATATTTAAAGCTTTTTCTTTATTAATTTAGTACACAAACATCTAAAATCTAGGGTAATGTATATATTACTAGGTAGATAGTGTAATATATAGCTAGACATAACAGAACAAAACTTTATTAAACAGTACAATTCTTATTTACAAACAATGGCAGACATAGTTTTACTCACAAATATTTACTACAAAAATTAAGAAGAGCATCAGAAAATGAAAGATATTATTTTACAGTAAAAGTTACTGCACTTTTGACAATAATTAATAAAGATTCCTACCCGGAAGAAAGGCGATTAAACCTTCCTTCAAAACATACCATAAACTAAAGATCAAGTTGAAAAACAAGGTACAGTAAGACGTTCTACTGATGCTCTACCATATTTATCTATCAGTCATTTTAAAAGGTATTCAACGAAAACGTGTGTAACCTTTAATCTTGGGGTATTTTTACATTGTACTCTTGATCACTTGGAATGACTTGTTGGTTAGAAAAACAAGCCTTACAGTATTATAATTGTCTTTTAGGCTAAATATTTGTTTTTTTAATGTTTTTACTGAGTCGTTTGATGAGCATTTGGACAGTACGCACGGTGCATTTCACGAAAACTTAAGGGTCGGATGGTGCTATCAATTTTTGTTTTGTGAGCAAGTTTGAAATACCGTGAAACTTCTTTAGTATGACCTAAAGAGATTTGACTGTAGCACTGTTTTATCAAATATCATTCAATAATGTGTCTTTTTGAAAATTTTTTACTTACTTTTCTTTCTATTTATGCTATACCTATACTTTCATCACCTGGATTTTAGTTATTATTCTATCGTATATGTACTAGACGTGGCATGCCATGGCACTTTTTAAATAAGCTAAAACACCGATTTTTGTTAGGCCGCCAATGACTGGCTGAGCTTGACTGATTTAGGCGATGCCGTCAAAATCGATTAAAAATTAATTCTGAATTTTATGTAAGCTTCGTTAATGATGTGTGTATCAAGGTTTTTCAGTTTGTGTATGTTTACTATGCTTTTTAACTTGTGTCATGTTTTTGTCATCTTTTTTGTTCTTTTGGCTACAATGACGCAAGCAGTCTGAGCCGTCAATGGTAGCGGAATCAGTGGTAACTTCAACTGACAGTTGTGTGATTCTATTTATGTTCGCTGATAACTTTGACTTTGTTACCAACCAACAAGGTTATTCTGGTGTTAGTTCTTGTGACGTTACTTTCTGGTTGTAGTTTGAAAAGTTTTGAACACAAAACTCATCTTGGGTGTGGTAAAGCCAGGGTTTGGGTGTGGTAAAGGCAAGGTGTGGGAATATGATGAGGTTATAAGTTGAAGTTGTGCAAGATGCTAGGTTATAAGAAATGGCATGATATTTAATAAGAAGTGGCATAAATACACATAAAATTTAAAAGAAATTTTAATTTTTTGCTATCTTTATGTGTCATTATCATAACTACAGACCTGCAACCTTTGCAGACCATTATCGTCTTCATGATGTAACTTTCTCGACAACAAAAAGCCAAATTCATAAATCTTTCTACAATAAAAACCATAAATTACTGGGTTTGTGATATATGTGATGGCGATAAACTTGGTATCATTAAAAGCAAAGAAATTCCTTTTAAAATCAAAAAATTTCTAAAGATCGCGTTTAATTACTACTTCACATGACCAATCAAAGTTACTTGAGAGTGTTAATAAGTAAAGAAGGATGTCAAAAAAGTATTATATATAAAAAAGGATGAATAGCATAGGGTCAATTGAGTACTGGAATATATAAAATTCAATTCACAGTAACTGATAAATATTTTGAAGTTGAAGTTTCTAGCCACAGCACTCTGTTTATACTTACAGCACAATAAAAATGCAAAAGTAAAAAAGATTAAATTAAAACAAAAATTTTAAAATATCTAAACGGTCTTTAAAGATTGCCAGACATTAAAATAAATACATCTGACAAACAAAGATAACTGTAACAAGTACTATAAATGGCATGCAAATGATTGATTCGACCGGTAAACTTATTTTGTAATAGCAATTGTAATAGTAAAGCATTAAACTAATACTATTTACGAAATACACACTGTATAGCAAGATTAATATCACAGCAAACATTGATAGATATAGGTTCCTACATCACCAGTTCCTAAATACATCACCAGCTTCAGGCAGGTTGTAATGCAAGAATACAGTCACAAGAGCCATCGACTGCATCTTAAGACCTTTAAAAGTCAAAATGGTTTATTATTAGACGGTTCCTGCTTTTATAGACACCCAAAACAGGCAAAATAATCTTTAAAGAATGGGTCTCGAGGCTATTTTTAGCTCCATCCGTCTCTCGCGATTTCAGCGACAACTCTCGACGGAATTACTACTGTCATCAATCACTTCTATCAGTCGCTAGAAGGAACAAAGTCACTTGTGTAGAATCTTTAAAGAATTTCAATAGCTAACACAAGCAAGCACAAAACGTACAGTGCGTACTGTTTTAATTAATAAAGCCCTGACTGTTTTACTTGGTACAGTTACGTACTGCCTTAGTCAGTACAATATATACTGTTTTACTTGATGCAACACTCAATGCCTTAAACAGTACAGTGCGTAATGGCTTACTTAGTAAGGTATGTACTATTTTACTTGGTACAGTACGTACTGTTCTACTAATACAATAAAATAAAATACTTCAGTTAAAATGCAAATTTATTATGTTAACATTAGCTTTTATAACTGCGCACTTTTATGACAATAATAGTAATGGTTGTAGCTTTCTTTTGTCAGGTTTATCGATGTTACAGTAGACTATGTATTATATAACACTTACAACACTTTCATTTAAACCTCTAACATCTATAAAGTCGTTCAAATAATTATGTTCCATATCTCAAAGAAAATGTTAGGGGTGTGGGGTTCTAATACACAAAATAAGACAACTGAAGCTCTATATTTAATAGACATGAAGAATAGGCCGGACTTGGCTCAAATTTAGGTTGGGCCGGGCCTGAAACTCAAGGCTCGGCCCGTCCCGTTGCTCATATAGAATATTCAATAAAAATTGAAACTTATATAATAGAATTTTGATGAAACGATATGAAAAGATGCTATACAGGCAAGGTCTGTTTTTGAAACATGCGAAATCGTACTCATAGATGAAAAGTGTCATTCATAAGAAATATTCAAAATATTTTTTTTTGCAAAAAAAATATTTTTAAAAATTTTATTTGTTCTGTTACATTTTGTAAAGTTTGGTCGAAGAATGTCTGAAGGTTATGAAGAAATAACCTCATTGTGGGGAGATAACTACTGTTTGAACTTTCGGGATCTTAGCACGTTGTTTCCGTGTGATGTAAGTCTTATTTTGTATCTTTTATGAAATTTCAAATTGAATTTTTGACTAGAAAACTAAAATTATTATTTTTGAGAAAAAGTCTGTCAGTTTTAACTCAAAAGTACTATTGTTAGTCGGTAACTTTAACAAAAAGTCTATGCATATCCCTTCTATCATATAAGGGTTGTCCAAATAATTCTGCGCCCCCTAACCCCAAAAATTTGCTTTGAGAGTTAGTATAGAAGTAGTCGAACAACCTAATCTAACGTACTTTAGGACTACCAGCTCGTATTTATCATAACCGGATGTATTGCGATAGTTGTTGGGTATCTTGCAACAATAGCAATATTCGTGGAACAATATTACAGAAACCAGAAGCGACGTGCCAAGTACTGTAAAGCACGAATGGAGCTGAGTGCCGAGTATCTGGAGCAGTTGAGGGAACAGCGACACAAAATTATCGATGAAACTGCCTTGAGTAAGTTGTTTTTTTTATCTTAACTTTTTGTAAAAGGACATTTTCATTGATTGTATTTACTAATGTCGTATTGTGTTGTCATTTATGTAAATTTCTTTATGATTAACTTATGTAAATTTATTTCAGAAAAGTGTGAAATCAAAGTTTCTCCGACCGGCGAAGAGCACGAACCAACTGAATTCGAGACCTGATGCCCTCACCTGAGTCAATATTTAAACATATTCCAGTTTTACCGAGTAAATAAACCCTGTTTTTTGATGTTTTTAAATTAAAACGTGAAATTCGAGTCGGAGAAGTTTGATTACAAACATAAAGTAATTGTAATTCCCACAAACTGATAAACAACGTGTCTTCAATCGACGAATTAGACTTATTTTTCGGTCAAAATATTATGTGTGACTCAAATGTACTTTTATTTTGGGCTTATAGTAACATGACGCGATCACATTTAATAGTACTTTTATATATATTTTTATTAACTATAACATGTTGATATTATAGTAGCTTTTTGAAGTTTGTCTTCGATTTTGTGAGGGTTTTAAAGCAGAAAAACGATTATTCCTTACTTTTTTAGGTTTTTATTAAACAAATATAACGGCCTAACTAGGTTTTTTTACATTTATAACATTTTTACCACCCTTTTTAGTAAAAAATGATTGAATCAGTCAATACGACAGCCAAATTAAATGCCACTGCTGACTTTGGTTTGACGGAAAGCGAGAAAAAACTAGTCGATGATCTCAGAAAATACCTTGGAGATGACATTCTTCAAGAATCCCCACTATTCAACGACGATATGTCGTTATTAAGGTGGTGTTTGGCCTTGGAAAACAAATTTGGTAAGTCCTTCATCGCGCCAAAAAAGGCTCTTATAAGGTTCTCTTCCTTTGAAAGTCGTGGCCTTGTGGCGTAATGGATAACGCGTCGGACTTCGGATCCGAAGATTGCAGGTTCGAGTCCTGTCAGGGTCGACTAATATTTTTGTCTTTTTTAGCTAATATTATATTTAAATAATTTACAAAACATCAATTATCATCTAAAATTCAATATTTTCTTTTGTGGAATTAACTATTTTTTATGTTTAATACGCTTTTTAATGAATTTTTAGAAGTGATTGCCGAGAAGTTCAAAGAAACAAGCAAAACCTTGGCCGCCATGAAGTTATACGACCTTGAATTTAATGATATCGACGAAATTAATGATTATTTTAGAAACTATCACACTACAGCCGAGTACTATGCAGGTAAACTCATTATATTAGACTTTATGTTTTATAAATTTTCAAAAACGTTTTATATTACCCTTGAACAAAAAGTTATTTTAAAATTTTAAGGCGGCCTAGTAGGCCAAGACAAAAGTGGCCACTGGATTTTGTGTCAAGTTAGTGGAAAGATAAGGCCGAAGCAACTAGCATATTGTGGACGAGTTAGTGATCTCTTCAAGGGTACTCTGATGAGTAATACTATATTGTACAACTTGGTTAGACAAACCGAGAGGAAGCTTGGCAGAAGGTGTGGAATGAAGCTAATATACGATCTCAACGGACTAGGGAAGGAGCATTTCTACCCACCTACAGTCAAGATCTACCTCAATGTGGTCAAATTGGCACAGGTAAGGGTGTGCCATATGTTCTTGGTACTAGTCTTTTTTGTGTTTGGTCCTAGTTTTTTTGCACTTGGTACTATTTTATGTCTTTTTTACTACCTTTGTTGTCATAACTCCATTCCAGGAGCACTTCCCAGACATGATGACAAAGATATTTATAATAAATGCCCCAGGCATGTTTGCATCAGCTTATAATGTCAGTAAGACAGTATTGTCCACAAGGTTGAGAAAACAAGTCGAGATTCTGAATACCGACTTCAAAGATCGAGTATTGGAAGAACTTGGGCATGACAACGTCTATCCAGATTGGGGAGGGTCAAAGATTCCAAAGCGAGGAGATCCAGGGTGTGGAACGTTACTCATGGCCGGACCCATTCCCGACCATTTCAAGTGAGAACTTATGACATTAGAGATATTCTATAAACTTTTGGACCAAAAGGTTATTGGAATACCAATTTTTTGCTTGAAATTGTGATTTTGTACCTACTTTTCAAAATTTTTTTCTGTAAAATTTTTGACTAAAACCATATTTTAAGCCTGGTTCGACTAAAATACCGCTTTTCTCAGAACTTTTAGACCTTTTTTACTTTCAGATACATCCCAGAGAAGAACCACCTTCACGTTCACGACAAACAGCTCACGAAACTCTCAGTGCCACCACGCCAAGAGAAGGAAGTTCGTTTGAATGGCAGAAAAGGGCATAAAGTGACGTGGTTCCTGAAGTCTTCATCTGAAGTCGACTTCTCGGTTTGGTTGGGCGAGAAGATCATCCGCCCCAAATTCAGAATCCAAACTGATTTTGTGCCAGAATTCGACGAAGTCGAGATCCATGAGGACGGTGAGGTGGTTTTTGTGTTTGACAACACGTTCAGCACGTTCTCCAAGAAGAACGTTCATTACCACGTTGACCTCAAGGCTGTGAATTAATGTTTATATCTATATTTGTCAATGGTACAAGTTCCGACTTTATCGTAAGCATAATAAGTTGTAGTAGGGTTTAGTTGAACAATAGTGACATATTTTTATAAATGACATTTTTATCATATTTTTATGACATTTTTGTTTACTTTTCATAACACTTTTCTCAATAATATGACATCTGCATGACATTTTTATTTTAAATCAAATAAAGAATCTTCAAATCCACTTATGATATTAGTATTGATATGGTCGAGTACGACATCCTCTGGTAGTGGTTGGATCAGAACCAGAAGGAGTCTTACTAGCAGCATCATTATCACTGCTAGCAGTACTTCCACTAGTAACAGCAGTACTACTAACTCCTTCACTAGCAGTACTACCAGTGGTACCGGCAGTAGTACTAGAAGTAGAAGCTCCACTGGCGGTAGTACCAGTATTAGCAGTAGTGGTACCAGTATTGGTAGTAGTAGTACCAGTAGTAGCAACAACACAAAGTGGAGAATCAGCCACGTAGCCAGAAGGACATTGAGAAGCTGGATCGGCTTCTGTGTAGATGGGTAAAGAGACAACATTGCCAGCAGCTCGGTAGTTACATACGATGTAGGCATAGTTGCTGCCTTCTAGGTTGGTCAAAGTGGGACAGCTGGCCACATCACATCCGACTTCAGAAGTGTTGGCCCAAATTACCTGAGTGAAATGTCCATCAGCTTCAACAAACGCGTAGCTAGGAATACCACTTGGACTGAAGGTGGTGACCTCGTTGTACCAGGCTGTGATAGCTGCTCCAAGATTGACAGTGTTTTCAGTCGAAGTTCGGGTAAGAGAATACAGATTCTCTCCATCTTGAGTGCCAGAATGAGCCCAGACACATTTTTCAGCATAGGTAGTGGCTTCTTGTTCGAGGTCAGTGCTGTATACCTAACATAATATAATATTGAAAATCTCATTACTAATCCACTTAGTGTCAGTACTTTCTACTACACTGTCATTACTTATAATATCTCAATTGTTCCAAAAATCAACTTACAAGCGCCTTCATATCTCCAGCAGTCGGTAGTGTAACGTTACCAGCACCAACAGCCGTACCCCCAGCCACCTGAGCTCTGTACTTGTTGTGCTGATCAACTACATACTGGCGGTCCGAAGCGCTTAGCTGCCCCGCCGCTGTTGCAATCACAAGACCAAGTACAACAAACTTCAACATGATTAAAATAAATGGCAACAGAAAGCTGCATTTTTATAGGACACCATGCCTTAGGCTTGGAAATGACATTTTGACTTACTGACATTTCATTAATTAGTAAGCTTGAACTAGTGATTTCAGTTGTGATAGTGAGTAACAGACGTAATGACTCTTACCAAAGAACAGAGGTCAATTTCTATTGATTTAAGAATGATCCTAAACGTGGCTTCTCAAAAGAGACATAAGGCAATGTAGCCTATATGTATGTTCTGCCTTGTCAAGACCAAAGAACGCAAAAAACATTATACAATGTGCCAGAAGCAAGGCCTAGGACAAGGCATAAAATTCTCTAAAGCCCTGTCCTGTGTCCAAGCCTGCTATCAGGCCAAACTTCATAATGGTAAGCAGGACCTGGCAGTCTGTTCAGTCCAAAAGCTACAGCTTTCTACAGGCTTTATTTGCAACCTAATTTTAGCTTTTGAAACTTCTATTTTAAAATCAAAAATATAAGCCTCCTTCTTCTACATGCAAATTGATTGCTCTGACGGCCTGCGCTAAACACTCAGTATCTCCCCACGTCCTAACTTATATATCTTGAGTCAAAAAAAGAACAAACATTTCTTCTATGCAAATTAAGTCATAAAAGACTTCATCAATTGTAAAAAACATTAAATTTATTGAAACTGAACTAACAACAACAAAATTTTAAGCATTGCATTGCTCTGTAATGCCAATACTTATTATACCTTTGACCCAACCTTAACCTAACTTTAAGTTCACTTAACATTTTCAATAACCAAACAAATATTACTCGTAACACAAAAATTTTATTGCAAGTAGCATCATTTATTCAATGTTATAACACATTTTCAATATTGATATGGCCGGGTACGACATCCTCTAGTACTTGACCTTGGATCAGTTGAAGTGGCAGTAGAAGTTGACGTACTAATAGATGGATTAGTACTGGTTGCAGTAAAAGACGCAGTAGTTGACGTGCTAGTTACTGTTGTACTAGACGCTGTTATACTAGACGATGAAGTACTAACTGAAGAAGTACTAATCGATGAAGTAGTTGTAGAACCAGTTTTCACGCAAAGACTTCCATTAACAACACCGTCCACGCATAGTGAAGCTGTCGTGCCAGAGGTGTAGATTGGTTGATTGAGAACATTGCCTGGGGCGGAGTAGGCACACACAAAATAGGTCCATTGTGCGCCTTCAAACCCACTCAGAGAGCCACAGAACGTTATAGCACATCCGATTTCAGAAGTGTTGGCCCAGATCAACTACAACATTGCAAAATTTTATTTTTTTTTCATTTAAATGTTTTAAAATTCGATTAAATTTCAAGGCTTTCGAGAAGCTAAAACAACATGCCAACCTCTGGGACAACTCATCAATGCCAAAGCATACCTGTGTGAAGTTGGTGTCAGCGGAATTGGCCTTATACTGAGGAATGTCATCTGTACTCAGGTTGGTCGCCTCACTGTTCCACGCTGCCACGGCGTTCTTAATAGTGTCATCAGTAGCCGTTCCGTAACCAGCTGATGCATAAAGATTCTGGCCTGTAGATGAAGTGTTCCAATTACAAGCTACCACAATTCGATCGGCATTGTTCTCTAGGTCAGTGTTGTACACCTGTCATAACATAGTATACTAATAGCTTCTTTTTAGTAATGTAATTTTGCACAAAAATGAGTATGACAATCCAATGAATCCATTCTTGCCAGTTTTTTATAATTAAACAACGAAAATTCCAAAAAAATAATTAAAAATACAAAAATAGCATAACAAACTCACCAAAGCCTTCATATCAGCAGCCGTTGGTAGTGTGGCTCCATTAGCACCAGTAACCTGCCCATTGGCTACAGCAGCCCTATATTGGTTATGTAGAGCAAGAACACTTTCCTGTTGTTCCGCCAGCAGAGCCTCGGCCGAACCAAATGCCAAGCCAAACAACAAAAGTTTAAACATTTTTAAAAATTGCAACAGCAAGTTGCGCTTTTATAATGGCCAGTTGTTAATGTCATTATGACTTACTAACCTTTATTTTTATAATTTGACATTTTACTTCGTGAGCCTTTGGCCACTTATTTATTAGTAATATCTGAACAGTGAGTCCAAAAACAAATCATTATTTACCAAAAACATCACAGATCAATATCAAAAACATGTTACGGTAGCTGATTAACGTAAAGCATACATTTTACAAAATAAATCCTTCAAACTGGCATTATTTATTAGGTCAACAAAAATAAGAAATAAAATATAACGTCATGAAATATGATGATAAAGGTCAGTGAGTCCTGAGAAACAAATTTGAAGATAACAATCAAAGTGAATGGGTAAGATCAAAACGATATAAAAGCTGAAAATACTGTAACAATTCTACTCGTCATCCGTGTGGTTTCTAGAGAAACAAACATCTGAATCCGCTGAATTTAGAATCCGACGAATCGAGTATTGAGATGATTAAGCCTTGGAGTCTTCAGCTAGCTTCTCATGATGGTGCTCGGCGTCATGGATAACTTTATCAGCAGCGTGGATGACTTCGTTTGTTTCTGTCAAAGCGATCTCCGCTTCTTCATTGTGGCCTTCCGTGGCTTCAACTTCGGCTTCTGGCTTCACACCGAGAATGTTTTCGAAGAACTTGGTGACACGGTCTGAAAAATATAATAGGTTTAAGTCACTTATACAGTATTATTATTTTTTGATTTATACCAAACACCATCATTAAAAAATATTAAAAAGACCTTTGAAAACATAAAATAATATCCAAAAAACAACATACCGCTGACAACATTGAAGGCCTTTGGTCGGTAAGCGATGAACAAGAAGTAGATAGGCAGAGCAGTCAACATGATAGCTATTCCAATAGCCGTATCTCTTGGACTACCAACAATTGGGATAACGACCAGCCCGATACATCCAATGAAGAACAAGATCGGAATGGCGAGGTTCACCTTGATTGGTCTTGGTTCGTTCGGAATCTTGTATCTGAAGTAGAACAAAGAAGCGGTGGCAGCAGCAATAGCTAGCCAGTAGCTGATCTGAATGTAGTTGATCAAGGCATTCACATTGTTCGACAAGAGAAGGTACAAGACCGAGAGAATACCCTGAAAATAAGACGTTTAGTATAATATGAAAAAATAATTAAAATACTTTTTAAATTACAAATACCAAAATTTACGATAAAATAGAGGTATTCACTTACACAGATGACGACAGCAGGGATGGGAGTACGAGTTTTGTGGTGGACCATGGTCAACAATACTGGCATTTGACCTTCGCGAGCACCAACGTAGAACAATCTAAAACCAAAAAGTTAATACACAATAATACAATTCCATTTAGGTAAAAAAAACTAAGAAAAAAAACCATAAATTATAGTGCCAAGTTAACCATTGAAATTTATAGTACACAAACCTCAATATGAACAATACACATACCTTGATGTAGTAAAGATGACACCATTGGCTGATCCCAAAGTGGAACAAGCGACAAAGATTGGCATGATGAAAGCTACTGGACCATAGACACGGTTAGCAAAGTCGAGAGCAATAGCTTTGGAGCTGAGCATCTCTTGAGGAGATACGATGGTATACAATGCGACGTTGGTTAAAGCGTATACAACGATTACGGTAGAACATGAGATCAAGATGGCGAGAGGAAGGTTTCTGAAAGTAAATAAATATTTATATCAATACAAGCTATTGATTTGTAATGTTACCAATATAGATATAAAAAACACAAAAATATTCTCGAGGCCTTACCTTTTAGGATTCTGAAGTTCTTCAACAATAAAGTTAAGGTAGTTCCAGCCTTGGTAAGCGAAGAGACCTTGATAAAAGGCCAAAGAGATCTTTCCAGCATCCCAATTTGAGTTGACGAAGGGATCAGCAAAGGCAGCTCTGTTGCTCGCATCTCCGAAGATCAAGAAATAAACTCCAGTGAAGATGATCATGATCAAGGCAAACACCTTGGCAATGGTGAAGGTGTCCATAATTACAGTTGACAAACGGACTGAGGCGCAGTTAATGAATGTCAAAAACACTAAAAATAAAATTTTAAGAAATATAATTATTATACCGCAATACCCACCATAAAAATAAAAAATAAAAAAAATTCAAATAAAATATTGTAACTAACAATTTCAAAAACGAACTTACCAATCAAAACCACAGCCAACCCTTCGATACTGTAGGGAGGCAGATCTGTAGGACCATACAATGGAGTCAGCATGTAGTTGGCAAAGGTAAGAGCAACGATAGTGACACAACATGGTCTGACAACGATGGCTTCGATCCAGAATCTCATGAAAGCAGCAAAGGGTCCAAATGCTTCCATAATGTAAGCATAGTCACCACCAGACTTGTGGATGAGTGTACCCAATTCAGCATACGACCAAGCTCCGGCCATAGCAAAGATTCCACTAGCTACCCAAATAATTAATGACAATCCTACAGAACCGGCTTCTGAAAAAAAACAAGTCATTTTTGCTATATCAATTCTTTTCTTCAACTATATCCTCACCAACACCAAAATTAAATCATTACCCATTTGAACACCAGTAGGAGAGATGAAGATACCAGAACCAATAATCGACCCGATGATAATACTGACGCCATTCCACAAGCCCAAAGTCTTCTTCAGTCCACCTTCGTGCTCTTCCTCAAACTGCTCGATCTTCTTCTTCTTGTCTCCATTCTCCACCAACAAGGTCTCCTTCTGTTCCTGTTGCTTCAAATTTGTCTCCAAGTTTGTGCCGGTCATTTTGGCAACCAAAAACTGAAATTAAAGAGTTATTACATAAATTTTGAGGTAATAATCGCGGTTAGTCTTCAAATATCACAATATTGAAAAAAAAGATAATTTTACATAAAATTTTAAGTTTTAAATTAAAAATATTACAAAGCGCCACAAATCTTATCAAAAGTTATCAGTACTAATCCAATTTAAAAGCAAATAACTGCTAAACTTCCTGATAAAAATATTTTGTTCGTAAATCATCAAAAGAGTTAACAGTTATAAATTTCTAATAATTCTCAAATTTTAACTTTTTACTCAAGAAAACCCAAAATAAGTAAAAATGCCCAAAAAAATTAAAATCCCAAAAACAAAATTAAAACAACATTCAACACAACATTAATGTCTCCACTTCCGAGTACAAAATCAGTGACCCAATTCCGTGGATATTACCGATCGAAGCATATCCACTTCACTTTAACGTCGTTTCGCACTCATATTAAAGTACAGCAGTTACTCTGACCTCAGACAGTCCAATCCAAAGCTTTTAAAAGGCCATTCCACTTTTTATGATCTTCGGATATTAAATTTCACAAAAAGTTTTAAAATAAACAAAGATATTATTAATAACTCTTGCAGAAAAGATTGCTAAATTGCTACAAATTTAGTCGAAATTACAGATAATATTGTAAATGTATAAAAATAACACTCTAATTATGTGTGTGTTATCTTGTGTTTCACATCCACATCACGTTATTTTAATTTTTTGTGAAAATTCAAAATTTCAAAAGTAAAAAGCTAAAGTTAAAGTACTGTAACTTTAAAATACTTCAAATATATAAAATTTTGTTGTACATACATTAATTATAATCAGCAAAAATTTCAAAACTATACCTTCCATTTTAAAAAATTTGCACCTAAAACAATGTTCTCAACGCCTAATGTTAAATTGCTCACCTCAAGAAAACATTAATTACTGGCTACAATCTCAAACAGTTTTACAAAAATATTATTATGTTATCTCAAAAAGCCAAAATAAACAAGAATAACCTCCATCCCCACTCTTTAACCTCTCTGACATCCGTGAAAATCGCCCCCACTAACCATAAAAAGGCTAGTGTAATATCAGTTTATCCAAATCGAATATTCCAAACAAGCAATGTGTGTTTAAAGCCCGTCCCAATGAAATGGCCAAAACAAAAGGGGGGATGATGCAATTTTTGGTCACATTTCTCAAGTAAGAACTCTTCCCTATTAATTTTCGGCCAAAAGTAAAGGCCAGAAATCGGGAGGAGGGGAAGGTATTTTAAGTTCAGAGTTTAATCCCGAGAATTGAATGGAACGAGTTTAAAATATGACAGGACAAGCAAAGGGCAATAAGAGGACACAGCAGGCTAAGAATATTACACTAGGCAAAGTGGCTCCCAAAAAATAGAAAGTTATTACCTAAAATTTAAGAATGTCAGCGTAATTTCAAGAAAGTTACCTAAAAACGAAGATTGTTCTTAAAATTTCAACAATATAATTTTAATTTTAAAAAGCGACATTTTAATCCAGTTCGAACTAAAAACGCATCTAAAACCTCCAAAAACCCGAAAAGCCTCTGTTTTGTATAAACAGGTGAAATCCTTTAACTTCTCAAATATCTACTACAATATATCACACAATAATAATAAAAAGATACATCTGAAGAAGCCCTTTACATGCTAAAACAACATGTTTTCGCAAATGTAAAATCCCAAAAATTTGGCAAAACATTTTCTGTGGCACTTCGCAACGACGGAATGTCACAAAGCCAAAATTAAAGGAAATTGGCTGAATTTTGTTGGGAAATCAGTATTTTTGTTTTCGAGAGGCCAAAGGTGGGTAAAGTAAGTTTTACTAGCTAGGCTTCTTATTTTTATTTTGATTTTTGTATCTAAAAATAGAAAAAAGACAAAAATGGATTATTATTTGAAATAATTCAAATCTGATAGGTTTCTTACCTAAATTTCGTAATTATGATAAACTTGATGTTTAACATAAAGTGTGATTTTATCTGTTACAAAAAACAGGCGGGACTTGTGTCATTGCAGTCTAACGGGAGGTCTATTTTCGGAGAGTTAACATTAGTGATAAGCTAAAAACAAGGCCATCGGAAAACAGCTGAATTAAAATAATTAATGACCAGTTGGGCTGTGAAAAACAAGCAATAGGTTTTTTGGGGCTAAACTACAATAATAAAACAATATTCCTATAATTACCCAAAAATATTATTGAAAATATCTAAAACAATATAAAATTATTAAAAAAATTTTTTAAAGTTACCTTAAACAATCATATAAGTGTAAATAAGTATTTGAACACAATAATACTTCCAATAACCCAAATAATTGTATTGCCATTGCCTAAATAAATGTGATTAGAACCTCTGAACCCAGCCATAACAAAGACAATGCACTTTTCTATGGTTATTTTTGGAGGGAAAGGTGGAAACGCGAAATTTGGCGCTGATTCAAGGGGAAGAAAAGTGGGGAAACACGTTCGGCCGGCTTTTGGACGAAGAGGCTGCTCGAGGAGCAAGTCAGGGCACATGTCCTTATAAAAGAGGGATTAAAATGACCGGAAAGCAGGGCCAACTTATGTGAGAACTGTTATTTGAAAGCGTTTTGAATTAAAACAAGGACAAGTTAGCTTTAAGGCTTGTTTTTAAAAAGTATATACGGAAAAGGATGGGGATAGTGACGATTTTTTGTATGTTATAGTAGATGATTTGACATGGATTGAACGTACAAAACTTTTAATATTTTCTGTGTTTCACATAAAAGTTTTAAACTTTAGTTCAATGTAAATTGCTGGCGAGGAACTCAAAGTTAGGATAGCCCATTATACTATACTTTTAAACAAGAAACTATTACAATAAAAAAAGTACAAAAAAGAATAAATATGAAAAGCGAATTCCAAAGCAACAAAATAAAAGGCATGACTTCGCAAATTATGCTGTAGAGAGACGCTAATAAGCATAGTTTATGCAATTCCGGACAATAAGTCCTGAAGAATCTATTGTCTTAATGGAATTCTGTTACCATAACAGCGCACATTTTTGCGATGATTTAGCAATCACAGGTCCTTGTTATTGCAAAGCCGATTAAAACTAAAAGATAATGTAATAGCATTGCTCGTGGACTCTGCCTTTTTCCAAACAATGTTTACAACAATATTAATAAGATTCCCAGAAAAATCAACACGATTCATGATGAATAAGATGGTTGTAGCTATGTTGCTTGATTTTATAGTATTTTATAATAATTTTTTCACAAAAAGTAAGGAAACATTCAATTTTAAAAGCCTAAAACACTACAAAAGACGACTTGTAAACACTAGCTTTATTATTGGCCAACAAAAGATGAAAAGTTGATCGTATCGGTCTAGACAAGATCTGACAATAAAAACCGAATCAAAGAACCTAAAACAGTGTCTAAAGTTTGGTGCGAACTCTGGGTCATTCCTAGGGACTTTTGCAGAATGGTGATTAAAAGGGCGTCAAGTTGTAATGCAGACGACACACGTCTACGATGATTAATCGCTACTTTATGTACGTTAAACTTACTGTGAGGAAATTCCGGCCTTAGTGGTTGTTCGAGCGTTTTGCTAAAGTTTTCAAAAAATAATGAATAACAAGAATGTGAAAAGTACGTTGTCAAGAGTTTATCAAAATGAAATGTTCCTTTATTTCGTAAAATAGTTACAAGTTTGGGAAAATACAAAAATTTCAAATTTTTTATACAATTGATTGTCTAAAATACAATATGCGAAATAAGGTAACATTAGAATCATAATTACCACAAAAAATAGTTTAAGCAGGAGCACCGGTGATATGTTCGGGTTCATGAACGATCTCCCCCTCCTCTTCGTAATGTCTGTCAGCAGTGACATCGTGCAGTTCTGTCGTGAACTCTGTAGCCTTTCCAATCGTAACTTCGAATCTGATTTCATTTTCGATTCCGGCTTCTAATTTTTGACCAACTTTAGCATAGTGAGGTTCTTTGGCAGGTCCACATAGGATGATGTCACCTTCTTCTAGTACAACATAGTTGGATATGAATTCGACCGTTTCTGCCACTGTAGATCGCATATCTTTGAGTGTGGCACGTTGGATCTCCTCACCGTCTAGGCGATTCCAAATCTAAAGTTTGGGTTTATTTGATAGTTAATTAGGTCAGTCACATCGTATTTAAAATGGCTTTTTAGTGTTATTGTGTAATATATGTAAGGTTGTTATTCATATATATATATGGAAAGTAAATAGTAAGTAGTTTACTTTACTGTTTCCAACTTACCACTTCAGCGTCCGGTTTTTTGATGGAATCGACCGGGATGACATCAGATATGGATACACTGCTGTCGAATTCGTTGACTAAGGCGAATGATTTGTCTTGGCATTCGTATTTTGATTCCCTGTAAAGCAGTTTTATGTTGGTATAGTAATTTTAAAACATTTACTGCTTTTGATGTTTCAAAAGCTTTTATTACTGTTTCTAAAACGATAACTGCCCTACCTGGTTGTAAAACTCAATACGATTACATATCCTGATATTTTATTGGGGAAATCTTCTTTTTTGTAACTTTCAATCTTTTCTCCGACGATAATACCAAATTGTACTTCAACAAGGAGACCAAGATGGCCTACTGGCACTTTGATTGGTTCTATTCCTGCGTGTAGGCTATAAAATAATGATTACAAGATATATGATGACATAATGTGGTTGGTTTATGAGGCACAAGTACTGGTTTGGTCATGCAATAACCAAAAAATTTAAAGAATAGTGAGGTTTTGAAAATAAGACATGATTTTGGCAACTTTTCGATAACATCGTTAACATATAACCTTTAAATATTGAAGTTGGCTAGCAGACTTACTTTTCCGGGCTTCTTCTGAACAGGACGGGCTTCTCGCCCAGCTTGATGTCGGTCTGGTTGAAATGGTCGAAATCCGGGAAATTATTCAAAATCCCGACGATATTTTGACATTTTTGTTTAACTTCTGCTCGAGTTAACAGCATGGTAAACAAGCGATATGACAGCGATGGAATAACCTCGGGAATGAGTTTTCGGTTTTTGGGTCTGATCACTAATCCCAACTTCGATTGCGGGAATTCAAATCACTCTTTTAAGTGTGTTCCTGGGCTCAACAACACAACTTATGAATATGGAAATGTTTGTAGGGCAAAACATGTTGAGGTAGGGTGGTTTGCCTTATGATGAGGGATTTCACGCAATTTACAGTGTAATGTATGGGGTTTGTGAACACTTGACTGAACTTGTAGTATTTCACCGCTATTTCATAGCTACTGAGCATAGTAATTCATACCTAATAAGCGTATTAACGCATGGCTACTAAACATACCTAGCTCACCAAACAACAACAACCAAACAAAACAAGTGCAATATTTAAATAGGTTTATTGTGAGTAATTCCGAAGAGTGTTTTGTAAACGGGCAAAACGGTGTTGAGAGAGTTGTGGCACCATCAGGAGTCCCATTGGCCGAACGGGTCACAGTAAGGCATCAAGTCGCGAAACGAGCAGCTGAACTGACAACAGAATTGCATCATTTCCGTTAGGCTGAGCGGTCGATAATCTCGTTTGGCTGAAAATAAGATCTTTGAGTCTTGAGAAGGGCGTCAGACGACGCTTTTAGCGTCATATTGGTTTATATACATCATGTTTTGGAATGGGGATAGGTTTGTATTTTTGGAGGAAATTAGATTGTTAGTGTACTTCCTGGTCTCACATTAGTTCGTTTACTGTCAGACATAGAAACTACAAGTGCAAAGGTATTATCCGACAAAGGATACCGTTTATTTTAGTTTTGATTCAAAGTACTTCGAACGTTTTAGTCTCAATTGAATTGCTAAAATCTAGCACTGAAAGTTCAAAAAATATAGTTTTTACAATATGGCCTAAAATTCATTTTTGTCAAGTTAGCCTCGGGCTTGTTAAATGTGTTTAGCTGCTTTTAATAGCATAAAAGTTCAAGTTGATCAAGAATTCCCCTCACCTCGGCTACCTTCCTGTTGTTGTGGCATCTCTTGTGGCGCGCTTCGTTTCCGTCGCATGCCGCAGGTCATTTGCCATGCACTGGTGAAGGCCTCGCCGCCCGGCGGACACATCTTTAACAACCCGACCCCTCTGGACTGTTGTGACATTCGATACAGGGTGTCGAGGTTGGGCAGGGCATGCGGTTCCGCGTCCACGCCCGAACTCAGCCATAACATCAGTGACAACAGCAGCGACACCACCCACAGCCGCGTTTCCGCGCCCGGTATTACAATTATGTCTCGCATACCCCTGAAAGTAAAAGTGTATGTTAAGTATGGTTAAACACGGTAGAATACGACGGTAATTGAGCGATAACAGAAAGAAATGTCACAAAATGTAATCAAATATTCAAAACATTCTTAAGAACACCTTGAGGATTACCAGAGTCCAGACTAAACATCCTCGGCAAAGAATGTAAATTTAGAAACTATACGCAAATACTCGGTTACAAAATATACTTTCAGTCACGTCAAGGACGATGACTACACAGTATTTAGGAAAACAAACGCATAATAAGACTACATGGTTGAGTACGTTGGTTATTGTTCTGCGAGCTCAAATTATGCAAATTTAAATATTTAGTGTGAGCAGAGTTAACACAGTAAAATGAAATATGTATGATGAGATTATTGTGATGCATGATAGAGTAACCAGACTATCTGTGGTATTTTATGTACGTACAAACTCATTTTGCAATTAAAAAATGCTTGGAAATTAAAATTTTGAAAAAAAAGAAATATAATATCAGAAATACATACGAAATAAAATATCATCAAACATAGCAACATAATAAAACACTATCACGTAAATAGAACACATACACAAAGTAAAAAACATGTTTCGACTCAAACTAATGAGTCGACAGCACGATACTCGAAATAAATCTTGTTACTGGACGTTAATCCGCGGCAGGAACAGTGGTATCATACCATGGTATCACGGTAAAGATTAGGAAGATTAGGTCTTGGTACTATCGAATGTTAAACTGTTATTTGAGTACCGTCTTTATGAGGTTTCAATCTAATGGGTCTAAGATACGTCAGAAATGGGCTTCAGACGGCTTTGGCAGGCTTTTTGCTTAAGGGTCATGAGGAAAATGTACTTTTAAAGTTTTTGAAATGTGAAAATCAAAAATACTTAGATTTATATATATTTAAAAAATTATATTAAAGTAGGTTAAGATATCAAAAAACATGATTTTACCTTACTTTACTATAAACCTACTAACAAAAAGATAGTAAAATGCCCAAAAGAAACCGCAGAGCAGCTTTTACCATAATAATGTAGTTACGCGCCTCCTAACCCCATATATAATTATGAAATAAATTTACTGAATATATAAATACGAAGGAGGAATTCGTAGTGTACTCGACTTACTAATCACAGTGTATATGGTTACGCGAGAACAAATAAATAATCGGACATAATCAATATTGTGCATGATTGAAAAGTAGCGCGAGCTCATTACTGTAAAGCTATCTGTTATATGGTAGAGGGAGTAGGAGTAACATATCCGTATAGAATAGTAAGACAGGATAACGTTGACGATCATAGAGTAAAGTAACGTTGTATGTATGTTTTATATATTAAGGTATGGAAAACATGTATCTATAGATGATTAAGAAGGAATAACGTATGGTGTTTACATGGTGAAGTATGATACTATGTTTGGTTAATGTAACAAAGTAAGGACCAAAAATCTTTTGTATATAATAGTTGGCACAGTAATTACATATCATGTATACATATATAAGCATGTTTATATATACGTTAGTTAAAAGCAACGACATCGACTAAACAACCAACATAACATAAATGCTTTGGAATAATGTAAGAAACATCACCTTGGTTTCTCGACAATATTACGCAGTAAAACAGATATCAACAATATTTGGCACATTATCCATAAACAATATTAAAGTAGGGAAGTCCACAAAGTATCAACAATGTCATCAAGAAGGAACAAATATTATTATCTAGTAGAAATGTTAACAATATTATGGAGTAAATTTACGCGGTATGTACGTAGTAAATTCTACATGATATGTATGGCAATGTAATCTACTGCTAAATAGTGGCAATGTAATCTACTACGTTTTAATAAACACCCGGATTTACTATAACATAACGTCTTACTATTATAGAAAAAGAAGCCGTTGTGGGCTCACAATGTAATCTCTTGAGGGTTGAAGGTATGGGCTTTAATCCTACAGTAAAGTTAAGGTTAAACAACTATTGGATTATATATAATAGAAAGTAACAAAAGGGTTTGGCATTTGAAACGTATAAATATAGTAAAAAAGTAACACAGTTAAACCTCCTTAATACGCCCTTGATATTACGACATCCTCTCTATAATGACGGCCTTTGGGATACCCTTTGTAAAGTTGGACCTAGCACGAGCGCACTCTTTGGGTCCCACAACGACAACGAGCAGCACTTGGCATTCCGCACCACGTACGTGGACAGCACGATAAAAGGAGAGGACGGTCAAGCAAGTGAACTGTCAGTAGTTGGTCAGCAGGCACGAGACAGTTGGGACGTCCGAAGGACGTCACACTTTATATCTGGGATCTTTATCGTTATCGGTTTATATTATATTATTGTTGAATGTATTGAGGAAGGTAAATATTATAACCTTATATTGTGGGCTTGTTATTGCTCTAGCTTATAACTGTAGGATCAACCTTAAGTGATCCGAATGTAATAGAACTCCTATCAAGTATTATCTGGGTAGTATGACACCTTGGTTATAATGGAACTTTAGTCTAGTTCTTTAAGAGTTTGACTTATAAAATTTAATTTTTAAATGGTAGCGAAAGTGTTTTTGACATTATTTTTGACAGTTCTTATTAGACCTCTCCCGCGGGACAATACATATTCTTATAACTTGTTCTGTCTATCCTAGTTTAGTATATCCATTATTCTAAACGAAATATTAGGTTGTTCAATAAATTCTGTGCTCCCTTTCAAAGAATTTTGCGATAGGAGGCGCAGAATTATATGAACGACCTGAAATAAAGCTAATAGGATCTCACCTAAACTTGTGCATTAGGAAGAAAGTGCAAAAAATCTTTTTTTTGAATTAAAAAAAATAAAAAATAAATTTAAAAATTGAGAACACGAACGTTTACTGCACAATTCCTACACCGGAAACAAAAGAATACCAACATACGATAAGTTACCACGCTGTGAGAACACGCTTAAAATAAACAAAGAAGGCAGTAAACGGTAGTATGATGTAACTCCGAATAAGGAAATAACATTAATTATAGACGAAGGCTCCAGTAGCCACAGTTCTCGATTTTGTAACACATAAAGGCGAACTCTGGTGCATAATGTTGTTTTAGGTAAATAAAGTTAATGGTATAATTATTGCGAGCAAAAACTACATTATGGTATCTATATTGGGTTAGGGGTTTTTGAAAAGTTAATGTCTTTTGTACTAATTATGGCCTAGGACACTTTTACCTAAAAAAGGGCTCGCTAGAACCGGGCTTTTCTACACGTCTAGGGTCACTGCTTCTTTAAATTGCGACAACCTAGGCCTTCATAACTATCAATGTCAATTATATAATACCAATTCTTTACCTAGACCTCAAAAATAATTACAACAATCTTCATAATTTACTAGCACAACTAAAATAATTAAGCCTACAAATCTCCTACACAGTAACATATTTTACATTTTCAGCTCTACTTGGCATATCCAAGATACTGGCTTCAGAGACAAAGGAGAAGATAATTGGAGGCAGATCAAACAGAAGAGGAAGGAATTACTTTACTATAGCCAAAACAAGAACATCCTCGGCGTCATGTGTAGGGCGAAGACATTTGTAATGCAAGCTGGAGTTATTAGGCATTATGTAAACTTAAAGTAACTTTTGAAAAGAAAAGTATGTTTGAAAACATTAAAATTTTTAAATTACATCAAAGCACTTGAATTACTGCAACATAAATGAATGATAAAGAAATTACTGGTTATAGGCAATCAACATAACTGCCAAAATCTATAATATACATAGCCATATCTTACTGAAAACCAGCATACAATGTGACAAAACACGTTGTAGAAGTATGTTTACCCCCTACCTTAAAATTGCAAACGTCAGTCTTTCAGGTTCGAAGTCACACCCACTGTATTTACATTGGTAACATATTAAAACATGCAAAACATGATCCGGAAACTTAACATAAAGAAGTACGGTCAGCACGGCACGCTGTCGTGCTCACGTTAAGCAAAAAGTTGTCTAAATTGACGGACAGAGTTCATTAGCAAATGAGTCTACAGTAAAGTGTCACTGCTTGTAGACAAATCTCTAGGACATTCCAAAATTAACTGTTTATTACGGGTTGGGGGCTCATTGGGTTAGATTATGACATGTTAGAACTTCAGTGCAAAACTTTAAAGTACATATAGGTAGTTAATGTGCCAATCTTTGACACTTTACACTATCTATAAAATACAGTAGAAGGCAGTACTGGACAGGGGTGATGAGAAGGGTAGACTTGAGGTGCGGGCCAGACATGAGCAAAATGAAGGTTGTAAGCAAGCACGGCCCGTTGCTCACACCTAAAGAAGAAGAAAGGCTATGCCAATAAGAAATACTACAAAGTGAAACATTGCCAACTTAATCTCTCACCTCCTCTCCCTCCCTCCTGACCGAGTTGATCCCAAATTTAAAGATTAAAATGATTATCTCACCATCTCGGGTTGTCACATTTAATGCGACGTTTTTTCGGCCGAACCCACATCCGGCTACAAAATTAAGGAACGATTGAGACGTGAGAAGTCTTTTGAAACTGTTTCCGTCAAGAAAAAGTGTGCCAAGAGATCCGACATGGGCTACTGTAACGTACTTTTATCAAGTTTGCATAACAGAATAACCAACAGCTACAGAACAGAATGACATTTGTAGGTTTGGAAGTAACTGAGTATGTGGTACTTGATGTTAATAACTTGCAAAATTTATTGTAGTGTCATTTTGTATTTGAAAATTGGAAGTTTTTTGCTGTTAATATCATACTATATTTTACTATATAACGTGTAAATACCTATATAAGTTGTAAATTGATCTTCAAAATTTAAAAATCTATGATAGGTTATATGTATATGAAATAACGTTTATTAAAAGTAAAATACGTTGCCAATCCATATTTATATAACGAAATATACTTGTCAGTGGTACAATAATCTACATATAACTATATCATATCAATTTAATAACTAGTATATATATTATACTTTAAGTAAACTTAAAAGTCAAGCAAATTCCATCAGTGATAGTCAATGTAGCCTTGCTATTCGGTTTGATTCTTACCGTGTTGAACGTAGGCACAGTAAACTCTTCGCTACCGTATTTCAGAGTTCCTTGTCCTCGTTCAAACAATAGTAAAAGCTCAGTATTACCACTGTCTAGGTTGTGTTCTCCTTTACCTAACAATACAGTACTCGTACTGGTCGATTGTTCTTTGAAAAGTACAACTGAAGAAGCGCTGAAATAACATATAATATATTATAATATACTAATTTTTTTGTAAAATGCATTTTGTAAAATAAGTTTTTTGAAGAAATATTGATGAGAAAAGTTTTTTTACAGAGTAAACCTTATTAGTTACATTTACAAAGTCCAAAAGGTCATTGTAACATTAGACATGTGCGCAGTTTGTCAACTGTTTACTGAATAAGTCAAAAATAGAGTTGGGGGTGTAACCGAGTGATGCCAACTACCACATTTCAATACATGTTTCTAGATTGACACTAAATTGTTTTGACCCTAGTTTCATTACTAATATAAAATAAAGCATTTGTAACTCTTAAAATTTTCAAAAATATAATTAAAATTTAAAAAAACCACTTTTTTAGCCTGCTCCTACACTTTTAATAAATAAATTGCTTGTTTTCTGGTATATGATAAGTGCTGTCAACTCACTTGATCTTGTCAATATTTTCATTAATAAACTTGGATAGTGTTATAGGTTCTACCAGCTCTACTTTACTGGGCTTAAACGCTGCTTTCGTTGTAAAACTACTGTCCCCTGGAGTGTTTGTAAACTTTTCTTGACTTTCGTTGAATTCTTTGATTACTGGAGGTAGATCTTTGACCACATCGTTCAGATGAAACCACCGCTCCCATAAAGGCGTGGGGATGGGCTTACCTTTTACGAAGTATCTGTATAATATAACAATTTTTCTGTGTTTTATTGTAAGAAACGTTTTTGAAAAACAATAATATACTGTAAAATACGTAATTTTAATCTTATTTTTTATTATTTCTGTGTAGAACGATGATTATATGACTCAGCTTACCTAACACAATCAAATTCATCTTGTTTCCTTTCACGTTCAACAACACATCCCAACGTGCCTTCAAAACGTTGTGGAGAGTGTTGTACACGTGCTGGCAACAAAAACACCTGACCTTCTTTGATACGCACATCCTTGGGAACTCCGTCTTCTATTACTTTCAAAACCATATCACCTTTTATTTGATAAAACAGCTGAAAAACAAGATAACAAGTACAAACGTTGATATAAAATTAAATCGTTTTATTAAACTTATAAGCACACCATAAGTAGTGCAATTAAGTAATGAGATAAGTTAGGGTAATGTAACATCTAATAGGAACATGACTTACTTCTTCACCTTCCTCAATATGATAATCATCACGACTGTTTGGTCCACCAACAAAAAAGACTTTTAAAAAGTCGGAAAACCTTCAAAAAAATTGTAAAAGTACAGTAATCTTACATGCATTTGTTACAGACAGGAGGCACAAAGCCTTTTTTGTTCGTGGCCACCCAACTGTTGGTATCTACAACAACCACAGCTTCATCCCCACTCTTCTGAACATCCATTTTCTATGACAACAAACAAATTCACCGATAAAAGGTTTATATATCATGATTGCCACTTATCATCAATCATCTATCACGATGGCTGTAAAGTCGTTAAGAATGTGACATTCCGTTTTACATTGTGACACTTCGCTTTCTTGGGACACTTCGTCTCAGTTTGTGACACTTCGTCTTTTTCTTAAAAGAGATTTTTTCTCATTTTTATTTCGAGAATTTTGTAATTTGCCTTCATTTGTCATTCACCACAAAATGTCGGACGAGCAGAAGCAAGTCGAGTCTAACTCTCAAGCTCAGGTACCCGAGGATGCCGCGCTTGAAGCAGCTCCAGAAATCCCAGAAACCAGCCAGGCAGAGAGGACATTGGCACAACAAGTGGCTGAAGATGAATATCTGATGTACCAACAGAGTTGTAAGCAATATCAGGATATTGAGGATGAGGTAAGTTACTTTTGTTGAGTCTACTACAATATCTTTGTATTTTATGATTCTTGACCAAATTAATTTTAAACGTTACAGATTAGGAAAACACAGATGTTATGCGCCCCTAAAGAGACGATATCTGATCTAATCGAAAGTTACGATCCAGTAACTTCACCTAAATACCGGGCACGAGCTACTGTAAGTTGTGATATTGGTGTATATTATGTTTTTAGGATCTGTCAGAAAAGTACTCGCATCTGAGGAGGATTCGTGGTGACGGGAACTGCTTCTACAGAGCAGTTCTTACTGCATTAGCAGAAAAGATGTTTTACGACCATGAATTGTTGAAAAAGTGAGTTGTAATGTTATGTTAGGTTACTTTGATGTTTAGATTCACCGAACGCACAAAGGAATGGCGAGGAAGGTTGATTAGACATGGATTTCCTGAATTGACTACTGGCGATTTTTGTGATGCTGTAAGTTGTTTTTGTTATGCTTTATATTATTTAATTCAGGTTTTAAGTTTTTTGTCATTGATGTTGTACAAGGTTTAAGGAAACCGTTTTTGTAGAATACAAGATTAAATTCCTATATTTTTATTGTTTGCAGATCGAAGGTTTGATACGTACCGCCGAGCTAGGAAACGAAAGTTTCTTGAACGACGATCTTAACAACGACTCTGTAGCCAACTATTACGTAGCGTATCTTCGGTATGTTAACTATTATTTGTTTTAAATATTCATTTTTAGATTAGTAGCGTCTGGGCACCTCCGTGAGAATGAACCACTATATAGTGGTTTTATCGAAGGCAGCAGGTCGTTGGATCAGTACTGTAAAGATGAAATAGAACCAATGTGGAAGGAAGCTGACCATATTGCCATAATTGCTCTAGTCAACGCATTAGGTAAGCATTTGATGGATTTTTCTATAACCATACTGTAATTACTAACTTTTTTTAAAATTACGTAGAATTTAATTTCTTACTCCTCATGTGTCGCTAAGAATTCTTTTTCACCCAAATAGTACCATGATTAAGCTTAATATTTCTTGTTTTAATTTCAGAAATCAAAATTCAAATCGAGTACATGGACCAGAATGCAGATGGAGGAATGACCTACATCGTTCCCGATGGCTGCACTCCTCAACTGTTCTTCCTATACCGCCCTGGTCATTATGATGTTTTATATCCGAAATAGATTCAATAACGCTGCTCAGAAAGGATTTAATTAATATTAAATAACCGGTACTCGCACCTTACTACCGTTACAGTTTTAAAATTCCAATGTTTGTCAAATAAAGTTATTATAACCATTTTTCGTATGTGCTTCTCTGTTTTACGAATGTAATGCTTCCACGTTTCTATAAATCATTTTTAAAATAAAAGTATCTAAGCAAAACGATAAAATTATAAAACCGGTATATATGGTACCTTCACTTTACTTTCGTGTGTGCATTGTGAAGGTACATGTATAAAATTCACTGCTAAAATATTTTGCGTGAAGCCGAACGCCAGGCAAAAGATGGGTTTCGACACGAAAACAAGCGTTGCTAAACCTACTGTACGAGAAATCCCTTTCGGTTATATTTTTCGAATTCTTTCTTTTTTTCAATTGAAATGTTTTAATTTTGTCGTATTTTATACCGAATTTTCGTTTTAAAATTTTCGTGATATTAATTTATATATTGTACATATTGTTTTTTATTTTTTTGATGGTTTCCAGGTTAGAAATGCCGCGTCAAATTACTGACATCAAGGAGTTCTTGCTCACCGCCCGCAGAAAGGATGCCAAGTCCGTCAAGATCAAGAAGAACTCTGAGAACGTCAAATTCAAGATCAGATGCAGCAAATACTTGTACACCCTTGTAGTAGGAGTAAGTTGATTTCTTTTTTTCTTGATTTTAGGTACTTATATGCGGATGAGAATGGTTTTTTTAAATATGAATATTGGAATTTAGTTGACATTTATGGGTTTATTTTTAGTGTAATTTGAAAACAGTATTATAGACTTATAAAGGTTTTCTATTTTGTTTCTGATTGAAGAGCTGGGGTTTTGTGAACTTCTAAATTAATAAAGTTGGCAAGAATTAACCTTTATTTACGCATTTTTAACGCTTGATGTTGTTTTAGAAAATTAGTACAGTTTTTCAACTGTGTAATGCTGTAGCTAGATGATATTTCAAACTTTTATTCTTATTTTATCTCTTTTCAGGACGTGACCAAGGCCGAAAAGCTGAAGCAATCCCTCCCACCAGGTCTCCAAGTTAAGGAACTCAAATAAGTGGCCTCCGTTTTTTCTTTGTTGTGTTATTAAAAACCTTTATTAAAATTTGTTTTTACAAGATATTTGACAGTTTATCAATACAAAATTTTTACTTAAGGATTTAGGTTATAGTGCTAATGAGCAGGGGGGGGGGGGAGTGAGTTAGTGTGCATGGATCAAAATCGTAGCTTTTTCTTCACAATTATAAAGTATCAACTTATTTATAACAATTATTTCTCTGTTTTGATCAAAATAACTTTATCTTTCAAAATATCCGTAAAAATAACAATATTCTAAAAATACTATGAATCAATTGTGATAATTGAAGGCTTGAGTGGTATAAAGAAAGTGATAATCAGCCACATGGTTCCACTTTCATCCAAGGACACTTGTGATTGGGAGTACCACAAGGGGAATGTCCAATGGCACAGTACCAATCGTGGTAGAAGAATAGGAAAGCTGTTGTGAAGAGTAAACTCATGTAGAAGCTGAGAGATAGCAGTTCTAGACGTCGTATGACGGTTTGCCACTTTGAGTGTAGGTCGTTTTGAGGCGTTAGAGCTAACATGTCACCTCTGAAATAAAAAAATGTTTAGATTTGTGTAGGTGAAAAACATATAAGATTACTGTGGAATGTTATAACTCATTTTTATGCGAAAAATTATCAATTTAATTGTATATTTATAAGTGCTTACTTTATGCCAGTGACAGACTTTTCGATCCGATGAAGCAGTCCACTCAAATCTTCGATTTGTTGACCAAAGTACTGGTATAGTAACATGTTGTCATAGTGAGCCAAGCTGAGGCGTTTCCTCAGCTGTCTTCTCAATGGTGGACTAGGTTCTTCTTGCTGAAACAACGTTTAATATTCAATATATTTTAATAGGTTATTTAGATTTAAAATATTAAAAACCTACAGCTCCAGGATTGAATATTGTGTGTTGATATCCATCTACAGTTTCATCTACAACGGCTTGAGCTTGTTGTCTTTCGTTATCGTTTTCGTGAGGTACTAACTTGAGGATGGACATAGCCATTCCTTGAGTATATTGTTGTTTGTTTCTGGAGCGAGGACCGTTTCCCTCGCCGACAAATCCGTTCAAATGTCTGTGGGGTCCAGCACTTGATTGTGATAACAAGGCGTCCTGTAAGATAATAGTTATTATTGTAAAAATAATAGAATTGTAAAAGTAATGTAAAATGTTTTTTAATATTACTCACCGTAGTTTCTGGTTCTAGGGTTGTATCTTCGTAATTGTAAGCTCGTCTAAAAGAAAAAATATCATTTTTGAAAAATTAAGTCATTTGTCATCAATTTAAAAAAAATTAATGTATTTACCTGAAGGTACTTCGTCGTATGTCATATGATAACCATCTGAGATACCATGGTATTCTTCTTTTTGTCCGAAAGTCTCGTTCCAAAAATACAAACATTGATGTTGTCATTGTTGAAAGACCCACAATTACCAGTAGCATAAAGTAGTAAAGACCTAAAATTTTAATTTTTCAACTTCTTGTGACTATAATAGTAAATGCTATTAAAACTGGAGCTAACATCACTGTTCCACTTTAAAATACCTAAAAGATAACAATAATAAAAGTGATCTTACCTATCAACGGAACTCCACTGAAAGACCCTCGAGCTTTTCGACTTCCAGACATACTGAACTTGGGCATGTCTTCTACAATAGCTACTACGATGGTTGACATTGACATGAGTGTCATGATTCCTAATCTGAACTTGGCGTCTCTTACACGCGCTGACGTCGATGGAGTGTGGAAGCCGACAACGGCGACTACAGCGATGATTCCACTAGGAATCACCAGGTTGAACACTGAAAATCAATGGTAATAAGGGCAGGAAGTAATATCTGTAGCTACCATAGTAAACTTAAAAATGGACAAAAAAGATTTTATTTGAGTTTAGAATATCAAAATCATCATGTTGCCTTTTGACCTATATTACAGTAAAATTGACTTACCATAGTAAAAACTTTGTCGTCCAACAACTAACTCAACTATGATCATCTCCCAAAACAGAGGAGGATCCAGATAATCGTATAAAAAAGCTTGAGCGGTGATATGACTTCGGCTCTGAAAAACATGACATTTCAAAACAGTTATTCAAAAAGACGGTAAAGTTAAGGTAACCTTTATACTATACTTCTAAAGGTGCTCAGCTTACCATATCCAATTGCCATTCTTGATTGTCGTAAAAGTCAATAAGTGAAAGATTCTGAGAATACAACGCAAACTTGATCGAATCGTTGGAATGGGCCCACGATCCGAACATCAGCGTGCATTGTTGGCTAAAACAAGACATATATAGGCTAGTTTTCTTATAACAACATCACAACAAAAGGTGGTGTTTTAGTCAACATACGACTTTACAAATAAAATTTTCTTTTCTTGATAATTATAGTGCAATTCTTGACGTAGTAAACAATATACTTCAATATAGTCCAGATTATTTTGAACTATACCAAATACTTTATTTAGTACATTCCATCAAAACTTACATATCAAATGGAAAGAACTTGACATCGACCGATGAACATAGAGATTCTGTAGAGAAGGGAAGGTACCAGCGAACATGACCCGTATAGTTAACCCTGGCATCGTTGTTACTGAGTAGTTTGACGGCACTGTTAAAGTTTAGACTGTAGTAGAGACTGAGTTCGGGGAGCCAAATATCGGACGACGGTAGGAAGACTTCTGTAGCGCCTTCGTAATTGGCCGGATTCCATTGGAGCCAGCTGTCGTGCCAATACTGAAATGCAAAATTATAGTAAAAGATGTATAAGCTTGTGTAGATTTAGTAGGAAGCTAATTAATTAGCTAGCAAATTCATATTTCAAAATTTTGGAAAAAAATTTTAAGTTATAGCCTTAGGGGTTTTTAAATCAAGGCTAAATTTCTAAAATTAAACTTGAATTTCCATGTTCATCTTTACGGATCAAAAAAGACATCGTTAACCTTTACTCAGAAATGTGTTTGTTTACAAAGAAATTACAGCGCGTCGATTAATCACTTTTTACATTAGTAACGAGTAGAAACTTTACTAATACATATTGTAAAGCAGTACAGAGTAGTGTCTTTACTTTACTAACTATTTTAAAATATATTCTGGTTTGGTTGTTGGTAGAAGCAAAACTTGAGGTAACTATTGTAAAGAAATTAGCGAAACAAAGCCCAAGAAAGGTTGAAGACCGTGACCACAAGAGCTAATAATAATCACCGTTCCGAGCTTTTGTAAGTCACAATATCCATTTCTTGACGTTTTTATAAATTAATTTTTGAGATTTATGAGAGGTTTTTAAGCTTAGTTTTTTTTTCGAAATTTTGCACTTTTGGCGGACTTAAAATTACATTTTTTTGGTCTATAATTCAACCTGGCTCTCGTAATTTTCTTCAAAACTATTTAGGTTGTCCGGAAAGTTCTGCAATATTTGAGTAGGTAAACTTTGAAAAATCAGGAAAAATTTATTTCTTGACGGAAAGAAAAAATTCTTTTTTTGTTTGTTTGTTTGTTACCTAAATTATTCAAAAAGGTAAGTTACATAACTTAATTTCATTTTTTTGTATTGTTTTAGGTATTAGAAAAAAATGGAGAAATCTCGCCTGCGCGTGATTATATGGAATGAATTCAAACGCGGAAATACTGCGGCAGAAACCTTCAGAATCATAAACGAAAATGAGAGTAAGAATGTTGTGAGTTATTCTACGGTGACCAGATGGTTCGCAAAGTTTCGTGTGGACGATGAGAAGCTTGAAGACAAACCACGTGCAGGAAGACCCAGCAAACTTGACAAAGATGCCCTGAGGCGCAAGATTGAAGATGACCCACATATTACAATCCGGGAGTTAGAAGAGTTACTAAACTGTGGAAAAAGTACCATTGGTGATCATTTCAAGGCAATGGGTATGGTCAAAAAGTTGGACAAATGGGTGCCTCACAATTTGACTGATCTGCAAAAAGCCAAGAGACGATGTGCTTCCGAAAAGCTTCTGCAACGCTGCAAAAACGAAGAATTCTTGGATCGAATTGTAACTATTGACGAGAAGTTGATCTCGTTTAACAATACTAGAAGATCTACAAGTTGGTGTAAGCGTGGAGAAGCTCCTAAGCACGTTCCGAAGCCAGAATTGCACGAAAAGAAGCTTATGGTGACTGTCTGGTGGTGTAGCTCTGGAGTGATCCAGTACGATTTCATGAAACCTGGCCAAAGTATTACGGCCGACACCTACTGTGCCCAGATTGACAAACTGCGACACAATCTTCCAACAATGGTCAGAAGGAGGGGTCCGATCATTCTGCAGGATAACGCACGGCCCCATGCTGCAAAGAAGACCGTGGCAAAATTCAGGGAACTGAGATACGAAGTCTTGGAGCACCTCCTTATTCTCCAAACTTGGCTCCAACGGACTTTCATCTTTTTAAACACTTGTCTTCGTTTCTTAATGGAAGAATCTTCAAAACTCCAGACGATGCCAAGAATGCCTTCAAGAACTTCATCAACTCCAGAAACCCGGAATTCTACAATCGTGGAATAAAAAAGCTTGTAAATCGTTGGCAAGACTGTATTGATTCAGACGGTAATTACTTTGATTGATTGTAGTTGTTAATTATATTGTTATTATTGTTAGTTCAAAAGTGAATAAATATTGCAGAACTTTCAGGACAACCTAATATAATCAGGGCCGGGCGCGAGGGGGGGAGGGACGGGGGGGGGGGACCCCCCCCCCTCCCCCAGAAAAAAAATTTTTCGAAAAAATTTGAACGTGGTCCCCCCTGTGGATTTTTGGAAAAAAATTTTCGCAAAAAATCGGCACAGGTAGCTCCTGTGCCGATTTTTTGGACCCCTGCCCCCAGACCAAAAGTCCCCGCCCGGCCCTGACTATAATAGTTAGGCTTAAGCGCTAGGTTTAGTGACAAAGTAATTTGCATACAAAAAAGATTAAAATCAAACTCTGAAAAATAGTTACTTTTTCAGCTTTTTGTAATGAAACTGTTACTATTGGTTGAACCAAAAGTAGCGAGACACTTTGTAGTTGAAAAATAAATGAAAGTGTCCCGATGCTTTTGCTTCAACATAGTAATACTGACCCCTATTTCTAAAGTTAACCCAAAATTTGAAAGTTCATTACTGCAAAATTCTTTACTTTTTACCATTTTAAACCTTACAAAACCGTTTTGAACTTCCGCTTTAAACTGCAACTTTATGGCCACGAACAACGCGTAGCAGTAAATCACGTTAAACGTGAATTGCGTGGGCTTTGATACTTTTTAAACAAAAAAAAAACAACTTTCAGCGATCGAAATGAATTGAATTAGTTGACCTTGTTCAACGATGCGCCTTCTGTTGCTGATTCTCATCGTGGGGTTGGGGTTTGGCCAAGAAAGGACTGGTAAGATTTAAAAATATTGTTATAGACGTTTGCTTTTAGCATTTTACTACCAAAAATACTTTTAAAATCTGCGTTTCAGCATAATATGCTTGATTTTAAATATTTTCAAAATTTTTTCGAAATTTCAAATTTCTGTTGCAGCCATTTGTCTTGGGTAACATGACCTTTAACTCGGAATTGAATTAGTCTCGGAAATGTCCATAAAATCGGGCAAATAAAATATGTATAATATTTCCCCAGACTTGGCCCCAAAACTTTTGCATTTCCGAGGGTTTTTCCGAATTCCCTGAGGCGTTTCTGACATCATGACAGCGCCGCACAGATCCCATTGTTCATGACATCCATGTTCATCTACTGCGTCATTACTGTACAAAAAACAATGACCAGACTATTTCCAGAAAAGCGAGAGATAGGGGGAATAGAGAGAGTGACAGAACAAGAGATTAAAGGGATTGAGAGAGTGTCAGAGAAAAGAGCATATTACACTTTAAAATAGAAAGTCATTGATGTGACTTTAAACTGATTATGAGACAATTCAGTTATGTTAGAGAGCAGAAAGGACATAACAAGAAAGGCATATAACTAAAATTGGATTTTTTTGAAATTTTAAAAATTTGTGAACTGTAAATGCCTAAAAGTAAAATAATTTTGGAAAAAATTTAAAAAAACGGCTAATTCTTTCAGTACTACACAACTGTAACCCAACTGTACCAAACACGTGTGGCACAGCACCAGGAAGATGCTTGGTTCTTGGTACTGGCAATAGATGTAGGTGTGGGCATGGTAGAATGGGCATCGGGTGTCAAAGTAAGTACAACATTTACATTAACATAAACATATACGCTTATTTTACCGTGATTTTTTAATTTTGTTTTACAAAAACTGTTTTTACTATTATGTGTTGAAACATATCTTCATCTTGATATGCTACATAAATTGCTATTGTAATGTGGCTACTATAATATACTAAAGATAAGAAAATTCAAAAAATATGAACGTGAAGTATATGTTTAGGACCATGCCAAGACGTGTACAGATCATGTGGAAGATGGAAGGAAGAAGGTAGATGCGAATGGGGCAGCTTCATATTACCCTTCTTCGAAGACAACTGTGCCAAATCTTGCGGTGTTTGTAGCAATGATGGCAGAGGTAAATAGACGTTATTACGTTAACTATATGATTTTAAAAGCATAATTTACGTTTGATGAAGAATTGTTACCTAATGTTTGTCTTTTGCTCATATTTTTCATGTCTAATTGATCTTATTTACCAGTCATAATATTTTAGTGCTCGCCAAAGCCCTGCCAGTTGGTCTAGAGCCTTTGTCATGGCTAGTTGGACGATGGGAGACTAAAGCCAGTAACAATCTTCGTTTCCCAACATCAATGGTGTCTCACCATGGTTACCACGAAGTGCTAGATATTCAACTGAACGAGGTCAACATGTTCGATCGACCGACTTTGAACATAAGGTAAGTCCAGTAGTTATTCTTTATCTATAAAACACAAAAAGATCCTTTTGAAAATTGGCCGTTGTATAAAATGACAATTTTTATCATATCTTTTGTCTAAACGTCCATAGAACGCCCATCTTTGTAAAATAGTTAGTTGCACTAGTTTTCCTCTTACCTACCCCACCCTGCCCCGTGTTTTCCGCAACATAACCGTAGATCAGGCTAATTGCCGTAGTCATTCTCGGTTAATGTGTCCTTTTCCGGTCGTATTTGGGTCGTTTTACGGGCATGTCATAAATCATCACGTTTCGTTTGAGAGCACTTGAAGTTCGAAAAGTTGCGGCCGAAACATTGGGCTTCATATCATCGTGAAGCAATTATGTCATGACGCGGATTTGTTTTGCGTTTTAAATTTACTCAAAAATAACGGCCTCCGGGGACATAACAAAGTCATAACACGGCTCTGGTTGTTGGTAGAATGGAGGAAAAGTGAATCAAGTACTATCGAATGGAACAGAGTTTAGAGCTGTCATAAATTAAAGCTCGAATTATGAGTATGTCAACTCAAAAAAGTAAAACATATAATTTTAAAGTACGTTAAAAATTCTTGTCGCTTCCTACCATGAAAAACATTGCAAAATAACGCCAAAACTTTTGTGACTAGTACCAAACATCCATCACAGTATCTAAATTCTAGTGTCAAGGCCAAGTCCCCCTTCGAAGAACACAATGAGCTCGGTTTCGTCACCATGAAGCCGGCCAAAGAGGACACCGGCTTCGCCAAAACTCGCGAAGATCTTCAACAACGTCGCGACCTTGTAGCCATCGAAATGACTTCAAACACAGGTGTGGCTACAATCGAGGAGGGAATCTTGGCCCCATTCCAACTGGTGCTTCATGTCACTCACAAAGTGGCATTAGACTTGGCCGATCCCGGCTTCGTCACCGTAAGTGTCTGATTGAGCCAATTACAATATAAACAAGGCCATAGACAACGAGCAGTGGTCTTTATCTAGATAAACTATACTTGGTCTTGACTTATTATAGTATCACTCTTGGTATGATTCATTATATTAGGTGCCGGCAAAAGTTTTTCCACGATTTTTGTTTTTACCAAAATTTAATATTTAAAAAAAAGAACATCAACTAATGAACAAATATATGTACCGTTATTATCAACGACCTGTTGCCATTCCTTCGGCAGCATTTGGATTCAACTTCTATAGAAACCTGGAGTTTGAGAACTGAAAAAGTTAGCCCATCACCTCTTGAGGTACTCTCGATTGTTAAAGTGTGTTGCGTTCAGGTGGTTTTGAAGAGAGTGGAACATATTATAATCTGTAGGCACAACATCAGTTGAGTACAGTGCATATAGCATCACAGCCCAGCCGAAGCTTTTCAGCTTGTGGTGGGTCAACTTTGTCACATAGGCGCGAGCAGTATCATGAATGAAGAAGGTTCTATCCTGTTCACCATGCAATGCCGCCGCAACAGATTTAATTTGTCTACAGTAGACAACTACAGGAATCGTAGTTCCATGTGGTACCATTTCCTAGTACAATACCTGTTGAGTTCCAGCTAACTTATCTGATCATCTCCTCCAGTGGCCACTGCAGCGGTTGTAGATCAGGTTTTGGAGTTGATACACTCTGTTCTCTACGTCCACGCCATTGTTTCTTCCTGGTGTGATTAACATACAGTACCCACTTCTCATCCCCAGTAACCAAATTGCCAAGCCATGCAAAGGTCCTTGGGAACATCAACAAATAAGTGCAACTTCCACTTAGCGTTTCAGCTGGCCGCTGTTCAAATCATGTGGAACCCCTTGACCATATTTCCATGATCTTCTAAAGGGCGTGAAGTCTAGTTAATATGGTAGAAGGATCACACTGAAGCTCTACAGTCAAATGAGTACAGGTTTGTCTGGGGTCTTCTTCAATCAGCTTCAGAAAGTGGGGTTTCTTCAACGCTGATGGTCTACCATATCGAACTTTTCGGACAGGTCAAAGTCACCGTTTTTGAACTTGTGGAACCAAACTTTTGTGGTGTCGTAAGAGACAACTGAAGGTCCTACAGCACTGCATATTTCCTTCGTCGCTCTTGTTGCGTTGCCGGGATTGCGGAATTTGAGAAGCAACACTGCCCAAACATGGTCATGTTTCACCTTGATTTCCTGAACCATCGTAAACAACAGAATGCTTGAACATGCAATAGTTTTTAGTCCTTGGACAACTCTTTATATAGGTTATCAACAGAAACTTCTAGAACTGTCTATAATTTTTTGGTAAATTTTTGAAAAATTGTGGAAAAACTTTTGCCGGCACCTAATATTATGTTACACTTGGCCTTGGAGGATTTAAGACAACATTACCGAGTTTTGACATATTGTAGTAGACATTGGCTTTGATACGTTATAGATCATTTTTAATTAGTTTCTTTGAAAAAAGAAGAATTCTAGTAATAGAACGATTAAAAAACGCTTAAAATTTGCATCTTCCTTTAGGCCCGTCGCCGCTTCATCCAACGTGCTCGCGGCACGCTGGACGAGATGGTCGTGATCCAAGACTCGCGAGGTCAGATGCGCACCTTCGTGAAGCGATTCCGGAAGACCTTCGACTATCTGAGAGACTTCAGACGAACGGTCGACAACGACCTCGGACTGCGAGATGACTGACAAACATGTAAATGAATAATAGTAATAAGATTCATAAAAGACAAAAGCTCTTCCCATTTAGTCCCTCGGGGTATGAAAATAAAATCTGCGGATTTTTTGTTTGAACCGACAAGAAAGTAAAGCCGGAACAGTTTGCGACAACAAAAAACAAGCAGAGTAAAACAGATATGGGTTGTCATAGATGATAGTTAGAGAGAGACAGTAAAAGTTTTAAAGAAATTGCTTATCAGTTGATCGGCTACAAATTCCAAAGTTCCTACTGACTTATTTTACGTACCAAAATTGATCGAAAAATCACAATTTTAAGTCATTTAAACCCAAAAAACCCGAAATTTTAGACCATTTTGCCCTTCCGAAACCAAAATTTTACAAAAAATTAAAAACTCACAATAATAATGCCAAAAATAAATAAAATTACCCAAAATTAAAAAAAAACTCACCAATTCAAAGCTCCCTGATAAGCTGATTGTGTTCTTTACAGCGTCCTGAAATTACCATTAAGTTAGTTACGTATCTTGTCGAAAAATGGAGTCATTACTATTTATGAGCTGCTAAGAGAGCATATAACTCACGGCTAGTCTACTGCTAATGCCCCAAAAGGTCAGGAAATGCAAAAATGACTTTAAGATTTATATTCATTTGTATTATAATACATGTCACCAACTTTTGAATTTGAAATTTGTCACAAAATAAAAAAATAAATAAAACTGCAGTTAACTGCTTATTTTCACATATTTTCGATCATATTGTATTAAAATTGAAAAAAATTGAAAACCAATATATCTTCTGAACTAAAAATAGATTTTTATGTAAATTATGACATTTTTTGTCAAAAATATTGAAATAATGGCGTAATTTGTCGCCAAATACCAATTTGCAAAAACAATGTGTTTACTATGGAAACGAAAGTAAAATTCGATCTAAATTCCCATCAAATTACCTGGGAATTAGGGGAACATACTCACGTGGTCAACGTTTTTGACATAAAAACGAATAATTTGAAAATTAAATTTTTCAAAATATGATATCAAAGTTTTTTAAAAAATTGAATAAAATCCCTTAAAAAGTAAAAAAACGTAACAATATTTACAAGAAAATATACCAAAAACAAGACCTACCAACTTGAATATCTGATACAAGAACGCTGACATGGAAACGTTGACAATCTCACTCGGATGTTTGACCGGTCGGGCTCCTTTGTTGTAGTTCCGTAGCAGATCGTCGTGTAGCCGGTAGTTGACCGGAACTTCCTTCCTTCTACTCGCCCTGTAGCCTTCGTTGGCGTTCCCATCGTACACGTAGCGTCCCGAACTCCGTCGTCCTCTGTAGACAACTTCACCTTCTTCCTCCTCATCTTCGTCCTCCAACCACACCACTTTCCGTCGACGTTTTGGCCGATGACTGTGAGTTGGTTGGGAGGAGGAGTTGGGTGTTGTTTTAGACAAGGATTGGGATGTAGGTAATGGTTGAGTTGTGGTAGATGTAGAGGATTCTTCGGCTAACGATGTGAGGAGAAGAGAAAACAAAAAGAGGACAAGTTGTAGTAGAAAGAGGCGTTTTGTGATTGAGAGGACGGTCCGACGGCCCCGGATGAACGAGTTCATCGATCCATGGACCTAAAACAACATGATTTTAAATTCAATTTAAATGTTCCACGTGCGATATTTACGAAATGATAAAAAACGGCGTCTACAATTTATTAAGATTCATTTTCTTAAATATCACGATAACATAAAATAATGTTATTGCAAAAACAAAAAAAAACATAAAATATCAAATAGTCATCAAAAACGAAATCTCAAAAAAATTATGTAAAAAAATAAAAATCCTAACAATCCTAAAGCAAAAGCCAGCCCAATCCCCAAAAAATCAAAAACCCATGCCCGCACCCAACCCCATAACTCGCCCATTCAAAAAAACAAACAGCGATGACAATTCAGTATAATATGGTTTTTGTTCCCGTAGGCATGATTTGCGTAAATGAAATTGCAGAACGAAGAAACGAGGACAAAGGCCAACCAGAAATTGGAATCGATCTCTCCGGGAGGGAGAATTCCGGCGACGCCCTGCTGAGCCCTTAGGGGGCATAGAGCCAGGGAGAGCGGCGGCTTCGGGATTCCGCAAGAAATTGGAAGATTCCGATGGTCAGAAGGCGGCACACGGGCCCTTAGGAGAGGAGGGCGGGTCTGTCGGGGCCAATGACGCCGGGCGCCCCCAATCCAACACGTCCAGCCGGCTGGCTGGTAGTGCGATTAGTAGACTGAGAGGAGTTCTGGTGGGTAGACTAGATTTGGCTAAGGATAGGGTAGCCACAGCCGGGTTATTAAAGGTGTAGCTAACTAGTTTTAACCCTAGTTTATAAATCATTCAAAATTTTTGAAAGTAAGATATTATAATAGGTTAACATTGGCTTACTGTCTTCTTTCTGTTGGGTACGTTTCTCTAATTCCAAAAAAACCAAAAGACATTTACATGTTTTTAAAAACAGTAAATTGACCTTTTACATCGCCTCTCTTACAGAGTTTATTCAGAAGTGTTATGAAAGTAGCTTCTTATAATTTAGCCATTTTGAGAGCTTAAAAAGTAACATTTTGCCATCTTCAAGTCTGGTTTTTTTTATACTTTTTCAGTTTTAAAACTCCGTATACCTTTGTTAAGTCATGATAAGCCTAAAATATGTTATACTTCCCTCCAAATAAATTCTTACGAGCCCATTATCAATATCTTTATTACCCATACCCTTAACGTTATTTTTTACACATTAACCTAGCCAATTAGAAAGCCTAGCCAATTAGAAAATCACCTCAATATTTTTACAGCTATACGTATGTAATTTCCTTCAGTTTAGTAATTAAGAAAGCCACTTTATACCTAACTTTTGCCTAAAATTAAATTAAAAGATCAATTTAAAAAATGAAACCTCCAAGTATCAATAATAATATAATACCATTTAAAAGTACGTATGCAAGAAAAGTTCACAGGTAGGTCTCCAGCCAACTCCCATTGTCCCATGGACAACATTATTACGTTTGGCAACTTGTAAAGCGTGTGAATCCCGCTTTATTTGCACATAATTGCTTATAAATTAGGCTCAAATACAAAGTACTACTTCATATACCTGTAATGAGCTTTATCTACCTATAACGAGCTTATAATACCTATAATGAGTTCCTTTCTTCCGTTATTCTACTTCAACTAAGGTTATTTACTCCAATTAAGGTGACAAACACAAAGAAATGTTTTTGATTATATAGATCCATTAATTCTTTCGCTTTTAAAAAAATGTGGTTTAATTAGTATAAACTTATCGACTAGGACACTTCTCAGCAATAAAAATGCAATAATATTAATAGATCTACCTAAAAATGCTCTTAAATCTGTTAAAATGTTATGTTACCCTAGTCTGACTACCTCAACTTTAAAATAAGTAACCTATTGACATTGTAAGCCTAAAGCAATATAAAAAAAGACGTTTCCAAACCTAAAACAACTAATTTGAAGTAAATTTACCCCAGAATCCAAAACCCATCCAAGACCCGGCTTCGGCGACAGATATAAACAAGGTGTTTAGTGGCCAGCGTTACCTATTCATAAATCACTTTTATTACATTTACTTTATGGCCATACTGGGCGGTAAACAAGATGTTATGAACACGGCGCTTGTATTTCGGACTTTCTGGTTACTTCAAACGTTTAATTACTACAATATCGAAGCACTTTAGGCACAAAACTGTCATTATATCCTACTCGTTTTAACACAGTAAATCTCTTAAGAAAAAACAATTAAAAGTTTTTTAAAATTATTTTCTATTGAGATTAGCTAATTCTATATGCTAACAAGTACAGCGTTACATAATGTAACTTATGAATAACATATTGACTTTTATGTCTAACACCTACTATAATATACGACCTACTACAATACAAAAAAGTAAATATAGTCATCCTCGCCTCGTATCTAAACTTTAATTCCAAAGCTCTCCCATTCCAATACAACACCAACACTCCTCTCCGCTTAAAACAACGATACCCCTCCCCGCTCAACCCTGCCTACTACAATAAAACTCTCGTCCATAACATAATCAACCACCCCAACACTTGACCATAAAGCCGGCCGAATACCCTGAAATGCGAGCTACGGACAAACTTTTTAATTCCCCGAAATAACTTTCGATAAATCACAAGATACGAACCCAAAGTGCATGTATACAATCCTGGAATATGAAAAGATACATATTGGTCCGAAACTTTTTTGCTATCAAATCCCCTGCGGAATCGGTGTACATCTACATCTAGGTTTTTTGTTTTCGCGAAAGAGCAATATCCCTGACCCGGCGATACCATCACGTTACACGACATACAGCTCTATGTGTAGTTGTTTTGTTATGTCTGTGTCACTACCCGAGATTGTCACAACATGAATTATATCATCAAATGACATGAGGTGTTGCCCAATCTAAGCTTTTAACTTGTTACTTAAGCCTTGTTCTAACTTATAGCAATACTTAAGTTTTATAACGGTACTCTGGTAAAGACTACCATTTTTTCCAAAATGACCTAAATTCATGACATCAATCTCACACACTTTCAAGTCATAATCCAAAATGAACAAGGCCACAGATGATAGTATAATTAAAGTAAATATTTGCTCACAGTAATAAAAAAAAACGTACCTATACGTTTACAAGATATGTAGCAATATAATAACGCAAAATATAGTATGAAATAGCTGCAAAACAACATTATAATAACTAAACTACAGTCAACTCCATTAAAAAGACTCAAAAAGACAAAAGTGTCCCTTACAATACCGAAAGTTTCTTTTATCGACCATTCTTTATATAAAAATAAAGTATTTGAGGCGCAATCACCTGTTGACTATACCAAAACAACCTCCATCAACATATACCGTAACACTTAAACAAAAGCGTCTTACTATTTATATAACAATACTATTATATAAACAAGTGCATATACCATTATACGCACTTAACCCCAGTAGCCGGGTGGCATAAAAATAAATAAAAATGAAGATCAAAGACAAGAGGATGGCCAAGAAGCCTAGGGCCGCGGTCACGCAACGCTCAAACCCTTTTAATCCAAAGGACCATACTCGAAACGTACTCGAGAACCGCTTTTATTCACTTTCAAACTTTTATCCGCCTAAAACGTTTTGAATTTCCATCACAAGTGTCTGTTAGTTCGGGTGCTCCGAATGTGACGCCTCAGGGCGCAAGAGTTGGACTGCGTGATTCAGAATGGGCTCCAGCACCGGGATACTCTGTTGACAGGCTTTCGGGCTGCCGGGCAGATTCACTACCAGACAATTGTTGCAGATCCCTAAAATAAGATCACATTAGACCCTGATTACCTAACAATAAGTTAAAATTATATCAGACAAAGGCTCAGGAACATAAAAAGACAAAAAAGCCATAAAATTATAAAAAAATGCCATAAATTTGAACCACAAAAGCATGAATATCAGGTCTAAACCTTTGAATAGCAACAATTTTAAATCAAAAACAAGTTTTTTGTCCAACCTCTGCCTACAACAACATCAACATGCCCAAAAATAACGTCAAATAAGCAAACATTCAAAACCGAAACTTTGCCAATAAATCTTGGCCTTCTTTGCGTATTTGCATAAAGAGCGGAAATAGTGGAGCCTCAAGATATCAAATCATGAATAACATTAAATGTCGTACCGGAAGTTGAAACCCCATCTTACCGGCTTCGGGTCGACTTAAAGCCGCCATGGCCGTGTGTTTCAGGCCTTCCTGGACCAAGGCCACTACGATGCCGGGACACGGCTTCTCGATCACAGCTCGAGTGGCTTCTGGAGTCACGTCACGGTGCGTGAAGCCCGTTCCACCGGTAGTCAGAATCACATCGTGGGTTTTTGACCATTCTCTGGAAAACTATAGTAAATATAAACTGTGTATATCAGTGTACATATATACACCAATATTACGTAGTATAAAAAATAAAACCAAAAACACCTTACAATAGAACATCTTTGATTTTGGCAACATTGTCTTCCACAATTTGCTTCGAAAATGTTGGATTCTGAATGATAGTTGACTTCTTTAAGGTTTCTAACAAAACTGGTCCACTTTTGTCCTTTTCTGGTTCCGTTTTACATGTGTCACTAACTGTCAATACACCTATTCGCATCTGAAATTCATTCAAAACTAAAATTACATTACAACAAAAGGTCAGAAATCCCACGCAACAGCTCGCATTACGAATGCATATCAATGTCACAGCAAGTTGTACATGTTTTTGAATACAAAATCGAAAGTAAAGGTCAAGAAATAACACAATAACTTAAATTGAAAAAATTATGTTAAAAATCAAAGATCATTAAAACTTGTAACTGATGTATACAAACGCACAAGACCCTATAAAAGTAAGACAGACCTTCCTACAGCAAGTACCTTCATGTAACAAATTATCTTTGATGCATAACACCGGCGGATTCCGTGGTCGAAAAATGCTGTCATCACATTCTATAGCATTGTAGACGTATTCATAGTTTGTCGATTCTTGATCAGACATAATAACAACATTGTCATAGTCAGTTATGTTCACTAGATAACCTCTTTCTTGCGGTCGTATGTGCATTAAAAGTCCGTAGAACGTCAACCTTAACATAAAAATCTAAATCCATTAATATAAAAATGAAGACTATAAATCTGATGTTAGCATGGCCATCGTATTCATATTAAAACTAACCCAGGAGTGATAAAGTGCTGACTGATAAAGACATTGTCAAACCTCCAACACGTGTGACGATTCTCTGTGCTAAGATCCAGTACCAAAACAGAACCTTTCAACTGAAACATCAGCTCAGAATGCTTTATATACACCATTTGGCTGGATTCAGACCTCGGCTCGTAGTAATTGCGCAGTTTATTCCTTATATTGTTTGATATCTTAACCGCATCCTTGATTACACCCTCAAGCTTTGTAGCATACGTTTGCTGTAATCAAAAACGACATAATAGGTGGTGAAACAATTGTTAAAACTAATTCTACCTTTAACATAGTTAACTGAATACTTTTGAACGAAAAATCGTAAAATCACACATAAATTGACAACCATGGCAAATAACAAGTGTAAATAGATTAACAGCCAGCAAAGGCAAAATAAACTTACTTTAGCATTTTCATCAGCCCATTTTCTCTTGTCTAGAAAACAGTCGGCCAAAGGCTTTACCCGAGATAACAATATATATTGTGACTCCGGATCAATGTGCAGAGTCCCCATGTTGTAAACTCGAATAATTCGTAAATATAGAGCTTGAGCATGACTAAATTGCTACTTTAAAAGAGCTGATGAAGGAATATACCTGCATCAAACTTTGCAAGTTTTACTTTCTTTACGCACAATCACATCAAAGAAATCAACACAAAACAATGAAATATTACACAAAAACTTACCTTTTAGGATTGCTAAACCGAGTAAAAGACAATTCAGAAACCGAAGCTGCTTTCTCCAAAGCTGTAAGTTGATCAAACCTTAACGAACCAAAGATAGAACACATTATTACTAATGTTTACATATTACACACAACCAATCTTACAAAAAATTATAAAAAAATGAAAACACAACAAAACAGAAACAAAAATATGTATTCTGGTTCGAAGTGACCATTTTATTATTCTTGTAAGCTTTTAGCAGATTGTAAACAAATTATTTCTTCACGTTCTTCGACGTTCCCGTCTACTTTGAGCTCTAAAAAATGTTTTTTAAATAGTTAGAAAAGTCTAAAGTAATAAAATGTTTTTGAATATCGTACCAAGATATTTTACGGGGTTCTTACTTAAATCTTATCACCACCTTGTTTTACATAAAAATAAGTATAAAAAGTCAAACTTGACACATAACGAAAGTGTGTGTCAAGTCTACTTTTCTTCGTCTCACCCGTTTTTGATCCGAAAATTTCACGAAAGCCCTCCAGTCTTGTGAGCTGACCTTATTTATTGTTCGCACATCTCAATACAAGATGTTTTTTACGTTAATTACTTTGTTCTTTTACTTCCTTACTAATTACACAATTTTTTTTGGTTTCAAAGACTAATTTATGAAGTTTTAGAGAGTAAAACTGAGCAGAACTATTGGAAAAGAGGTAAATATTATTCGTAACTTTGCCGCTAGGTAAAGCCAAGCATCAGGATGGTGGTGGTAGACTCTTTATCACATAATCATGAGCTCAAGCAACTGAGAGAGAACGGAACGTTGAACATAGATGTAAAGAAGAAGTTCATGAAGTTGACGTAAGTTTTTAATTGATTTTTGTTTTTTTAGGGAACTGGTATGAATAATGGTTTTTCTATGGAATGCATATTGAAGTTAATTTTACATAGTAACTTGTTTTGATTTTATATTTATATTTATGTATATGAATGTATCAAAGTTAACATTTTAGACTTTCTGAAGCTGTCAAGAAGCTGGACATGCTTCATAATAATGCTATGATGCAAAGTAGCGACTTGAATCAGAGGTATACGTTATTCTTCAGAGTTGTTAACCTCTGTGAACTTGTGCTACAACGTTCGGACTTAAGTCAAAACAAATGGGTAACATTTTAATTGTTTTATATGCTTAGGTTTATGACAAATGTCTCATTACAACGTTGTTTTTTAAATTACATTTGCATTTTTAAAATAATTTTAATTACAATTTTGTTTTCTACAAGTATCTTGTGCATTATAGGCACCAGATCGAGTCACAAGTATCTTAAAAGAGGCAGTATCGATCTTGGAACGTTTAACAATAGAAATAAAACAACGCTCACAATCTCGACAACTTCTCGACGACCGGTATGAAGCCGAGTTCCGTCGTAGGCCATCTCCAGTTCAAAAAGACCGAGAAAGAAGTCCAGCTAAACCAACTAATGGGGTCGTTCAGTTCGATACTTATATTACACCTTTCCAGTTGGTGAAGTACGTTGAATTACACAACAAACCTGTTTTGATTATTGATTTTCGAACAACACATTCACCAGCGATTAAGTACGAAGACAAGAACTTAATTCAGGTTATGGTGTTTGAGGAACGATATATTGATCGTGGGTATGTTGATATTGTTTTTTTATATGTTGTAGTATAACACATGTTTGTATGATTGGTACACAAAATGAACTTTAATATAAACTAGTTGTTGACTTACTTTTCAGGATTTCCTACAACACTTTCTACATATACGTTGACATTCACAGTCGCTTCAAACTTAACAATGTGAACACTTACGGGTTTGTTGTTCTCATGGGCGATGAACTGTCGGAGGGAGTTACGTTGAGTGATCAGAGTAGGACTATGGCTTTAAGGTCAGCTTTGGCAGAACATCTCTCACAACCCCCATTACTGCTACAAGGTGGATTTGCGGCTTTCGAACGTGCTTATCCAATATATGTGGAAAGGCCGTCTAACCGGCAATTGAGTTTTGAGGGATTAGACCCGTTTACTGCATTGCTGGAACGGGCTAGGGCAGGTTGGTTAATACATTTTTGGTGATTTTTAACGTTTAGTTAATGAGGAGTTACTTCTCATTAAATTGCTTTCATTATTGTTCTTAAAATACGGAAAATAATGAGTTAAACATTTTTTAGAAATTCCACGAGAATTTTGTTACCCTGACCTTTCTGATAACCCGAAACCAGTGCCATTTCCAACTAACGAGTATGACACCAAAAGATCAGTTATGGAACGTATTGATGAGCTGAAGCTACGAGACAGAAAGTCGCCAAGTCCAGCTAGAAAGACGTCAAGTAGAAGTTCAGTCAAAGACTATGCCAAGATTGAGAGTACAGTAAGACGAGATTACACAGTCGGACCAAAGTCGTCAGTTTCGAGTGACACTATCTCTAGAATCGACAGAAGTCCCGTGAAACACAGCTCAAGCAACTTCAGCATTTCTGCTTCTACTCGTAAGTATATTTGTATTTTTCTGAATTTAGAAGTACGCACTATTATAGTTAGGAACTATACTAACACAATGCCATATTTTAGATGACAGTTACACGAGCCTAGATGAAAGGCGAGAAAACTTTGATTCTCTGGACCGGCCACTGAAACAGAAGCCGCGGCCTATAGTGGACAGAACCAAGAAACCACACTTGGAAGGCAAGAAGGAAGTCACCGAGTTCCCAGTTGAGCAAAACGCTCAGCCAAAGTCGTATGAAGAGAAGATCGAGAGGAATATCGAAGTGAAACTGAATGGGGAGACGAATCTTAATGGTAATAGTAATAACAACGGTGAACTTAATGCTGACTATAATATACGGCGTGTTAATTTAGGTGGCGCTCGTATTGACACAACAGCCAGCCAGTCAACCACATTGTAAGTTAATTATTTTAGTTTGTTGAGGAGTTTTTAAGTTTTACAAGTTGTGATTAAATTTTTAAATTTATTGGCATAAGTAACGATTAGTTGTTTTTTGGAAAGGTATTATATTATGTTGTTTTAGAGTTCACCCACGTCCTTCTCATCGACCTAGGCCTCCCACTCCAGATCGTTCTACTAAAAAGCTTGCTCCAGAGATTGAGTAAGTTGTTTAGCTATGTAACACTATGATTTCACTACATGATTATTGTACACATATTTACTGACTTAATTCCAAACAGATAATGAAGAATAATATCAACTTGTGAACATAGAAAGTAAACGGGATGATTTTAGACAAAGAAAGAAGACGCTACGGGATTTGTTTGTCTACACCGTCGAGGATATTCGAAAACATCAGCGTACAATGCCTTGTACTGTGCCTCCAGGTTGTACTGGTCTTTTCAATATGGGTAACACATGCTTCATGAATGCAACTCTGCAGGCGTTGTTCAACACTCCTAATATGAGACATTTCTTTTCGGAGGACAAGTTTCTGGACTATGTTAATGTGTAGGTTAATGTTTGTATTTTAATTGAATTTTTTTGAGGATTTTACTGTGCAAGACGTGTTTTATATGTACAAATTCAAAAATGGTCTTACAGAGAGAATTACATGTTGTCATGTATGTTAGGGCGCACTATTTGACTAGAATCAATACTCTTACTTTCAGGTATAACAAACGAGGAACTGGAGGTGTGATGGCTTCATGCTTTTCAGCTATGATTGTAGTAATGTGGTCCGGTAACTACAAAGCCATTAGTACATTAAGGTTTACGGTAAGAGCTTTGAAATGTTTTTTTAATTTATGTAAAACCTTTTGATACATTATCATAGTAATAAATAGATGGGTAAAAATGTTTTGAACGTTGACTAAACATTTAAAATTTTCAGGAAGTCTTTTCAAAGACATGTCCTGACTTGTGTGATGGTCAACAACACGATGCTCAAGAGTTTTTGGTATTCTTATTAGACGCCCTACATGAAGATACTATACCTGTAATGTTGGACAAAGTAATGGAACAAAACTACGATGGCCTAAACATCGGGATGGACTATCAACACTACGTCAAGAATTTGAAAAGCTTCAGGGAATCTCCAATCATGAGCATTTTTAATGTAAGCTTTTTATTCTGTGCTTTCTACTGCTTTTTTGTTGTACTAGGTAAAAATTGTTTCGTATTATGCAAGTTTATGAAAATTTAACTTAAAGGTAACAAATTTGAAAATATTTTTTCACGATTTTTGAATTTGATTATTTTATAGCTGACAACAGCCAATCAAATTCATTGTGGATCTTGTAATACTGGAAGTTTGACGTTTGCCGAATCTACTCAAATCATGCTCGAACTACCAATGCAGTCCTCATGTCACATCACACAATGTCTCCAAAGTCACTTCAGAGATCTCGTAGGTTTATACAAGACTATATTGTGTTTATTTTGATGTAGATATTATTATATTTTTTCAATTTTAAACCTTCACATTGCAGTAATAAATTCGATTTGTAGATTTTGGACGGCTCGAGTGCGTGGAATTGTCCTCGTTGTGAACGAAAACAAAGATCTCGAGTCGAGCAGAAGGTTTGGGTACTACCACCAGTACTAGTCATCCTTCTGAAGCGGGTCAAACAGAATATGGATGGAACCTTCGAGAAGAACACTATTGGAGTTGACTTTGACATCCACAACCTGGACATGGCACCTTATATGCATCAGAAGGCGGCCAAACAGAACTCAAAGTACAGATTGTACGCGATCACTAATCACAGTGGTACCATGAATTCGGGACATTACACAGCGTTTGTCAAGAATCAGTATCTGAACAAATGGCTTAAGTTCGACGACGATTACTGTAACGAAGTCAGCGAACACGAAATTAAGGTGGGTCACGGTACTAATCAGAAAATAATTAGCAGTTTGAAGTCAATTTTTGGTATAGCATGAATTTATTACCTAAAAACGAGTTCAAGAGGGCCGAGTAAACACTGTTGTATTTCTGAAGTAATACTGTATTCCTAAAACAATACTGTACTTTTTCAGACAGAAAAAGCGTTTATCTTGTTCTACACCAACGACACCCGCCTCCCTCCCTCTATGTGAGGACATAACCCAGTTACTTCATGGTAGACTAACTTATTAGATCTGGTACTTTTAGCCCTTCTCTTGATTTACAAATATTTTGCCTAGAAAACGTATTAGAGGTTGTGGCGCATCTTGTACTACCACAACAAATTAAAATTAGATGTTTATTAGTTATATATCGAATCTTAAACGGGCATAACATAGGTTTTAGACTTTTAACTTTGTACATACGTTGTATATTGTAACGTGTTTGAATAAAATATTAATATTTGGGTTTTTTTCGCTTTGAAGTTGATAGAATGATACATGGTGGTTAATATTGGTTATGTGGCTAAAGGTAGACATAAAATTACATATATTGAATTTACACAAGTTTTAAAATTATGCTATTGTAAAACAATACCTTTTGAAAATATCTCTGTCCATTTTAAATTGCATTTTTCAGAGGTTTATGAAATTATACTTTTTAAATTTGCATTTAGCATTCTCAAAATCATTGATTCAGAACTAATTTTGTTCATCAGTCGTGTCCCAACGTTTTGCACCGCTAATTTAAGATTTCTGTAATGCGTAAGTACTGTAACGTAAAAGTTTTTAGGCTTTAAAACTGGGTTATTTATTAATATAATACTATTTATTTCGACAGGGTCATATACTAAAATTTTTTTGAGTTTTACAGTTACTTTTAAAAATTTATTTTAAGTTATTTCTTTGATATGTATAATATAAAGGATCTTCAGCTCGTCGTGTGAATTCGATGTCGTTCAATGATTCTCAGGAGAGTTCGGCGATGCTTCAAGCTGATCTGAAGACCGATCCGGCCGAGTTGATTTGTTGTCGGCACGGCCGAGAATGTATGGTCGGAAGAGTGGAAGATTACCAACGGGACAGGACCAAAGCCCTAAGGGAATGGGCGGTCATTACCGGCAGATTGAGAAAGTAAGTCACATTAACATTTTAGTTTTACTTTTTATATTGTTATTTAATTACACTTTTTCTAAATACCATAACCGTATGATAGTGGAATTCTAAATTATTTATACCTATGTTCACTTTCAGGCAGCCATCTTCGACCGGAGACATTAAAATGACAAAGCGCGTCTCCACCACCCAAGTCCAGATTCCAATGTCTTCCATCGGCTACGAGAACATTGAAGTTTTGGCCCAAGCAGAAGCCAAACAGAAGGAAACTTTGATCGCACCGGACAACCTTTTCCGGTACTCGATGGTAAATATGGGGTATGTTAACATGACTTACGCGAACTTTAATGCGCGGTTTGTTTAAGCTAATGAAACTAGCTTTTTTCATAATTTTTCAAAAATTTTTAACTGTACCTCAATTCCTTCTCAATTTTTAAAAGTTGAAATTAAAATTTAGCACGGCATTACCCCACGGATCGGCTGAAAATACCAACGAACCCTTCGACTTTGAACCATACTACATTGGCGTTTGTACTCCAGAAAAGGCAGAGGAAGTGTGCACAGAGAGCACGTCCTTCTTCCTGTACCATTGCTATCGTCCTATCAACAGTTGGAGCAACATAGTACCAGCCTTGCCCTTGGTCACGGTGTACCATGCCAGCAATCACAAGATCTAGTAGGTTTGTAGAGCAAAAGAGTTAGATGACTTTTACCAAATTACTGATTATTATCCTATATTGTTGTATATACAGTAATTCTTTCGCTTTAACTTTCGTTATAAGAAACACCAAGAGTTGGAAGGCTTGCTTTACCGCAATATGTTTCAGCCATTACACCATCAAACAGGCGATCACGGACAACGTAGCCTACTACTACGTGGACTGTGGCGATCCCAGCAATCCTCGTTTCACCAGTCTGACCAATCTGATGAAGTACTACACGCTATACGTTCAACTGTTCACCAACCCCGACGGTCGCATCGACATTGACGTATTCCCGTGGTGGGCACGCGCTTACGAAGATCCGTTTTCTCTCTGAATCCTTATTTGTGTAGCTCTGAATAAACAGACGCTCGGTGTTGTTGTAGGAAGCAGTAGTTTTGATGGGCAAGGTTTGTCTTTATAGGTAGGAAGTCATGAATAAGATAGTTTCGGTACAGTAGAGTATCGATATAAGAAACCCTTTATTTATTTTACAGTAAACAGTTATAAAAGTGAGTACGATGATTATATTTCATATTTTGATGAAAACCTTATGTACTTTGTCAGATTGAGTACAATTAAACGGCGTCACTTTCTTATAGTAACAGGACTGTCGTTTTCATATAACCACGTTTTCTTGTCGGTGGTTAGATTGATGATACACTTAATATACGTCTTGAACTTCTACTGTGACCATTATAAAAGTCATATCATATTCATACAAAGCTAATTTTTGTTTTTAATCGATTATATGTGCTACATATACTTTATCAATATTGTTACTTAATTTTATACTATACAGGACGTTAAGTCATAGTTATACTCATGATACTAAACTAATGTGAACTGATAACCAACGTTGACATTATCCTATCATATCGATGATACAGTGCCAACTTTCAACCATCAATCAAGACCTTCATCAATCCTTATAACTAATGTTAGTCATGGTGTTATTACACTGATTAATTTGTAACTATGTTAGCTGAGTAACTCCACCCTGAATCCCTGAGTGATAACGCACCATTATCATGGATAACATAAGATCTGCCTCGTTTCGTGTTCATTATAGTAGTAAGGGGAAGAAGCAGTCTTTCTTTCGTCGTGCGCAAGTGAAAGACAGAGTCGCCCTTCCATCATCGCCTCAGGGTTTCTCAGGAGAGAAGTCACAATCGACGACGGGTTTTGTAACTTTTGGCTAGTGGACTGTAAAATCGGCGGGTCAAATCATTAAAGTGTGGACAGTGATAATAATTAGGTTGAGGTGTAGTGATGACTTTTTTATATTGTAGTAGCTATAACGACGAATATTTTATTTTGTAGTAGCTCATATTTTTGCTGAGTAATGAGGAAGAAGATTGTAATAGAGATAGGCACGTTTTGTGATTTTAAAAATATTTTCTTTAATTGACATTAATCTTTCTTCATCGCACTTAAACATTCTGATATATTGTCCAGTAAACCAGTTGTTACGAGCCGGAAGATTTCTTTGTTAATTAGCATAAATTTGCAACATCGCTTTCTGTTAAAACACCTTGTTGTTGTAGTAGCTTTCCGTAAATGAAATCTTTATTCGAAATCCGTTTTTTTCGGTCAAAAACTACGTAGAATCAAAAAGTCCTTACATTTCGTTTTCTCACGTTAACTTCACCATTTACTTCTTGGCCAAACTTGTCAATTTGTGACTTTTTCTTCGTTATTTTCGGACATATCGTTTTCAACTCTTTTTATCAAATTTCTATTGTTAGTATGTAGTTAAAAGTCAACTTTCAGATGCCGGACTTTCGGTTACCATTGGTTGTGGCTGCAGTTTCTGTTGTTGTATATGTCTCCGCTCAACAGTCAGCACAAAGTAAGTCGTATCTTGATGAAAAACACACGTAGATAGACTAGTACCTTCGTATTAAAGCTAAACAACGTTTTACCTATTTTACAATAACCGTAGGTTACCTTATGCATCAAAAATGCTCCGTTTTTTCGACAAATCCAAATATTATTGTTTTGTCCGGACAAACCATTGCCTTTTTCGAGCTTAAATTCAAAAATTCAAATTACATAAAAACAGCGCGAAAGCATGGTCCAATCCGAGAACTCTCAAACCGTTAGCCGGGGGTTTAAACCACAGTGATCCATCTTCATTTCGCTTCCATCCAAACTTTTCCTTTCGTTCGCTTTCCGGTTTTCTCAATGACCCGAAAAGTCGCCGCCGTAGCTGAACGGCTCTGTTTTCTTTGCGGAACATCATAAATAACATCCAGTTGCATCTCCGTCAACGAGTTTCCTGGATCCTCGCTGAACTTACAAAAATTTCGCTTTTCGTCTTACTTTTCCGGAAAAAAATATTTTTTTTGTTCAGTTTACTGAAAAATATATAAAAGAGTAAAGCAATGGTGTAACATAGTCTAAACTGAACCAAACAAAAGTATAAAATAAATAATCAAGATAGAAATAACATAAAGCTACATTGATCAATGTAACAAATTATTATTTCAGGACAAGGCCAGATTATCGCCGATTTAGGTAAATTAATCGTCGAGAACTGCCCGCCTATGTTATGTACAGGTCTGGACTGTGCTGTTGTGACAGAACGTAACGGCTGTCAGGTAAGCTTTCTCTTGTAAGCTAAAAGTTTATTTTTTTCGCTATAAAAACCTTTTTCGACAAAAATAGTAAGAAAATAAAGTGGTATGACATGTTTAATGAAACATGTTTCAGCTATGTGCCTGTCCAATCGGATCCCCAGCCAGAGGTTGTGATCCAATGCCATTCGTTTTGTGGCACGACCTTATCGTAAACGGATGTCCAAATGTTACAGTAAACACCAGGGATCCAGCACAAAAGGTTCACCGATGGTTCCGACGAGTAAGTGTTATACAAGTCGGCCAAAGGTTTATACTGCCTTTAAGCAACTTATACTACTGTTCCAATAAGTAGGAGAAATTAAAAATCTGGCCAAAATTTACGTACATGTAAAAGTGTGACATCTACTTTTCATCTTAAATTTTAACATCCTGCTGTTCAAACTAGCATAACAGTAGCAAATTATCATAGGTTTTCAATATTTTACCTTAACAACAATTTTAAGCCAACTTTTCAATCAAAGTTACCTAAAAGTGCACTTAAACCTCAATTTTATATTACTTCCGCGGATTACTTTGAAATTCGAGTAATCGTGAAGTTGCGCAATCTTATCCCTCGCCCAAAACCAGTAGTTAATTTGTAGGTGAACCGGTTCACGAACACCGACCAATGTGAGCCCTACATCTTCCCCTACTGCGCCGAGCTCGACTTCAACCTGTGGCGGTCGCCGCGCACCAAACAAGAATGCGAATTGTACTGTTACTCAGTCGACGATCAGAGGAAACGAGGTATCATCTAAAGTGAGACAACCGCATAATGATCGTAATCCGCGTAGTGTAATTAACAACAATAAACTTCTAAAAATAATATCTTCGACAGTTAAATAGTATAAAAAGAGTGATATGTATCTGTATAAAATCAAGATTGAAATATTACTAAACGCACGTAAAGGTAAGTCCAAATAAATATAGTCACTAACAAATAACCAAAAAACCGTAAAAACGAAATAAAAATTTATTAAAAACAAAATAAGTTCACCAAAGCCAACAACAATAATATACAGTAGTCTCTCTATACCGTCAACCCTCTATATAAGCAACTCATTTTAATAAAAGTTTTTTTCCCACCTAGACACATTGCACTAAAACCCATACCTCAAAGGCACTTACAGTGAAATCAAAATCTCAGTTCTTTTGGTTGCTTAGATAGAAAGACTACTGTAAAAATGTGTACAATATATCACATTATCAACAAAAAGATATGTACAACAAGTTAGTAAATTAGAGATATCGTTAAGAACAAAATTAATATATTATTAACACAAATTGGATTCTAAAAAGTAAAATCAGGTTAAAATATTAGAATTAATAAAAGAAAAGAGTAGAAAATCATGGGATATGTGAAAGTTAGTACGAATCTCCCAAGCGATCCAGGCGACAATAGTACAAAAGATAGGCATCACGGGTCTGAAAATATCAGTTTTAAAGAGATGGAATAACAAATATACTGTTTTAAATGATTCTACGTTATAAACCTCCTCAAATCCTTTAAAGAAAAGTTTTAGCTTGCATAAATAATCCAAAAGAAAATAGAATAACAAAAACTGTCTTTAAAATCTTTAAAAAATTAACCTTTTTAACATTAAACGCAATATTTGGCTCAACTTCACAAAAACATAACCATAACATGTCCAGGGGCGTCGATCCACCCCCCCCTAGCGACGCCCCTGAACATTTCATATCTTAATATAGTGACCACCCTACCTGAACATTTTCCTTCTCAATCCTGCTGGACCCAGAATCATTGGCTCTGACCCATTCCCAGCCTTTCCTGAAGATGGTCGTGTAATGCCCCGTGTTGATGGTTCCATTGTGTTCAGTCACTGCGTACAGTCTGTACTTCGTGTGTGGACTGACAGATTGTCTGTGAACATAGCGTTTCATGTCTAAGAACTCTGGGTATGCCACATTGATTCTGTTCTTCGTAAAATGAACACGACCATTTATTGATGTGGTGACAAATCGGTTCAGAGTAAAGACAAGGACAGAAGGTAAAGACCACACCATCTCGCTTTTAGTCGGTTTCACGGAATTGTGACATCCCTGACATTGAGTTGTAGCAGAATCCTCAAAATTCTGAAACACAAAATAAGTAAGAGTGCCATTGTAGCATCTACAATAATATTTAGAAAAAACTTACAGTATATCCGAAGTACTCATCCAAACAAGAAAACAATGTACATTCGTCGATCTTGCAGCCAGTCGGAGGGTTCAGTCTGATCTGACTTTCAAGTTCAAATGACAGTGATTTGTACTGACATGGCTTGCACAGACGTTCACAAAATTTGACTAGCTGAAACAATTATAAAGTATTTTCTGTAAACATCGTAGTCTTTTTAAATAACACTGCTGAATAAATGACATATAGATATAGTGAGAAAGAGTTCTATTACCTACATAGAAAGTGTGGAGAATTGGAGATGGAATAAAGTCAACGTTAAGATCCAGGCAATGTCTCCATTCGAAGGCAATATTTTCACCTTCGTACGATTGCTGTGTACCTGTTCTGTTCTGGTCCTCCTTCATATCTTCATGTAGGTAATTCAGAACAATGGCCAAGAACTCTGACGCATCTTGTTGGTCTCCGTTACACAAATGAGGACAAAATTGCTTGAAAATCTCCTAAAAAACATCAATTTAACTTTAACGCTAAAAATCAACTCTATCCCAACTCAACTACAAAATCATGGCATTATAAAGTTTATAATGTATTAAATGTAAAACAAACTTTAAAATTACAAGTAAATCCGAAAACTTACATAAAACGCGAAAGGATGAATCGTATCGTAATCTCCACTGCAATATAGAACTTTTATGGCCATGAAAGCAGCTGCCAACTTGCCTCGTGTACCTTTCTTGTTCTTTCTGAATAAAAATTTACAGTTTAGATTAAAATGTCCCAGTACTTACATGTTAACATAAGATGAGAAAGTTTCCGGACAGAAGAATTCCAGCAGAGGTGTAGTGTTGAGCAAAGCTTGAAGAGCTGCATTCATAAAACAATTGTTTCTGAAGTTCGTCAATCCAGGAATGCGAAGCGTTGATCTGTTTCGAGTTATCCAGAATATCTTCTTGTAACACTCGACCAGATCAGCTTCTGTTCTACAAAATTAAACATTAGAAAACTAAAAATTAACTACTACAACATTAAAGGCTAAAAAGTTAAACTAAAAAAAAAGATTAGTTTTTTTGTTTCACTGATTTAGAACATCCGAAACCTCAAACATTGTCTCAATAATAATATAAAACATCTGCTTACTCTTCTTTATCCTGATCATCTTTTTTAGCTCCAGAATCTCTTTTTTCTTGTCCATTAACTTGATGAACACCGTTCTGACATCCTTTCTGTCCTTCTATAACCTTTTGCTCGTCTCCATTACCTAATTCTCTCTGACGAAAATCTTTTCCAACTCTTTGATCCTCTTTATTAGGTAAAACATCGTTATGTTGGTTATATTCCTGTGTTCCTTCTTCTCCATAAGATTTTATCTTATGTGCAAAACCATTCTGAAGTCCAATTCCTTGTCTTTGAGACTTTTCACCATCAAATTTGGTATATTCATCTTGATTTGTGTCAGGTTTAATGTGGACAGCTTGTTCTTGTCTTTGCAAAACTAATACTTGACCATTGGAGGGTTCAAAATCCATTTTAGTTTCTTCACTGTAAAGGATAATATTAAAAATTCACTGCAATCAAAAAAATCATAATAAAAACAATATCTACCTTGAATTATATGGATTGGGACTGTGAAACGGAGCTCTTTCGTCGTCCAATATTGTCCGTTTCTGATAGTCGTACTCAAAGACAGTACTCATGGTAACCTACGAGATAACACAGCATAAAATAAACAATAACATAACCGAATAAATATTTAAAATCTCGCACGAAGTTTATGAAAAATTAAATTTTATAAAATCGACCAACTTCTAAGAACTGTTTGAACCTTGATTTTCTCGATCAAACTGCGAAGTTAACTTCGGTAAAGTTTCGAAATGTTTCAAACAGAACAAAGTGTCACACAGGTTTTATCGAATTTTATAACAGCTTGCCGAAAAACAAAATGACAAAATCGATTTTTCATCAAAAATTCTTTCTTCCACAATCGAGACGATATTACCATTCTAATTAATACCCCAGCATCAAAGATAGTTCAAATGTAAAAATTTATTCAACGAATAACAACTCTACAACTATAATGTACACGACTGTCACCGGCGCAGTAAAAACCGTCGCACGCGGATCAGATTGACTTTGAGTGCTGGGTAGATGAGACAAAAGTTGCGACGGTACCATTCACTAAATTCATATCAATATTAGGTATGTTATTCATCATATTTTAGTTGGTTTAGGTTTGTCACACATAATGGAGTCGAGTAAATATTGTTTTAAGTTGTCAGACTTTCTGTAAAAGGTAATAGTTACCTGTTATACGTCGCCAATTCCTTTCGTCGCTGGTTCAGAAAGTCTCTGTAGAAAGTTGACATCTCTTCTGGTGTTATCGTGGCCAATTTGCCAAGCTCGGCTTTTTTCTAAAAATTTTAAAATTAAATGAGTTAAATCATGATGTTAATCATGAGATTCTTTATTAAAAATGTGAAAAATATGTTATAAAAGGGAACCGGACAACTCGGGCTGTAACCAACTTGGGCGGTACCCAACTCGGGCTGTTGAAAACCCTGGCGGGTCAGTTATAAAAGTGTCCGTATATAATATTTTAGTTTAAAATTATTTCTACTATGGTATTTTACCATAGTAAGTCTTGGTATGTACTCAAAGTGCTTCATATGGCTTTGAACTTGGGGCTTTTATGGTTTTTAAGGTATAGTAACGTAACATAATAATAAAGTATGGTACTTTAAAGCTTGTGTACTTCCTCATTTTACCATAGTAAGTCTTGGTATGTCCTAAAAATGCTCCATATGGCTTTGAACTTTGGGGTTTATGATTTTCAAAGTATAGTAATGTATTAAAATAGTAAGATATGGTACTGTAAGACCGTAGAATTATGTTTTAGTTACTTATTTTACCATAGTAAGACTTGGTATGTTCTTAAAGTAGTTCTTATGGCTGACCCGAGCATATCCTTGACCTACTTAGCCTTGCCCAAGTCTATCCCTTCTTATTTTAGTCCTACCCGAGCTTACCCCTGACCTTTTAAGACCTACCCAAACGTACCCTTGACTTTTTTACCCCACCCAACTCTACACCTGACGTTTTTGGCCCTATTCAAGTACACCCCTGACCCTTACCTTACCCAACTTTAACCCTGACCCTTTTAGCCCTATTCGGCCCTACCCCTGACCTTTTTAGCCCTATTCGACCCTATCCCTGACCTTTTTAGCCCTACCCGACCCTACCCCTGACCTTTTTAGTTCTATTCGACCCTATCCCTGACCTTTTTAGCCCTACCCGACCCTACCCCTGACCTTTTTAGCTCTATTCGACCCTATCCCTGACCTTTTTAGCCCTCCCGACTAAGGTGGAGGGTAGGGTCAGGTAGGGCCAAAAAGGTCAGGGGTAGGGTCGAATAGGGCTAAAAGGGTCAGGGTTAAAGTTGGGTAAGGTAAAAGGGTCAGGGGGTGTACTTGGATAGGGCTAAAAAGGTCAGGGGTAGGGTCGGGTAGGGCTAAAAAAGGTCAGGGGTAGGGTCGAATAGGGCTAAAAGGGTCAGGGGTAGGGTCGGGTAGGGCTAAAAAGGTCAGGGGTAGGGTCGGGTAGGGCTAAAAAGGTCAGGGGTAGGGTCGAATAGGGCTAAAAGGGTCAGGGTTAAAGTTGGGTAAGGTAAGGGTCAGGGGTGTACTTGGATAGGGCCAAAAACGTCAGGTGTAGAGTTGGGTGGGGTAAAAAAGTCAAGGGTACGTTTGGGTAGGTCTTAAAAGGTCAGGGGTAACCTCGGGTAGGACTAAAATAAGAAGGGGTAGACTTGGGCAAGGCTAAGTAGGTCAAGGATATGCTCGGGTCAGCCATAAGAACTACTTTAAGAACATACCAAGTCTTACTATGGTAAAATAAGTAACTAAAACATAATTCTACGGTCTTACAGTACCATATCTTACTATTTTAATACATTACTATACTTTGGAAATCATAAACCCCAAAGTTCAAAGCCATATGGAGCATTTTTAGGACATACCAAGACTTACTATGGTAAAATGAGGAAGTACACAAGCTTTAAAGTACCATACTTTACTATTATGTTACATTACTATACCTTAAAAACCATAAAAGCCCCAAGTTCAAAGCCATATGGAGCACTTTGAGTACATACCAAGACTTACTATGGTAAAATACCATAGTAGAAATAATTTTAAACTAAAATATTATATACGGACACTTTTATAACTGACCCGCCCGGGTTTTCAACAGCTCGAGTTGGGTACCGCCCGAGTTGGTTTACGGCCCGGGTTGACGCCGCCCGAGTTGGTTACGGCCCGAGTTGTCACTGCGCCTTATAAAAATGATATACTTAAATTTACTTATTATTTTTATACCTAAAATACTTTCTCATTTTTTTACTCCAATTGCTTTAAAGACATGTTATCCATACCTTTTCAACAAAAACGGATTTGCATTTCTCGAATTCGATGTTATGTTGTCTCCAAAAGTCCGAGTTCCATTGGTTCAAGCTTTCTCTGGCTACACGGTAGTCTCGCTCCAAATGTGTTTCATTGTCTACACGTCGCAATCTACAATAATGTGACTGTTTTTAACTTTTATTAAAAGAATGTATGTTACATTTACTATCTACTGGCGGCCATAGTTTCTTGTTATTGTTTAATTTTAGGTTTGGCTACCCGTGAACCGCTATAAAATATACAAAACTTACTTTATAGGTCGTATTTTAGAGACGCTGTCTGGAGGACCCACCCAGTCAAAGCGGCGATCCAATTTTACATTGTTCGCCATTAACCCTAAACAATATCAGTTTAAAAATCAGAACCAGAGAATACCAAGAGAAATATTGACTAAAAATAACCAATAAGACAATATAAACTATGATAAACAAACAAAAAGGTATGAACACGGTTTGAAACCATAATTTTTTTAAAATAGAAAAACTCAATTTTAAATTTATTCAACAACAACATAACAATGAAAAAGCGGGTTTATGTAAATGGTTTCATCATGATTCCCATTCGTTTTCAAATTGAAATCCCATTTTTCACCACGACTGGTCGGAGCGGAGGAATCGGCGGAGCATTTCAAAAAACCGGTCGAACTCGGAGAGGTTGTGTCTGAAAAGAATGTCTAGTGACTGTTCGCCGCTACGCGAAACCCTCCAGGGCTACACCTGGATGTTCATGATGGGGTCGGGCATGTTAAACCTTTGTACTGTTTGCATCTTCATCGTATCGCTGATGCTGGTGCGCCGAATCTCTCCCTTGTCGCAACGATTTTGCGATATGTAAGTTTTATAGAAAGTTGCAGTAATACGATTTGTTTTATAAGTTACAGTACTACACTTTGCTTTGTAAGGTACAGTCCTATGCTTTGCTTTATAATTTACAGTACTATGCAATGAACATTCACTACCAAGGCGGTTCTGGATACACAAAAATTTTGGACGGCCGCGATTTTTGGCTTATAAGCTCTATTTCCTCTATATTATCATAGCTAATTTAAGTTCTATTTCAGGACAGTTGCCTTGGGTATTGCCGCGATGAGAAATGGACTTGGAAATAGTGCAAAACAAGCTCTTATGAAGAAGGCATCCGAAGAACCAAAGATAAGCAGAATGTTCAGGGCCAAGTAAACTACAGTATAAATTTCGTATTACGTTCAATAAACTTTTATCTAAATTTTATCATATCTTTGCACTCAAGTATGTTTCTTCGTATCGTATTTCTTTTTGTTTTAAAGCTGGCTCCTATTTATCAAACGGTGGTACGGTAGGGTTACAGTAGATCTACTGTAAGTTCATAATTCATAAAATACCATGCCTTTTGGAAGTAATTATCAAGCTTGATTAAGTACTCCCAAAAAATTTGCAATAAGTACTCGCTTGAGTAATATTCATCAATAGCATACTACGCGTATCATTAGCTTTCTATCTACATTGACTGTTAATAAACTTACATTACTGTAAGCATTGGCCCCAATAGTTCGTGTGTGTTAAAGAGATGTGTTAGGTAGGCTTTGGTGTAATTAGAGCATGAGTAACAAGTACAATCGTCAACAATGGGCGTGAGATCATTTTGATAACTAAAAACATTGCTTTTGATTATACTGTAACATTACTTTTTGAGTAATTGATACACTGTCTGCTTTATTGTTACTAGATTGAACTTTAAGTCTTAACCAGTAGAGTCAGGCATGACTATACGTCAAATAATTCAGATGACTTACGTATCTGAGGTAAAATCGGTGGTTTTAAATGTGTTTTCTTGAGGAAATTCATCTGATACCCGGAATGCCTTGCCTTGTTCGGCCATCAGAATGGCGTACGATGTGTCGAAGATGTCGACTCCTAATCGTATCAATTCGAATATTTCCGTGGGATCAAAGGCCCCTTCTACTAACCGAGGCTTATTCACCGGTAGACCATCCTGAAACAATAATTTACTTATACAGTCATTTGGAGTACAGAAGCTAATCTAGACTGTACAAGTAGATAAAACCTTTTTTTCTTGTTCAATATGACTTTACTTACGAATGAGTGTTGAAGTAGATCTGATATCTCCTCAACATTAAATGGTCGTTTCGTATCATTATTTGTGTTATGAGAGTACTCCAGTAAATCCACTGCGTAGCCAGCGGCATGAGTACTAACTGCGGCTGTTTTGGATAATGTAGCTCGGTGAAAGTGACTTTGACCACCTCCTAGTGTTAGGAACGGTGCGCACTAAAAACATAAGTCATATTTGTACCTGAATTGTCTTGGTCCATACTTAACTATATCGTTATTCATCCTTAAGTTTTAAATTACGTAATTAATTAGGCGTATATGTCTAAACCTTACGTATAACGTTTCAAAGTTGTACGCTTCATCCCAGAAGGCAGTGGTTCGTTGTACTGCTTTCGACAAACGTTTGTTATGACATGAAGGCGGCGTGGCATAGTCTAGCATAGACCCTACTGTATTTGCTTGTACCGTTGTCACAATGTCTTTATATGACTCTACATTTATCTGAAATTAGAAAAATTGTCAAATCTGCCACAAAGTCCTGCCTAATAAGAAAAACATTTTCCTAATGTAATCAAACATACCATTTGCTTGCCCCCCTTTGTCCAGATGGCTATGTCCTTGGTTCGATTCAGTCCAGTGACTCGCTTCCCCAGAGGGTCGAACAAGCTGAAATGGACCAGCGCATCCTCCTGAAACAATATTGTTCACGTGTGCCTGTTACTTACTGGCATTCCCATGTAATCGGACAACGGTTTGTTTGTCTTCCGGCAGTGTTGCATGAGTTCGGATCTGAAAACAACAAAACACTCGTCATGCGAGATAGCTACTCGCTATTGAGCGTACGTGCTCAACAACAGATCTACATAGCTTGATTCTAGTTAGATCGTTAATGTGTGAAAAAACGAACGAAAAAGCTACTTTAGTTCACCTAACACAACTTACACACTGCCGTAAGAGACATGAAATATTGGCCTTTGTTGTATATTAACCTTGGTATTAAACGTGTCCCAGGTTAGGTGTGGTACATGTCCACCTCGTGTGTACACCATGAAGGTGGGTGTTTGATGGTCTAATATACATTGCATTTTGTCGTCGGGATCGATTCGTGAAGGCAATCCCCATTCAGTCAGACGTCCAATTCGAGCTAAACCACAATGTCTCGAGACCACAAATTTAACCATCAAAGGCCCGAGGCAAGAGATCTAGAGGTATATTAAGTATAAAATGCCAGATTTATAGCCTTTTTAAATCCCAAAATCATTTTAAAGAGAGCAATATAGTTCAAAAATGTCAGTAAGCACAAATATGATAAGATATAACACAATGCCACGAACATTGTCATCAACCATCCTTAATCACAAGTGATGTTATAGTTTATTAAACTGTATTCGAATAAATTAGTCGTCCTCCCCATCAGCATCCATATCTTCATCCTCGTCCTCACCCTCCTTCTTGTTACCGTAATCCCTGTACTCGGGCTTCAATTCCCACATATTCTTGTGAGGTTGGGTGCTGTTGTAGTTGGCTATGGTGACTAGGATCTCTTTAATGTAATTTGCGGGCTGTTGAGTGATTCTTTGGAGATCCGACAATCTAAAATACAAATCGTATTACTTGTTTTGGACAACAACATATCACATATTACAGTAAGTGTCTAGGGAACATGAATAAGACATAATAATGTAATATCTTATTGTGTTATGTATAACCAGTGTTTTGCCGGACCGGTCCGGTTGAGAATTTTTTCGGTCCGGTCCGGTCCGAAAAATTTTCGGTCCGGTCCGACTCTATTTTTTTCGCTCAGGTCCGGTCCAGTCCGGAAAATTTTTTTTTATTTTTAAAAAAAGCCAGGAGCGCTCAAACTGCTTTCTTTACGTTGAAAAACTCTTAAAAATATGTTTTATTTGCAATTTTTAGAACAATTTTATAAAAATAAAAAAAATTTTTTTTTCAGGACCGGTCCGGAACTTTTTTTTCGGTCCGGTCCGGAAAATTTTCGGTCCGGTCCGGACCGAGGTCCGGACCGGACGGGTCCGGCAAAACACTGTGTATAACGGAATACAGTAAATACCCATAACAAAAAGGTTTAAAAAATTAACAAAAATTCTTCCGGTCAAAAAGTAAAAAGAAAAATCCAAAAATATGATAAAAATAGCCGTAAAACAGTTTTTCCGCATACTTTTCGACCAATTTCCAAACCTTACCGGTAATACTGATGTTTTTCAAAGGCCTGGAACAACTCCTTAAGTACAATATCTCTTTCCACTCTGACCGATCTGACATTATCCTTCTTGGCCCGGTCTTTGGCCATGTGTTCTTGATGATACGAGGTCGGTTTGAACTTGACAACGGCCTTGTCCATCTGCTTTACAGTATGCTTGGGTTGACTGATCTTCTGAATCTGCTTGATCTTCATCCTCATGTAATCCACCGTAGCTGGAGGTTGACATTCTGCTCGTTTTACTACCTAAACATAGCATTATAAATAAAGTATCACATTAATATTTAATGGATACATAAAAGTTATCACCGCTATTATATTATCCATCACTACGCACTCCCAATCTTAAAGTTACCCATCTTTACAAACTTCTCAATCATAAGCAGCCTTACCCGTCCTTCTACAGTCAATTTGCCACTAATCTGATCAGCGTCTTCTTCCAACGCTGACTTGTCCTCCACCAGCACTGCCATCGTCTGATTGTCCAGATTCTTCATCAAGAATCTGTGTTCTTTGGGCATCTCCAGATTCTCCTTCTTCTTTCCTAAAGGCTGTAGTGTATCCCCCAACGCTCCTCGACTCGTGCTTTGCACAACATTAGTGACAACCGGCTTTTTGGTGTCAGAAGTTACTAAATCTGGGTTTGATCTGAAGACAACCGGCTGGCTTGTAATCAACGATCCCACCGTCTTTCCCTGATTCTTCTGCCAAATCTCAGACAGATACCTAGGTACTTTAACCAGCCACACTCCACGTGCTGCTCGTTCACATCCAACCGTTTCTGAGCTGGCTGGCCGCTTCTTGGATGAGCTCATACTAAAACAATATTATTATAAATCGTTTACTAATCCAATCAAAATTAAATATATTTTTTTCGAAATGCCTGCTTTATCTTCTACCATATAAAAATCCAACTATTTCAATATAAACTAAATCAAAATAGGTATAAAATGGAACAAACCAATTAATAAATGAACCAAACAACATATTAAAGGTAAGAAATTTATTAAGTATCCAAATGTACATAAGCGAATTAGCCTTTCTTGATCAACTCTAATAATTTAGCGTCTATCTCCTGATCCTTCCAGTTAGGTAATGGTGGCAAAGTGAAGTTACTCATCACATTCTTTATCTCGTCCACTTTCTCCTCACTCAAGTGAAAATCTTTTGACTTTGAATTGACTTTGAAATCAGAATCCTTTAAGTGAACTGCTTCTGCTTGCTCCAAAGCCTAAATTTTTATATAAAAGTTTAGATAGTAAACATTTATTAGCAGATAAAGTGATATTCTCTAAGTTAAATAACATATAATTTACCTTCTGAAACTCCTTTTGAATTGGAGCTCCAACAAAATCCAATTTCCTTAAAGATCCTTCTAAATTGTCTGCAGAAGAACTTTGAGGTATGTCTGAATCTACTACATTCTTTTCTTCTGCCTTAACTTCAGTATGTTCTTCTGCTTCTTCGTCTGATTCCCAAGTAGAAGGCACAGTTGTGTAACCTTCACGCCTTGCTTCATCGTCAGAATCTCCTGGTCCTTCATAGCCATCTAAAAACAACATTAATCATTCAAAACAGCTTTAAGACACTATAACAATAAAAATACGTTATTGTTGTTTTCCTTTTCTCTTCGTTATCTATCCTATCCTCGCTGGCTGAATGTTATGCATCTAAACACAAAAAATAACATAATTTACAGCTTCTTACCACTGTCCGTAAACTCGCCGTCCGACCCGGCTATGTTTATCGCACCAACGCCATTAAATTGAACATCAAATCCCACTTGCCATCCTTCCTGCTCAAACTCGTTTAAATCTATAATGATATCATTCAAAAAGCAACATTAGTGAAAAGTAAGATTGTTTGTACACTTAAAGTTACCTATTTAGTTACTTTTATCTGTATTATGTTAACTTTTCATAAACTTTTGCGTCAAAAAACCATTAAACCAAGATAAAAGAATAAAGGGCTACCTAAACATAAATTTTTAGTTAAATTACACATTACAGCTTTAAATAATTACCATCATCCGTCCTGAACTGTCGAGACGGCTCATTAGGTGTTGGTCCCATAGAACAATATTTCCCAATTTTTGGAGGAAAAATCTCGTGAAAAAAAATATTTTTGGTTAAAACGGAACGCCAAAAGCAGCGAATTTAGCGACGAAACGTTAGGTTTGAAGTTTTTAAACAAAAAATGCTAAATATCTGTTATTTTGAGGGAGAAGAGTAATAGTTTTGTTGTAAATTTTATTGTATATATCATGTTACGATTTATATTTTCTTATTCTAAAAGTCGCTTATTATAATTTACACTTTTATCAAGTTGAGAAAATTTATCGTTTTTTTGTTTTATACGTACTACACAGTCAGTTATATATTTTATATTTTAAGGTAAAGAAATCTACACAGATGGTATCAAAATACAAGTTCAACTATAAACTATAGAAGGGCTCGAGGCGAGCTATGATTTGACATTCAGAATCTGACAGATTCTATGAATGATAGAGCAACGAACTCTTAGATACTTATTGCACTTACAAAATTTTGTTGAGAAGTTGACTTAAATTTGAAAATAACAAAAAGATTTATTAAATGATAGTCCAAATCAAGTCATTTCTAATCTAAAATATGTGTACTTTGGTTTAAATATTTTTGAAATTAATAGCAGCATTGTGCTTGCGGATGAATTATTTTTATACTGATTTAGTTGAATTGTAGAAAAACAGTATTATGTTCATTAAAAGCTTGTACTAGTCTCAAGGATCTAAAAATACTAGTCTCATTGGACTTGAATTGTATTCAGACTGGTTAATACTGTTAATGTACGTAAATTTATGATAAGCCTCGTATGTCTTAAACTAGTTCTGCTTTTATTTTCAGGTTGCGCAAACTTTTGAGGTCGATAAATCAATTTTAAAAAACTCTAGAAATAGTTAAACAAGGTTATGCATATCTCCGCAGATCTTGTGTATAACGTGGTACATTGCGTATCTTGACGCACAAAGTCCGTACGTTAAAGGCTACCTCTTCCAATTTTAACAAAGTTCCGCGTTGTTCTTCACGCTAAAGTTCGGAATTTAAATTTAATTTAAAAAGCATTTTATGACATTGGTTTGCTACATGAAACACTTGATATAGCCAATACATACATTTAGGAGTATTTTATGTCATGTTTGCTATAAGAAACCTCATTATACAAGTCTTTTAACGGGCTAGGAGTTTTCATATCTTACTGTACATAAAAATAATTTACAGTAGTTTTTGTAAAATTTTTATTGTAATCAATGTCTGGTGAGTGATAGACAACCTTTTTATAATGAAAGTTTCTTGGCCGCTCTTTGTAATAGAACTTGGATAGTGTAATATCCTGATTATAATGGCACTTTAGCCCGCTTCCATTAAGTGCCATACTTAAGAAGTTTGACTGTAACTTTATTCGAAATGCCCATCAAGTTTAAGTGTAATATTTATTCAATTTACAATGTTTAAACACCGGGTTCACTTAAATATGCATATCTTTAACGTCATCTTGAATTATGGGTTACATCACCGTATCGTATGTAAAAGTATATTCTGTTTTAAAAAAAGTTCCTCTTTCTTCAGAGGATATTGTTGTAATTGCACAGTTGAACGAGAAAAAAGACAAGGCTTAAAATGTACATACACGTATTAATGAATGACGTATGGTTACAATATTAAGATATACCGAGTTATCATAGGTACAATACAAAAGATATATTGACTAATAAGTAAACATATAAAGGTATAGGAACGCAGTACATGTTACATATACTAACCGTCAAAGATATGTCGACTTAACTGTATATAGTTATATATAAAGTATAAAAAGCAAAAAAATATAGTAAACTAGACTAAAAGCAGCTTAAAGTGCTATTTCACATTGACTAACATGAGTTCGCTTTAATAATAGATAATTTACATAAAGAAACTGTATGTACAATAATTTACATTAATATACAAGTTAAGCATCCAGGTTACAACAATGTAAATGCTGGATGAGTTGCTGTTCATCGCTTCGATTTACTGAAATTAGCAATGGTAAAATACGGGTTTTATACAAAATTAAATAAACAAACTTAAATTGAAGAGCTTGAAATTTAAAAACAAACTGTAAAGAGTTTTTTCCATATAAATAAAGTAACCAAAAAGTCAAAATTTAAAATATGTAAAACAAGATCGTTCGTTCGTTTATTAGCTTTGAATTACAGTATATGACTAGTCCTAAAAGCAAAAGTACTATATTGTCTATGCTCTTACATTTCTCAGTCCGTCGCTCGGTAAGAAGCCTGAGACTTGGCTCTGTTGCGGTAACGTGACAGCCGACTGTTGTGGTCGAGAGTTGGCCATTTGCTGGTAGTTGTCTCGGCTAGATTCGTTAGCCATGCCCATCAAAAAAGACGATCCAGCACATGCGAATGACATCGTTTTAGATTGTTAAAGGGTAACTGGAGGGTACTGTAGAAAAAAGTTGTGAAAACTGTAGGTGAGAGTACTGTAAGCTCTAACCAATCTAAAAATTAAAATAAAAAATTGATTTTGGCAGTAATTTTATAGTATGCCGCGGTAAAACATCATATTTTGAAAAAGATTCTTGTAGACGTTCAGGCTGGCATTTACTTTACAATGTTAATACAGTACGTATCGGTTACAGTATATGTAAGTAATTACAATTTTTACAATAAAAAGGCTCAAAAAATTAAATTTTAAATTTCTCACAAACTTTAAAAACTTAAAGCTATTAAAAGCGAGATAAAATAAAACTTGTTAATTGCATAAGTAAACCTTGCTTTTATTCTCAAGTTTTTTGATTAATCTTGCTGTAATCAAGAGTAAAATCTGTTGAGATTAAAGAAAATAGTGTCATTTTTCACATACATTTTGTATAAAAAGTTTTCTTAAATTTGATCTATTAATAAATCGCACCTCTGAAATGATATGCGTAGATCCGAGTTGAGGATAAACGTTTACTTCATACTCCAAATACATACCTATGGTAGAGTTTTTGATACCAAAAATCTAAAGTAATCATTTTGATAAACATGACTTTTTCTTTATCTAAATTCCCTTTTCTTGGGCGCAGAGATACTTATATATAGCAGGGGTTGACAGAAAGCTAGGACAGGGTAGGGTGCTTAAAGAGACTAATGTTTTCCCATCAGGGCCAAGCGGGGGGGGACTTTTATTCTGGGGACGGGGGTCGAAAAAATCTGCACGGGTACCTCAGCCGATTTTTTGCAAAAAATTTTTTTTTCAAAAAGTCCACAGGGGGACTACGTTCAACTTTTCTTATTAACCAGTGGTTAAAAGCAATGTTTAAATAGTTTCAATTAAGTTTTTGAAATAGTTCTGTGCCCCTAATTACAAAAATTTGCTTTTAAAGAGAGCACAGAATTATTTGAACAACTTAACATAACCATAACGTTCCTATACATATAACCAGGGACGTCGATTTTCTCTGAGGGGAGTCACCTCGACACCTCGAACTACACCCACCCCATTAAACAACACCAAAACTTTTAAAACGCATAATCGTAAAAAATCAAAAAATTTGCAAAGATCTAGCCGTTGCAACTGCCATTACTTCAATACAGTTTACTTTGAGCGGCCACTTTGCTCTTTCTAGATCTTATCTTTCAAATGAACACTAGTAAACCATTTAAAACATTTAACAGCTACTGTCATTTTATGAGTTTGTCAATGGCTTAAAGATTACTGTCGTTTTTAAGCACTACTTACTCTAAATTTATAGTTTTAAAAAAACTTAAAAATACAGTAACTTTAAGCTCTTCAAAATAGAAAAATCGCAAGAATTTTATGACTCAAGGAAAACAATAGTTACTGTAGACTAAACACAAAAAAATAAATAAACAAAGCACACTGAAACTTTTGTATAACAAACTTATATATAACGAAAACCCTGTATAACAAACAGCATTAAGGTCTTCTAGCAAATCACTATACAGAATTGCCCTGTAATATATCTTTATTACGCAAAGATTCAAAATTACAGTACCTTAATAACTATAAATCAATACAAAAAACAAAAACCTTTTCAATTTCTAAAAGTGATACAAAAGAGACCATTCGAATTTTAAAGTATATTTAGATTCTCACTTCGAAGAGCTTAAATAGAGAAGCAGGCTTCACCTTCGTAGGCGGTTTCCGTGTCGTGCAGATTTGCATATGAACGTTGCAGTAATCTGCTAGGTTCAAAACGGTCTTTTCCTTAATTCAAAGGCTATATCAGGAAGAGTGCTTGTGCACATTATTCAAGGCCAAAGCGTGGGCTCCAGAAACAGTGGATGATACCGGGAACGAAGGGATTAACATTGCATACGATGAACGTTTAGATGTTTTACCGTTTTGGTGTTGTTTTAAATTGGTGATTTATTCGGAGGGTTGGGTGGGCTTTGTAAGGCACACTTTTTCCATAAATGTACATATAGAGTAAAACTATATGTTCTGAAGAAGAGAAGAGAGATACAAATTAAAATGCAGGGTGCCTTCTGTTTGTTACAATCCAGGAATAACATAACATACTTTCTGAAAATAAAACACTGGGCAGGGAATGACCAAGGGTACGTTTTGTCGACAAATTCATTTTAACCTGTATAGAGTAAAAGGTTTACAATGCACATCTTGTGCATACGCCTATAAGAGACGTAGGAACTTGCAAACATTTTTAATTGAATTTTTTCTTACCCGTAGTCTCTTAGTTTAAAAATATTACGATTTTGAAAATTTTTTAATTTTTTTAACCGACAGCACATATGACATAAAACAACTTTTTCAGCTTCGGTAGGTGAATTGGGCCGCGATCGAGAAACTGGCTCCAACTGGTGACTTACATTCTTTGTGATGTATTTTGTTACAAAGTACATTTTACTTTTAAAAATTATTTTTAAGAAGAAGAGCAAGAACTTTAAAAGCGATTTGATTTGATTCTCGATAACTTTTGTTTTAAATATATGTTTTTCGCAAGTATTAGTTAATTTACTTCAATTGAGTAAATTTTATATTCTTTAGTAAGTATTTTTGTTTTCTATAACGAGTGTTTATGTTTAGAGGACCTTGTGAGTTTGATAAGCGGTATACTATAATATAAAGTGGGATTTTTCAAAAGGTTCAAGGAGTTATCTGACTTTAACTTTAAAACAATTGTAAAACCGTAGCTCAAGCAAAGTGTAGAGTTTGTCAATGCGGATGTTATACTCAAGAATAGTTTACGAAACCAGGTTTAAATACAACAGGTAAACGTGGCTATCTGAATCAACGATTAATTTTATCTTGTTTATGGCGTTTTAATCTTTATTTATTTCTTCCAAATTTTAAATTTTTTAAATAGTAATCTCCGAAGATTTAAAAACGTTTAAAAATCAACTGTTTAATGTTTATTACCACTTGTATTTACAACAAAATCCTTTTTTACATTACATTGACATGTACAAAATATTGCATTAAAGATCACCGTCTGAAACCAACTCTATAGCCACTGCCTTGACTCCAACTATTGCCATAACCGAACAAGTTACTGTAGGAGTTGCCTTTGGAGAACTGGTAAGCACTGTAGGGCATTCCACCGTATCCACCATATCCTGAAGACAAAATGAACTTTTTAAAATAATTTCGAAATTCGGGTATTAATACAGTGTCCTTAGGACATGTAGGGTAAGGGCAGGGCTGATAGAAAGCCTGGTCACCCCGTAGTAATGTTTTTTTTCTACAAAAGAGTAAGAAGAATTATTTATACGTTTTAAAGTGAATTACTTACCCATTCCATAGCTAGGGTACATTCCATATCCGCCATATCCACCATAGCCTCCGTAACCTCCATAGCCATAAGCATTTACTGTGAACATACATAACAAAAGAAGAGCAGCTGTTACGAATTTTAGCAATTGAGACATACTGAACTTGTTTACAGCAATTAGTTACAGTACTATGTTGTACCTTTAAGTACTAAAAGCTTACAATTAGCAGTCTCTTTTGATACTTGATATAAGTAGTAGTAACTTTAGTACCAAAGTACCTTTTAGTTTTAGATACAAAGAATTTTCACGACAAAAAGTCAGTAAAACTTTTTTTAAACATACAAAATCAAGCCGTAGCTACAATACGTTTGCTAGTCCTTATATACAATTCTTTACCACAAGTGCAACCTTGGCCGACTTGCAGTCGATTCGCTAAATTAGCCGTGGCTGGCGCGGGCTGAAAGTTCAGTCAACAGTTTTATGATATTTAATTGTTGTTGTTTTGATGGAGGTTGTCAGGAGTGTTGAAAGATGAATCGATGTAGTTTGCTGGAAGAAGGTTGAACTATAAATTTGTGACAAAAGTGCGTGACATCATGATGGAGCAGCGTGATTTCGTGGTAGGAGTGCAAACTGAGTACGGACAACATTTTAACAAAGTTCAGTAAACGCTTTCCACGTTGGCTAAATAAAGTTTTGTTCAGCGGACTTTTAGGTTTCGAAAAACTGCTAAAACAACTTTTATTTTCGATCGAAACCCGGAAAAACATAAATAAACTCCGAATTTTGATGCTTTTAAGCAAAAGTATGCATTTCTTAAAACTTTTTTAAGAAAATATGACAGAAAGTATACTTTTATTACAAAATATTACTTTTATACCATATTTTCAACAAAAAATGATAATTTAGACAGCCATAAACTTTCCATTTTGGTCGAAACATGCAAAAAGACCTTTAGGGGGCACCCGGATTTGAACCAGGGACCTATCGATCTGCAGTCGATCGCTCTACCACTGAGCTATACCCCCCCGCCTTCAAATCCAAACAAAGGAGATCCTTATCAGAACTCCATTGTCTTTTTTTAATGTTAGGCGTTTAAATGATTTTATTTACAATTAACAATATACTAAATGTTAATTGTAAACCAAGGCCGCTTACGTTGTAGTTCAAGGTAACTTACATAGTGATTCTAGTTAACTTATACTTAATTTAAGGTAACTTTTACTGTTATTTTTCGCTGTAATGCAAGTCAAGTTAAGTTATATTGTTTACAAAATCAACGTGAATTAAACTGAATCAACGGTGCAATATAATGGTAATTTTTGTTCAAGGTAACTGTAAGATGTAAAGTGTTACCTAAATAGCCCACTCTACTTACAATTGATTGTTAATCTCTTACCAGTCTATATTTTTAAATGTAGACTTTGTATTTGACAAAACAGCTAGCCAAAACACCTTCCCGAGCCAATATTGGAAAATAGTTTGTTACTTTTCAACATTACTTTGAATCGCTTTTCGCCCAATTTTGATCCGAAAACGTTTGACGCGGAATTATACGGAAGGTCGGCCGCTGTAACAGTGGGAATACCCACTGTTTAAGGAAGACAGTAATGTTTAGCCATTCCGACGGTAATGTTTAGCCAAAGTTCGCCAAATCTTTCCAATTTCGGGCACTTTTACTTTGGTATTTCAAGGATAAGACGAATTGATGACAATATAAAAGGAAAGTAAAGTAAACAATCTACATTACAGTCGTTATACTGGTTGTTGTGGGCTACTACAGTCACTGTACTGTTCATCGTTGCCTGTTACTGTTACTTTTCATCAAAAAGCTTTACTTTGAAGTTACTCTACTACAAACTCTTCTCAGTTACAGTCACTACAAACAGTTGTTACCTATTTGTTTTCGACTGTTCCAGAGGAGTTATTGATTACATTCCGTCAGCTGTGGTTAGTGGTTTACTGTTTCCAATCACTTATTGACTACATTCTTCATTCTGTTGTTATTAAACCAGAAAAACATAATACTCGGTCAAACTAAAGTTATTTTACTACCCTTATAGATACTAGTTTGATATATAATCAGAATTATACCGTCCAGAAACATGAAGAGTAACCTATTGTTAGTCATTTTGTGTTTCTATCTTGTAGCCACGTGCCAGGCCCAGATGCCACCCTGTCTATTGTGTATGTATGGTGGCCAGACAAACTACAACAACTTTAGAGGAGGTATGTTTACTTTGTTGTTGTAGGTAATGGTACCATGTAATGCATTATATGTTTTCTCATTTATTCTTACATTGTCTTACTGATAGCTTGCTAAATTAGTAGTTGATGTTATGGTACTCTAAAGACTAAACGATACGAATCCTTTTAGGACCTTTTGGATACGGCGGGCGTAGAGGAGGTATGAAGTACAACACCCTACAAATCCTAGGTATCCCTATCACTAGCTATGAGTACGGTAACTCCAAGTTTGGAGCTGGTCCATTTGGAGGAGGAAGGTTCAGTAATGGTGGCAGAGGCTTCTTTATCGGTCGTAAATAAGCTACATTGCTGAAAAATCATATATATCTTACTGTTTACCGCCTGTAAGCAGTACGATATAAGAGTTTAACTTAGTATTACAATACCAAAACATACCACACAAAGTTCCACCATACTATGACCTAGTTCTCAGTACATTGCTATGTTAAACTGCTGATCTTTTCTATTGCCATATCACCTTATTATGACACGTACTGCCTTAGTACACGTAAAACTAAAACTCTTGATGCCTGTTCTCATGTACATACGTATACCATTGTTATTTGTTTGTTATACATATTTTTTAATAAAGATGATGTTTTTGTACAACTTTTACCATGATATACATGTTAATTACAAATCAATTTTAAAAATTTGAAGAATAGTGTTTGATAGAACTGTTTGAACGTTTAGTAGTAGTAACTGCTAACTTAGTTACATTGTGATTCAACTGTTTAATGCGACCAAAGGTTAATATTTTAAGTTGTTCGTAAAATGCTTTACGATACTCATCACTAAAAAATTTGTCAGAGGATTAATCACACCCAAATATTTTTCAATTTACAAGCAATAACTGTGATAATTTACATAATATTAAAATCAAACCCTTTTAGTATGCCACTAAATAGACTGGTATAAACCTGTCCTTATAAACAGAGGCCGCACTACCCAAGTAATGTACTTTTTTACTACACTACTTAACACCTCTTACCTGCAAGCAAAGTAGATGACATAATTCGAAGCCAATCCCAAATTGGCAGCCCATCCAACATTCATATGAATAAAGAAAAGATCAAATTCTTTTGGTTGTGTTACAGTAGTCGTATAGAACATTAGTGTAAAAGCCACCATAAACCATCCAAATACCGTGGTTATCATGATAAACATAAGTGATCTGATAAACCTTCTGATGGCTTTTCCAAGCTTTTTTGATCGCACAACAAGACCAAGGATAATATAACATACGATAACCAATATATACAGTATGGTTTGAGCTGACGACCAATATGCTTGTGCTTTCCCTACGTACATTTCTGCTATCATACAGACGACACTACTATAATATTAGGCAAATTATTTAAGTGCAATATCTCAAAATTATTATATTTATACCTAAATATCCTAAATGTCGGGTCATTAGTTAATACAATTTATGTTATATTAGAACCATTTTTGTGACTTTAATTCATATGAAATCAAAATATTTTAAAGTATAATACAAGTTAATGACATCAAAATCGAATTAAAATAACACAAAACCCACTCATTGTTATGTACCACTACACTTTTATGACATATGTACAGCAGCACAAAACCATAAATCATCTGAGGAATCATGAATATCAACAAGTAGGTGTTCAACTTAATCCTCGCGTATCTAAATTTACATTTTATAACTTAAACACTGTATTTTTCAACAGTTAGTGTAATAAGATTCCCAAAAATTATGTTTTACTCACAAAAACAATCTTTACCAAACCCGAATTACCGTGCATAACCCACAACAACAATTACTTACATTACTGGCGCAGTAATGCAAAACAGTCTGTCGACGCCAATGGATAACGTCAGAATCGAGCCATAGTTCATGTTGAATAGTGGAAGAATGTTCAGATAGTAGCACCATTGCAGGTTCTGAAAGGCATTTCCAGTTACATAGTAATAGGCGAAGATGAAGTGAGATCCTTGATGAAACACGTCTGACAGAGCTCCACAAGCTACTATAATATTGCACGCTGATCTGAGAGAGCTGAAATTACAGAATGTTATAATGTTATCCTAGCGATGATAAGAAGAAAACCTTCTATAGTGCTGCAGTAGCACTGAAAAGTTGTCGATAACATCAGAATATAAACTTTAAGCGTTTTGCCAACTAAAATACTTTCGTTGCGGGACCCAGAAAAGCGGGCAATGACTTGTAGAAAATATTTTCTTGTGAAATTTCATTTCGAAGTATGTTTGTAAGTCTATTGTAATTTGTGTACGATTTATTTTTCCTACTGCCGACAGAATTTATTATGTTTTTGGTGAGTCACAAGTAAAAGTAAGTTTTTGGTTTTTTTTCGTATTTTTAGAACTCTGGTTAAGTAAAACAAATGTGAAAAATATTGTTCATGAACATGTTTTTTTATCTATAAAAATATTATTACTGACTATTTTAAATACAGGTTAATGAAGTTAAATTTTCAAAACAATTTAACATGCTTAAAGGTTCGAAAAGGTCTCAAACTTGCAAGTTTATTACTCAATTTCAATATACAGAGGCGTTATTAAGTATTAAGTTTATGAATATGCGGACATTTCAAAGAATTGAAAGACAAAAAATTGGCTAGCCACCTTACCGTTTTCTGCAGCTAACGATATTACAATTTCCAAAAACGCCAATGATAGCCAGCAAGATGGTTATCACAACTCCTGGGTACAAGGACAGGTCATACGCGTTGAATGTCATTTCACGTGTGATATACTAACTGTAGTTGACGATAATAAATGCAGTTAATATTAAATTACCCTAATGGAATTGCACTTTTTACTCCCGCTCTTGGTAGACTGTTAAACCTTGTTTGCTATTACTTTTACAAGTGATATCAGCCAAATTTTGGCTCGGCGTTAGGCTTAAAAAGTAACATTGTTTTGCATAACTAAAGCAATGGTCTTAAAAATGCTATATATATAAACTATAACTATCTGGATGAAAACTTCTAGACCGGAATAAAGATACCTTCTTGACTGAACTTAATTGCTTGGCTTGGTACGGTCGTTTGCACGGAGCTTAAGTCACGGTCTGATTGCTTACTAATAAGATATTTTTTTAGTAGCATACCTTTTTTGATATGTTTTTATATCCAGAAAATTGATCTATGTATTCAGTTACAAAAAACATAGATACTTGTAATAATATGCAACGTTAATTTTGAAAGTCAGATTTGTTATTTATTTATCTTTTAGTAATAATCAAAAACCAGTATTCGAGGACATTTGCAAGAAAGTTATCTTTCGTCTGCCTGGCTTCCATTGCCCGCAGGTCAATATGCTCAGTTGACCAATGAAAGCTGTACGATATTCGTTGCTGAAAGTTTTTTTAAAATTGTTTAAAACTTTATATAATAACGAGACTTCGTTTTTTAGTTTCGGGCAGTATATTAGAGCCACTAAAGATTATTTATCAGAGCCGTTTAATTTATTAAAAAAACTATATATAACTTACTTAAAAACAAAGTAAATGGGGTAGTTGGCAGCTACCCCAACATTGATCAACCATCCCATGTTCATATGCAAATTAAAGGCCTCATTCGGTGTTATCACTGGATGCAGTTTAAAGTAAAACGAGTGGAATATACCCACAAACACCCAGCCAATCAGCAATGTCATCATGATGACACTCAATGACTTTATGAGCGTCTTTGAAGACGTTCGTATCTTCTTTTTAGATACAGTGATCCATAGCGTACTGTATACAATGATGGCTGCTAGATACACTACAGCCTGGCTTCTGTAGACATCTGATACGCCTACGAACAGTTCAGCTATCATCATGATTGTTGGTCTGAAATATGTCAAAGGTTATTGTTGTGACAAAAGCGACGTTTCTGTTTGGCTGTTCTTGGAAAAGGGTTATATGTAAAGTGTAAAGTTTAATATAGATTATAATATGTCATTTTATGTCTTGTACCTTAAAATGAACCTGTAGGTAACATGTTTTGACACTGTACTTTGTTTTTTGGTTATAGTATAACATTTTAAACTGTATTTTATTTTCGAAGTGCCTAAACACTAGGAAAATTACATGTCTTTTAAGGTTTACATTATTGTACATATTTCACAACATACCGTTCTCTGTCTTCTTTAACTTTTTCGTAACATGACAACAGTAAACGGATGCTGTATAGTGTGGGAGGCAGTAATGTCACAAACCAATATAACTTCAGATTCACCTTGTTGTATCTAAAAATTGTAATTTTAATATAAATTTTTGTTTGAATTGATAAAAATCGATTAAAATATGTCACATTTGATAAAAGTAAAAAAATAAGCTTACTGATTAGGTATTAGTACGCAAAACAACCGGTCGATTCCAATCGAAAGTACCAAAAACGCACCAAAAAAGGCATTGAAAGCAGAAGTAGCAAGGATTTGAAAACAGAACGTTTTGGAACGATAGGGATTGCCTGAGAAGTAAAAGTAAGCAAAGACAACGTGAGCAGCTTGATGGAGAATATCTGTGAGAGCAGTCAGGGCTATGATAACATTGCATGGGTGTTGGAGGCGTCTGAAATGTAATTTGGAGATAAGGCGAGGGAACTTTTGAATGTGGCTTTTGAGTAGGGATGAAAAAAGGGTCGGACCTACTTTTGAAGCTCGGCTTAGGCCCCAGCCCAAGCTTTAGGCCCGGGCAGTTTTTATTTTTTCTCAGCTTAATTTGGTCTAACAAGTTATAGAGCCGGCCTAGAGGGTGGACTTCAAAATTTACCTTTTTCTAATAGTAGCCCAAACAATGTTGACATTGCCAAAAATGCCAATGACAGTCAATAGAAATGTCAAAAATAGCCCTGGAGCGATTGATAAGTTATAAGGATCTAGCCTTTCAGCAACCATATCAGTATCAGTTAATGAATCAACTTATAAGATATACTGAATATATAATACATATATATAAGGAAATATATGTATAAAATATATATGTAAGTTTATTTAGTTCCAGAAGGCGAAAAGTCATAAAGCCAAGGAAATGGCATTAGCCTACCTAATTCAATTTTATTTAACTATAATTGACTGTAAGACAAGCCTTCTAAACACTGTACAATATAGTACTATGACTTGACAAACAACATCTTGTCATAGTATAACGTTGATAATCAGCACTTTTACTGTGTAAACACTCTCAGTTTTAATTATGACCTATTTTTACTACACTGTAATTTTAAAGCACGTAAATAGACTGGAGATGTTCTCTACAATAATAAAGTGGCACTCATATATAATACTAAAATATGAAAATGACAGTTATTATAAAAAAATTATATTAAGTTATCATATAAACATGTTATGACTCTATGGCTTTCCAATACAGTGTAGTTTACTCTGTTAATGCACTGTAGCGGTATTAATACTATTGGAAGTGTGAAGTTTCGATGTGACTCTGGTCGTTTCCCATGCCCCTTTGGCGATGGGTCGAAACGTAATTATGTAAAGCTGTTCTGTGAAGGCTCGGCGATATTCTTCACTGAAATGAGGCACAATTGACGCATTTTACTGTGTAATGTAAAACCTATTTTTAATTGTTTTTTTTGGTATTTATAATGCATGGTAAGATAATTCCTTGTTTTACATAGTAAAAACAAAGGTCTTTCGTATTTCGCAAAGTATACTGGGCTACAGTACGTAAGGGAAGGGGAGAAGATGGTTAACAAAGAACTTTATACTTTAATAACTAAAACATTCGAATATCTTCACATTGGAACATTGACAAGATTAGTTATCAAAAGCAAAACTTACTTAAAAATAAAATAAATAAAATAGTTAGAAGCCACGCCAATGTTAATAAACACCCCCAAGTTTATGTGGTAAAAGTAGGTATCAAAAGGCGTAGTCTCAGTCACTATACTATCATGCACTGCAGTAAAAGCACCAACAAACAGCCAGCTGATTACTAATGTTACCATTATCAAACTCAGAGACTTTATCAGTTTCTTTGAGGTTTTACCGACACCTTTCTTGGCCACAACTATCCATAGAAGACAGTATACGATGATGGTAACTAAGTATATGATCGCTTGAGCTGCGTGCCAAGCATTGTTGGCTTTGTTTATAAAGATTTCGGCTACCATGCCTACTACAAGCCTAAAAGTAGGTATTTTTTACTTGAGTATGTTCTTGTGACTACTGTAACAAAAGAAACAGGTAAAAATCATCTTATTTTAGAGTAATCTCTATTTACAATTGTATGTACTGTTTCAAACCTTTATATTGTTGTTTATGCACACTAATCAGCAAGTTCAAGCCGAATGCAGTAATGGTACATAGTGTTTCAAAAGCTCAATATTAAAACCAAAAAGTAATGTAAAAGTAACTCACATCTCTTGATTGACAACCACTTCATCATAACATATCTTAATCATGTAGGCACTGTAAACAGTCGGTGCAGTCATGGTAATTACTATATATAACTTGACGTTGAGTTTGTCATATCTAAACATTGGTCCGCACATTAATCATACACCTGTTTCGACAAACATTATACTGAGAAAGGTTAATAAACTCAAATTAAGTTTGACATGTTACTGTGCTAGGTTTAAAAGGTTTTTTTGTTGGTTACATCATGTTGTAAGTGCTACGCAATCTTTAATTTGTTGAATATCATAACGCAAATTGCAGGCTATTTATATTTTACAGTAAACATTGTTTATGAAGCCAGGAATTCTTCCCTACTCTTCACCTCCTTCTGATCTAATCATCTTGTGCTATTGTTTTCAAAAACTAGTAAAACTCGCTTACATTCCAGGAAAAGATATACAAAACAATCGGTCGATTCCAATCGACAGCACTAAAAAGGCACCAAAGCAGACGTTGAAGGCTGATACGCAGAAGATACGAAAGCACAGTGAAAGCGGCCGGAACGGGCTACCTGACAAATAAAAATAGGCAAATATAACATGAGCACCTTGATGTAGCACATCCGAGAAGGCGGTTATGGCTATTAGAAGGTTACATGTTGAATGTAGGCGGCTGAATTAATGATAAGTACGATTATAGTTACAGTGCAATGTGTTACGATTCAGATAAAATATAAAACCAAACTATAATACAATCATCTTAATATTACTCAATTTACTATCATTTTAACATTACTTCCCCTAATTATTTAAAAAATACAGACCATCCAATCAAAGCTTACCTCTTCCTCTGAGTAGCCCAACATATATTTGCATTGCCAAAGATACCAACCAACGCGAATCCAATAGTCAAAACAACCCCTGGTATCACAGTAGGTTTATATGCATCGACACTCTCCATGTTAGAGCAAAACTACCATGACTTTCCCAACAGGTGTATATGACCAAGGAAGCAGTGACTGCTTAAACGTATTTATGGTAATTTACTCATACGATTAATATTTAACAGTGTAACACAAGTAACACGATCGGATACTTTTAAGGATTTGCAAAACACTATTTTTTGTTGCAGTAGGAGGTTATACTGTAGGAGTATCAGTATAACCTCTCAGTGCAAACAAGGATCATAAAATGCAGTATAACATCATATGGAAACAGCATAGTATCGTTCTGCAGCGTTATACAAATAAAATTGTAAAATTCGTGTTTTATACTTTAACTTTACCAAATTTTCCTATGGCATCATGATATCATTCAGTAAAATACCCAGGTACTAAGAAAGGGCTTCTAGAAGCTGAGAAAAGGCTAAAACAAGTGCCCTAGTGTCGTTAAAAACTCAAAAGCTAAAAAGTTACTACTCTAATAAAGGTACTATTATATTACTTTAACTACCGAAAATGATTTGCTTAAATGGTCTGTCAAATGTATGACACATTAATATTAACTGTTTGCAAGAATTGCAATGTAGAAATAATCCTGTAAGTATAATATACTATAACGACGGCTATTGTGAACTGTAATTTTTGATGACTGACAGTAATTGAATATGAATTTATATTTAAATTATTCACAATTTAAGAAAGTTAATACGCGTAGTACTAATTAAAAAATTAAAATATTTTACATTTTCTGACAATATAGTGAAAGCCAAACTGCAGTCAAAAGTATATAAAAATATTGTGTAGTATAAACCGTACAATTTATATGTCAAGCAGCTTGAAATTGTATAGTAAAACCGTTTTATTGTAGTTTTTGGTTTAGTTTCCTTCATTTTACAAAAGGAAGATAGAAAAATATAGTATTTTTAACCCAGATGGTACTAGACAACTATCAAAGTTTCGAGTTAAATGTAATTGCAATTGCAACACCATTTACTTAACAAATATCTTTAAATTTTGTACATTGACATAATAGTAACGCTACCAAAGCTCAGCGTTTGAAGGAGGAAGCAGTGGAGAAAGAAACCGCCTCTGCAAAGAATTTTGTCAAAGATTCACCATAGCGTGGTCTATCTTCTTGTACTTAAAGGAACCTATAATACAAAAAAAACGATGGAAGTTAAGAAGTAAAAAGCAGTTACAGTAAAGTAATTTTAACAGAAACAACAAAATAGTTCCAAAATAAGTAATTTGTTCACTAACAATAAGCTTCTTAGCATCAACATTGCAATTTTTTCAGTTTTGATCCATTTCCGCCGAAAAGTTTTGTTTTTATCCGAGCTGGATATTGGTCTGAAACTAACGGTCTAGGAAAAACACTGCTGACCAGTATTAACTAAAAACGTTTCATATACATGACATGTCTAATGTGCAAAATTGCACTTTTTGGTACCTACTTCCTTATTAGAAAGAAAGTCTAATCTGCGTGCGCTATTGCCTTTTATTAAATTTTAATCCTTATTTTTTAAATTTTTAGAGTATTTAAATCAAATTTTAAATTATGCACTTTTTATGTTATTATGCATCCATTTTATACTATTTACTTAAAATTTCTTTTACACTAACTTTATTAACAATAAACAACCTTGTCCTACATTTCTAATCAAAGCCAGCTTTTCGTAAGCATTTGGAAGTGGACGGTCGGTGTTTCATTCTTTTCGACCAACAGATTCTTGCCATTCAGACCCTCTACCTGCCAGTGCGTAGCATGTGAATGTTCTATTTGCAGAGCATTAAGAATGGAACGACGCATTGTGTTGTGAAACCAAATATAGACAAGCGGGGTCAGGGTGGCGGTGACTGCACAGGTGGGTGGAATGATCAACAACATGGCCTCCATGAAGTGGCTGGTGAAGGCTGACCACACGGCGCCGGTCAGGACGAAACCGTAGAAGGTCTGTCTGAAATGAATAAAACATAAGAGTTTTACTTGAAGTTATCTACCTTAATATAACCTTTAAATCATTTTCTACTAAGTTAGTAAAAAAATATAGTAAAAAAGCCCCAACATACGTCACAGAAGTCAACAAAGCCACAGGCATCAACTGCTTCCCTGTCCTCACATTTTCAGCCAACTGATACCGTAGTGATAATGAATGATGAGTAATATCAACACCAGTGTTGTAGTAGTACTGGTTGTACTTGTAAAGTGCCACAAATATTAAAAATGATATTATGTTAATAGCACCACCTGCAGCATAGTACACTACCAACCAGTACTTGTTACCTTCAGCTTCTGACCGAAGTTTAGCCACAGGGCCTGACAAATCAAAGTTTGTCAGAATATCTTCAGTGTAGAAGGCTGCCAGAAGATTGAGAATCCACTAAAAGACAAGATTAAATATGTTTTAGCTTTTTGACTTACAACATAAAAAAACTTTTTTCTCCAATACAAATAATTTTAATACTACTGTAAACATAACTTACCGAGACCAGAACGAAGCTGAGAGCATATGCCATATACCACGACCGTCCAACTTGTTCGTACTTTCTGCTACTGAAGCTGGCGACGATTCTCTCCCCGACTAATGGTATTACCATGAAAGTATTTACATTCAGAGCAGCATCACGTAGTACGTCGATGACAGATTTGAGTTCTCTCATGTCATACGGCAGATGGTCGATTATATTGTCGCTTAGTAAAGCGGAGAACTGAGCTACTATCAGAGAAAACGAGTTCAAAGCCTAAAATGAAGTTATTTTATTGTTATCAAAGCTTTACTAATGATACGTCGTATATAATAGTGATATAGTAATTTTTACTGTGGTGAATAAGAGTTTTTCGCATATTTTTAAATTTTAAAACTCTTTCGCCGTGTTTTGTACCAATAACTACACTTATTGCCAACGTTCTCACGTTCAAAGTTAACAACAAAGACCATTCTTATTATTACTATATTATACACCACAATCTTACTATGTAATGCTATGTGAAAAACTAAGAAACATACCAATATGATCCTCATATTCAAGTGAAAGTACTCTCTTCGCAACATATTCAAGAAGATGAGATTAAAGAACACCGCTCCAACGTTGAAGATGAATTGAATGGCTTCGGAAAGGCCTGCTTTCCATGTTAACATCATCTGCAATGTAAGGATGATAGAGACAGAGTACACATGAGCAACTACGTTACAACTACAATAAATTTTGTGGCAAACATCTTGTTATTAATAAAAAGATATCTTATGACAAAACGTTTCTTTACACGTAGAAAAGCTCGTTATAGTCAACAAATACGTGTAAAGTCCTGATATCTTTACGTATCTTTTATAAACTTAGCATTGTATACGCAAAATAAGATGATATGTTTTAAACAAATGTAAATCGAAGAACGAAGAGTTACATTTCATATTCTGATATTAAAAACAAAAGATACAAAGGCTGTTTACATGAATATATACATCATACATGTCACACAGGAAAAGCGTTCACATATATTTCAAAGTTGAAGTAATATTTTACATTCGTATCACAATATAATATTTTACATTCGCATCTTAATCTTTCTTCTTCTATAATATAGGTCTACCATCGGCTTCCTAAACTAAAGATCTTATTGAAGCAATATCACAGTACAATCAACGTTCTCTTATAAGATTTCTTATATTATCACTTTACTGTAGTAATTTAACCATATCATAAAAGATTTACAGAATGTTAACGATAATGTAAGCTAATTAATGCGTCTACAAGCTTGTATTAAGTTGTCCAAGAACTGTCTCTCATTTCTAAAAAATTGCTTTGAGAGAGGGCGCACAATTATCTAAACAACATAATATACAACTGCCAACACGATGTAAGCGCTAAACTTATGATAACACATTAGCATTCTATGCTACAGCAAGACAAGTATACTGCAAATTACAGAAAATGCTCAAAAAGTTGACAAAAGTCATATGTATTAGTACAATAAGTGCTAAAGTGACGTTTTAAGACTTTTTTTAAATTGCCAATAGAAAGTTCTGTACTATTAACTAAAAATAATATCAACACAAATATCATCTCAGTAAATAGAAAGAGACATTACTGACATATAAACGGTAATTGAAAGTGTTGAGAACAACAGTTTAGTTTGTTCAGCCTTGTTTGAGTATTAATGCTCATTGAGAACGAGCAAGTGTTTCCAATTGAATGCTATGAGAAAGGATATGTGCGTATGTTCATTAATCACGAGCAATAACAACATTATGACACATACGACTCTATTGGCAGTTTTGATTAAACCATAACTCCAAAATTTGCTTTAAAAAAAAGCGCAGAATTATTTGAACCAGCTAATGTATATATAACTTTCTAGGTATTTAGAATGTAGTTCCTCTACAACAACATCTGTGTCAGTTTATATGCACTAATACTAAGGTTTTCCAAATTACATTATGATAATATCGGCAGACAAACTCATAAATTATAATATTTATCTTGCTTATGTCACAACGGAAATGAAAAGATTGAAATTCGAACTAAAATAAAAAAAATATTAACGTGTTTCTACGGTTACTGTACGCAATGTCATTAAAAGGTAAACAGATTTAGTTCAATAAGGTTTAATGTTTTATATTGTCTATAGATTTACAATGTAGAGAGGTTATCAGAAGCAAAAAAATGAAAAAATAGAAAAGTTCCAGACCAAAACAGCTTTTCCGTATTTGAACGAATGTGGTACAGTAAATAAAACAAAATTTAAATAGAATCAAGCTAAAAAATGAAATATTTTAACCAAAAGTGTTACCTAAATCTTCAATCCCTCCCCCCATTAAATGCCAAAAGTTGTTTTGCGACATTTTAATCCGGCTGAAAGTGTAAGATTGTGTTTCTTTTTATGCCCGCCCTCAGGCCATAAAAGAAATTCGATAGCTGACTATGCCAACCAAGAATGGCACTACTAGTTATACCTCTTTAAACAGTTAATATACTTCTATCTTGAAATGGTCATTCTTGTTCGTATATTACTACAGTGTGAGAACGCTTCGTAGTAAAGTCATCGTATCTTTAAAAATACTTTAATTTGCACAATCGTAATCTGATAGCTAAAAGTGTAGTTTGATATAATGGGATGCAAACATACCATCTAAAACTACAATTTAACTGTTTTAAGCTATTACTTTTCTTGTTATACGTTACTAGCAGTAAACTTTCCAAAACATAAGTTAAGTTTATTACTTTTATGTACAAACACAACTACAATAACTTAATTTACAATAAAATATCAATCAAATGTCATCTCCGTACACATAAGAACGTGTATCGACCGGTCGACATCCGTTCTCTCCATAATCAGACAACCTCATGTTGTAGTAGTTCAAATGATCGTCTATTGAGTCCTGTAAGGGACCATACCTCAACGTACATTCGATGTCATTCTTTTTACATATCACAAATTTACTGCCAATATCCATATCACCTTTGTAGAAGACGGCTGGCGTGTGATGCCAAAACTTATCCGCCAGAATCAAGGGAATGTTGGTAACAATATCTTTGTCATGAATTACTCTGTAAACGTTCGGTATCGTATTCTCGATGTAGGTGGCAAAGCTTCTGTCTCCTACCCGAGGTTCACCAAATGTGTATAATGATATATTTGGAGCTAGAGTGGGATAGATACGGCTGATTTGGACCGCACATATTGTTGCCATAGCTGCGCCAAGGCTGTGGCCTGATATCTAAAAACAAATTTATAACATTTACACTATATAAGAATTAGGTTTTACGCTACAATTGTCTTTAACCTGATAAAGACTTTATATCTTACCCAAATCTCGTAGTTATCATAAGTTTTTCGATATTTTGCAAAATCTTTTTGCATTCCACTCTTCCACATAATGTAAAAGGCATGGTAAAAGTAGTATCCTACCGAAGCGTCATCAAAAACCTTTACATTTGGTACAAGGACAGCGTCGACTATCTCCCGTATCACTTGTTCGGTGGTTGTTGATCCTCTAAACCATGAAAATCATTGTTATTCATTAATCTATTTAAATATATTAGGTTGTTCAAGTAATTTTATGCTCCTAAACCCAGCAAATTCCTTTGAGAAGAGGCACAGAATTAATTGAACAACCTAATTATAAAAATACAAAATGACTTTAATCTACCTAAAAGATATCATCATCGCCTTATTCTGGTGATCAACAGCTATGAATCCAGCGCAAAGGTCCTTCTTCTTTGGACTACATGCAGTGAAATACTTGGCCAAGACTTCAGTATCCTTTAAGACGTGTTGTAAACAGTCTTCTGGCTTGTCAGAATAAGCAGAAGCAGCCAATGGAAAGAAAACATTCTTTGCTATCTTCTCATCGTACTGACAGTGCACTTCTAAGCATAGTAACAACAATATTAACACATTATAGTACAATTTATGGAGCATTTTACTATACACGTTTAAAAAATTAAAATTTAGAAAATAAATTGCTTAAAAATAATTTAAAATAAAGCCTAAAAACACGTGTTTAAATACAAGAACATGAGTTTTGAAGTTTTAGATAAAGCGAGTACACTTTATCAATTGTTACTTAAGGCATCCTCAACATTCACAAAACAATGCAAATGTCAAAGATCAACTGGTTTTGCTATTCATATGTTCATATCTAAATTACTGCACAGTTCTATTATATATGTTATAGTTAACTTTACTTCATTATATGTACACTATAAGGCTAAAAATATAAATTAAGTAATTATGTATAGATATCAATCGTATTGCAAACATTAATCACCATAAATAAGCGGCTAAAACAGTTGTCCATCAACTTTGTCATCATTCTCGTCACCCGTACCAACACAGCCATTATGACCATAAACCGGTACTCTTACATTAAAGTAATGTCTATGGTCAAACATATCCAACGAGGCTCGTACTGGACATCGCATGTCATTCTCCCCAAAACACTCAATATATCTGTCGCCGTATGTCATATTATTGTTGTACCAGATCTGGGTATGATGGTGAGAATAGCCAAGTAGTGTTGGGTATACAGTAGTGATGGTATCTTGTGCGTGGACTACTCGGTAATAGTCTGGCAACTATAACATTAGTTTAGAAAAGTAAGTTAGCCTAATAAAAATTTCTACATCTTCAAGATTTTAAAATAAAAAAAGTCTATAAAAGACATGTAATATATGCTCAATGTTGCACTACCTACCAGTTTTTCAAATATCTTTGCGAAATGTTCATCACCAACTCTCGGACTGCCAAAATTGTAATGTAAACTGTTGTAGGCATTGAACCTTCCAGTCCCTACCAAATCAGCAGAAGCCAGCGTAGCCAACGCCCCTCCCAGAGAATGTCCAGTAACCCACAAAGTATATTGAGGATAGTAATCGACCACTTCGTACAACAGCTGCTTCATTCCACTCAACCACAAAGTAAAGTAGGCGTCGTGGAAGTACTTGTTCACTCTACCGTACCCATAGAAGCTTTCTTTTGTCATCACGGCTGATACGATCTCGTCGAAGAACTGCTTGTCATTTACTGTACCTCGGAAAGATACGACGACAGCATGGTCGTTGTGTAGTACGGCAATGTAACCAGAACATGTAGAGTTGCCTGACGGGTCACAAGCTACTTCAAACCGGTTTATTACCTAAAAACATTGATTTAATATGACCAATTGTTTGTAAAGCATTTTCATTGTCAAATGACTTATAATAATATAATTAGTATACTTCCGCTGATTAATATGATGTTAATGCATTTCATTAATTGATAACATAGAACATTCTCGTGGCTTTAAAAAATGAATTAGATTATGAAACAAACAAAATTTTACTATAACAATATAAACCTTTGATATTACAGTACTTACCTCGGCATTTCGAAACTTATTCCAAACACAAATGTGGGGCTGATCACTGTAGGCAGCAGCTGATAGGTACATCATCTTTCTCGCAACTTCTTCATCATATTCTTTCACTCTTTTTCTTTTATCTGCACTATCACCTTTTAAACCATTATTACTGTATAAATGCCTCAAATCATTAGTGCTAAGTTTAAATTGATAACTATAGCCAGTACTAACTTTAGTTAGATCTAAAGCATCAGTACCAGCTTTAATTTTAGGCAAAGGGCTACCATCTCCACTGCTTAAACCACGAATCTTGGGTACAATAGCGGAATCAACCGTGACAATAAAAAATAAAAGCAACGTGAGCGACATTGATAACAATAACATTAAAATAGTTTGCAAACACTCCTTAAGTACGTGTTAGTTTATGACCCGAGGTAACGGCTTTCAACGCGCCTTCGGTCAGGTTCAATGCTGTTCTTATCGAATTCCGGGATGAATTATATTTTGATAACAATTAAAACGATTCAGTTTGATTCGCAAAAATTGTATTGTAGTTAGATTTTGTCATTTTTTATGAGACCTCTAATGAAATATCTGAAACGATCCTATTCAGACGACTTTGAATCCTCATACGATCTTGGCTTGAATCTAAAGGTAAAGAATAGTGTTCTCGACAAACTATTTGACCCAACGGACACTGTGACAAACGGCTTGGATGCCATCAGTGGAAAGAAGGAAGTGGGTTCAGAAAACTCATTTTACATCTCGGCCAATCAACCAAACTGAGTGCAGAAGGAATGTTTACTGATTCTAGTCTTTGAAATTTGGATAATTAAAATTATTTTTAAATATTTTTGGGATGTTTTGAAGGAAAAAGAATAATGTATGATAATGTAAAGATTAGGCTAAAAATAAAGCAAAGCCTAATGTTAAGTCTAAACCAAAGTTTAAGGGCCAAAGCCAGAGCTATGACAAAGCTTAACGCAATGAAAACCATCCTGCATTTTATTCAATCTTTTATACAAGATTGTTCAAAACTATCAGGTATTGCAAAATACAAACAATAAACAAAAAAATTGGCAATTATACTAAAAAATACGTAATAACAAATGACATCGTTTTTGTTACATAGCGCGGAATTGGCTTGTTGATCAAGTCGTTTTAAAATTTTGAGAAAATCTGGTTTGATCTTTTTAGTTGCTTGGTAATGTACGGCATAAACCAAAAATTTAATGTACAAAACAAATGGCATAGTATAGAGAAGAAATAATAATGCCTGAAAAGTAAAAAAAAATAAAACCCTAATTTAACACTGTACTTCACACTACCCTACCTTACTTTATCCCACTTTACCCTATCTTGACTTGTCCCACCCTACCCTATTCTATCCAAACCTACCCTAATAGACATGAGCAACGGCCCAAGCCCGGCCCGTTTCAAAAAAAGTTAGGGCAGGGCTTGAGCAAAATCGGAAAAAGACCAGGCTCAACAATTAAGCTACTCATGTCTATACTCTAATGCTATCCCCAACGACCATAATCTCAACACCTAACTCTTGCCCTTGCGCTATTCCCTACCTTTTTTATGACTCTATTTTATCTCATTCTACAAAAAATGAATAAACTACTTACAAAATAATAATAGTGAATCGAAAACAAAATACTGCAACTAACGAATCTTTCCATACATCTGTTCAAACCCAAGAATAATGCAGTTGTGTAACTGCCATAAAAAGAGCATATTCCAAAGTCGACAATCTATAAAAAAATAAAAAATTTATTTTTAAAAAATCACCCCTCTCTCAAGAAAAGTTTTTATTAAAAGTAACACCTAATCCTCATGTTGACAATTCTTACCATTCTCATAAAACTAGAAGTCCAATAAGAAAAATTGGCGTTCATAGTTCTTGGCCACTGATCAATGTTGTGATCTGGTATATCTTTAAACCTGAACACAGTAACCAACCTATCCATAACGGCTGTTTGGAACATTAATAGTCGTTGAATAATTGAAGGATTTTTCATGTCAAGAAAAACAAAATAAAAATTTTTAAAAATATTTTAAAACAGAAAACTATCTAGCACAAAACAATAATTCATAAACAAGACATTTAAAAGCCAGTTTAAAGCGCCAAATCTAGCGTCTTGACGCCAGGAAAAAAATACGGTTACGTTTTCTTATAAAGCATTAAAATCGATAATATTTAAAACGTTTAAGTCTTGCTATTCAAAATATAAAGTAGAATTAAACAACAAACTATTGCATTTATAAAGCACGCATACAGTACATAGACAACGATAATATAGAAATATTATTTTAAAAAATTTTACTAAATAAAATTGAAAAATTTTGTATGTGGTACCAAACTTCACATATTAAGATCAAGCTTTATGTTTTTAAATCATAGGAAAATCACAGTTTCAAAGTAAAAAACAAAATTAAAAAAATTATAATCACTTTGCGGTTTCTACCATGGTCAATCCGGCTGTGCCAGCAAAAGTAGCTGAAAATGTTGTTGTGCATTTTTCGGTATTTTTAACTGCTGTTTCGGGGATTTTTCAATCCTTGGAAAGTTATCATGTTTTGGAATATGGCGCCCAAAAGCTCTCCTATATTAATGTGGGAGTAGCCGTAAGTTTTGTGAAAAAAATTAGAGAATTGTATTAAAAAATATTTTTTGTGTATTTAAGTCAGTTTTACACTTAAAAATTTTACATACTTGCTTTAAGATTAAATAAACTATTTTTATTTCAACAAGGATTAAAAGGGGGAGGGAAAGGGCTAAAAAGTTAAATTTGTGCAGATGAAAGCAAAGAATGACTTTTTAAGAATACTCATGGTTAATTTTAGGTATTATCCTTAGTTGGTGCTTTTATGGGATTGATGGTACTGTATTTAAATAGAAGAACCGTCAAGACAATCTTGTCTGTTGAAGAGCTCATGAGTCGAGCGTTTGCCTTCATGTCGTTCGTTGGAGCATTAGCGACTTTGTTATATAATGTAGTAGTTTCTATGATGCCGTATGTAAAGTTTACGGTTTGGTTACACTTTGGTATGATACTGGTTAATTTGGTGTGCTCATGTAACACTTTTTGGTTTATAGTAATGACAAGAACGGTGAGTAGCTTTAGTAAATTTATCCTTAGTTTTTGTCCTAGCCTTTAGCCTTAGTAGACCTGGTAGTCCTGTCCTAGCCGTCTTACCTTCATCCCTAGTTGTCTTAGTAGTCCTAGTCATAGTAGTTCTAGTAGGTCAGGTAGTCCTAGATGTCCTACCCCCAGCTATAGTTGTCTTAGTAGTTTTAGTGCTAGTGGTTCTAGTAGGCCTGGTAGTCCTAGCAGTCCTACTCCCAACCGTAGTTGTCTTAGTAGTCTTAGTCTTAGTAGCTCTAGTAGGCCCGGTAGTCCTAGAAATCCTGCCCCCCCCCCATTCCTAGTTCTCTTAGTAGTCCCATTCCTAGTTGTCCTAGTAGTCTTAGTCCTAGTGGCTTTAGTAGGCCCGTTAGTCTTAGCAGTCCTACTCCCAACCTTAGTTGTCTTAGTAGCCCTAGTCCTAGTAGCTCTAGTAGGCCTGGTAGTCCTAGCAGTCTTACCCTCATCCTTAGATGTCCTAGTAGTCCTAGTCCTAGTGGTTCTAGTAGGCCTGGTAGTCCTAGCAGTTTTACTCCCAACCTTAGTTGTCTTAGCAGTCCTAGTCCTAGTATCTCTAGTAGGCCCGGTAGTCCTAGAAATCCTGCCCCCATTCCTAGTTCTCTTAGTAGTCCCAGCCTTAGTTGTCCTAGTAGTCCTAGTCCTAGTGGCGTCCTAGTAGTCCTAGTCCTAGTGGCTCTAGTAGGCCTGGTAGTCCTACCTGTCCTACCTTAGTCCTAAAAGCTTTATTAGTTTATGTGGTGTTTATGTTCGTTTTAGGGTGAACAGGAGGTATTAGCTCCTTACGCAAAAATAACACCATGTTTTTTGTTATTGATGTACATATTTTCCTCTTTTGGATGCGCGGCTTCTCTGGGCGATTGTTTGCTTAAAAGTGTTAACGCTACTGAAGCACCCTTGATGATAATTTATGAGGATAGTGTCAGTACGGTTGCGTTTTGGACACCCATTGCCATTTCCGTCCCTGCCGTTTTTTACGTTGTATCGGTCGGCATTAGATTTTATCGGAAACGGCACGGCGCAAAGTATCTTGTTCAAGACGTGCCAGTCGTTATGTCAGGTTTGCCAGATGGTTTTGAGAGCCTTAACACAGACAACATGATTCAACAAGGTTTTTTACATTTTTTTTGTTTTATTACTATATTATTTACATTTTGTCGAGAATTTTACTTATTTCGTGATTACATCGCGTTATATCAGACGTGGCTTACAAAATAACAGCCGATTCTGTTATCAAGCTCTCTGTAAATGTGAAAGTAACATTTTCAATTATTTAATTTTTTATTTTCAGATTTCGCTAGCCCCGTACCCCCTCTATCTCCTCCAGCCAATTCACTTCGATCGACTCTTCGCTCTCGTCGTGCATCTGTATAAAATTAATTTTTAAATTAAATTTTAGTTAGGTATTTTTAGATAAATGTTTGAAATTGAAATTATGAAAGGTTTTTTCGAATTTTTACGAATTCAAATCAAATGTCGAACGGTCGTGAACGATTTTATATATGAATGTTTCGTCAAAGTCATGGTGAAAAGAAAGTTATTGCGGTTTTTTGGGTTGTGATTGAAAGACTATTTTTTATTTTTTTTCATTTTGGAAAGTAAGTTTTTGCTATTTTTTAATTTTTATGTAAAGAACGTTCATTTCATTTTTAGCAATTTTTTTGAAAATATGAAAAAGCTATTTCAGTTTTTTCCAGGCCGCGGGAGACAAGTTATACGATCAGTCACAATTCACCGGTTTGCCATCCTAGCCTGGTTTAATTGGAGCTTCTAGTTACGTCTGGCTATTAATATTGGACCCCAGTTGGTATGTTTTGTCATTATTTCAAGAGATTTTGTTTCACGAAAGTCTTGTCGTTGATTTATGGTGGTTTCTATGTTGAGAAACGACAAGACTTTAGAGACAGCCAAATATTAAGGGTTTTTGTTTTGTAAAGAAAATGGTTGCAATTTTTTGTATTGTAAAGGAAGTTATCAAGATTTTATTGATCAAATTTTAGAACCTATTCCGCCGTTGCAAGTCCGAATCCTGTCTTGGTTCTTTAGAATCTATCAAAAAGGAATCAGAAGCCGCTTTATTGAAACGATCTTATTCAGTCAACTTTGAATCTTCATACGACTTGGCTTGAATCTGACGGTGAAGAATAGTGTTCTGGGCAAACTATTTGACCCAACAGACACTGTGACAGCCGACATGGATGCTATAAATGATATGAAGGAAGTGGCTTCAGAAGACTCATTTTATATCTTGGCCAAATCGGTCAAATTTAGTGTAGAAGGCTTGGCTTTTCAAACTGACCTTATCAAATGATATAAACAGTCTTTTTGGCGCTGTAAATCTATAACTTTTTTTTGTGCGACATGGAGCTGTCGGTGGCTTCCATTAAGAAAGCCAAGAACTTCATAGTGTTCGATGGATGCATAGGAAGACTTTTACAGCTTATTATCAACAATCTCCATATGAATTTTGTAAATTTTGCTGTAGATATTAAAGTCACTATTTTTATGTTTTTAAGGCTAGGACTAAGGCTATTAATGTCTTAACACTACTACTTCAATAGTAATATTGTTTATTTTAAAAGCGAAAGATGACAATACAATATACATTTATATTTACATTGATGAGAACAATATGACAATAGAATTTACAAGTATAAGTGAGTAACTCGTATGATTGACAGTAGCATAATATAGTTAAAACTATACATAAAAGTTATATAATTAAGTAATGGCACAAGCTTAATGTACATGAGACCAGTAGAATTCTATTGATACGTCTATTATATTATATTGTACATACCCAGAAACAGTAAGAATAGTTTTGAATGTACATGGTGAATATATAGATATATGTGTGATAATATACATAGTAAGTAAGATATTAACATACGAAACCATAATGTTGGAGTTAGTATCCGTAAGGTAGCTTTCAACTTTAAAAACTGACAGTAGCATTGATTGTACCATAACACCCTCACTACTTCAATACCCATTACTTCTTGGACTTCTTCCTTGATGACATAATCGAGAGTCTTGGCCGTTTAACTAAACTGTAACGAGGTCCAAAGTCATCGTCATCGCTGTCAGAAGAGGAATCTGAACCAGAATCACTGGAGCTGCTTGACGATGTCTGTTCGTCATCAGAAGTGTCATCTGGAGTATTATTCAACCTGAACACTTTGTCCTCAAACTCTTCCTGAATCAGGACTTGTTTTAGTAGTGACAGACGGCTTTGAATCTGGCGTTTTGTTTGAATTAGACTGATATGACGTTGAAGAGCTTGACGAGAAGGACGGGCTTTGCGCTGAAAGAAAGTGGACTGGTTAGAGTTGCAAAAAATTGTTTGTTTTAGGGTTTGGAAGGTTCAAAGATAAGGTTTGTAAGTAAAACCACCCTTTTGTATAAACAAAAAAAAAACTTTTTAAATCCAGAACCTCCTCCTGAGAAGCCCTCCTTTCTTTAACTGTCTTCCCTAAACAAATTACCCTACCCGACCCCTCCCTTCAAGACCAAATCTATAACTATATAACCCAAACCAGCCTTGAAGCGCTTACCATTTTGTCATTCTCGAAATTGACGAGAGTTTGAGTAACGGTTTCCATATGTGTTTTAGTCATTCGGAAGCGCTTCAGACGTCTTTTTATAGAATTCGTTCTGAAAAGTCTACATCAATATATGACAAATGGCTTAGCCAAATGTACGCAACACGCATTTAGGTATAATATGAAGTATGTATAATATAATTATAGCATATTCATAATTCCTTTAACATATGAGGTTAAACTTAATTTACCGTGCATATACGTACTAAATAGGTCACGTAGTTACCAGGCATAACAAATTAAATACCATTCGCCCTGTACTGTCATACTATTAAGTCATATTATCATAGTAGTAGCGTTTTAAATGACTATAACAACATATGCATACAAAAAGTTAAAAATGAACTTTTTAACTCAAAAAGCGTCAAAATGACATCTCACGCTGATATAAAACATGTTCGATTAAGTGGAAAACGTATTTGTAGTATTAGGTATCCTAACTATAAACTTCCGCTGACTTTTACAAGTTATAACTTTTGTGAAAATTAATATTATTTAACAGGATTTGTTTTGTTTTGTAGCTTGTTTCAATGCAAATCGAACGATATATAATACTTGTCTGTTTGTCTTTGTCTACTTGGAAAAATCTGGGTAAAACTTGACTAAGCTCAGTTTGGAGGTGCGATATCGCATGCGACTATGTATTTAAACAAGGTAAAAGTGCTATTGGATGCCATCGTACGTTTGCAGAAGTTTTTGGAGAAGACGTTATAAGTGTTAGACATGTGCAGACGTGGTTTTCAAATTTTCATACTGTGAACCTTGACCTTGTGGACAAACAACACAAACGAGGTCATGAAGTGGCAGATGCCATCAACTGATTGAGTTAAATACTAATTTAGCAACAGTGGAGTTGTCGCATATTCTTCCCCGTACCTCGCAAACCATCGCCAATCATCTTCACAAACTAAGAAAGCTCAACAAAATGGCAGGCGGGTGCTCCACGAACTCAGTGATTCCAACATGGCGCTAAGGGTCAATACTTGTGATATTTTGTTTCGCTTGTCCAAAACCCGAGGTTTTTTTCAACCAATTATTACTTCGGATGAAAGATGGATACTGTACGATATAAAGAAGGTCAAAAGACAATAGATTGATATTGGTTCAAAAGCTATACCTACTTCGAAACCTGACCTTTGGTAAACAAAACCTTCCGTTGCGTATGGTGGTCTACCACGGGAATAGTGTACTACGGGTTTCTGAAACCTGGATAAATAATTACGGCAGATGTCTACAATGAACAATTGAAACGAATCAACCATGCTCTCTACTTTCTGGGTATTGATATTTCCACTGTGAAACTTTGACCAGATACCGCTCGAACTCACAGTGCGAAGATGACGTCATAAGTTCTTGGTGAATTGAGCTGGACTATAATGCCTATACCGCCCTACAATCCCGACATTGCTCCTTCTTATTATCATGTATTCAGAAGGGTGAAAAATCGCATTGCTGGAATCAATTTCAAAAATGGCGCTGAAGTCATGTTATAGGGTGAAGATTTCTTTAAGACACAGCTGAGGTAGTTCCACAGTTCTGGCATTCACGTTTTGAAGGAACGTTGTAGAGAAGGCATAGACAATGTTAGAGTATATATCTCAGAATAATTAGTTTTGTTTCGGTTGTTATAATAAAAATAAGTTTGTTAAAAAATGAAAGTTTATAGTTAGGATACCTAATATATACATGTTTGTAATGTCCTTTTCAATTGAACTAATTTTTAAATTTTGAAATGATGCGGCTGAATTTAAATCAAAGTATATGTAGGTGGTAATAGCATATATAATGTTTTCAATACATAAATAGTTTGTAATAAATTGAATATATATATGGTAGATCTATACTATAAAGACATATACTATGATGCAGCTACAGCAAAATGTCATTATTAACAAGCTCTGTATAAAAAACATAGTATTTTATCATTGACTATAAAAACATCTTATTATTAGCCCTAATAATCTTGTTATACATAATTTACCAAAACTATTGATTATGCAACGTAATCTACATAATATAATAATATACGTAACCTCTTATTACACTTTGCTCACAATACCAATACGCATATATACAACGTGTTCGTATGTGTTCTTGCACATTATATTACACGACATAACACTAGATTTACATTGTAAATAACATGCAAACTAACACAATGAATACAACTATACAACGTGAAGTTTGTACTCCAAGCTACAAAAAGCATGTAAATGTAACAATACTATTATATATATCCCATAAAACATAAATTCGAAATATCTCGAAAAGCCATGTGCATTATGCAGTAAAAACAACACAAATGTATAATTGTAGAACGTGGAAAACAACCAAACCCAGTTCTTATGACAAAACAAATGAGCTTTAAGGGTCCAACGAACGTAACTTTAAGAGAGAACAGCCAGTTCGAGAGAACATTGAACTCCTCTATTATATGTTGCTAAAAGGTGTTCGAATAGGGTCCAAATTAGATGTATGCAAGAGTTAATGAAAAGGTATTAGGTAAAGGCGGGTAAAAGATATTAACATAGCTAAATATAGACGTGGAGATAAGAGTTTGCAAAAGCATCGTCTTTTCAGCCTTTAGTAGATATCTAAAAAAACCATAACCAATACTTATGAACCTACCCCACCCCTAAACTAAAACCACCATATCTAAGTATACAACAACACTACTGCTGGTCTCGGCTTTGCTGGACTGACGAGCTCTTCAAAATATCTTATGTATTTGTGCATAAGAGTGCAAGTTCTGGTAAAAGTGTTCTTTTTGCACTTTCTATGACCAAATCACATGCGATTACAGTGAATTAATGAGCTAATACTAATGCTGTTACAGTGTAACTACTAGTTAGAACAACTACAAAGTATGAGTAGTAGTAGATAAGCTTGTTATATTTTAAGTAGTAGTGTATAAGCTTATTTATTGTACACAGTATATCAGCTTTTTTATAAGTATCAACATGATGTGCAAAAGAAAAACGTGGCAACAGGAAACATTATTTGCAAAAGTAATGTTATCTACTACAATATAAAAAGTTCTAATAAAATACAATAATATACCAAAAAATACTGCAATAAGCCTAAAAAACACAGCAGTTTATCTGTAAATACAAAGTTACAGCCAATATACAAATCCACTTCCTAACGTACGTGTCAACGATATAAAAGTAAGAGTAGCACCAAGCCGAACAACAAAAAGTCCATTTCCCTTCAAAACAAAACGACATAAATAACACACAGTAACGTGGAATGCCCTTACAGTACATTCCTCCTAAACCTACGGCTGTTTACAAAACATTAGTGCAGTAGGACCGCAGTGGCAATAAACCCAAAATAGTATGCAACAACAACATACGACACAAATGGCAAAAGTAAATAAGCTACGTGGCCTTTAACTACGTAGTAGATTAAGTGTTATTAGACTTGGCTGTGGGTTGTAATTAGTAAAAACTATAGTCAACATTTATATTATCATAGGCAAAGTAAAACTTGAAAATATCGTCTATTATTTAAAAAAATTAATTTGACCCCTACAAACTTTAAAATAATAAAAAAGTTTTTCAAAATACACTTTAAATTTCAAAATGTAAAAGTGTAAAGTATATTTATGTTTTTACAACATAATCTAAACAATCGTCCTAATGTTAATATAATGCTCGAAACGCTGCGAAGAAACAGTGAAAATAAACAAAATCATATGAATTCTCAAAGGCCAAAGACCCAAAGGGCGTAAACAACAGTCACGACATGTTACTATTATAGTTAACCAGATATAAATTTAAAATAAGATGCTGCAAACATCTACAACTACATTCATTTTTAACTCCTCCCCACGCCCTCCAGTGGAAATATACTTTACTAAAATAAGCCTATAAAATTTTAGTACAGTATATTTCAACTATCATATCATAACTAAGCATAAAAGCTTTTAAAGACAAAGACTGGCAAAGACAATCTCGTAAAAAGATGATATGCAACACAATATTATGCAAAACACTATGCTTACCTCAAACAACTGCCAGTTTACTTGTAGCCAACCCAAAACTGTCACAATAAACAAAGCTGAAATTACTTGGAAGTACTGGGAACAACACCAAATTGTATAAGGGAAGTGGAAAACAACCTTTAAAAGGGGGGTTTGTAGTCTCGAAAAGGCAGTTACATTTTATATTATACTCGAAAAGTTGCTCTTTTGATTCGAGGATATTGTAGTCTCAAGGGTACTTGGTAGGTTTAGTACTATAAAATTTGAGATTTCGAATTATTATACTTGCCAAATTTAACTATCAATTTAAAAAAACAGGCCACGTAGGGGTATGTTAACATGAGGCTAATGAATTCTTAAAAATAAAATTTCTTAAAAATGAAAAAATAAATCATCTCTTCCTCTTTTCCCCATACCTACAAAAACCTAAAATATTAAGCTGTTCAATTAATCCTGCGCCCCCTAACCTCCAAAACTTGATGAGAATGAGAACACAGAATCACTTAAAAACCCTAATATCATCAAATAGCCAAAAACGTAAGTAATCCAAACTAAACATAATAAACACACACCTAACATGATATTATTCCTCAAACGATCCCCCAACCCATGTCAAACCATTCGCCCAAAGAGTGGTCAAAAGACTCCAAACATCAGTTAATTCAAAAGTATAAACAAGACGGGAAGAGATCACACGAGAGATCAGACAAAGTTTCTCTCCACCACGTGGTACGAACCCAATTAAGATGCGCTGCCGTGCTATTTGGGTATTGTTCGCGAGTAAGGCCGTGCCGAATTGTTTTATTTAACAAGTTTGAAGGGTTTACATGTCATTGTAGTGTTTTGCACGTTATTGCAGTGTGATGAAATGTAAAAAAGATACAAAATTTACAAAAATATAGTAATATGCAACATGGTGTACCATGTAACTTAATGTTCAATATAAACTGTGTAGTAAAGTTTTGTAAAATTTTATTTTATAGTCCAAAGAGTAAGGTAAAGTAAGATAAAATGTATTGAAAGACAATAAAATGTCATATAAAACAATATTAATTATCTAACTACCAATTACTTTATTGTAATGTATAATTAATGCACCATAATGTATAATTACAGGCCAGTAATTAATCTTATATTGTTGTAGTTTAATCCCTCTAATTAATCAATTTAAAATAAAACTAACTCAATATTCATCTCTTTCAATAAAATTCAAAATAATAGAAATTTGAGTTTAAAAAGCTTTGAAATTTGAAAAAAAACTTAAAAAGTCGGCCTAAAAGGACAGAGAAGTGGCCACAAAGTACATGTAATTCATATACGTATAACAAAGCTTTAGACTGGTATGACATATCTATGAGAATACGTGAGATTCGTAACTTTCACAACTTTTTACATAATATTGAAGACTACTAATTCATATAACTACATAGTATAAACATCAAAAAGTAAATATATAATAAATTTAAAGTATATATTTCCTCATAAATACCCCTGATATGTATAATAAACAGTAATTAAATAAAAGCCGTTACACGTTGACACAGAGTAATGGTATATTCCCCCATGGTATTCGAAAATACGACCGGAAAGCCAGTCATAACGCGGATTATACAACTGAAAAGAACTTAATTTTCATTCTTTGCACTTTCGAGACCCAAATTGCAAGAGCCCCTCGGGCGTTCTATTCAGACAAAAAGAAAAAGTGAGTCAAACATAACTGATAAAAGTTTTAAAAAACTTTTTTTAATGTTTCGAAACAAAAAACTGTAGGTAGATGTTGTTGTAGTAATACCCTACCGTACCGTATCCTACCCTACTCTACCCTATCCTACCCTACCCTACCCTACCCTACCCTACCCTACCCTACCCTACCCTACCCTACCCTACCCTACCCTACCCTACCCTACCCTACCCTACCCTACCCTACCCTACCCTACCCTACCCTACCCTACCCCACCCCACCCTACCTAACCATTGTACGTATACTTCCACCTACCAAAACACCTTACAATACTGTTTACATTTGCTTAAATACGTTTTCGGAAACCAAGTCCAACACGTTCGTTACTCTGTAAGCTTTCCCTATATGTATATGTATTGTCACGTAGAGTTATATTACCAGAAGGTGGTACTAATCCAGTCGTAACTTGAACAAATTTCGCAAAAAATATAAAAAACTATTCTGCGTCACAGACTATTGAGACGATAACACGACTAATACAGTTGTTTGCAACATACCATAGTAGAACGAACATCGCATAGTATTTTTGGCATGTAAAGAAACTCTTACATATAATATTAAATTTAAAAAAGTATTCCTTTTTGAAAAAAAAGTATAATTTTTTTTTAACAAGCGCAATAAGGTAATATAATAGTTACGTTTTTCTTGAACCTTTTCGTTACAAACTGTAGGTATAACATAAGGTAACACAAAATAAAACTAATTAGAAGACCGTTACTAAATGTTACAAACTTTGTATTTTAGAAGCACAAACTATAATATAGATGACAATCATACCATCTTATTTATCTTTTTCGACAACTGAACATATCAAATGTCACATACAATCTTATCATAGACAATCCAGACAATATCTACTACAAAGTTTGCTAGTTATGAAAAAAACTTCAGCTGTGTTAATTCTACGCACTTTTTGACCGCCTTTCAGAAACAGTAAATATAACATTTTAAAAACCGAACACACTAAAAATATGAAATTTAATGAAAAGTGTTTCCGGCTGAATCATAAAAGAAAACAATCGTATTCAACTGTAAATGCTAACATCCATACCCCATGACATCACAACCTCACAAAATGTATAATAAGATCAGTTGATGGAAATTGTAGACAGTTACCGTAGTATCACGTGTTTTACTTCCGCAAACCCTGTTTATTATAGTCAATACAAGCTTAATTCCTCGAGCCACAAAGTCGGTTCATATTTCGAGCTTAATTATAAATATTATTCCTTCCTCTATGTACCAACAATGTCAGTATAATTTGTTAAATATATATTAAAAACAACATAACAAGCGCAAGACCTTTCATTTTAAAGTTAACAGTATTGACAATGTTAATGTATTTATATAAATATATATATTTATGAATATAAGTTATGTTTGCACCTTTTGCACTTTTTAAACTAATCTATCTTGCAATGCGTTAAAATCCACGCCACTAACCCCTACCACAACATATATATAAGTCTACACGAAGAGTTTAACCATAGTTTAATGCGTAAGTGAACATTTCAAAACCAAAATCAAAGAAGTGACGTTAAACTGATAAACAGAGTCGTCGATTAGTAAACTGTTTTGAAATCGATGACTTCGTATCATGGGTTAGCTATAAATAGTTGTTTATTACCAAAAATAGAATGACTGTTACTGCGAAATTTAAGTTTACAGCCAGATGTTATGAGGAAATATAGTTTACAACAGGATTGAGATAGCAAAGTACATTTACATACAAAAAATAATATTTTGATTCACTATGGCGTAAAATACATGAAAATATGTTACAGTACTAATTAGTACTTATTATAAAGTACTGAATATAAAGACTTACATATAAAATAAATAAACAAATGTCTATGCTATTTCGTGATACTTCTGAAGCCTATTCAAAGTCCTTGCCACTTCGTACCTCAGCTGTTCAAACGTCTCTACATCAAACTCTAGATCTTGACCATCAATATTCAACTCAACTTTAGGTGTCAAACATTTAAAGGTCTGGCTGTTACTCAATATTAAACTGACCTTCCAATCAAAGATGTCCTTTTTCTTCTCTGTCTCAACTAATTCACCAATAAGTTTCTTGTCCTAAAACAGAATTTATAGTTATTATGTATTTATTTATCATTATAAAACCCTTAACTTAAGTATCCATCAGTTAACTTAAAAGGCTTAAGCATGCTTTCAATAATTAATCAAAATTTCAAGTGTAAACAAAGTTTCTTACATCCTCGGCTAACTCAATATCAGCCAATGCCTTATCAACATTCGCTGAAGCTTCCAAATGTTTGAAAACCTTGTGTAGCGTAGTAATCTGTGGTATCTTCTCTATGTATTCCACATTTCTAAGCTGTTTTCCAGACTTGATCGATGAGTAAACATCTATAATATAAAAATTTCACAACCTTAACTTATTTTCGATTAAATTTATTAAAAAGGTAACTTTATAAATCTAGCTTACCTCTAATTAGTTGTTCTCCAAACTCAACGACCATTTTCTCAATAGAAATATTGTTTATTGGGCGCATGTCGCCAATTCTATAAATTTTATTTTGAATTCAGCGGGTTTTCCTGTTTTTCCCTGAAGTTCCCCACGTCAGCGAGAAAAAATAAAATTTTTGCAAGAATTTTTTTGGAAACGAAAATCGTGTTTTTCTGTAAATTATCGTGGATAACATTGCCTTGTAAACATTTTGAAAATTTTTTATAGATTTGTAATTTTCTTTTTTGTATTTTACTGTTTTGTTACTTAGTTTATTATACCTTTACTTAAAAGTTGTTCTTCAGGATGAGGACCTTGGTCTTGGCTGTTGTGGCCTTCATGGCTTTTATGCCAACGACTTCTTTGTACTTTCACATTGCCGAAACGGAACGAAAGTGTTTTATCGAGGAGATTCCAGATGAAACTATGGTAATTGGTAACTACAAGGTCCAGTTGTACGATCCAAACACGAAAGGCTACGGAGATTATCCTAACATGGGCATGCACGTGGAGGTCAAGGATCCTGATGATAAGGTAAGGCTTTTCTTTGTTTCTTTTTGTCTTTAGGTGTTTCCTGTTGGATATTGTAAAGGTTTACTAGCAAACTGATGTGTTTATAGGTTAGAAAGCGGAAAATCTTTAATTTTATTTGATAATACTATAAACTAATATTGTGGTAAACATTTTATAATTTATACAAGGCTTTTGATTTCAATATATATCAAATGTTTATGATATTATTCTTGATTATTTGATTTTACACAAATCTTTAAATTTTAGGTAATTCTGAGCAAGCTCTACACATCAGAAGGTCGTTTTACCTTTACCTCTCACACTCCTGGAGAGCACTTGATCTGTTTGTACTCAAACTCTTCTTCATGGTTCTCTGGATCTCAACTTCGTGTTCATCTGGACATTCAAGTTGGTGAACATGCTACCGATTATCAACAAGTAGCTGCCAAGGACAGATTGAACGAAGTTCAACTGAGAATTAGGCAATTGTTGGATCAAGTGGAGCAGATTCAGAAGGAACAAAACTATCAACGCTACAGAGAAGAACGATTCAGATCGACTTCAGAATCTACCAATCACAGAGTTTTGTGGTGGGCGATCGGGCAAACTTTGGTGCTGGTACTGTGTGGAGCTTGGCAAATGAAGCATTTGAAGGGATTCTTTGAGGCCAAGAAGCTTGTTTAGATAGTCAGTAGTTGCATTGTTATATTATACTCGGTTGCTTGGAAATAATTGGATGTTTTACTTTACTCGTACAATTAGGTTTAGACTTTGCTGTGATGTTAACTACAATGTTTCTTTGCTGTCAGTTAGAATGTTTTCCTCTTGTAGTAAATGACTTTTTACTATGCAGAATGTTTATTTGGCCAATGATTATGGGTGTCTCTTTAAAAAATATTATAATTGGTAGATTCTATGCTGTGATCAGTTCGATTAACAGTAGAATTTGTTAAAGTTACTAATTTATACCTTCTATGTAAAGTTTTTTATCAATAATTTATTTGTTTTATCAATGAATAATAAATATTTACCGGTATATCCTTATCACTTTTTTTCTACTTTTACAATCGATTTGTCGAACAAATACTTGGGTACTTAGACTTATAGTAAACACAAAGGTTTAATGAGTAATATAGGTTTGTGGCTTATACATTATTCAAATTTCTTTGTAGGAAAGACCTAAACAATGGCTATGCAAAGGTTTATAGCCGGTCTAAAATCGCCTTGGGCGGTGGGATTTTCGACTTTTGGGCTTCTGTATGGCGGCTACAACATCATCGAGTAAGTGTGTTAAAAGAATGCGTATATAAATTTACAGTATGACACAATCAGGCAAACGGTACGACTTAGAAGCTGATCTTACCGGCAAAACTTATATTGTCACTGGTGCCACTAGTGGAATTGGAAAGGTCAGTTTGCTTTAGCTACTGTAAAATCTTTATTTAAATAACGGTTGTAGAAAACCTGAATTTAACGTTTTTAAAACTGACTTTTTTGTTACTTTATCTTTGATGTGTTAGGAAACAGTGGAAGAGTTGGCCAAGAGGAACGCCCGTGTCATCATGGCGTGCCGTGATCGGCAGAAGTGTGTGTCTACCAGACGAGACATTGTGTTAACAACAAAGAACAAAAACGTTTTCTGTCGACAGGTCGATTTGCAAAACTTTGACAGTGTAAAAGAGTTTGTCGCCAAGATTAACGAGGGCAAGTTTAAGTTGGACAGAATTGATGGTGTCATCAACAACGCTGCTGTCATGAAGCAGGCAAGGACTATTAACCAGGACGTAAGTTTAATTTTTGGAATTAAAATACTAAAGTAATGATAAAAGCTCATATAATTTAAATACATTTTTTAAAATCGTTTTAAATGTGTTATACATACAGGGAATTGAAGAAATGTTGGCTACCAACTTCTTAGGTACCTTCTTAATGAACGCTTTGTTGTTACCTAAACTGTTGGATCAAGACCACCCAGTTAGGCTCGTGTTTTTGAATACAAATCTTATCAATAAAGTGTAAGTATTGTTTTTCAATTTTTCATTTAAATGTCTTTACAACAATTTTTAAAAAATTTATTTTTTTAGTAAGGATCTTGACATTAACAACATAAACAGTGAACCAGCCGAAGGTAAAAAGTTTGATGGTCATGAAGTGTACAAAACTACCAAGTTCTCAGAAGCTGCTTTTGCATTGGAACTGGCAGAGCGATTGAAGGGTGGGTTAAGGTTTTACACAGCATTTTTAACAGTGAACTATAAGATACATTATTTGACATAGAGACTATATTGACTATGTTATTTTAGGTTCAAATATCACAGTGTTGATGGCAGATCCAGGCAGAACATCGACGAATCTGGAGAAAGAATTGAGTCATAATGACTTCTTTTTGAGCAGATGGTTAGTCGGGTTCACTGGCTTCTTGATGGGACAAAGAAAGGTTCAGAAGGCTGTCAGGCCAGTGTTATACGCTACGGCCGACCCCGACGTCGATGATAAGACCAAGATCTTTATTGAGCAAGTTTTTTATATTTATGTAAATGTTTATCTTATTTATTTAATGTGTGTAGTTAAATTATATATCATATTCATCTTACATTTTAGTCGGGAAAGAAAACCCCAAACATGGTCGGAACTATTGGACGACGAGAATCTGAGGCAGAAGCTCTGGCTACTGGCTGAGAAATGGACGAATTACAGGGAACGAGCGCTACAGCTCAATCCAGCAGCAGTTACAGTAGCTCCAGCTTCGAAAACAGAAGAAACGAAGCCAGGAAGGAAATGGTTTTACTTTTTTTAATTAGGTTGTTACTTATGTTATTTTACTTGAGTAATGTATACAGGTATGAGAATACGGTACTTTTTATGAGGCTGGGGATACTGTAATTTTTGGTGAAAATGTTCTTGCTTCTATAGTATACTTTTGGCTGTTGAGGTGATGTATCTATGTGCTTTGTTTTTTGCTGTTAAGTTTGTTTAAAAATACGGTAATTTGACGTAGTCCTATTTACGATTACAGTAACCTTAATCTGTCTTTGTAGTTTAAGGAAACCCCTCAAGGGAAACGTTTAATGCCGTTGGCAATTATTTTCGGTTAGACAATTAACGGTGAATTTTGTTGCAAAGCTGACATATTTTAATGAGATACGATGAGTGACTGCGGCTTAATAGGTTTATTTACATTCAGTCATTACCAGACGGAAATGAAGTAAGGATTGATTATTACTCGGCTTAATGTAGTTCCGGGGATTGTTTTACTGCCGTTTATATATGGAGAAAGGAAGGTAATCCGTCTTCCAGGTAATGCAGGTAGTATAATATCTATCTTATGTATACTTTGATATACGTACTATGATATATAGAGTATGACATTATATAATATATAGAACGAAAGTTTGAAGTAAGAGCAGCCCAAGAAGTCAGTTTCAGCTCAAAACTGTTCTGCCAAGCTCAGTTAAGTGGTCTCAAATAGTCTCAAATACTTGTTATCATTCTCTAATCACAATTTAGGACCGTTTTTGTTGTTGTTTTGAATATTATCATGATTAATATAAGGAAAACAGATTATAGCGTCAATCGCATCCTGTCATCGGTTTTCAGTTTACAGGTTCTTAATACTATTATATGTTAAAAGGCATATTTTGACTATTAAAAAGAACAGATAAAATGTGATTTTAAGTACTACAATGTCAAAGAAGTACTATATGAGCTTATGCAGCTTTACTGCTTTATAATACTACAATATACATGTAGTAAACATAACACAAAGAAAGCTTAAATAAGATGATAACTGAAAGTTATGATTGTTTTGTGTTATACAGTACCGAACTTAAAGTAGTTTAGGCTTAAATTAGTCTATGAACTTCTGGATTAGAAACATTTCTTGCTCTACCGTATGTAAGACCGTGTACGTGAACATTACATCAATGTTTGGTTTGCTCGAAAATTTATTGGAATTCTGGAGAACAACTTGAATTCCTTGTTCGAACGTTCTTAACAACGTTCTTTTTGTTTTACTTTCATATTTCTTTTAAAATAGTTTTTCTGGAAGTAAATAACTTCAGAGTAATTGTTTTGGATTACTATAGATGTAGACACAGATGTAGTAATCGATGATGTTTTAGTACTATACATGTAGACTATAGTAAGTTGACGTAATATTAGGTTGGCCGGTTATGGATTTCGGTTCTAAAATTTTCTGAATTTCATTAAATTGATTAACAACAATAATTAGAACAAAATATAGTTTATAATAAACTTCAGAAAATGTTGGAACCGAAATTCATAACAAGCCAACCTAATATATAGTAGACTTGTAGAAATAAGTATGATATTTACTATAGCAGTTGTTGTAAGATAATACGTGATATCATTGTGCTCTGTAAAATCTGATTAAAAGTACGGTAGATTGTTAGCATGATAGCATAGTATATTGCAATGTTAAGTACCACAAAATACAATGTAGGTAAACAAGTGTTGTTTTAAAATACCACGATAAATGAGGTAATTAAAATGACAAATCATTTGAACAAAGGGTAATAACAACATCTGCAAACCGTAATGGTCAATATTACTTTTTCTGGATTAATATCTCGGGATTACAATGTAAAATATGTTACGTCAAGCGTTGCAAGGCATCTTTTGTCAAGTAATTGTAATATATGTAGAGTTATTACATAGTAATCTGGTATTGTTATCTGGAACTCATGACGAGTAGCACGATCTTCAAAATACGATGTAAATGACGTTGTGTTAGGGTGTAAATTTTGCAGATTTACTACCTTTTACAAAGACCTAGTTGGTGTATTTTACTACACTTTTAAAGAAAGTTACAGTATCACACTACTATTCAATATACAGTAACCAAGTATGCTTTAAGTTTCAGCTAATGACGTTATACCTATGTTTACGTAGTAAGTGCGACAAACTAAAAAACGACTGAACATGGTGGTATGTCACTGTGAATGGTACGTAATTAGGGGATGATAAAAGATTAGAACGGGGGTGAGAGCTTATAATATGACTATAATACTCGAGTTTCAACACAACTATTTCGCAATTTCCGTCGGCTCAAACATACGACGTAAGACACAAGTCATGTTGATGTAGTTTGTTTACATCTTCTTAAGGTTTGTAGACCAAAATATGATTAAAATTTCTAAGTGTTGACATTGTGGTACCGTAGAACCTTTTCGTAAGACATTTTTTATTTTTTATTGACTATACTGTCACTTTAAACTGTGTATAACTGATCTTTTTATTACAGATCTTTTGAGTGACTTTAGGTTAAGTTACAGTAATAAGGGCCGTAACGTAACTTTATGTTGATACCGTAACTTTAAGTTGATGATAATGACTCGAAACCGAAACATGGCACCAGATTACTCTCGAAAATAAGTATGGCGTGATTAAGTGGGAGTTACTAGAATATTAAACAAAGTATTTGAACACCAACCTTAGTTTAATGTCCCATTATCGGAATTCAAATGCGTTTTTACTATTGTTGCTAAGTAAAACTGTGTTTTAATCTTATTTTATTTTTGGAGAAGGATATGTTTGAAATTTATCTTTTTAATCTTAAATTTCGGTTATAGTATTTTATTTAGGATTATTCTTGTTAACTACATGTAGGTATAGATATTCGTGCGGCATGGTTCTAAAATACGTTTAAGGGTTGAAATCTACAGTTTTGGACTGCTTTTTTAACTGATTTTGAGATGATTTAACTAAAGTACCAGTCTAGACCATGTGAATGGCTAATCCAAGTCAAATATATGGTTTAAAGTCTTAAATTGTAAATTATATAGTCTTTGACTTGTTGATTCAATTTTGCTTTATGGTGATATTGTAAAGTGACATAAGAAGCCAAAGATCGTTTTCTTGGAAGATTATATGCACTAAGTTTAAATGGTCTTAGCCTTCGACTAACAATTATATTAAAAAAATGATTTTTGTAACATATGTTTACTAGCTAAACATAGTAACATGTATTCTCATGCTATCTTTTCAACTAAATATAGATGATTTCATCAGAAAAAAATAAAAATAAGATCTTATAAGACTTCTTTATTCATGATTATTTACTGTATTGTTTTGCCACTGTATGTTCTTACAATTACATGAAATCTCTTTTTGTTATTGTAAATATTAAATTGGGTATTACTTAACGATGCTTTAAATTATAAATGTAATTCGAGGTGTCTGCTTCACGTGTATCACAATTCGACCGGTGTTGTTTCCTGTCAGTCATCTTTAATGTATTTATGAACGGAACTCGAGGCATTTCTTGATCTTACGTGTTCGTTGTTCTTACCAGTGTTTGTGACGTTTAGTACAAGTATTTGGCGTATAAATATATATATAAAGATGACTTTTTGTTGCATATTAATGGGTAGCATGAGTTTAGATCGACACTTATTGTCAAGAAATAATTTAAAAAATCTGTAGATCGTTTAGTACTGCCTTTACTACTCGGCTTGAAGACAGTACTAGAAGGGTCAGTACTGAGAAAGGTAGGGAAAGTATTTACTGCCAAAGATATACTTTATTCTGTCACTGAAACTTGAAAAAAAATTTTATATTAAAGGCTATATACTCTTTTCCAAAGGTGATGTTATATAAAGTTAATATGATTTCAATTACTTGCATATTTTGTAGTTCTGTTTATCTTTAGTTTTATGGCTTGTAATCGCTTTATTGCCAGTTTTTGTGATACTTGAAAGGTTTTGTTTTTGAAAATTTTGCAAAATTTGAAATAAATAGCATTAAGAAGTTAGGCTGCAAAAATCAAACAAATCAGTTTGAGCACTGAGAATTCAACTTTGCTTACAAAATTGTTAGAAGAGGTTAGAAGGGGAAGGGAAGTCAAAAAATTTTTTATAACAGAGCTTTTTTTATCTTCTATGTATACATCTTATCATTCATTTCCTAAAACTCAACATTTTACAAAAATGTATTTTAAGATTCAGCTGACAAAATCCTTTTAAAAATTTAAAATTTGAACGCATTGAATATGCAAATGTATTCAGAGTAAAAATGTAAACATATTTGATGTATAAGTGTATTGAATGTACCTATATGTAACATAAAGCAGGTTGATTGTGTCATTTTTGGAATCCGAGGTTTGTGGGAATTGAATGCAAAGGAATAAATAGGTAGTAAAGCGAATCATGTTGCAAGAATACCACATCAGAATTGGCTCATATGTCAGAAGGGGGTTCAGGGGGAACATGGATATGAACATAGGTGGACTTGTGTTCTTTGACATACTTTTTTAATATTTTACTTTACATTACGATAATTTTATAAATACTATTGGGTTGTTAAGGCTTGAGGATTAAGGATTGTTAAAACAACTCAATAGTTTTAGGCTTCAGCTAACTTTTCAGTAAGAATAAGAAGTACATTTCAAGAGTTGTTATACGTAGGTGGTTTCAAGGTTTAAAAGTTTTAAAATTTGAAAGCCAAGAAACCCTGAAGGCCTTGAGAAAAGATAAAGAAAGGATCACAATGAAAGGGTTTTGTTCCGAAATAGACAAACAACATAAAGAGGAACAATAAAAGAAAGGATTCCTTTCGAATTGGATAAGCCAAAACACTGTACCTACATACATTATTGGTACATGTTGCTTTTTGTTTATTCTTAGTTCTTACAACTTCTTTTTGAAAGTATATAGGGTTTAGCATTTTTTAAGATCTTTACTGTCTTATTTGTCAATATACTGACAGTCAATTTCTAGTAGTATTACCTTATGACATTTACGTTTTGTTGGCTTTATGTGTCATAACTAGACTTAAAAGAATGCCCACTAAGGCTGGCTTACCCTCGGCCCGATCCGACTCTAGCCCGGGCCGGCCAAGCCAAATTTGAAAAAGCCTGGACCAGGCTGAAAAATTGAGTGTAGCCCAGCCTCTTTACAGATCTAGTCATAGCTTGATATTTTACGATATATTCTACAAATTTCAAAACCCACCTCACAACGTTGTTTTCCAATCCAACTTTCTAGCTAATTTACAGTAACCCTAGCCAAATTAGTTCCAAATGATTCTTTTGTCTTTGGCCTTCTACTATAATATTAGAACTTTTGGAACGTAAAACAACAAAAGGATTCTAATTTTTCAATTTTAAAAGACCAAAAGAAGCTACAATTATCTGTAGCATAATTTGGTTACGATGTCTCAACATGATGTCGTCGTATCTTGAGTTGAAGATGACATTTGTACGAGATGTAATTAGATTTGGTTTTAGAAGTTTGTGAGGTATAAATAGGTATTTTTGAAATGTGTTTATGACTGATATTAGCCTTGTAAGTAAGGTAGTGTTATAGTGAAAGACTTCTGAATTAGTCGACTTTTTTTTCTTATCATAGCCAACTTTTAAATTCTACCATATCGTGTTTGACTTAATTTTAGGGTTTTATTGTCATTTATAGGATAAATAATTTTAACACAAGGTCTGCTAGAGGTTCTTGACTAACTTAACATGTAAAACAAGTTGAGTGTAAAGACAATGTTACGTAGTCAATTTTTGAAGGTTTAAAAGTTAACCTTTGTTTCTGAGCTTGTATTGAGAACTCATTCATGTACTTGCAGGTGTTATACGTACGTGAAGTATAAGTTGTAAAGGTTTACTATAAAGAGTCTGTTTTATTGTGTAAAATAAGAAGCGGAACAGAGAAGTTAAGTTATGTTGATTAGGATAAGGTTCTAGTATTGAAGAAGGGTCTACTTTTGTTTTTTTTTCTAGGTTATTGATACTTGTAACATTAACAGTCATCTTTATGTAGATAGTTGTTTTACTTCATCTTACCAGCCATTAGAAATGAACCATTATCTTCCCCTTCCTGCTACAACATCAAAACATATTTTAGTGCCTGCAGTAGTGTTTACTCGGATGATAAAACACTTTCTTTGAATCCAGACGGTTACTCTTTGAAATATTCGAAAAGCATGATGTCAATAAGGAATGACCGTATCACGCGGCCGTATAATTTTGGGTTTTTTTTTATAAATTTCGAAAATTTATAAAACCGGCGATTTGAAAAAGATTTGATTAATAGTCAATCTAGCACTCGGCCTCTTAAGTGAGGTTGTAGGGTAAGGAATGCGTAATGAAATGGCACTTTGGAATGATTCATAGCGTTTTACTTCCGGCTACAGTATGATGATTAGTTGGTAGTTGAGAAGGTATATAAGGATTCTTGTTTTGTTCATATGGGAGCTGGGGGATGGGTAGGACGAAGGCAAGAGGGTTTGTGTGGGGTTAGTCAAACTAGCTTGGCATAGAAGATTGGGGCAGTTAAAAGAAGAAGGTAGATAAATTGAGGGGAGAAGGGGTTGCTGAAGAGCCACTATCAGGCTTAGCAATATAATCTATGTTTTCAAATTCTACTTGTTGCCATTTATCAAGAAGCATAACTTAAAAAAAGATGTAGAATTAGCTAGGTAATCTTATAATAACCATAGTTAAGTCTTTACTCTTTGTCAAAAGCTTTACTTAATTTCCTGTTTAATTACTTAATTATTTGTTAGTTATACCCACGGTCTTTGAGAACACATTTACATTACCATTTAGTCATTCGTTTAGTATAATATGCACGTTTCCACATAGTATAACTTGCTTTAACATAGCTATATTAGAATTGAAAGTAAACACATATGTAGGAATTTATAAAACGGCGGAGTACATTAATGGTGACTTTTAAATTATTTGGCACTAGTTGGGTAGTGAAAGCTACAAAAAATTAAAAATATTTAATTTTACTAAATTTTTAAAATCTCCTATTTTTAAGCCAAAAGTCCAAATTCGCTGTAATTTTAAAATTTCAACTGTCGAAATAAACATATAGCGTGCAGTTATTTAAAAGCTACGATTAGGCCAAGTCATAAATATTCCTTCCGTGAATTTCTGAAAATATCCTTATCTTAACATACCTTAACATATTCTTTATCTGTTCTAACATATTCTGCTACTTTTTATGTGATTTTAAAGTCAAATCTGTTAATTTGCCTTAATTGAATGATGACATTTGAATCTTTGATGACATAAACTTGTCTTTGTAAATGATTATTGATTAGCATGGTTAAAAGTGTTATGAATGTCTTTACACAGTAAACGATTGTCTTTATTGTTACAATGTGATTCGATTACAATTGACAATTCAATTTGAACAGTTTTCTTTCCGAGTACGAATGCTATATGTACATGTTCTTAAGGGTATTTGGTGTTCTTTTATTTGATTAGCATATTAATTAACAATTAATATGTGTTGCTCTAGTATATATCGAGAGAGTAGCATATAAAAAGTCTTGTGAAAGGCTATGGCTGCTAAAGAGGTGCTTTTTCGTGAGGGAGTTGGAATGTTTTAGAACTTGTTAGGTAGTCAGGTGGAAATATGACTTTTACTATAGAAAAATCAAAGTTAAGGTGTCATTTGAAGAATGAGATCTAGAAACGGGGGAGGGCGTTTTATTTTTTACGTTTTTTACAATCACTAGAATATGTAAAGTTTAAAGTGATGTATACGTGGGTATGACCCATATCACAGACAATTACTATTGTCTTAGAGACATACATATTATAACATGAGTAGGTAAATGAATAGGTATAGTGGATTATCTACTAAAGACTATAGGTAACCTTCTAGAAGACTATTAATACTTTTGGAGTAAATTACACCGTATTCTTTGAACTACTGCTTATGATTACATTGTAACATAGGATTGAGATTAAAACTGCTTTAAAGATACAGTGTTCGTTCTACTGTATGTTACTTTGATGTATATTTTAGGTACAACTTGGTTTTTCTACTTTTTTCAATTAAAGGATACTGTGAATTTTGCTTTTCTTGATAAGAGGTACTGTATTGTGAAATATTTAATGTTCAAATGAGTTTTTAAAGCTTTACAGTCTTTTTATTACCTAAAATACTCTTTTTATATTAACATTCATTGTTCAACTAGTAATATTTGTTCTTAAGATTAACTATCACATCTCCCAGATATTAATAACCATAGTAATCTACATTACTTTGTTAAAAACAATTGATAGTCACCTTGAGTGCCGTTGGGGGCGTCTTTAGATTGAGGATTAGGTAGCCATTGTTTCTTGTTATTTACCACAATGTAATCAATGTTGGAGTAAAAAAGGAGGCGGGGTTTGTGGGGAGGTGGCCACATTGGCATTTTTTTGCAAACGTTGTTTCACATCGAAGGAATGGTACTTGGATTGGGGTTTGGATGTTGAGGATGATATAAAAAGGGTTTAATGTCTTCAGGGGATGTTTCACACTTCTGGAGACGCTTCTCGGATTCTGAAAATAACTTTTTTAAATTAAAAAAAAGTTGTTTTTTTGTTACTGAAAACTGTTGAGCAAAGCTTTTTGTTGCCTATTGCGGGTGTTATTTAAACCAAACTTTTCAGTAGATAATAGACCCTCTCTTTACCATAAAATTGGTTTTTGTATATATACGTTAACTCTACAGTATGATTAAACATTTTTTACCCTATTTCCTCTTTATTTTTAGTCATGAAACCTACTATAATGTCGCAATATTGTTATCGTTTTCAAAGTATACCCTTGTGGTCGTACCTCTACTACAATATATAGTTTTTTTTTGTATTTTAAGCCCGTCTACCATAAATAATGTATACCATATATCGCGTGTTACGTGTAAACTTGGCTATTTCAGATACAAACGACGGGCTTGACAACAACAACATTCACGATGCGACATCTCTTCGTTGTGATCACGCTGGCCACGGTGGTGGTAGCCGAACTGGCAGTAGCAGTCACCGATTTGTGCGAACAGTTTCCTGAAATGGCAGGATGTATAAAAGGTAATATATTGGTGTCATTGGGGAGTTGTTAGGGTAAAAATTTTGTTGACTTAGGGGTGTAGTTTGACATAAATTTTGAAATTTTGATAAAAGGTATCTTAAGGCTAAAATACGCTTAATTGCGAGAACAAATAGTCAAAGAATTTAAAGAAACATTACAAAACATGATGTTGCTCTACTCACCTCTTACTGCCATTCCTAATGTTTCTTGTTGACTACGGGTCACATGCCCATTCTCACCATAAATCACGTCAGTAGCATAATATACGTAACCCAGTACATTAAGACCATAATTTGCAGCCGAACAAGTCCAGAAACGCAAATCTGCCTACATGAGGTTTGGCAAACGGTCGGTGACTTTGGGCGAGTTGGCGGATTCAGAAGACGTGGAGCCGTTCGCCGCTTACGAGAAGCGGAAGTCAGCCTACATGAGGTTCGGGAAGAGGTCGGCGGGTATGTTGGAGATGCCAGATGAGGACGGGATGGAGATGGAGAAGAGAAAGTCCGCTTACATGCGCTTCGGCAAGAGGAAGTCTGCCTACATGAGGTTCGGCAAACGGTCAGGTCAAGGGATGGACGACGAGTTCGTCATGAACAAGCGCAAGGTCGCTGCGTTGAGGTGAGGATTCTGAAGAGTTTAGGCATGCTTTTAGTAGGATGATTAAGATATGGTTATTAAAAATAAGTTTATTGTATAACATGTTACTATTGCGACGCTAGTAGCTCATTTATGATGTTGTTTGGAGTTTTTTGCAATAGTTGTGTACCCATAGTATAGTATGATAATTTTTTACCAAACTATACTATTTTCAAATATTTTTTAAACTTATAAAAATGACATTTCACATTCATATATGCGGTTTGTGCTCTTCTTAACCTTTGTGTGCTAACTTTTATCACTTGGCCTTTTCAACTAACATAACTCCAAACTTATCACAATGTTGTTCACAATGTTTTGAGCTAAAGAACTTATAATTTTAATTTTTAAAGTTTAACCCCTTATGAGCACTACCAATATTATTACTAAAATAGCCTATATAACACTGACAACTCATATATTACACTAACTTTTCTAAATTAACACTATCAACTTGACCATGACACTAACAACCCACCTCACTAACATCTATTTCAGGTTTGGCTAGAGTAACATAGTAAGGTGTATTTTCTGTATATTTCAAGCATATTCACCATTCCAAACACACCGACTTCTCAATAAACTTTTTTCGTTTGTGTTTGCCGTGATTTAATACTACTATAGTAGCTACTATAATATAATACAAATAACGTTTTCACTTATTTCGGCACGTTATGTACATTAATACTACCACATCTTGAGTATACTGTACTACGAACATCTTTTGTTAAAATATTTTATTAAAAATGGTATATCATTTACTGTAGTAGCTACTATGACACGATACTAACCTGCGTTCGTATGCTTTCATCATGTAAATGGGTATTAATTGTAAGCGCATTTTCAGACAGACGATTGTAAATTGTAAGCAATAAAGTAATTGATTGTGTGACACTTCACTTTGTACTAACCAGATTTGTGTTTTAACATCTACTATATGTAATATGACATATGATTCTACCACTCAATATATTTATTCTATGTAGATATGTGTGTTGCTCTTTGCGAGCACTTTCTGCTTGCACTGAAAAACAAACTAGAGCATCAATTATCCGTCGACTTATAGAACCAGATTTATATAGGATGAATGATTTACAAGGAAAACAACCTTTAAAAACATCTAGGTAGTAGCGAGAAATTGGACCGTCTTTTTGGCCATGTTACTGTTAACTTTCTATGCTTTTCATTTTATACAGGTTTTGTTTTAAAAGCCGAGGGATAATAGTGCGAATTCATAGTAATATAATGTTACTTTGAGCAGTTCAAAACTTTTAATAAAGCTTTATAGGATAATGTAATATTAAGATTGAAAGAAACACTGCAATCTTCTTTCTTTATTTGTAAAGGTTGAAAGTTCAAAGCTATTAAAAATTTACAAAATTAAAAAATTTTTAGAGAAAATTTGAAATAAGCAGTACACGTAGAGCATGTACTATTATTTTTAATATTTGTCCCAAACTTGTTGAATATTTTTAAGGCTGGTATACAGACAAAACACAGTTTTGATAAACAGTCGGACCAGAATTAAATTAGGAAGTATTTTAGGTAACAAACTTAAGACTAAGTGTTTTAATAGTGTTGTTATTGTAAACAGTAACTGAACTGTAGTGTCTTTACAGTTATTGTGTCTAAATTAATTATACATATAACTTTAGGCTTAAATATTAGGTTTTAACTTTTATCAAGTTTTAAAATTTTAAAACTTTGAACTTTCAAAATTTTTTAACTTGCTTTGTAAGCCTAAAACTCTTAAAACTCAAACACTGATTACTAACTTTCAGCCCATAAACAATGTCACAAAATGTCATCAGAGATCCCAACGGTACCAATAGCCCCATGCAATACAACTTGTACAATATGGTCTAAACATTTTATTTTAGTTTCTTTTGTATATTATTATAGTACCTTCAGAGGCTGTAAGTGAAGGATATTTATTTTTCTCACGATCTGCACGTTATCACCGGAAGTTGACAAAACAGTTGGTCTTGGCCCAGGTGGTACTAGTACCATAAGCTTGAAGTTTTGTATTTTGTTACAGTAAGATTACTGGTTGTAATTTTGGAATATTGTACTAGCAGTACTATTTTTTTAGTAAAGCATCAATGAAATTTTGGTACTGGTGGTACTATTTTTTAGTAACGCTAGTACTAAAGTTAAACGAATATTGGTATTGACAGTACTAACTTGGCAGTACTAATGATACGTATATTGGTAACAAATTATAAAGTTTTTAAGCTAATAGTACTAGTACCAGCTGGTCTACCTTGTTCTTGGTCTTCGTTTTTATAGTTAATGACAATACATGACTGTGTTTGGTAATAAATGTTTGTTAACTTGACATCGTATCTTTATGACGTTTATTCTACAGTAATTACATTATAAAACCCGTTTTTCAGATAAAAGTTTACATTTAAAACAATATTAAGTTAGACCTAAAACAATATACATATGAAAAATAACTTAAAGCTCAGTATGGTACAGCTATTCAAATATATAGTACAATCATTTAACAAAGTACTTACGGTACCAGGTAGAGTAGTTCAGAGCAGTTGTAATATTCTACAGTACTACCAACGTTATACAGTACTAAGGCCAACTAGTCCTACTTAACCTAGCAAACATCTCAGCTTCCATAGCTGGTCCAGCTACAATATTAGCAGGATTTGAAGCATAACTATATTGCTTCAGCTCAATATCCTGAGCATAGTCACCGTACTCCGACACCAGAATTTCTTCCGCATTGCACGGTACATAAACTAGTACTCCATGAAGGTCTCCAGCACAAGTACCGGTCGATTTTGGATAGTATGACATTATTTGTTTGTTATTGGCAAAATCGAGTGCTCCAATCTTCTCGTGAGTACCATTGTGAGGGTACTTGAAAAAGAGGTCAGTACGAACACCATGATACACCCAGTTTAGCTCCAGAGAGTCTTCGTCGTTACCATACACGCTTCTTACATCGTATTTGGATTGGATGGATTTCATAAATGATGGTCTTATGAGGGATGAAGGCCCAGTTAAGTCTATGTCTTGGGTTGAGGGTATCAGGTCACATTCACGGTACCAGCCTTTAAAGATGGATATTCAACTTAACTTTATAACAATATCAAAACTTTTAATGTACAAATTTAGTACCAAACCTACCCAAAAGAGTACCACAAGCAATCTGAAAGGTAGTGTTCCACTTATCAGCGAATTCTCGGTATTTACTGAGCACCGACACTTTATGTTTAGGTATCAATCTGGTTGTATTGCTTCGTTTCATACTCAATTTTCGACATTTTATGAAGTTACTTTTCGACCAGTAAAACCAAAACTTGTCCAAATCGACTGGTATGTCAATAGTTACGGTAGCATTGTTGTTCACGATTACTGTAACTGTTCTTGTGGCAAATCTAAACAGAGTAAGCCTATTATGATATAATATTAATACGTATACAAGTTTATAAAAAACAATTTTACTTTATAAACCTAGTCTATACACTTTTTGACCAACAATTTAAATCCTTCGTTTTCATATTTTGGTCGAAAAGTTCATAGCCTTTACCTCTTTATAAAATAATACTTACCGCGGTAGAATCCTTGACTGTGTCACATTGACTTCGTTTGTCAACATACCAAACAGCTTTATATGGTCGTTGCTTTGCTTGTCGAGGACAAAGTAAGTCATATCGAGTAAGTGATTGTCCACATACTTAGATGCCATTACTTTTAGAGGCCCTTTACAATTTTTCAAATTTTCAAAATTTTTCAAACAGTCTGGGTCTATTAGTACTGTCCTGAAAGTACGGTACTTAAAGTTTCTAAACTATTTTATTAAAAAGTTAAAATTAACTAAAGTTTAACAAAACTTTTTAAAACTATAAAAATTTTGATTTTAAAGTTAGTAAAATACCAAAACCTACCATTCCCTAGCCTTTTCGTATATTGCCTTTAATGGCTCTTCTTTAAAGAACAGTAAGTTCACTTTACTGTCTTGATATACTTGTATTGTCACTATTAATGTCAATATTACAGTCACCAGAACTAGATAAACTATTTTGTAAACACTTGAAAACGTAGTAGAGATCCTTGCTATCATATCGTATTTAACTGTAATTTCAAATATTTTTAAAGATAAATTAAAATATAATCACGTAACAAAGTATTATAATAGTTTAGGTATACAAATGTAAAATGGCAACATTTAACCGCGTTTTCTTTTTTCAAAAGTAAAAATTAGAAGATGAAAATATTCAATTAAAAATGACATTATAACGTGAAACACGTTGTGCAAACACATACTATTTACAATGAAATGTCCTGTTCAATACCTCATATAAACTTTTATAAAATTTCTTATCGCTTTATAATAGTTTAATAACCATAACATAATTTACAGACTGGCCAAGCACACAATTTTAAAAACAAAAAAACTTTAAATAAACAATACTACATAACCTTTATCAACAGAACGTCTAGTCTACACGTAGAAGAACATTACCTTTACGAGATTATAAACTATTTTTTAAATTTTAAAATATAATATAGATAAACATATAAAAATTGACTACCGAGCAGGTATTGGGTTGTTTAAATAATTCTGTGCTCCCTAACTTCAGAAAATTGCTTTGAGAGAAGCACAGAATTATTTGAACTGCCTAATGTAATACGTAGTACTACTAAAATTAAATCAACAACCCCACTTACAAGCAGTTATCACTCAATAATCCTTAAAAAGTGGCGATCATAAGAATTAAAAGTGATTTTGCAACTTTTCCCTCAGGGCATTTGAGGGTTCTCGAGATTTGACAAATGTTTGAGTAACATTACTGCTAAAAGCTCGCACTTTGTTACTTTAAACTTAAGTTTACTTTTAGTTACTTTTACAATATTAACCTCGAAAACCATGCCTAAAGCAAAGTGACCTTGATTACTATGACAAATCAATGTTATTAGCTCCCAAAATAAACAAAAAACAGCTGAATCCACTTCCGATATCAACTTATCTCGGCTTTAAAAACAAAATGACAACGTGACGTTATTGTAGTAAGAAGAATGCTCGTACCATTAAAAATGGCATAAAGTAATCATAATACTATAATAATAAAAAACATTTAAATTATTTTAAATTTAGAAAATGTACTTGATCGAACGACTATTGCACGACCCATAAACATTACTAGCAACCTTGTTTGATCAGATTACAACCAGAACTACTGCAATTTGATTGTATTTGCTCAGCTCTGTTGTGCCACACTTCTACAGAATCTAACTCACATGAGGTCACCCAGGATCTGTCTTTATTAAACAGTTGTTTTTACTACAATATGACATTCTATATATTATAATAAGTTTTGAATATCAAAAAAATCTAAAATTTAAAAAAAATGTCAGCAGAAAGACCTTTTCAATTTTTTAAAGTTTTTTGTTTTCAGAAACAATTTTTTACATTTTTGAAAAAAATGAAAAAAAATCATTTTTTATATTGGCATAGAGATGATCGGTAGCTTATCGACTATATTTGTATTGTTTAACTGGTTGAGTATTCTGATCTTACTTGTAATATGCAGCAAGAAAGGTAAGATGTATAACAGTATATATTAGCATAATCAATTTTCAAAAAATTTTAAGATTTTAAAGGTTTTTTCCAAAAAATTATAAATTTTTTGTTTGAAAATTGCATAGTTTAAAAATTTTGTTGATTAAAATTTGATTTTTTTTCAAAAAGTAATAAGTAATTAGACTCATATATCAAAACAAAGTATTGACTTACAGTAACCAGCTTATAATCAAGGTTATAAGCAAAGTTTCCAAATTTAAAATTTTGCTTCCGGCACTAGCTACAAAGCCAGAGCTCTTAGGATAGTTATAAGTACCCATAGAAGCAAATGCGATCGTAAAATTGAAAAATATTTTAGAAAAAACCAAAAAAGACAAAGCTCCAACAGCAACCCCAGCCAAAAATCCTGACAATATAAAGAAGGAAACAGAAGGTTCAAAAGCAGATACAGACGTTGACAAAGAAGAAGAAGAAAAACCAGAAAATAAGCCTAAGGAAGAGAGGAGGAAACCCGATGTTAAGAAGAGAGGAGGTGATATGACAGTAAGGAATCATTGTAGCTAACTATATACTAGCTTAAAGATACAAACATGACACCTAAATATAGGATCTTATATTCTCATTTAACTTACTGTAATCTTGTTTAAATTATTGTGATATTTTACAGAGTCAAGTTGCCAAGGTGAAAGCAGACCAAGAACATCCAGAATCCTTCGCCAGTGTTGTAGACAAGATCTTCTCAGACAAAGAAGTAAAGGGTGACAAGAAGGTAAAGGAAGACAAGGAGAGCAAAGGTACGATGGAGACGCTTACTAAAGCGACAACCAAAACCAAGGTAAGTATATTATGTTTGTTTTAGGTTGATTGCATTCCAAATTGCTATCGAAACACAAAGTAATTTGCAAAGCAAACAACATAAAGCGTGTTATATATACATTGTCATATAAGGGTGTAGTGTCATTGTTATAGCCTCTAACTACCTCTACAACCTTTGTGAGACATTGGTAAAGTACTAAAGATAGTGACACAAAACTAGGGTTGTATGTGTAGTCATAGTATACAGTGTCACGTCATAATAAAGTCATATAAGGCATGTTCTGCTGACTCTCAAATCCCTTATATACTGGACCAGTAATTAGTCCGCTAGCCTCTTGTGACCTTTATTAACGGATTTTATATTTAACTCAATGTTAAGTGCTTTACCGCAATCACTTTACCGTAGTAAATTTTGGTATAATCCTTTTACGCGCCAATTATTATCATTGATTGACATGGTTTTACAGCTAATGTAAGAAGGTTAGAAGCAACTTACAAATTTTTAGGTAAAAGCACTTATGGTGACTTTGTTTTAATGTTATAATTAGATAATTGAGGTACGGAACCAAACAAAACTTATTTTGAACAAGGAATATGGCGTAACTGACAGTGAAAAGTAAAGAATGTAATGTAATTTACTGTAAACATTATGCAAATCTATTTTTTTACTTTCAGACCAAAACCAATACGACACAGAATCAGACACGTCCTACCGTAACAGGAACTCAAGATACAAAAGACTGATACCATTAAGTAATAGTGTTTGAACATAGAATAAATTTAGTATAGGTGATTTTGTTGTTCTTGTTTGATGTTACACTTGAAAAAACATTATTTTTTAATCAGATTTTTTAACTTACCGTAACTTTTCTCTTTGACAGTAATCACAAATCAGAGATATTTCCAGATAAATACCTGAATATTCTCACAAAAGTGCCAAAAATATTTTAAAAATTGATTTTCAATAAGTTTAACTTTAGTAAAATTTGCATAATTCAAATTTTGAGCTGACAAATTTTAATTTGGCGGTTTTCATTCTCTATAACTCGGTGGCTTTTGTATTTCCACCAGCGATCGTCTCGGTCTGTCAGTTGTAATGAGTCTCCTGAACTATATAGCACTTCTCCTGTTATACTGCGCCTTTCTCATCGGTGGGACAGCCAACTGTTGTAAGAGGCAAGGTGGCAAAAAAAGGAAAGACTAAGAGTAAGTGATAATGAAAAATATTTGAATCTTGTTTTGGTGACATGGTCAAAAAATGGATTTCAATAATAATATAACGTTTTTAAATCATAATATAAGGCTTTTCAATGACAATATAAAGCTACCCTTTCCAAAATCAATTTTAGGCACCAATGGAAGCAAATCAAAGGTGTCAGCATTGGGTAAGCAGAAAAATGTAGACAAGCAGAAGAAGGGCGCCGGAAAGAACAAGGACGATGATAAAACACAACACTTCTCCTGTCACGGCACCGAGAACGATGAAGACTTCCACATACCCGAGTTCTCGCTCGAATCCTCCAAAAAAGCAAAAAAGAAAAAGGGGGAGAAAGTGGTCACTCAGCCTACTCAGGTAAGACAGGCTTAACGTTGCCTAGGTTTAACTGTTAAAATTAACTAAACGATTGAGGTCAAGTCAAAAATATTAGCAAAACTTCAAAATTTTTGAAAAAATAAAGCAAAACTTGACATCACGTTAGTTTAATAAAAGTATTGATAGCTTTCCTGTGTCATATTATACGTGAAATCATTTCAGGCAACTCAAGAAACTCAAGACAAATCAGATAGCAAGAAGAGCAAGTCCGCCATTGATAGTGCAGGTCTATCCAAAACCGACAACAAGCGCAGTGCTGAACAAGCTAAAAACGTCAGTTTTTCCAAATTTTAACACTTCAAACATTAAACAATAAAATCTCCTTAATTTTTTTAAAGATATACTAATACATTTGCTATCCATTTCTTTCGATAACGACACCTATTTCCAGTTGAAGACGAAGCAAACCCAAGACAAGACCGAGAAAACAGGAGAGACCAGCCATTGACACGATTAGGAGTTCGAATTTTGATTTATGTAAAAATAAATGATATACTAAATATTCGTAATCTTTATTCGCTGTATATATTGCCAAATATTGAGTAAAACAAAATACAACCTCAAAACAAAATCTTGTTTTCGAATATCTCATCGTATAAAATGTCTCACGCGCAAAAGATACGATGGACGCAGTTTGCGAACAAAAAATAAAATAATTATGTAAAATATTTGGGATTCTGATTAGAAGTGTTCTTATTGAATATCTTTCTATAGAAGTGTATGTAAATTGATATTTATCAGACAGTGTTAAACTTTAATTTATGTCAAAACGATCTATGAAAGATGGAGGGGAAGATGTTGTGGGAGGAAAGCGTCGGGTAGATAAGTTTAGTATTCTTGCTGAATTTGACGAAGGAAATGAAGATTGTTCAGCTGAAATTGGAGAGGGTGAGTTGGTTTTCTTGATTGCTGAAACAATAATTATTTAAATTAAAATTTTTCTTGATTATTTTAGCTATACTAGACGTCACAGAAGCTGAAAAGCGGGAAAACTCAAAAGAAGAAATAGAGAAGATAAGCCGGAGACGTGTGAAAGTATTTGGTACACCTACTATAACAATCAAGAAGCACGAGTTGTGGTTAGATGGTAAGTTATTAACGTTTATATTGTTTTATGTTTAGATTTGGCGCAGCTTTGTCACAGCTTCTTCATACCTATAGAAGTGCCTCGACCAGGATGGTTTCGAACTACAAAGTTCAAAAAACCATCACATCTCGTTTTGGCAAGGATAAATTGTACTGAACAATTGATAGTAAGTGTTTAACTTATTTTTTCAATGTTCTTACTCTGCTGTTTCGAAAATTATTTTTGCTACGTGTAAATTAGCTTATTTTGTCTTTTTTACATGTAAATTAATTTATTTTTTACTTTCTTACATGAAAATTTGTTTAATTGTGAGAGTTATACGTTTTTGAAAATAAAATAATATTTTTTTAAAAACAATATCCAAAAATTGGCTGTTTTAGCGTGACGAAAATAACAAAATGCAGTTTCTTCACGGGTTTTTTGGTAAGAGATTTACTCCGGTTGATGAGGAAGTTTGCGATTCAATGGGATTCTGGAAGCGGTTGATGGAGATCTCGCTGCCGAGGATGTCCCACATTAAACACATGCTCAAGGTAAGTTTAGTTTTAATTTCTAGGTATTAGTCGATGCTTTTGTCTTTGCTAAAGTTATTAAACGTTTGTTTCAGTATTTACAACTTCAGTTTTTTTCAGAAATCAGATGATCCCATTCAATCAGCAATTTCCGAAAACAATCTCAAGTTGCAGTTACTGACTTCAGTGGAACAGATGATGTTCTTCAACTATCCGCTAACCGGGTTTACTGAAGATATGGACGGCATAGCATCGGTTGTCAACACTCGACAATGTTACGGTCGATTAACTGAAACCTCACCAGTCTTTGTGGTCGATTGTGAAATGTGTCAGACTACGGCCTGTAAATCTGAACTTACTAGAGTTACTTTGGTAAGTTTTGCTGATGTTTACTAGATTATATTAGTGATGGTTATTATAATATATTCTTTCGTGATTTTCAGATAGACGAAGAAGGTAATATTGTGATTGACTCATTTGTGAAACCAAAGAACAAGATTACTGATTATGTGACATGTTTTAGTGGGGTGACTAAAGAGAGTCTGGAAGGGGTTACTGTGACAGTGGAAGACGTACAAGAAACTTTACAGCGAGTTTTGCCGCCAAATGCTATCTTGGTCGGTCATTCAATCGAAAATGATCTCATGGCTATGAGAGTGTCACATCCGTAGGTTTTAAAGCATGTAAAACAAGTTTATGGTACTTTATTAGATTTTTAGACTGTATTTAAAGAAATAGTATTGACTATATCATATATACTTTGCTGATATTTACAGGTACTGCATAGACGTAGGACTGATTTACTCATCAAAAATGAACCGAAGAAGTCGGCAATCATTAAAGAAGCTGGCGGATTGTTACCTCGGAGAGACGATTCAGTCTTCAGATAATGGACATTGCTCATACGAAGATTGCTGGGCTACATTACAGCTGTTCAAGTTGAAACTAAAGCATGGTATTGTTTTTGGAAGTGTAGCTGACGGCTTCGATCATCTGGAGTGGACTCAAAACTTTGAGAAACCTCAGAAGAGTAATTTAGATGATCAGAAGGTAAGATATACGTATATATTTTGTTGTAAAGATAGTTTTTGATGTGAAGTACGGTATTGGAGGAACGTATATATAATTTTATAAATTATCGTAATATTATTGTAGAAAACGTATGTGAAGAATGTAAAGTTACCTCCACCAAAGTGCGTTGGTCATTGTGTGTCATGTGGAAGTGAAATCAAGAGCCAATGCTGTGTAGAAGAGTGTCTGTGCATGAAAAGACAACCCAAGAAGTGTATTTTGTGTGCAGGAAAAGGAGAAGAATATCAGGATCCAGATGAGCATGAGCGATTTAACTATGGGTAGGCTTTTCTTTAAGATTGTTGGCTATTTTGTATTATAATTTATACAAAACCATTTTGATATAGCATTTCAGCACTTGCTGGATGTACGTTCTACTAATTTTAACTAAATTCTTTTAGAGTAGCGATCAAAAAGTTCGTAGAGAAGACAAAAACCCCGATAAACGAAGTGACAGAAGCTTTTACCACGAAGAAGGCTCTCTTTGCCAGATACATGGATAACATCGAAGCACAGTCGATTAAGAATGTGACAATATGTGACATGACAGACCTCACAACACCAGAAGAGATCAAGGACTATATTTTGGATGCTAACGTGATGGAGAACGACCTCTGTGTAATCGAGTACAACGCTGAAGAAGGTTCAGAAGAAGCTGTAGATCAACTTTTGAAACATGTTCACAACTCAATGGCCCCATTTGGTATCTTAGCTTTGGTGTTGTGCACAACAACACGAGCTATCATGCATTTTGGAGTAAAAATTTAGATACTATAGTCGAAATGCTATGTTGTAGTAGTTTAAAATTCAGGGGGTTATATTGTAAATTATGGTGTTTTCTATGTGAGTTCTAATTGTATGATATTGTTAATTATATGTCTATGTTCATATGGTCAATACCAATATGGTATTGTTAGTTCTGACTAGTTTTGTCACATCTTTTTTCGTACAGCTAAAATTTGTTGAACTTTTATCCTGGTTGAGTTGTTTCTTGTTATCAAAGCCTTTCAAAAACAGAATTTAAATAATGAATTTGATGGTTATGTGTCTATTGTTACTGTTGTTAGAAGAATTTTAATAAATTTATTGATTTAAATAATTTAATATTATAATACTCGCTCTACTGATTTATCAGGGCATTTGTCTTTGGTACCTGGATACCTTTGGTCCAGGTTGCTTTTGAAGTTGCTATAACTCTGAAAATGTGAAGTTGAGGAATATATTAGGCGTTTATTTATAATCCTTAATATATTCATCTTTTTTTATCATATTAATCTTCTTATGTTCATGATAAAAACGTTAACGCGTTATTCCGAAGGTGAATTATATTTTTGAACTTACAGTAAGCATTTCCCTCATTGTGTCATTCCTAGCACCATCTATAATCTTGTCGGCGATCAGCCTGAAGCCAGGATGGACGGTAAACAAGTTACTGACCATTATATAGTCAAAGCCAGCTCTGCAGGTCTCTTCAACCTGAAACCGGGCGTCTTGATGTATATCTGAGATCAGCAGTGGATGAAATGGCAGAACTCTATGGTAAGTGACGAAAGCAGGCTCCCACATATTACCCTGGTAGGGTATGATCTTGAATGGTATGATGGCGGAGTCGTTGCTCTCCATCCATTGTCGTATGTACGGCAATCTATGGTTAGCAGAGTGGAATCGGCGAGTGTAAGATTCTATAACATCTCCTGATGCGTACATTTGCTAAAAGTGTTTTTTTATAGTTGAGAATGTAGTCATATTGTTGTGCAAGCTACATGTGTTAAATGAAGTAAACAGTTTCTGTAACGATCATTTTATACGTATGAAGCTGATGTCTTACCTGTAATTGTGGCTTGTTCCGAGGAATATCTAATCCCAAAGTAGTTTCGAATTCAGGAACAATCAGCAGCGACTTTCTTTGAGCACTAAAATGACATTAATGTAGACAACATTGGTATATACTTGATTCTTCAAGCATTAGATCATGTTCTTCACGACGAATTTCTACAAACTCAACCTTACCTAACCAAAAGTTCATTAGCCAAGGGTCTCAGGGATTGTTCAAAGTCTTCACTGGGAATGTTCTCTATGTCAGTTTGGAATATCAGGTTTGTCTTGGACCCATATCTCGCCATATTCCTCAAGTAATTGGCCGGGTATCCAGCGAACCTTCTGATTAAGTTGTACCTGTCTGTCACAAATTCCTGAAATGCCAGTTTTATTAGAATTGTATGACTTGAGCTATATACTGTAACATAAACATTGTGGCTTATGGTAGTCTAAAGTTATCAGAATTTGTTATTATATCTACTCTGTAGTAGATTATAATAGTAAAATGCATTTTTTTAAGTGAAGGGAGGTTACCTTGTTTTCGACCAGTCGTATCAAAGGCACATTCAGTGTTTCATGACATTTGTCTTCTTTTTTGTATATTAAGTTCATCGTGATCTGCTTTGACTGTTTGGCTTTCAGCATGTCTAGTTTAGCCAATGAGTACTGTAATTTAGTTAATATATAACGAGTACTGTAATTTAGTTAATGTATATTGTGATACAGTGAGAGCTTTTTATTATGACTCTCAATAGTGGGACACATTTATAGTGACATAGTTTATACTGCCCTACGTACTATTATAGAATCCTTATCAAAAGTTTGCACCTTCAGTCCTTTGGGTGTCACACTAAAGAGGGTTGACGGTATCTTTCTTTGGCTTTCTAAGCCTCCGACAATTGTCTGTCCATGACGTTTGAAGTCGTATAAACTCTTTGCTTTTAAAATCGAAACTTACAGTAAAAGCGTAGTTAACAGCCTCTTCAGTTCCGTAATCATCGTGTCCTGTCAGGTTATATGCATGCATTGGATTGGGTACTATTACTGCGATCGATATTGGTCCAGTCCAGGTTTTTAACTGAAATTCAAAATTTTTTTTTATTTTGGCGATGATTATATAGATTATACACATCATTAGACGGCTGCAATTAGAGCAAAGACATTGATCTTTAGTCGTCTACTTAAAAAAAGTATTTATGAGATAAAATAATGTCATTTTAAAATTGGATTAATGTTTTTGGCAGCGACAAAAGGCAATAAATAACTTTTTTTTAAATTAGATTGATAGCTTTCAAAGAAAACTTACATGTTCGTCGAGATAATCGATAAACTCGATCGCTGTATGCGTTACCAGAGTAATCGAGCTTCGAGGGAATGACAATACATCTGGATCCCAGTAATCTGGGATCACACAGTACTCTTTCTCGTACTCTCTACTCGACAGGACCAATGAGTTCTTCCTGGTGATCTCCACAAACTTTTCATCCTTGTAGCGCTGAAAACAATTTTAATATGACAAATGTATAGTACTTTTTATGTTAGAATTAATAGTATAAATCTAAATCGCTAGCTATTATAGTATCATAACTCATAAACTTATAGTAAAATGATCACAAATCGGGCTGCTGAAGCTGCCAAAAGCTATGCCAATGTAAATTGAACACCATTTTTCACACTTCTTGAAGCCTCAAGTGATAATAAGCCCAAGAAAAACTTACAATTTGCTGTATCAATCGGTAGTTTAAGAAGATAGTGATCAAAGCTATGATTTTCCATAATTTTGAGTTATTGAGGACGTTTAAAAATGTGTAACAAGTTCTTTTTACTCTCACAGTAGATACGGAAACCGCTTTGAGACGATTTAAATGTTTGCCATTGTAAATTGGCAGCATCTGGAACGAATTCCATTAGGTAACTATGAACGACAAGTATAAAAATTTTTAAAGTTTTGGCTAAACTTCGGACTAAACTTGAAACTCAACAATAATGGGATAATATAAAACCAAAAAAACCCTAAACCCTTCACTTTTTGAAAGTTTAAATGGTTTTAAAACTTTTTGCTCGAAAAGTTCAAAAATTGGGAATATTTAAACCCAAATTGGAAAAATTTCGAAAAATTTCAAAAAGTAAGGCTAATCTGAAGATATGTGAGCTAGTTACCTCACTAAAAAACGTGTTTTTGGAGACGACTTGTATCATGAATTTACATCTTAATACGTATCTTGATTACTCGAGAGTTTGCAAGACGTTTCTTTTTTGGGAAGACACTTCAACCAAAGTCAAATGTAAATTTGGTTATTTATATATTAGTTTTGAACTGTTTTTAATGTTGTTTTTTAGGCTTAGGTTTGTATGATTAGATTATAAAATTTTTAAAAACTATTTTTGAACCAACTTTGAAATTTTTGAAATTGAAGTATTTTCAGGCCAACATGAAGCAGTCTATCATACCATATTACACTACACCATCTTCATCTACATGCAGTCAGAGATCTACAACAAATACAGCTTTTTTTGATAATATACAATCTTTTCTATATCGCCATGGCATTAGCCGTAAGTCTAAATTTAATTTTAGAATTTTGGTGCTCATTTCAAAGTCGTACAATGACATTTTTTAGAAATTTATCAAAAAACTATTATTTTACACAAAAAAGGGATTAATTGCAAACTGCGTAAAGATATAGGAAAGGGCGCAAGCTGCCAAAATTTTTCAGAAAACTTTTTTTAGGTAACAAACAAAAACTGATGCTATTGATAGTAGTGCTAATATGGATCGTGTCTTTTATGATGTTAGTGACACTGCCATCAGAACCGCGACAAATTATTATCATCACACCAGTAATGCAGCGACCTGAGAGGATAGCCGATCTTACTATGTTAGTTTGTCTATTTATAGCTTTAAATTGCTTAATATGGATTTAAATTTTGGTCCTTGAACAATTTGTTTAATTTTTGTAAATTTTGTTATTGTAGGTTATCCCAAACCCTGATCCAGCTCAAGAACATTCACTGGCTTCTAATCGAAGACGACGATAAGCCTCACCCAATCGTGCCATGGTTCTTATCCAAGTACAACATACCATACACATACCTATACACCACGAACTTGGGTTTACCATGCCGAGGCTGGGCCCAACGCAATTTGGCTATGGATTACATGCGACAAAACCGAGACAAGTTTGAAGAAGATGCTGTCGTCTACTTCGCGGACGATGACAACTCGTATGATCTGCGATTGTTTGACATGTACATACGAAAGGTTGACTATATGGGAGTGTGGGCAGTGGGATTGCCGGGTAATGCTTTGGTCGAGCATCCATTAGTCAGTAACGGTCGACTGGTCGGTTGGCACACCGCTTTTCGACCGGAGAGAAACTTTGCGACTGACATGGCTGGATTCGCGCTGAATATTGATGTGTTGACGAAAGCAAAGTAAGTTTTTTATACGGTAACTTATAATAAATTTGTTTCTAGTGCCTCCTTCAACCTCAAATGTACCGGAACGACGCCAGAAGACTGTTTGCTGACCCAGATGAAGATCAACAAGGCCAGGGTCACGCCTTTCGGTTGGGAGGGGGAGAAGAAAGAGATTCTGGTATGGCATCGTAAAACAGCTCCAGCTCCAGAAGACCCGTTTCCAAACAACGGCTACATCGTCGAGAATCGGAAGCCTCCGAATCCGATTTGTGAGCGCTACAGAGAAATCTCTAAAATGAGTTATCCTCAGGCATTATTGGTTGCTAAACTCTATAACACTACTCAAAGCGCGAGGCCTAGAGTTTTGGGATGATTCAAATTTTAAAAATGATCAGATTATGAAGGTATTAACTTAAATGTAATAAATAAGATGTACTTATTATATTGTTAGTGAAGAAGTAGTTTGTGGGTCATTCCATTAAACATTTTACTTTTTTCTTATATGTAATGCTTTAAAGCTACCTATTACAATACAAGCCTAATCATTATGGCGAACAAAGCGCGACAGGTTGAGTCTTAAAAAGGATCTTCACCATCACGGTTAATATATTTAAGTCATGTAACATTAAAAAAAAGATTTTAAGAGCCCTCTGTCTATCCTTCATTCTCTGACTGATGCGTTTATAGCTTTTATTGATATTTAATCTTTATTATACTACAGTAATTTTATATCATGTGTTCTACTGCTTTCTCTGGACATTTGAACTTGTTAATGGGGTACAGTAGGTCCAGACTTTCTTTGAAGACTTTGTAATTCTAAAACAACGACTTGTTTATACTTATTATCGCTTTTTAAAAAAGAATATCTCCAAAGAAAAATTACATTCAACATGATCCTCATAGTGTCATTCTTGGCTCCATCAATCATTTGATCAACGATCTTTCTGAAGCCAGCATGCACCGTGAACAAGTTGTTGATGATGACAAAGTCAAACCCATCTCTACAAGCTTCTTCCACTTGGAATCTGGCATCTTGATGCACAATAGATAGTAACTCTGGGTGTGATGGTAAGTTACTTCTGTGAGCGATGAAAGAAGGTTCCCATCGGTTGCCCTGATAAGGAATTACTTTGAAGGGAGTAATATCCACGTCAGAATGTTCCATCCATCGTTCTAGGTATGGAATACGGTGGTTGTTGGCGCGGGAACGTTTTGTATAGGCTTCTACAACATCATCATTGTTGTACATTTCCTAAAGTATATGGAAATGTATATATATATTGTAGTTAACATATTGGTCAGCTTATGTACCACTTGAGCCATCAAAAGATAAAGTTTTAGGTTGAGGCTAGCAAACTTACTCTTAATTGTAATTTATTTCGTGGAATTTCTAGTCCAAGGCTCGATTCGAATTCTGGTACTATCAACAAGGTCTTCCTTCTGTTACCACTGAAATTACAGTACTTAAAAAGAACTCTTATTATAATAATTTATGTATACCTTACCTTTCTAATATACTCAATTTCTTGTCAAAAACTATATTTTATAACTTACTGTACTAGAAGTTCATTAGCCAGAGGTCTTAGTGCTTTCTCAAAGCCTTCGCTAGGAAGATTCTCAATTTCAGTTTGAAATATTAAGTTAGTTGGAGAGCCTTTTGTAGCAATGTTCCGAAGATAATTGGCTGGGTAACCCGAGAATCTACGCAATGTGTTATAGGTATCTGTAACCAATTCCTGAAATGTTACAACTAAAAAGCTTCTTACTACTGTTCCATAATTATATCATTTAATAATATGCTCTGTGTAGTATTATTTTAAGAATGTTTACAAAAATCAACCATATTTGTTTATATTATACAACAATACAAAATATATGACACGACTTACCGGGTCGGCTTTAAGCCGTGCCAATGGTACTCTCAATGTATTGTAACATTCACTAACTCTCTGGTACAGTAGGCTTAATGTAATTAAATTCGACTTTTTTGCTTTGAGCAGTTCCAGTTTAGCCAAGGAGTACTGTAAAGAATTTAAAAATATGAATACTTCCATAAACAAAAACAACCAATAATTACTCTTTTGTATGACAATTATTATATTATATAATATATGAATTCCAAAAATGTATTTAATATGGCAAGTGACATAACTTACCGAAAATGCATAATTGACAATATCATCACTTCCAATGTCGTTCATTCCGCTTACATTAACAACATGCATAGGATTAGGTACTATGAGAGCCATTGAAATCGGTCCAGTCCAGGTTTTTAGCTAAAAAACGTATTTTTTCAAAATTGAAATAAAAATAAATATTATTCCGAATTAAATTAAAACTAAATTATTCGCTTGAAATTTATAATTTACAGTATATATGAAAGCTACAGTATATACAAGACTTACATGTTCATCAATAAAGTCCACAAACTCGACGGCTGAATGGGTGACTAAAGTGATGGAATCTGGAGCGATGGCTAATGGGTCGGGCTTCCAATATTCTGGAATCAGACAGTAATAGGGATCGTACTCAATGCTGGACAATGTCAACCAGTTTCGGTTACTGATGACTCGAACTTTCTCTTCTTTTTCTGACTGAAACAATAAAATTAGCCAAAGAAGCCTAAGAACCACTACAATAACTCGTAGCAACTTCTACTTGTAAATGTTTGAAATAATTGCAAAGTTTTAACAATTGAGACGCCTTAGACTTAAAAAAGGTTTTAAGAAACTTGCCAATCTCTGTGTCAGCCATAAGTTGCAAAAAAGAGCAGTCAGTCCGAGGATCTTCCAGACCTTTGGATTGTTTAAAAATGGTACCAATTTACGAGTACAAAGCCGTTTAACAGTAACAAGTAATTTATAGTTGGACGATGTTTTAAAAGCCTTGGAATACTTGTTGTCATATGACAAGAGCATACTGACCAATACTCATACAGAAAGGTCAAAAGTATTGATTTTTCTTTCTTCTGATTGCCTTACTATCACAATATGAAAAATAATAAAAACGCCAAAACTCTAATCCAAACAAAGAAAAGTATAGTTTAATGTTTACCCCTAACTCGTTTCGTATCTAGTTAAGCACAGATGTCATACGAAGATATACGTTTTTTTTATTTTGATTAGAATCTTAAGTTATGATGAACTTTATAAAAAAATGTAACTAATGAGATGTCAACATATAAAATATAGATATGTTAATTCGTATCTACGTATACTTTTTTGTATCTTTATAGCGTGGACAGCGCGGTAGCAATAAAATCAGAAAAAGACATCTTTTTCAATTTACTTTACCAATTCAAACCCAACGTTATATTCAAAAAAATCAATAGATTATGTACTCTCTATGTTGATATCGACCACATACTGCTGTTTCTATTAGGTACATAGTTCTTCTTCAACAAGCCGCTAATGGTACGACGGAAACTGGGTATCAAGTATAATATCATGCAGCCCATTACTAAAGGAATCAAGCTTTCAATTACATTGCTGATCATACCAGTATATATTTCATCGTCCTCAATATAAAATCTAGAATAGAGCCGTACACAAGATGGTACTACCAGTGCACAAAATGGTTGCGTACTCTGTAAAATTACTACTGTAATATGATTACTGGCTTTAATTTTGATTACATCACAGATCTTACATTGTAAAAAACCTTTATACAGTCTAACCTGCCAACTTATATTTTAGATATTGTAATAATACTGCATCCCTTTACAGTATACTCATATGACTTACCATAACAAGTAGAAGTTTACTCAACTGTGTGTGAAAGTTGATGTTGGCTGCACTCATATGAACCCTCCTTAATGTTAACTCCTTATAACATTGGTTGGCACAGTAAGTCATCACCGCGTAAACACAGCTCAACGTTACACACATAAGAATAGCGGCTAGGTACACTCCCGAGTTCAACTAAAATAACATTTTAGCCACATCAACCATTATAATCATAGTATCAGTACTCTATTACGGTCATCAAGATATCATACTTCATTACACAGTAAAATTCTATTATAAACAAGCTTGTTATACCACATCCTATCAATACTAGATCTACCATTAGCATGCCCCACCTACCGCAGTAACATTGAACTTGACATCGTCCCCATAGTAAATGCCATCTTTTCTCAAAATGGCAGTGTAAAATGGTCGTTGACTGTCATCCATTGCATACCCACCTTTGACAGAAATGCCACAATTAAAAGCCTGTAGCATAATATAAATAATGGCAATCGCCTTCTTTGACAGCTTAGAACGAAGGCATATAGTAGATTGGCAGTACAAGAAGAAAGTAATCGTAGTGAAAACAGAAGAAGATATAAGGAAGAACCATGCCTGTATCAATATCTTGGAGAGTAGCCCGGCTTGGGTTTCAAAAGGTCCGAAGTTATTGAAGAAAACATAGTTATCCACAAAGTCAACCGTCTAAAGTTATATAATATGTCAGACCAAAAGTAAGGTTTTTATTAAAAATAAGAAAGTGTCTTACTCAACCTACTTTACCATACTCTCCAAACCCTACTCTCCCTATCATATCCTATCCTACCTTGCGTCTGCTTTACCCCAATCTATCCTACCCTACCTCAATCTACATTACCCTTAAAAATGCAATAAATTAACTTACTGTAACTGTAATTGAATTCAAAAAGCTAAAACATAAATTATTACCAACAATCATATACATTATGTGTCGATACTTCTTCATACGTTGACCACAGTGTCTTATAGTAAGATGTAGCAGTACTCCATTGACCAGTAGTGACAATGTGTTTACAACATAAACAAAGTTAACATGAAGGTATCTCAAAGTACACATAACATAAGAACTGAGTAGTTTCCTTATCACAACTATGTAGAGTAAAAACAATTAGGTAACAAGAAAAAGCAAATGACCAAGAAAATAACTTGTAATACAAAAGAGAGATACGCTAATGTAGAACAAGAGTACATGTACGTAAGTACGGACACACACTATAAGTGACAAGACTACAAAACTAAATATAAATACATGTGATCAAACAACTTAGCTCTAAGATACTAAACTCTTTTCTCAGTACTAAACATTCTCACACCTTTCTCCTGATATGAAACATATGTTTACTACCTGTTAGATCTGTCTACTTGTAGTATCATCACTAACAACGTACTTCATTCTTAACATGAACATCTTTTAGCCAATTGCCGTTCTTTAATACCGTAACATCACAAGTACAATGAACGCAGTTGTCAACAATAGAACACTTAAAACAATATCTTCCTCTCGTTACCTTACGTTTACTTCTTCAACATACATTACCAATAACAAGCTACAACACAATAGAGATAATGGAGGCTCATTAAATGTAGCTGGCATTTGAAACCTTCTTCGAATTACAACTTTACTCAAGATTGTACATGTCACAAGGCAAGTGCACCTCTCATCTCATAAAATTGTAATTTGTTTTACATATCCCTACCACAACTAGATAACACAAGTTATGATGTTCGGCGTTAGGCTAGTCCACGTAGCTATTGTATATACAATAAACGTACTTTCGATAATACTTAACCTATGCCTACTGTCTATAACACGTAAAAGGTGTGGTAACAACATGAAGAAGTATCGGCTAGGACTACAGTTAGTCATAACAAACAACTTGTTGTTCAGTATCATCAACTCTTTCTCTATTCAGGTATGTTACGGTTTGTAGATGAGCTTGAGTCCCTTCTGCACACTCGTTACGTTACCATGCTCTAACCTACCTTACATTCACTTACAATAACAAAAATTACCATACTTTTCCGTACTTTACCTTAGCTAACATTACCATACTTTACCCACATTCTTTAATAAATACTTATTCCAGACATTTGAAGTAATTGACAAATACGTATTCTGCTGCAACTACAGTTTCTTCTCAACATCTTTCAATGCTCTAAACCATATATTTATCTTAACATGGTATATGATCACGTATGCCACCGTGTCCAGCAACACCCTACTCTACATCGACTGCCACAGGGTTGTTTCCAAAAAGGTTGTTCCAAAATGGCAACAACTCTCTGTCTTTACACTATTTCAGATAATCAACGTCTTTTTGGTTTATATACATCACCACGCCTTCTATGGCAGCAACATGACCTTCTACAAAACTGTGCTGCGAAGGAGTAGTGTTGGCTATGAAGACGATGTTTTCTGTGAAATCGCTCACACCGTAAGTTATATAAAACAGTAGGTTATGTCAACAAAATGTAACTGCTGTTCATAGTTTACTGACCGTATAAAATAGAAGTCAATAATATTGTGAAACATAATAAAAACATATTATTTTCAGCATCAAGGTACGTATACTCAAATATTATATTTGCTATTCGCGGTCGTAGGCAAAGACTACACTTTAATGGCCTACTGTGGCAATCAATTCTACAAACAAGTCCATCGTGGGAGAATTAACCAGAATTCAGCTACAAACAAGTTTCACACCTATTTGGGCAAACTCATGATTTATATGGTAAGAAACGTTATTCTAAATCACAAAATTTTTAAAAAGATTAAGAAAAAGCACAAAACAAAGTTTCATACCTAAATTAAAAAATTCTAGAGTTTTATACCATTTTGGGTTGTTATTTTGCCCCAAAATGTTCGTGCCATCTTAATCTACATACTGGAAATAAACAGTGAATATATAGGCATTGTACTCAACATTATACTAACCTTACAGCCTGTGGTAACCGCAATGGCAATGATCTACATCATGCCACACTACAAACGCGTCTTCTGCGAAGCTCTTGATATTCTCCGAGGAAAACATCAAGAAAGGACTTCTGAAAGCGTCTTCTCTGTTTCTACGTGAACCAAATAGGTAATGTAACATACTAAAAGGTTTATGACTCAAAATAAATAGTGATATAGGCATCATCTAGGTAATATGCTAAAAAGAACATCCAACTGTCATTAATCAAGCCTCATATATTAGTCAAAACAAATTCCAAATCGCTCTCGCCATTAATCGACCAAATTCGGTAATACAACCGGTAGTAAAAGCACAACATAACCAATGGGTCCACTTTTCGTCAACTTTCTTTGGGTTATCTTCAATTATCACATTTTTATGATACAAATTAGGTGAACTTTGGAGGTGAAACACTCTAAAACAATATTATCAACAATTACCGCCTAAAAATAAAAAGAACGTCTTAATATATACTACCCAATCGAAACAAAACAAGAAGAACATAAATATAAAGCTCGGTAACTCCAAAACATTTTTATTTTCTGCAAAAATTAAAAAAAAATATTTGTAAAATCAATAAACTGTTTTTGACATTCCGCTGAGAGATTCATTGACAAAAAAAGAATTCTGATAAATTTTACTGGCTTCTGGTAATGTTTCGAAAAATATACTTCTGGTAATGTTTCGAAAAATATACGACTTACCGATTGAGGTTACTTTTATGATTGACAGATAAGCTGTCAGTTTTGAATGGAACGAAGAAGATGTCTTCCATCGAAGGTAAGTAATATAAAGATAAATTATTCCGATCAGTTCTTTGCGAATGCAAAAGCCTTTGCCGTATTGATGGCATCTTTTTTATTATAACAATTTTTTATGATTTTAAAGTTATTTGGTTTAAAATGGATTGTTATGACAAGAAAAAGATCCACAACACAGTCAAAATATTCACAAGATGCGCAGCCTGCTCTTATGAGTTTTTTTGTTTCAGCTTAACCCTGCGAAAGACAGTTAAATTTTAAATTTCACAGAAGCAGGCTGTAAATTTTAAAATATAATTTAATTACATTACTATGCATAATATATTATACTCAATCTGACTAGATGCGCAGCCTGCTCTTATGAGTTTTTTTGTTTCAACTTAACTCTATAACGACAGTTAAATTTTAAATTTCACAGAAGCAGGCTGCAACATATAATATAATTTAACTAAATACATTACTATGCATACTGTAAACACTCAATGCAACGAAAAAACAAACTACTTCGTATAACTTAGAAAGGGAATTGTCCACGAACGAAAAAAAAATAATTATGACAATAAACTAATTATTATACAACACTGTATAAAAATCGTAAACTATTTACAAATAGATATAATATATACAAAGACTAGAAAAAATAAAAAAGTAATACAATAAAAAATATACAATTTACAACAAAATACAACAATTTAAAGAAGTTTATTTGGTTAAGTAGCAAGTAGCGTCTTTGTGATTCCGGCGTAAAATGTCACGGATTGACCTCAGGCACAAAATTTTAGCCAACGTTAACGGAATACCTGTAAATATTTTAATTAAAAAAACTTTCAAAAATTTATAAAAAAACATCGTTAAAAACACGCAAAACCATACAAACCATCAAAAATTACATTAATTTACCAGTGCGCTGTTTTACAAGAAAAGTTATTTTTAATTAAACCAAAAAATTGCTTTTTTGAGAAAATTCACCTTTACTATCCCTCAAAAGACGTGTGAAATTGTGCTGGCGTGATTGGGTCGAAATAGCCTTTATTGACATTTAAAGCAATCAAAATGTGTACTGCCGTTTCGAACAAATACTTGTTCTTTTTGGATTTGCACTGTGCAACACTTTCAACGACTTCTTCGGAAATGACAATTTCTTTGCTTAAGTCAAAAGTTTTTTTGCAAGGCTTAAACGAAGACAATGGATTCTAAAAATTGATTAATTGAAAAAACATTAAGTGTCCCGCTACTTTTGGTTCAACCTAATGAAACAAGATTCGACCAAGAATGGGGAGTTCAAAAATTTCAAACTATCTTAAAAACTCATTTTTTCGACAAGAAATAGTACTTGTGCATAAAAATGCAAAAATGTAATGAAAAAAATTAAAATTTGCAATAAAATCATGGAAATTTTGCAAAATTTAAAATTTCTCAAAATTTCACACGTGATATCTAATTGGCAATAGATAATATCACTACATGTTGAGTTACGAAAAAATCTTATATGTTACTGTAATCCTACCGTAATAGTTTTGCATTTCTATCGCCCATTTACTACCTCTTGACAGAGCTGTAAGATGTTTTTAAACTAGTTTGAGATTTTTGAACACCCCCGTCTGACCTATGTTCGATTCTTAGGCGAGTGGTTTAAAAAATGTAAAAAATTGAGCGGCTGAAATTTGGGAATAAAAACAAAAACCATTTTACTCTGAAATTTTTAGGTCTAAAAAGCAACAAACTCACGAGCAACAATTTAGCTCTTATTCCTAGTTTGCTTAAAAAGCTAACAATCTTGAACTTATTACTGTTCGCCTCGTGATACCAAAAATTCAAAATATTGATCTAAAAACGGGAAAAATATTTTTTTGACTTACAGTGCACTAATAAAAAAGATTGTCAAAAAGTTTCAATTTACATTCATGTTTCCTATTGAGTTCTGGCAGCCGGTCATAACTGAAAATATAATTATTTAAGTATAATTTTTTAAAAAAAAGTTGAACGTGATCCCGCCTGTAAATTTTTTGAAAAAATTTTTCGCAAAAATCGGCACAGGTAGCTTACCTGTGCCGATTTTTTCGTCGCCCTCAAACCAAAAGTCCCGCCCGGCACTGATCCTACCCTACCCTGCCCTACCCTACCCTGCCCTGCTCTGCCCTGCTGTCCAATTGAAACTGTCCAATTCCGCGGCTTTTTGGAGTCCGTGGAATTGGAAATGGAATCAATTGCGTCGCGCGGACGATAGGATCTCGTCCTTACTACAACCTAGAAGCAGTATTAACCAATAAACAAGCACTTCAACGTAGATTAGCACTTCAAAGTCTACAATAACATCCAATAAATTAGATATCAAAGTTTATTAGACAATAGAATAGAAATATACTAACCTACTGTTGAAAAGCAGAATCTTTTTTCTCCCTGTTCTCACAATTTCCTTCAGCTCATCGACTTCTCATCAAATGCCTTCGGCACGACAACGCGTGTCCAAAGTCCAATGAGGAAATCCGACAAAACATCGAGAAATACGTGCGAACAACAAAGAGAAAAACTTGACACTTGGAGTCAAGTGCCACCTTACATCAATAAATAATATTTTAGAGAGAATTTATAGAAATAAAGACAAGTACCGCCGGTACGTTCCGATGGAATCGGACACCTGCCCTGCCCTGCCCTACCCTACCCTGCCCTACCCTCCTTCTACCCTAAAAAAAAAACTTACAAACATCGTTTACTGAGTTGTAGACAAGTTTTGGTTTAATGTGTGAAGTGTTCTCGAAGTGTTCTTCCGTTTGGCAAAACCGTACGATGTTGTGGTACAGATGCCGTCGTTTGCGAAGGCTTTCGCCGGGGTAACTACAAAAATAGTCAGTGAATTCCCAAGTAACTTCGAGCATCGCTTTTTCTATATCCTTCTTAACGGAACAATTGATCTTGACAGCGCCAAAAGGTAATAAACAACATTCTGTTTTGTTGATGGTTACATTCACTGTATGACTAATCTTCATAATAATGAAAAATGGGGTGCTAGACATCAATTCTAAAGAACCTTTGCCATTACTGGTCAACTCAACCATTAATGGGCAATTTAGTTTGTGTTCGTTGATGTCATCCTGAAAATAATTTTGTTCATTTTTATATTTCTCTAAATACAAAAGATAATATTACGTTATACTACGGTATACATATATAATATACAAAAACTTACATCCTCCGTTGTCAAACACACCGCGTCGCAAAACAGCGACAAGAATGAATAGTGTGATTTTCAAATTTTTTCAAATTTTACCATTTTTGAAAATTGTTGTTTGTTTGATTTAAATTTGATTTTTAACCTTATCTTTTCTATTTTTGGCCCTATTTTTTATTTTGGCCAGAATTTGGAATTTAGGCCTAAAATACGTTTTTTTTATTTTATAAATTTTTTCTTATTGTTTTTTCAATAATGTCACTGATAATTAATGTTTTTTCTAGAGATTGTTAGCACGAATTCAAGATGCTCTTGTCGTATGATAACATCTTTTTTACTTTTTAAAGGTAATTTTTGCTTAATATATGATATAATATTTTGATAAACCCAGGATTCAACAATAACATGTAATTAAGTTTTTTATTTTATAATATTTATGTCTATTTATGTATATTCAGATCATTTGGACAATTTATAAAAGTTTTTTATTAGGCGTGATATTTGCCTCGTCGTCGCATTTCTTTAGCACTTTGTCCACTCACATCAAATCCGCCACCAGAAGCAGCTTCAGCAGCAATTCCTTCGAAGCCTCCTGATGAACTCGAGCTAGAGCTTGAAGAGCTCGATGACTTTGTAATCTCAGTTCTCTCAAATGTAGATGAGCTTCCTCCGTTGCTGCTTGAAGACGATCGTTCAACGTCGATGTCAGATGATCCTCCAACTGGTCCTCCTGACTGTGAAGACGAAAACTGACCAGAAGTTTCCATTCCACCTCCCATTGTACCGGCGCCACTTACTGATCCAGCTCCAGAAGATCCACTGAAGGTAGCAGAACCTGAACTGAATAAGGATCCACCGTCGGCACCAACAACTTCTGTTTCACGACCACTGGAAGCAAATTGACCGCCAGAGTTGACACCAGATGATTCGAATTCTGTAGTCGAGGTACGGTCTTGGTCACGAGCGAATCCACCTGCAGCACCACCTGAGGATGAGAAAGCTCCAGTAACAACGTCAGCTCCAGAATTCGTCACTGAGCTGCGGTCAAAAACTCCCGAGCCTCCCATACCTCCCGAGATTCCACCTCCAGACGATGAAATGCCAACTCCTGAAGATGAGATACCAACTCCAGAGCCTCCCATAACACCTTGGCTGTCGAATCCTCTGCTATTGTCGATGGTAGCGCTAGTACGTTCTACAGTAACACCACCTCCACTACGGTAATCATCACCTCCGCTTCTGTAGCTGCCTTGGCTCGAGCCGGCCCAACGATCCTCGAATCCAGAGTTACTTCCAGCACCGTAGTTTCCACGTCCTGATGCTCCATAGCCTCCACCACCTCCAACATTAGCGCCATAGCTCCCACCACCAACGTTGGCACCGTAGCCTCCGCCATAGCTTCCGCCAACGTTAGCGCCGTAGCCACTGCTGCCACGAGTTGGACCGTAGCCTCCAGGAGAAGCGCCTTGACTGTAGGTAGTGCCGTACCCGTAGCCTTGTGGTGCGTATCCTCCACCGTACGATCCCCATTGGCAGTGTACGGTAGACACTGTCAATGATACAATAAGTAGATATGCTATTAGTTGGGACATTCTGCAGTCGTATAAGTTATAGTATTGTAGATGAAAGAATTAAAACGACACGAATATAATACTAAATTCAATACAATTGTAAGGTTGTTGGAAGGCATCAACCTTATATACAAAAAAAGAGGCAAAAAAGTTTTACATTTCCGGTGAGTCAGTGTAAGATCTGCCGAATTCGACTCCAGAAAAGAGAAAAGAACGTCAGGGAACGGCGAAAAGCGAAATGAATAAAAATTCAGTAAATCATCTCGGACGTCACCCATTAAAAGGCAGGTATTACAACATTAAACACTTTGTGATAGACAGTAATTCATTGTCAATGTTATTATTGACTGTCTAAGAGTACTAAGTATTACAATAACTACCATCCTATACGTGTTTGCAAGGGTTTGCTGATAGTGGTATAAATGGTTCTAAGGGTTATTTTTTATTGAGTAAATTTTAGGTATTACTTGTAAAAGTTAAAACTTAAGTAATCAATTAAAGAGTTGGAAAGAAAGTTGTTACACTGCTCTGAGAACACAAGTGTAATATTGCTGATCAGAAAGGTCACGGTCATCGTTAAACAATAATTGACAATGACATGTTTTCCACTGAATACCAAGCTGGATCTTATTGTATAACTATACTATTATATGTTGATATTGAATTCTCTATTAGGTATTCACTACGCATGTTAAAGTAAAGTAGATTATGGATGTAAAGTACAATGAAAAGTATTTTTCAAGTTGCTTATCGAATGACGAAAATATGCAAATTATGAAATGCATAGATCATTTTAAAAAGCAATTCAAATCCCCAAATCTGTGCCACTTTTACGACCAACAATCTGAAGAACGGTTGTGATGTTTAAGTATTATTTACTGCTAGTGACCTTTTTTTTTGCTACAATATGTTGTCGTACCTTCCGTTGACCTTAAGCATTCTACACGACCGAATAGTCTAATGTCCAATGATGATTCGATGACAGAGAGTGATGACACGCACAAGGCCTTCAAGCCGGTTATCTCGGCACTGGTCTTCGCCGTGATCTCGATTTGCTTGAGCACATTCAGCCTCATTCTGGTTTGGTTGTTGACAATTTACGTTTATTCCCATGTAAGTTTTTATCTTTGGGAGTAAAGTTGGATTTTATTATTTACATTTTAGTGCCTACCTTCATTTATTTTTAGAAAAATTTTTAAGTTTCACCCAGTTATCCGTTGTTTTCTTGTTTCACCGTGGTTTGAAGATGATATTGTTATAGTATAGTCAACGAATTTTAGTGTTGGTTACCGTGCAATCTGGCAGTATACAAGTTGGACCGGTGCATATTCCTAATGGAACGACGCCGGTTTGCCGATGACATATTGTCCAAGATAATGATCGATGCCAAGGTTGAAGTGTCCCGAAGCGTGAAAGACAACGACTCTCTTGTACATACGTTAAAATAAACAGCACGTAATAAAGAATGATTTTAGAAACTATTATTTTGCATTTCTTGCTAGTTTAACTCAAAAGTATGCAAATACTTTACCCTTGTTATTCCAGTTACTTTTACTAACAAATCCACCTTGAACTTTCCAAACGTTTTGATTTACTATAATATATTATGTTAAAATACAATTACCACCAACTAGGCAAAAATGCTAAAAAATTATTTTTATTAGTAAGGTATATGTAAATGATACTTAAATTACAACAAATAATAATTAAGTTTATTCCTCCATAGCCTCGTCTTGGCTCGCATCTAGAGATCGTTCTTGACTGCCTTCAACCGACCGTTCCTGACTGTTCTCCACCGACCGTTCTTGGCTATTCTCCACCGACCGGTCTTGGCTTACTTCAACCGATCCTTCTTGGCTAACATCGACAGAAGTTTCCTTATTGTTTTCGGTCGGCTTTTCTTGTTTAGCTTCTGGAACTGGTGTGCCGTTCTCTGAAGTGGCAGGCACGGTGGGAGTTGTACCGTTTGAAGCGGGAACGATGGGTTTGGTTTCCTTATTCTTTTCGTCCACGGAAATGACTGGAGGCAAGCCGTAACTGGGGGTTCGGGCTGGTAGATTAGATACAAGAGCTGCGAACTTTGGCTGAACTCCACTGAATCGGGTTAGTTGGACAGGCGTGGCAAATGGCCCAGGAGGTGGAATAGGGGATTCTCCTGCATAAGCGCGAGTGTCTTTTGTCGTGAGTCTGTTTAATATCCTGAAAAAAAAACAAATTTATAAAATCAGGCTTTTATTTAAGCGATATGTTAATCAAAAAATTTTCAATTCTTATAGGTAAAGTCGTTTTATAAAACTTACGTCCTCTCCGAAAGCTCTAATCGTTCTGCTACTGAAGGTAGTTGAGCCACAGAAGCCGGCAGTCTGCTAACGTCAGCCTTCATGTCGTTGAGAATGTCTTCTAGTTGACTAAGAACCTTATGCAGAACCAAAGCGGCATTCTTGTTGCCGGCAAACGCTTCCTTAGCCAGACCTTGGTTAGCATCGGCCAAACTCGTGATCTGGACATACTTCTTCTCGAGCTCTTCTGTAGTTTTCTCGACCTCAGACTTGGTGGAGGTTTCCGGCTCCTTGTCTTCAGACTCTTCCTTTTCTTTTTCCGGTTCTCCATTTTTGACATCTTCACCGTTCTTTTCTTCAACTTTAACTTCAGAATCCTCTTTCTTGACCTCTTCTTTCTTCTCTTCTTCTAAAACGTGAGGTTTCTCTTCTCTGGGTTTCTGACCATAGCTGATATTATTAGCTCGTCTCAGCTGTTCCTCAATGATTAAAGACTGTTCAATCAACTTGTAACGACGTTGAACGAACCTCATCCTCAACTCATTGAAGTTAGGCTTGTCCTTTTCGTTCTTAAAGGCTTCGTTTAGCAGACTGAAGCGGGCATCGTTGAAGATGTCGGTGTAGCGACCATATCCATGTCTAAAAACAAAACTCTTATTAAAAAGCAATTAAAAACTTCCCAAATTGAAACAATTATATAAGAATATTTACTAGTAAAAAAATAAGCGATCAAACTTACGTTGAGAACCCAGCCAGCAACCAGTAGTCGTGTCTTCTGTTCCAAACGTCGTAGTCCTGTCCGTTCTTCTTCAACATGGTTTCCTCTTCCTTCCAGATAGTATGCAACTCTGTGAATCCACCGTCACAAACATTGAATTTGAACTGGGCTACGGCTCTCTTACGGTCTCCATTCTCTGAGATCTCCTCCTTTGCTTGAGGTTCCTTCTCGATCAAGACAGGAGCATTCTCGTTGTTCTCAACCTCCATCTCATCTCCATTTTCTCCTTCTGACTTTACCGAGGCTTCTTTTGTTTCTGTCTTCACGGCATCTGGCTCTTGAGATCCATCCTTCTCGGATGGCTGGACTGAAGATTCCTTTTCCTCGTCTTCTTGAAGGCCAAGAGTAATCAAACAATCGGCAAGTTGTTTGTCTGCTTCTTCAGGTATCGACCAGACCCCGTTGATTTCTTGGAACTCCTGAAAAGAATTGTTACAACCAATAAGATAACAAAAAACAGTTTTGATCGATCGTTAATGTTTCCACGCTCCAAAACTTTTTAAATAAGCAATTTAATCTAAAAAGTGACAAAAGTGGGCTTTATGTTGTGATCAAAGTTTTACCCAGTTTCTGATTTTACTGAACCAGGTATTCTGCCTGTTACAAACAATCACAATACACAGTAAGCTGATTATAAAAACATAATAATTACCTGAACTTTCTTGCGGATCAAACTCATAATTCCAATTCTAGCCAGCACATGCTGTCTGTTAAGGCCTTCTCGTGGAACACCATCGTTAAAGTGCTCAATATGGTCAGATCCAGGCTCACACAAATGTCGCATGAACAAAGAGGCATATGCTTTGAATGCCTTTTCGGATTTGCACTTCAGATCCTTAACCAGCCATTGCGAGTTGTAGGCATCTGGAGGCGGCATTCCGTAGCGCATAACAGCGTTGAAGAAAGCCTTCCGTTGTCGAGGATTAAAGCCCAAAACTTCCACCTGACCCTGGCTTCTGGTGAGAAGAGGTGGCAACTTCTCGTCCTTTTCTTTCTTACGACGAAGGCTTTGTTCATCTTCGTCTCCAGAACCTTAAAAACGTAAATATTATAACAATCCTGTGATTTTTCATCTTAACATCAAAAATCATTTTTTAAAGTTTGATAATTAATAAAATTATCTTACCATGCCCACTTTCTCCAGTACCATCTTCATCAGACGAAGCGTTGTAATCGTCATCGTTCTCTTGGTCTTTCTTGCCACGGTAATCCATGTGATCAGCGGCATAGTTAACCTGACGTCTGACACGCTTTCCTTTGCCCAGCTGAGCAGCTTGTTGTTCAACTTCATTCTCGTGGTGATGACGAAGCAATCGCTCCCAATAATCGGCATCTTCTGCCTGTGGTTTTTCTTCCAGAATTTCTTTAGCCTCTTCTTCTGTGATATCCTTCTCGTCCTTTTCCTTGGTTACGTATTGAGCAACCTAAAACGACATAGTTAAATTAAAAGGTAGCAATAATTAACGACTATTTTGTACTCAAAAAAGTATTAAAGATAATAAAGTTTAAAATCTTACCTTGAAAGAACTCAAATAATCGTTAGCCCAGTCCTTCTTCTCACCAGTCTCAGGATCAGCTTCTCCAGCCCTTTGTAGCAGAGCATCCACGGCTTCGTCGTCCCACACAATCTTGTTTTGTTCATCTTCTTCCTCCTTGAACAACTCTTCTGTTCCCCATCGCAACACATCATCCAGCTCGGACTTGGACATCTGAGTCTGTTTGCTGTTGTTTCTGATGGCCAAGTGAGTAAGCAACATCTTCTTCTTAGCCACAGTCGTAATTCTTTCTTCGACCGAGTTTCTGGTGACAAAACGGTAGATCATGACATGATTACGTTGGCCGAGACGATGGGCACGTGAGAAGGCTTGAATATCATTGTGTGGATTCCAATCAGAATCGTAGATAATAACAGTATCAGCTGTAGCCAAGTTAATACCAAGACCTCCAGCTCTTGTGGACAGCAAAAAGACAAAGTGTTCAGAGTTGGCTGCTAAAAAGAGTCAATTCGTATAACGTGTTACGGCAATAAAATGTTTATTTTATAGTTTTTAGACCTCAGATTCGCCTTTTGGAATCATTTAAACGTATTGGTATTGTCTGAATTTTGTTTCTGAAAACTTTAAACATTTTTCCAAGTTCTCCGCTTAGAAAACGAAATTCAAGTAATCTTATTTGACTAACTAGACATTTTACAAACCTTTAATGTAAAATGTGGTATATTAATATATTGTCAAAGTTTCTATTTAATTATCATTCAAAGAACTCTCATCATAGGTCAAATACGTTGTTCCAAACCAAATCCATAATAAAAACATACCGTTGAATCTGTCGATTGATTCCTGACGCAATTGGCCGGTAATAGAACCATCGATTCTTTCGAACCGATAACCCAAGTGATCACAGAATTCCTCGAGAATATCCAAAAGCCTGGTCATTTGAGAGAAGATCAGAACACGATGTCCTCCAGCCTTTAGTTTCTTCAGCATTTTAGCCAAGAGTTCCAGTTTGGCACAGTTTTTGATGAGAGCTTCTCCTTCGTAAGCTCCAGTCTTCGTCTTCGGAGCTTCTTCTTCAGCCTTTGGGAAGAGGTAAGGATGGTTACAACACTTCTTCAGCTCCATTAAAACGTTGGACAAAGACACCATTCTGCCACCGCCTTTTACGTTCAAAGCATCATAATTCTTGGTCAAAACACTCTTGTAGTAGCGTCTAAAACAAAATTTAATTGAAAATGGTTCGAATCAACATAAAATTTACAATTTTTGCCAGAAATGTCCAACACTGCCTTTAAGAATAATTCAAAAAATTAATTTTAAGCCAAATGACTTTAAAATCAGCAAACTATTCTTCTAAAAAGCGTTAGTACTACTATTTTCGTCATGGTACTGAGTTTGACAGTCGACTTTTTACTATCAAACCCTAAACAAATGACGGTATATTCGCAAAACTGTATTCATAGTGCCACTTTATCTACTATGAACTACTTTTAATAACAAATTATCAATCGACAATACCATTAATTTTAAAAAATTGTTACAACAAATCATCAACTTACTTTTGATATGGAACCATATCCACACAAACAATCAACTCGGACTTTGAAGGCATTCCAGTCAGGACATCCGCCTTCAGACGACGTAGCATGTGAGGACCGAGCATGGAATGTAATTTAGACACCTGATCTTCCTTGGATATATCAGTAAACTCCGAAGTGAACTCTTCACAGTTCGTAAACTCATTTGGCGACAAGAAGTTTAACAGATGGAAAAGTTCCTCCAGGTTGTTCTGAAGAGGAGTTCCAGTCAACAACAAAGTGTAAGCAATGTCGTACTCAGACAGGTTTCTGAAAAACAAAGATTGACTGTTCTTCAATCTGTGGGCTTCATCTACGACCAAAGCGCCCCATTTGATGTTAGATAAAGTGGTCTTGTCCACATTGATGCATTCGTAAGACGTTAGAAGAACGTGGAACTTTGGTGTACCCTAAAATTACAACAGTAAGCACAAATTACCGTATCAGCATTAAAAAACAATAATTTTACAATAGCTTAATCATTTAATTTTTACAATAGATTAGTCATTACCTTGATCTTGGTGGCTTTGTTCGAGCTCTTGACATCCTCAAAAGTAATTTCGTGTTCCCTAATCACAGCCCTTGCTTCCTTGTGTCCACTGTAAGTGACCACGTAGAAGTCAGGAGCCCAAAACTCAGCTTCTCTTTCCCAGTTAATGATAGTAGACAAAGGGGCGGCGACCAAGAAGGGTCCATCAGCATGGCCTTCCTTGTACAAAGAGTACAAGAAAGTCAAAGCTTGTACAGTCTTACCCAGACCCATTTCATCAGCCAGAATAGCGTTAATATCTTGAGACCAGCAATGCCGCAGCCAGTTGATACCTTCCATTTGGTATGGATGGAGTTTGCCGCCGGTGTCGAGGATGAATTGTGGCTGTTCTTCATACTTTTTGCTGATCTGAAACAAAGAAATAATAAAATTCAATAAATCGCTACTCCGATGTAATTTAAAGCCCTCCCATATTAACCATACTTGTATAACAAATAAATCTTAAAGTAAGATTGAAATGTCTGACACTGCCTTTGTAATCAAAACATAAAATCAATTATACAGCCAAAATGACCTCAAACCGATTCGAATCAATCACCTAAAAAGTGTCAGTACAATTTTCGTCATGGTACTGAGTCTGACAGTCGACTTTTTACTTTCAAACCCTAAACAAATGACGGTACACTTCAAATTCACATAACAATGTAAAAATGTAACAAAATATGTAGAATGACATTACTTAACAGTAGAATCCACCACACTTACATCGTATTTCTTTTTGCGTTCGTCGATCTTCTTTTTCTTTTCCTCTTCCCAAGTTGGCATATCATTCTCAGCTCTCCAGGCTTCGATCTTCTTCAAGACACTCTTTGGAATCTTCTCGTTTGTCATCAGTTCTCTAAAGTTAAAGCAATTAAAATTATTCATTTCTAATCTACTACCTTAAACATGATTAGAAAAATATACTTGAAGACCTCAGAGACATTATAAATAATCATAATTTATAAAAAATTAAAAATATTAATGTAGGTTCAAGTTTAAACGTCAAGTCCAAGCATTTAAGACCTGACACTCCAGTTCAAACCATTATCAATATTAGTAAAAAAAGCTTGCTAAACATTACTTTTGTATGTTAACATTAATTTTTTACATTTATTGTAGTAATACTCTCTTCATTTACAGTGCTCATCATCGGTCTTATAGCACTTCTTTTAAAACTTTTAATCAAAAATACTATATAAATGTATTTTCTTTTACATCTATTTTCCCTTTTTAAATAAGCTTATAACAAGCCAACTAAATTTATCACTAAAAACATACCGATGAGTCCAATACTTGTTGATAACATTCATGAAGTTTGGAATGTCCATGTCATCAGCTTCCCAAGTCGCGTTGTCATAAGACAGATCGGTCCACTTAATTAAGTAGTCGAACATTCTGTGGCCAGCTTGATGGTGGTTAATGATTCGAGCCGGCTGCATCCATTCTGGCTTCACACCGTACCTGTAGAAGCGCTTCTCAAGATCATGAGTGTCTGTTTCCTTCTCCTGATCCGCCACGTTGCCAGTCTCGGCATCAGTAGACCCATCGTCGTTCTCCGGAGGATGTTCAGCATCTCCATTCAACCTCCAGTAGGAAGACAAGAAGATACGATGATGCACTTGAAGTGGAAGCTCGGGAACCCAGGTCGAGTGATAGTAACTCAAGTTCTTCCATTTTATAAACAGCTCACGTTCTTTGCGTGGTTCCATCTTTCGTGGCGGCTTCATCATAAGCCGTTTCATCCGCTCTTCATCAATATCTTCCTGATTCTCTCCTTCCTTAGGAAGATCAGCAGGATCCACGGGGTCAGGATATGAAATCGTCTTCCATCTCCACGAGATCACTTTGTGAGGTTTGTGAGCTGTTTCCTCTACTGTACAGAAAGGGCAATGCCAAGGATCGGCTTGGTCAGGCAGTTCCTCCAAGGGAGGAGTTAAACAATAGGCGTGGTAAGAATTAGGACATGATTCACAGCATAAAAGAAAGCCACCTTCCTAAAAATAAATAAGTAAATTTTAGTATGTATTTTTCTAATTTAGAACCACTAATCCCATTTACTCTCCCCTAAATTCAAAAAATCTAATCAAACCTTACCTTGCAGATCAAACAGTTATCCATGTTGCCTGGTGGCTGATCTTTCTCTTTCTTCCCATTACTATCTTGATCAGGAACACCATTCTCAACACAAGAGGTACAGTACCAAGTACCGTCAGGAATGTCCTCGACATCCAAGCAGATCTTGTGGTAGGCCTTCGGGCATCCGTCGCACAAAATAATTTCACCCCCCTGTTGACATATGTCACAAAAGTCTTGATGATCTTCTTGAAACTGTTGTTCTCGTTTCAGTTTGTCTTCCTTCTTCTTCTTTTTCTTGGCTAGCCTTTCATCTTCCTCTTCCTCCGCTCTTTGCATCAGTTTTTCAAACTCTTCTTCGCTGTCAGCGTTAACTGCAACATTTTATAGTTGACTACAGTAGAATAAGTCATTTACAACAAAGTAGCTAATGTAATGAAACTTGTTTTATGTGTAAAAAAACTCAATCAACAAAAGATCTTCCTCACACTTTAATTGATACCTAAAACACGAAAATAAAAGATAAAACCTACAATCTTCTTCAGAATCATTTCTCTTCCGTTTCCTTGAACTCTTCTTGCTCTTCTTGTCCCTCAGTTCACGTTCAGCACGAGGTTCAGCCTCAAGAGCGGCCGCTGATGTGTTAGCACTGCGAGTCGAACGCTTTGGCCTCGAACTCATGTTAACTGAAATTTAGGAAAGTAAAATACGCTATTAATGAAGGTAAGTTTGTAAAACACGATTATCGCACAGTAAATTATCCCACAGTAAAACATCTCTTAAGTCAAAAATAGGTATTTCAAAGCTTATGGACACGCTTGACTTTCTGTAGCCACTTCTATCCACTTATTAACCAAAACTGCAAATCACAGGTAAAAAACGATGCGTATATCAAATTAACATACGATAGCAGAAGAAAAATATTAAATAAATTCAGGGTTAATAAAAATGCCAGCTGTCGAGTAAGACACTGACGAGTTATTTGGCGAGGCAAAAAAACGCGCAAAAAATACAAATTTAGGACGCTGCGGACATCCAGAAAATCCGTCAGCACAACACAATTTTCAAAAAATAGTGTCAAGAAGTGTTAAGAAAAAGTAAATATGCTATGAAAATATGACGAAACAACATGTTTTGTAGTATTAATGTGGTTTTTTCACAATTAACAGTCTTAAAATGACGTCTTTTCTAGACAAAAGTGCTACTCTTAAAAATCTGAAGAAGACGTGGAGGTCGGTTTCGGCGGTCGGCATAAGGGAAAATTTTGAAATTAGGGGTTCAGGGATAATTTTAAGTTACATAAATCAGTTTTACTGTATTTTACTTTCGTATCTATGGCAAATTTTAATTTTACAGTACTCCAACATATACACAGTCACCAACTTCCGAATGTTTAAAAAGAATAGATGAACCTCAAATTATCCATGGTAAAACATTGATAAGAGATGTGTAGCATAAAAAGTTACAGTGTGCAGGCCCTACTACATTTACAGATACCTAACACATAATGAGAACATACTACAATGTCGTTAACCTGCCAGAGTAAACATACACCCTAATATTACACTAAAATGCAAATGTAAATGCAAAACTGTAACTCGAATGTACGTTGGCATATTCACAAAACTCCGCGTAATTTTTTATTTTTTCGTCTGCACCCTCCTCTCTCATCGTTTTCTCTCGCGTCATCCAAATCCCGCCTAAATGTGCGGCTCTGATGGCGGACTATTTCGTATTGGATCTGGTGATGTCTGGCTGAAGGGAAAGCGTGTTTTTTGTGTCAGTCCGTTCGAGTGTTCGATATTGCTCCGGAGCGGAGCGATTTGGCTCCGGAGTTGAGCCGAATTTCGAAGGAACGCTATTAAAATGTAAAATTTGATGTATTTGGTGATGAAAGTGGTTTCAGTTGAAGTATAAAATTTGAAGCATAATATTATGTTGTTAGTAGGGTGTTTAAACCAAATATTTTACTGGTTAATGGCGGAGAAACGATGCTTTGGGCTGGAGCATAGAAGGACTATTTTAATTCTAACTTTTAAATCTCAAAAGTATTACTTTCAACTTGAAAATTAAACGTCAAATAAATGGAGAAATAAAAAATCTTCTTTCTTCAAAGATTCTAAAGATTACAGTAGTACAGATTTATTTATACAATCAAATACAAAGAACAGATATTTATTGTAAAGATAAATGACGCTGTTGTAGGCTGACAAGTGTGTATGTGGAAGTATTGGCATCACAGACGCAGCATTAAAGCAGCTGATGACAGTAGAGCAACCACGCTTCTGAAACAGTGTTTTGTACATTATATGGGTTTTTACTGGACAACAATCTTTGATTTCATGAAATACTCAATTTTGAAGATTTAAAAGTTTTAAAGCTGAAATCAAAAGGAAATGAAATTAAAATAATGTAAAAGATTCAATGTAATGTTAAAATGTAATTATCATAAATAATAATACGTAGCCTCAATTAATATGTATAGTTTTGTATGATTATTAACAATTTTGATTTACTTTCTCATCGTTAAATTGTGATAGACTTGCTTTTAATGAAGGTTGCTGCAAATGTAAGCCTAATAAATTTTTAAATTTAAAAATGTGCAAAAATTATTTTTTATAAATTCAAGTAATGTACTTTTTCCTTGATATTTGTAGTAAGTTGTCACTTTTCTATCTAACAGAACAGAAAATTACATTTATAACTTTGAAACTTAAAATTTTTTAAAATTTCTATTTTTGGCAAAAAATAACATTCATTGCTGCAAAGTTGTAGCAGTAGTACTCTTTGACTAACTCAATACAACTTACGGTACTGTAATTCCGAATGAAGCGTTCTTTTTGGTCGTTGTGACTACTGGAGCTCCAGTCACGGCTGCGGCAGCTCCAGTCACAGCAGCTGTCACTGGGGCAGCTGCTGGCGGGTTAGTTTGTGCATTGACGACTAAAATATGCAAACTAAACAACAGCTATATGTTAAACCACAAAGTATTTGTAAAACTATCACTGGGTGGACAATACAGTGTACTACTACATACCAAAAAAAGAAAATGTTTTAAAATAGAAGTTTATAGCTAAATCTAAGAAATTAAATTTATGTTGTCGTTTATCAAAAAGTTAATGCTTCCTACATGCTTAATCGCCGTTATACCGTGTAGCCAACTTACCGCACAGTAGTGTGACAACTATGAAACAAACGACGAAGGTGGAGCGCATGCTGGCGGTCGATTAGATTGAAATTGAACACAAAATGGGAATCTGATCGATTCTCCGCAATAAAAATGCTAATTCCAATTGAAACGAAGGCCTGGAGGAAAGGGTTAATAGGCCAAATAGGGGGGGGGGGGAGTCATTCCATCATGATATTACAATATGACTAAGCCGCGACCACGAATGCCTTGATTAAGATACGGAAACGGAAATAGCGTTACAGTACAGTCATAATCAAGGGCTTAAAGTCAAAAATTAGAAAGTTTAGCTATCTCCTGTATAAAAATAGTATTTACAAGTGGCTAAGTCAACACAAGCATTCTTAGAATCGTTAAGACTAAAATCACCCACCTCTGAATACAATAACCCCATCGTACTTCAGTAAACCCTACATCTTATCAAAAACCTTAACTTTTGGCCAAGGAAAGCGGCAAAGCATGTAACGGCCGTAGTAAAACCGTGGAACGGCCGAATGTTGTTAATTACTGCTTTGAGTAATACCGCCATTTCAGTTGTAACCATTTCCTTAAGAGTGTCCCAAAACAAAACTTGTTTGTTTTCCAATGGCCTGATCGCTAAATGGCACGAAACCGTTGTCAAGTTTTGTTATTACACCACAAATTGTTTTTCAAAATAAAAATACTGTAACTGTTATTATCATTTTGATATACTCAAGTTTTCATTTTTTCACGCTTAAAACCTGTAGATGCACATAATCTTACAATACCTAGAACCCTACTATCATCTATTGAAATACAGGGTGTCCCAAGAAAAACGAAAAAAACTAAAACGTTATATTTTGGTTGAGAAAAATGCTAAAAATGCCAAACTTGGCACTGCCAAAGATTGGCACATGCGGTTTTTTGTCTCAAAATTTCAGATTTTTCAAGTGCATACTAAGGGCACTATGATTTTTTAAAAAATAGTCATTTTCCCCCGAATTACACATGTTTTCAGTTGGAAATGCTTTTTTGGTAAAAATTTTCTGTTTTTGACAAATTTTTAGTTGAAAATGACATTTTTGACAAAGTTTTTGATTTTCAATCGTCGGCGGAGTGTCGGCGGACGCTCGGCGGACGCTTAAAATTGTCGGCGCAGGGCATAACTCGCTTGAAACATGACGTAAAGACATGAAACAAAAAGTATTAGTTTTAGAATTATCAAGGCTACCTTGACTGATGCTAAGCTGGTCTAAAAATAGCTTTAAAATAAAAATATGCAAAAAAAAGTTAAATTAAAGAAAATATAAGGTTCAAAAATTTTTATAATGTTCTAGGAAATTGTACGTAAGTTCAAAAATTATGAAAAAAGAAATTTATCACGTTTTTGATTTTTTTTGTTTTTAAACGAAAATACGTTAAAATTTTGAAGTTATTTGTGCAATTTACATAATAAACTTAAATCAGTTTTACTTATTCACTTAAGTACACGTTTAAAAAATTCCCGTCTTTTAACGTATTGAACTTAAGCTCAGCATCAGTCAAGATAGCCTTGATAATACTAAAACTAATACTTTTTGTTTCATGTCTTTACGTCATGTTTCAAGCGAGTTATGCCCTGCGCCGACAATTTTAAGCGTCCGCCGAGTCTCCGCCGACACTCCGCCGACGATTGAAAATCAAAAACTTTGTCAAAAATGTCATTTTCAACTAAAAATTTGTCAAAAACAGAAAATTTTTACCAAAAAAGCATTTCCAACTGAAAACATGTGTAATTCGGGGGAAAATGACTATTTTTTAAAAAATCATAGTGCCCTTAGTATGCACTTGAAAAATCTGAAATTTTGGGACAAAAAACCGCATGTGCCAATCTTTGACAGTGCCAAGTTTGGCATTTTTAGCATTTTTCTCAACCAAAATATAACGTTTTAGTTTTTTTCGTTTTTCTTGGGACACCCTGTAAACACACAAATCCAAATCTACTATAAATACTTAGCATATGACACTATGTAACACAACAATCCTTAAATTGAAAGACAGTTATGACATTGTAAAGTAAGCAAAGCCCAAAGCCCTTCTTTTGAAACAAAAACAATGTGTATAACAACATAAAGCTCGTTTTAAAACCCAAGAATCAGATCCGTAGCTATGACAGCGTTTTGAAATAACAAAAAATTATTATAAACATAACAAAAAGTGCATACATAAACAGTCGTTAGCCATGTTTATACGTACTGTAGAGGGAAAAACAATATTTTAAGGTATTATATGACGTAAACAGTAAATAAAAAGAAAGAATAAACGCGTTAAAAAATGTACATATAAAGGCAAAAACCCGTTATAAGAAACACCACGGTCATTCTTGACACCCACAAGCGTTTAAGCCTTAGGGTGTTTGTTTACGGTCAAAAAGTAGATAGAAAAAGCAAACCTCACAACGATCTATAGCAATATTGTCTACGTTTTAACTAAAATCACCTACAACAACATCAAAAAACATTTATAATAAGAAGAAAGCCCCCAAAATTGTTCTAAGACCCAAAACCTCCAAACATAATGTAATATTATATAATCCCTCAAGTCTTTACAGCAAGAAACCCTACTCAGACATTATACAACATATATTTATTCAACGAGACAGATGGTCTACTTCTTAGCCTCCGAGGTGGTGTTCTTATCATTGGTCGTGTTCTTGGTGTCCGCGTTCGAAACGGCCGACTCGGCCGAGCCAGTCTTCTTGGTGTTGGAAGCCTTGGAACCGTTCGAATCCTCCTTCTTCTTGTTCTTACCGTGACGACCCTTTCTCTTGCCTAAAATTTTAAAATTAAAATTCGTTGGCAAATTGAAAGGTGTTAAAAGATTTTAAGGTATCTGCCGCAAAGTACAAAAGGCTTAACCCCAGATTTAAATAAAAAACACGTCCTTCTTATATTACTGTAAGTTTGCTTAAAATTACAAAATTATTAAAGCGAATTAAAATGTCCTGAAATAGACCTAAAATAACGCAAAATAAAAGTTTCTTACGGTGCTTCTTGATCTTTCTGCGACGATGGCAAATACAGCCGACAAAGGTGAGCATAGTGGCAGTGATGATCAGGAACTCTATACCAGCCAACACAAATAGTAGAATACACCAGAAGCTCCTCCTAAAAGCAAGTTTAAATCTATACAATTAACAATTTACCCAAAAATAGAATAAGATCAAGTTAAAACTAATCAATTCATGTCTAAACTTCGCTTACTTGGCAACGTCGCTCTTGCATTTTTCAAAGTCTACTCCAGCTTGTGTATTGCCGCACTCCTAAAACATAGTTTACATAAAACATTGTTTGTCAAACCTATCTGCCAGTTTATCTGCTACATTGTCAAATAGTAACTGTAACACAGTCACAGCAAAACCTACAAATTCAGCTTAAAAGAATAGGATAAACTTACGTATGACAAGTCCGGCATGAGAACATCATTCAGGATAAGGTCGCTCCTCCATTTGTATACCTCCTTACCTTTCTCCTTTTCAAATTCGTCTTTGAAGCAAAAGTACGCGGTGATGTCGCCACTTAAAGGATTCTTTGTGGCACAATCGTCTGAAAGTTTTAATTAAAAGAAATATAGAAGAAGATAACTAGTGCTAACTTCGTACTTCAAAACTGCGCTACTAAAACAATCGAGTACCAGTTGGTAGCCAAAATAAAAGTAAACGTACCTCTGTCGACTAGTTTCAATGGTTTGTCCAAGAAGGTCCTTGAAGTAACAAAATAGCCATCGTTCTTAGTAGTCATGTACACGGTAATTTGTCCAGCGTTTGCTTCAGTTAGACCAACATTGATAATTTTGGTGATCTCACCAACGGGTGTATCTGCAGCTTCAGTGGTGTTGTCAAATAGAGAAGGATGAGTCTGTACTGGAGTGGTGCTGTTGACGTTGTTGAGAAGGCGCACAAAGATCATCGACTTGTTTAATTTGTTGTTGTACTCGATGAGCCTGGCCGTTTCTCTGTAGCCGGCTAAAAACATTTACTATAATCAACCTTAACAAAAATTAACATAAAAAAAGTCCAAAAATAAAAAAATTACATTTCACCTCAACCAACTTACTCAAAGCTCCAACACCTGCCAGATCGGAGGACTCGGGGATATTGGTGTAGACCACGTAACTTGGAGGAGTGTGAATAAGGTATTCGGAATAGACGATGCTTCGAACGAAAGCATGAACACTCTTACCTTGGGCGTTCTTGCAGATAGCCGACACGTACACCATGTGCCAGTCAGCAAACGCGGTAAACTTTTCTTTTTTGAACTTGCATGCTTCTCCCAGCACTAAAACAGTCATTTTTGGATGAAACAGTCAAATTAAGACAAGAATAACAAACAATGTCAACATAGTTTTCCGTTTATATAAAACAAGCAACCAAATTACCATGTTCAAGATCAACAGTGTTTTCAAACTTGATGGTGGTCGCCTCCGGTGTCAAGTTGCGAAGATAAACCGTTGAAAACTTCAAAGAGGTCGGGCTGGCAACATTGATGAGCAGACGAGCATCACCTTCCATTATGACGGCTTGAGTATGAGAACAAGCTCTGAAATACAGTACCTTTTAAGAAAAATTTTATCGAAGTTGGACAGCATAGCATCAAAAAACCATTATACTCCAGGTGGTAAAACAAAAAAAACCTGAAATTAAAAAATTACCCTGTGGTCATAGTCTTCACAGTCGAATCCTGTTCCATCTCACAATTAGGCTTCAAGCGAACCTCAAAATTGGCAAACACTTGACCAACATCATAGAGTACGAGTAATACCAGAAACAACCGAATCTTCGATGAAAACAGCCGATTCGTCGGCATTTTGGCGTCCGCAACAAAATGAAACGGTTTTGGTCGAACTCCGCGCCTTTTATACTCGCACTGTGAGTCTGAATTTGCATATTCAAAAAAACGTGAGTTGGGATCTGAAAATACTTTTTTTCAATTTTTGAAATTTGGAAGTACTTTGAAAAAAATTTAAAATAAAAAAGTAAAACATAAAAAATTTAAATTTATAACTCTAAAACGATTTGAAGATGCCAAAAAAAAGTTGGAGATCGAGTAGAACCAACCAACACGAACCCCTGTTCTAAGGAACATTTAAGTAAAAAGACGATAGTCTGCATAAAGTTGCTCTCAAAAGACACCAGGTAAAAGAAATATTCGTAGCAAACTCAAAGGTTTTAGATCCTTGGAACCTATTTTAACAAAATTCAAACATAACATGTTGTAGTATGTAAAAAAATTCAAATTTCAAGACAAAAACCTTTCAAAGCTACTGTAATATGCCAAATTTAAATAAAATTGATAACTTTATGCTAATTTTTGGGTTGCGCAGTAATAAGCGGCAAACGTTGACATGTTTGCTGATCATCAAGCCTAGTCTCGTCCGCATTTTCACCTTTACAGCCTCTTGAGTATACAAACAAAGATACGAAACGAGAGGGAATGGACCGTTTCTTTTCCAATTTTATCGAATTTCTGTTACAAATTTTATTTGAAACTGTCGTGTTGGTAATATCTTTTGCTCTTTTAATGTAATATTATTATAGACCATGTAATATGACTATTTATATACACGAAAAAAGTCATTATTTTTGTATTATACAGTTAGCATGTTAATTTTAATGTTTTGGCTATAATGAAGCGGTTTTGATTATAGATAACAACACCAAGTTCCTTTATTATTTCAAGCTTTGAATGTGATGCTCCAACGATTTCGCGGCTACCGTGACGATGTTACAAAGCCTCCGTATTCCATTGATCTTGTCATCGACAGAGTTCACATTGTAGCTGGGAATATCAATGAAATGACTCACGTCGTAAGTAATTCCATTACTCTTGCAGCAACTTTTACCTATGAAAACAACTTTTCTATATACTACAAATAGGCTGAGCGAGGAGTGGGAAATAAAGGAGATCTAAGTATGAAAAGACAAAAAAAATTACCCCTCCCCTCTGCCATGCATTGCTAATAAAAATCAGTGCTACGTATTTCTTGACCGACTTATTGTTTTCAATTTTTAAATTTATCTTTTCGTTGATTAGATAAGAGAAAATGGCCAAGTGATCGCCAACAAGGGTGACACTGTAGTTGAGCACTTCAACGTCAACTTTGCCAAACTGTCGGAAAACGTCACGGATATGGTGGTGAGTCATTTCGTATCTTTTTGTATACAAAAGCTGTGTAATACGTATTATTCTGGCTTGAAAAAGATAGAAAAGTGACTTTTGAGAACCCCACTTTAATGATATTTTAATTATAACCAACATCATAAGTTATAAAATTTCAAGAAAAATTTGGTCAAAAGCTAAGTAGACCAATGCTTTAAAGCCATCTATCTCTACAGTTCTGCCAACAAGCACCAATGCTCTTTCTATTTTTTTGACCGAATCTTGCATCGTATTTCACTATATTTGTCCATTTTTGTTTAGAGTGCAGCAGATGACAAGTTCGCGTCATTCCCTTTGTCAATCCTATACACGCTACTTATCGTGGCCTTGATAGCCATCTTCTTGGCCATGGTATTCCTAGCCATTTACTCTCTACACAAGTTTACGTCCAAAAAGTACCGGACACTCGACTCTCCACAGCCTTCGGAGATATCTGTCATATAAAGTGATGTAACTTATAATGTAACCTTACACTAACTTTATACTGTAATTATGCCTATAGTAATTCAAAAACAATCACAAACATCTTCCAATATTAAGGCCTTGCACTTTTGTATATTAATCATGGGATTGGTCTCCATTTCGACGGTCTTTGTCTTTCGGTAATATTTGAACCTCAGGGTTACTGTAGCTAGCCGTTTGTTTACTGTAATGTCGTACACTCCTTCAGCTATGTAAATCTCGTTGTCTTTTGGTGATTTGTATTTGGTTTGCGCATTAAACTTATTCAAATACCGTATATCTCGGATTCCGAATCTGGCTAGCGGATTGATACTGTAGAAATTGAAAAGAACCTTTTCTTTTGGCGTACTGTAGTGTTTAACGCACTTTAGAGTAGGTATTACTGTATCAAAATACTTCAAAGATGCTTTGTAAAGCTTCGAGGTAATGTCACTATCGGTTACTGTAACCTTTTCCATGCACATACAGTAGTTTTCAGGTATGACAACATCGTTACATTGTCGAGTTAGAGGTATGTCACTAAATAAAGACGTACCCACAGACTTTGCATTGTAGGATCCAAATAGAATGTCATTCAGGGTCTGATGAATGTCATAGTTTGAGACGAATCTGTTCGAATTTTCTGTGAATTTGGCCGCTTTTTCTGGATACAACTTCTGAAATCTGTCAGGGAATCTGATGGAAAACAATGGCATTCTCTCCTCGATTCGACCGGTATAAGTCTTCTGAATGGCTCTCTAAAATTATGTAGATTATTGGTGATCCTTTTTATAAGATGAATTTTAGGCAGTGTAACATTGAAAAAACCAAAAAATTTCTAATAAAATTAACAATGACTTACGATTCTGTGCCCATGATCCCCCATTATGATGTAGATAGTGTTCTCAAATGCTCCAGAATGCTTTAATTCCTCCAGACTGACCTTTATCTTATTATCCAGAAGCCCAACTGCTGCTGGATCATCGTGAGTTAGAGCCGTGAGAAAAGTAAAGCCAAAGTGTTTCGAATTTTTAAAATTCAAAGCAAAATTTTTCCAAATTTTAAGAAATCGACTGGTCGCGAATTCTCCATCCACACAATGTCTTCTGGCGCTTTTTCGACCGTACATATAAGAGTAGAATGATCTAGAAAAGTTTGAAATATCAATAAATTTTAAACTTTGAGAAGATTTTTGTAAATTAATTTTTATTACTGCTTGACCAATGTCTTAATTGGCTCAGTTTTTAAACGTACCTAAAGTAATAATCGGCCGGAGGCTTTGAAAATCCTTTAAAATGGCCGTAACTAAACAGTCCAAGCTTAGTTACCATTATGTCATCGTTCCACATGGTCGTATAATTCAAAGCTAAAAAAATCAACAACATGTTCCCCATCATCCCACCTCAACCTTTAAAAACATTACTTTTCACAATATAATAAACTTTTTAGCACGTAAGTGAACAAGTAAAAAGCTTACCTTTTACTTTCTTAATAATCATTTCTTTCTCGTAACGGCTGCTTATCAGGTCTCTCATGGAAAACCTCAACTTGGTTGGCACCGTGTTATTAGCACCAAAAGCAATAGTACGACCGGACAAGATAGGTAACAAGTTAACTGCTGAATTGTCTGCAACCTTACAAAAGTGTGTGAAATTAGTTCACTTACTTTGTTGTACCCAAATAGTATTTTAAACCCATTTTCTTTCATAAACTTCAAGGACTTTGGAGCGTGTCTATAAAAAAGTAGTTTAATATGCATTTAACAACAAAAATTTGAAAAGTGCAATGTTATTATAGTACTACACCAACATATAATGTGATAGAAACATTGTAATAGAAACTTTTTTATAAGCTTAACAACCCACCTATAAAACTGATTTCTAGAAGTACTATCCAGCACCAAAATATTAACAGAAAACTGATCTTGAGATGTGAATCGAGACCTCTTCTGATGTCTGGAAACCTTTTCCTTCGCAAAATTAACATACGCATTACTGTAAACTGTCAGGTTTTTCGTGTTCTTACATTCTATGGCAAACATTGTCTTGTTCACGTTGAAAGGAACGCCTTTAGGAAGCTAAAAGCAACATTATCAATACTATTTTATTGTAAATTCATATTAAAATAAAAGAAATGATATAGCTATCGCATTTCTTGGCTATAGCACTAAAATTACATCACTCAGAAATTTATAAATAAACTTTTACAACATAAAATAAACAGATATACCTTCCCTTACCTCAATTTTAGGCCCTGTGTACCTAAAAGAACGAGCATTCGGATACAAAGCACCAGTTATCTCCTGAGCATGACATCGTATGTTCTGTAGACTTAAGGTAGGTGGAAACCCCTTTCCAATCAAAACTTCTCCAGAATCATATTGTTTTATGTTAACTCCAGAAGTCGGTCTCTTCGGAATGCATCTGACTCGAGCGTAGCTACCGATATATCCTTTCAAGTCTCGATCGTCTAAATTATTTTAGGTAACAAAATTAGTCAATAATTTAAAAACATTTGATATTTTTAAGAAAATTACCTTTTCTAAGCACATGATACTTGCAAGTTCCTTGATATGGATGACTGTAAGTAAAGTCAGGCTGATAAACCTCGTAACGCATCTTTTGAGGTGTATCTCCATCTGTTATCTTGTCCTTATGTTGTACAGCATCATGGTGAAGTTTCTTATTAAGTTTTACACCTCCGTAATGAATCTTATTGCTCTTTGGCTTCTTTCCAATATCAAGTTCTTGAGATTGTTCAAGTTTCACCACTTCCGTGTTTTTTGCGTCCACAACCTCGGTTTCATTATAATATTGAAAGCTTGTCTTCTCAGTTACAGTTGATATACACGCCATAGACACATTCCACCAATAATTGTATACAATTACAATCACAATCGACACCAGTAGCTACAAGTAAACAACATTTAATCAACAGTTTTTGACTTGATGTTATTTTCAAGTCTTCCGTAAACTCATTAATCAATAACTTACCAAAACTAACTTATGTCTGACTGTTTGACATTTAATGACTCCAAACAAATCATGTACATATATCAAAGATCTAACCAGCAACTTCATTGAAACGGTTCTGTGACATCTTTTCCCTCTTCCAACTCCACTCTCACTTGTCTAGGTTAATATCGTTCCCTGAAACAAAAAGGGATTTAACATAAATGTACAAAACTACTTTTTTAACCATTTTATAAAATATCATCTACAAATTACCAGAAAATGTTGAAGAAAAATGGTTAGAATAACGAAAAATAACTAAAACAATATAGAGATCAACAGATACGCGTTAAGTTTAAGTAAAACATATTAAAACAATAAAACATAAATAATAGGATTTAAAAAAATGTATAAGATCTTACTTTCGAGAGTTATTTTTCCAGTGTTTTACAAATCTTCAAGAGATAACAAAATTCCGACAATTAAATTGCATGCAATTTTTTACTTTTTGATTTAATTATGGGCGCAGTTGTACAAAAAACTGTAAATTCCCAATTTTCTTTTGGAATTGTAAAATTCACAATTTTCTTGTTGCTTTTTTCGCAAGCTCGAATAAAATGTAAAGACCACTGATTTTTACCGTTTTGAAATGTCTAAACTTATTCTGTAGACATGATCAAGTTATACGTTTCAAGTTTTATGAAAACTAAAAAATATATGTTTTTACTTCCGCGGAAGCTTCCGTAATATTTTAAAGATTATAAAAAACTCTATTATAATATATTAATAATATAAATTTTAAATATCAACTTCTTTTTTAAGGTTTGTTGTGTGTCTATCACAATATACATTTAGTTCATTAGCATTTGTTGTTTCTATTGGCAATGGTACATTTTGTTACTATTGGAGATTAAGGGCAACATGTTCGAAATAGTACTTTTAAAAAGGACGGTGAACTTTTTTTTACAGCAATTGGCATATAACCTACTATAATATATGTTATTCAGCGTAATATTGCTTGTGCGACTTAGGCTTATAATGTACGTTCATACCTATGTTACAAAAGATGTATATTTTTGTTATGTGTACATATATAACATTAGACATGTGATTTGCACTCAGTATATTCCAATTTTGCCATGATAACCTTTATGCACAATTATAGTTTTACTATGATAACATAACGCGGTAATAGAGCATGTCGCAGATAATCCGGTGGCAGTAAGAGCTGGTTTCAGAGTAATGTTTTCAACCATGTTTCAATTAAAACCGATCGCCGACCGCCATGAGGCTATGGTTACTCTTGGGCGTTATAATTGGATTGACATACAGTCAAGTCATTAACTTGGCCATCAGAAGTAGGTATACTGTTTTTGGTGGCTTTTTTTAGAAATATTGCTTTAAGGATCTTGTTTCAGGAAGGTTATTTTAGAAATCTTGTTTTATGTAGCTTATTCTAACAATAAGAATATAATTTTAGGTGTATTGTTTTAGGTATCTATATTATTATATTAGTTAAAATTTTGATTTTAATCTGTTTATTTATCATCAATTTTCAAGGTAAAATCAATTTTTGAACCTTCTTTTTGTATATAATGTTTTCAGAATGGTACTATGTGGTCCCCGTCAAGATTGGTACTCCAAGTAAGGTTTTTTTTATTTAAATTATCTTAAAATTGTCAAAAGTTGAGTTGACAATTTAATGAAATGCAAATTCTTTATTTATAATCTTATGTCTAATAACCTTTTTTATATTTCACTTTACTTTTACATTACAGATCAAACTTTATACTTTGCACTTGATGTAAGAACAAAAGACTTTTGGGCATACGGTGGATTATGTTACGAGATCAGCAGTAAATGCACGAAAGGCACTTTACAGTACTTCAGAGGACAGTAAGTGCAATATGTGTCGTTTAAAACGTATTTTAATATGTTTCAGTGGTCCATAATTTTATGGAGTGGGCTTTCTCTTCCTTATCTATAACTGATCTTTCTTTGTATAATATCATACATTATTACTGTAAATTAGGCTTTTTAATGTAAAATATTATAACATGATCTCAAATTTTAAAAAATATATGTATTTTCAGCTCAAGTTCAACCTACCAAGGGGGTGTAGGTACCCAAACTTTCAACTACACCGACTTTTACTACTCTGGCAATGGCACAGTAACTGCATCAACAGCAAATGATAAAGTAGTGATAGACACGATAGATATGGGCACGCTCAACTTCGGTCTGTCGATGTCAGCCGACTACGCTTTCTACAAAACTTTAAATGCCAGCGGGGTTTTGGGCTTTGGACTGGGGTCCAATACTAGCTCCTCTTTGGACTGGACTACAGTAATCGGTGGCAATTCGTACACTTTGAGGACTAATGAGTAAGATAAGGCTTTGTTTTGCAGGTTTGAATTGGGTATGGATAATATAAGTTTATGTTATATTTTACACTATGTATAAAGCATACTAAAAAATATTACGATATACCATATAATGATACTATAAGAAATTTTGCTACTGTATATAAGGTTTCTAAAAGATATGCAACATTTTTATTATTTCAGTGCAAATGAAACGGCTACGATAACAAATGGCACGGATTCTACGTGTGCTTCACCCTACCATTACATATCTTTATCATCTACAAATTCTAGCTCCAAATGGGTGATACCTTTGACCGGGTAAAGTGGACTGTAATGTTCATAGTTTTTTCTGAATTTACAGTAATTGTATAGTATATTTCATTTAAAAACTTCATCAAGGGCTATTTTTTAGATTTTTGTTTGGAAATGTGACTGGTGGCACATTAACTGGACATACGGCCAGTTTTACCACCGTAAACAAGAACATCGAGATCCCATTGGCACAGTACCAGCCAATTCACGATGAGATTGTCAGATTGTACTACGACTTCCAATGGAGCCACAATCTGGTCGATTGTAGGAAGCGGGATCAATTACCAGATCTGAACTTGACCTTCGGAGGCAGAAATTATACTGTAACACCGTATCAGTATATCAGACAAACTGTAAGTTGGGAAGGGGAGAGGGAGCGGCTTTACTTACAGTATTAGGTGATTGCGAAATTATCCCGCCAATTTTTCAAAAATTTTTTTAAAAATTCTGGACTGTTCTAGAACTTTCTGTTGTCAACATATATAAAGAGATGTCCAAGCACTAAAAAATATTGCATGTTCAAGCTTTCTTTTGTTTACGGTGGTTCAAGAAATCAAGGTAAAACATGGTCATGTTAGGGCAATGTTGCTTCGCAACTTCCGTGAGAACGGCAACGCAACAAGAGCGACGAAGGAAATATGATGTGCTGTAGGGCCTTCAGTTGTCTCTCACGACACCACAAAAATTTGGTTCCACAAGTTCAAAAACGGTGACTTTGACATGTCCGAAAAGCTCGACCTGGTAGACCATCAGTGTTGAAGAAACCCCACCTTCTGAAGCTGATCGAAGAAGACTCCAGACATGTACTCATTTGACTGTAGAGCTTCAGTGTGATCCTTCTACCATATTAACTAGACTTCACGTCCTTGGAAGATCATGGAAATATGGTCAAGAGGTTCCACATGATTTGAACAGCGACCAGCTGAAACGCTAAGTGGAAGTTGTACTTATCTGTTGATGTTCTCAAGGACCTTTGCATGGATTGACAATTTGGTTACTGGGGACGAGGAGTGGGTACTGTATGTTAATCACACCAAGAAGAAACAATGGCTTGCACGTGGAGAACAGGGTGGATCAACTCCAAAACCTGATCTTCACCACTGGAGGAGGCGTTAGCTGGAACTCAACAAGTATTGTGTACTAGGAAATGGTACCACATGGAACTACGATTCCTGTAGTTGTCTACTGTAGACAAATTAAACCTGTTGCGGCGGCATTGCATGGTGAACAGGATAGAACCTTCTTCATTCATGATACTGCTCGCGCCTATGTGACAAAGTTGACCCACCACAAGCTGAAAAGCTTTGGCTGGGCTGTGATGCTATATGCACTGTACTCAACTGATGTTGTGCCTACAGATTATAATATGTTCCACTCTCTTCAGAACCATCTGAATGCAACACGCTTTGACAACCGAGACGACCTCAAGCGATGGTGGACTAACTTTTTTAATTCTAAAACTCCAGGTTTCTACAGAAATTTAATCCAAATGCTGCCGAAGGGATGGCAACAGGTTGTTGATAATAATGATACATATATTTGTTAATTAGTTGTTGTTGTTTTTTTAAATATTAAATTTTGGTAAAAACAAAAATTGGCGGGATAATTTCGCAATCACCTAATATTTCTGGAACTTTTAAATTTATAAATTTTCTAATTTTAAAGTTTTGCATAAATTAGAAGGTCACAAGTAATTAAATATGCAAATTTGTAGCCCACAAACTACTGTATCCTCCGTTTGGTACCCAATTACCAGTCGAACGAATGGGTATTGGGCTATCCATTCCATCAAAGACATTGTGAAGAGTACGATGCTGGTAACGACAGAATCGGTCTATCTACTCCGTCATAGTCATCAGCTTACATTACTGACTTAAAATAAAGTTTGTTAAGTAAAAAGGGTAACACTAAATGCTATATCTTGCAGAAAAAGGACGTAGGTATGTACATATAAGAAAAATGTAATATCATATATTTATAATATAGATGTGGAATCACATTTTTTATTTACAGTATTATTGCGGCCTACCATAAGTTATTAATATTTGTATAATTTTCGGCATGAATAATGTAGTTTGGGCTTGTTTTTGCAACTAAAGTAAGTTTAGCATAATTGAATAATAAAAAAGGTAAAAAAGGCCACGTGAAGTAAAATAATCGTAAATGTGTTACTGCCGTGCCAAAAGGAACGTTATGCACAGTATCAGAAACTATATAGGTATGTATAGCGTGGTATTACATACATAATATATAAATAACAATATGTTATATATATGGAAGTTACAGAGTTATTAAAAGCTTATTTAAGGCGTAGGAATAAAGGTTTAATATGTAACACAAGTGAGTAATATATTATTCTTAACGTTGATAAGTTTAAGTTATCACCTGTAGAATTAATTACATATATGTAGGTATAGCTGAAAAGCAAGCATTGTAAGGTTGCTAATCTTGTTATCCAAGAAGGTAAACGCTTTTTTATAGTAATAACACTTTTAATCTAATTTGTTTTGCTTACTTTGACAGCTTTTTTTTGCTAGTAACTTACTTATGTTTGGTCAAAGTAACTTTTGAACAATAATATTTGAAGTTAATTTCGAAAAAAACTTTTGAATTGTCATTTTTTTATTATTACCACAGTAATTGATCTATGGCATTTTAGTTAGTTTAACACGTCGTATAACAATTCTATGTTCATATAGATCAGTAATGTAATAATTGGTATAGTTTTAAAAAATAAAAGTTTTTGCAGATCTTCAATTATCAGGTTGTTCAATTAACTCTGTGCTCCCTCTCAAAGCAATTTCGGAGATTACAGGACACAGAATTACTTGAACAACCGAATCTCTTCTTTTTACTATTATATAATATCACCCGATCTGATATTGTCTATGTCTTTACTGTGTTGATAATACTAACACAGCTTTGCTTTACTGAGTTAATTGTTCTAAAGTACGACACTTTCTCATATTTGATTACATTACCTTGCCGACTGACGTTGGTTATAACATTAATCTCAATTCTGTCTGTTTAATGTTTCACTTTACTTTGTTGTCTCGACTGAATACTTAACTTACCAACATGTGGAGTATGTGTTATTAACTATATTGTGAACAACGTTTTTTAATTATAGGTCAATACATAACTTACTTTATAATAATAACATGACGATAGTTATATATATGTTATTTATAAAATTTCTTTTTAGCTAATATTGCCATGCGCACAGCGTATTCGTACTTTACTGTAGCTGGTACTACATGTGGCTTTTCATTGAATTTACTTTTGTTTTATGTGATACGAAAGACGAGGAACAAAACTCAAGCACACACCTTCATGACATATGTTGTCGCGTTACAAGACTTGTTTTACACGTTCACTGAGCTCTTTATACAACATGTAAGTCATATATACAGTATGTGACATGTAGGTTAAATATACAGTATACAACTTGTAAGTTAAATATACTGTATATATATAACATTGAACTTATTCAAACACATCACGACTTTATCTTGCAGGAAATCCACCTTCACGATGGATCAATCTACTTCTACACCCACGGTATAGAACAATATCTACCGGTTGGTTGTCGCCCCTTCATCTTAACCGTACACATGACATTTGTCTTCCAAAGTATGTTTGGCATGGTTTGTATCTTCTACTACCGCCATATCCTATTAAGAGACCCATCAACACCCTTATTACTGTTTCTGAAGATCGTGGCTACAGGATTCTGTTTCTCGCTTCTGGCTGGAGTCACTTCCGCTGTAGCCTCTGTATCAAGTGGAAAAGAGTTACCTAACAATATTAATAAACATCTAGTGTTCAGTAATGGATATGTGGTTACTGACCTTCCTATTTACTTCATTTACGTGGTATTTCAGTCTTATTTTACAAATTGAATTTCAAAGTCAAATTTTGTTTTTTTATTGAACAAAATATTGATTTTTAATAAAAGTTTTAAATACATTTTGTCATATACTATAGTTATATTATATTTCAGTACAACAATGAAGCAATAATCTTCATGACATCCTCAATAATCACCTTAGCAACTGGACATATCATTGCTATAGTCTGCTTTCTGTTAAGCTTATATGCCGCCAATTTAAACCGAGATAAAGTTTCGTATCGTACAAGGAGACTTCAACTTCAGTTTTCTAGAAATTTAATCGCACAGGTAAGATATCATTTTACTTTTAGACATGAGAAACGGGCCGGGCCGGGCCCAATTTTCAAGCCCGGCCCGGCCCGTTTTTTATTTTGGTCAGGCCCGGCCCGATCAGAAAATTCCTAGGCCCGGCACGGCCCGTTTTAAAAAATTTTAAAAATTTTGAAACTTAAAAACTAAACGGAAAATTGGCTTTAAATTGTTTTTTTAGATCATTTATGGATCATAGAACCCAATAAAATCTAAAAACATAAACGGGGATTGAAATAAAAAATTTTAAAAAATTTAGAATTTTTTTTTCCAGGCCCGGCTCGACTTTCCAAGGCCCGGCCCGATCTAAATTTTGCTCAAGGCCGGCCCGGCCCGTTTCTCATGTCTATTTACTTTACTGTAAATTTTTTTAATTTTTATTTAAAAAGTATTTTAGAGAAATTGACAAAGCCTGAGTTAAGTTAAGGTTACTCATAAAACTATTTAAAGAATAGTAACTTAGTTTTTACTTATTTTAGACAATTGGAATACTAATTACAGTAACCACTCCTATGTTTACGATACTAGTTGCCATGTACCGTGAAACAAAAATACAGTATCTTGGGTTTTGTATCTATGCCCCTTTGGCATGGCACTCTTGTATCAGCGCTCTTTTGTCAATCACCTTCATAAAAGCCTACCGACAAAAGATTTTAGATTTGATTGGGTTGAAACACAGATTCTTTCAAGAAACAACTACGTACGTTCAACAGTTTTCAACACAACTAACCAAAAGTAACCATTAAGTATAGTCTTGTACGCAATAAATTATGAACAAGAAAAGGTCTTCTATCATTATATTGCACAAGATACACTCTTCCTTTAAAATTGGATTAAAAACTAAAAAGAAACTGTAAAAAACAACACGAACGTAGCTATAAAATAATATAAAATAAAAATAAACAAGCTCAAAAAGCAGTGTCAATGTTCAAAAATGCAAAAGCGATTCAGTCAAGCCAAACCCACGTATTGATTTTCAGGTTGGAAACTGCGAACATTGGATAGCACATCATCATCGCTCCTTTCACCCGACCGGACTTGAACCCGAGTTCTTTCGAGAGAAAGGCAAACGCATAACACACTGCGCTACAGAAACTGCTTGTCCTTTCTCTTTCTTTTCGCTATGAATGAACACTAGCTAAAGGAAAATGCCTCTTCTTGTTTTTAGACACCATTTACTTGGAAATCATGGATAAACACAAGAAAATCATACAAATTAGTTAAAATTTTTAAAAAAACGTTTAAAGTTACACTTTATGATATTTTCACTAAAATCAGTGCTATAACAAAAGTTAAAAAAATTTAGCAATAAAATGCACATTAACCGCTATATTGTTTGTGTTTGTCATTATAAAACTATATAATCACGTTTTTTGCTTATTAAAAGAATAGTTTCTAGTAAGAGTTTATATTCGATAGCGATATCAAACACTCTAGTCATTCTTCATTATAAAAACAAGAACAATCATCTGTCAGCATGATTTTCTATAAAGCCTTTATTAATTTAAAAACGTAAAAAATTATAAATTACAATATTTATAGAAATTTTCGATTTTTTTATCTCCTAGTACTGTTGCACGCAACTAACGTTATGTGTGGTACCATTAAAAACAATACTTTACAAATGTGTCTTAATATACCGAATAAAAAATAGTCGTGGCCTTAACTTAATGTACAATAAAACGTGTTTTATTTTTACTATTGTTTTAAGTTTGAAACGCGATTAAAGCAAGATGTCTTGTGTGGTCTGGACCAGACGACAAAAAACCTATTACCATGCTGTATATAAAGGCAATTATCAAATTAATTTACATATTTCCTGTCATATCACAATTTGTTTCTTGTTTATAGGAATCCTGTCATATCACAATTTGTTTCTTGTTTATACGTTTAATTTCAGATCTGTGTCTCTCAACTAATCCCAGACCAATTGATGACATTCGCCGGCACTGAAGAGCCATGTGCTACTGTAACTATTCGTTGTATCGGCAACATCAAAGACGAGAAACATCAGCCGGTTGTCGCTGGAAAGTTGACTTCTTTCATTGCCGATGAACTGAAAATCTCTCCTGAAAGGTAGGACAACTTATTTGTGCCACAAATTATGATGAACATAAAATGAAGCATATAACTAAATTAATATCATCAAAGTTACGTATTAACTATAAACTTTTTAGATTCTACGTTTTGTTTCATGATCTGGCTGAAGACGATGTAGCCTACACTGGAATCATGTTCCCTGAACTCAAAAAGAAGCTGGGGCTTTAAAATAAAATTAGCACAAACTTTTACATAAATAAACCACATTTTAAAAGTAATTTTATACCTTCTGAATCACTTCTTACCCAAAAAAAACATCGCAAGCCCACACGCACCTTTAACACGTACGTGAATGTATCAAACCCAATCTTAATGTACTTTAACCTTGTAGACACCTTTCAATGGCTTCTTCAGCAATTTTTTTAGTTTCGCTTGAATTTCGGACAAAATAAACAAATACTATCCCCAGGCATCTTGTACTTACATTAAAAAACCACTAAATATCTTGACAAAAGATGTTTGGATTAAGCACTTGATCAAATAAACATTAATATAAAAGATGAAACTTAAACGTCAAGAAACAACACCAACCAACTACCTACTTCTACTTCAGTATCCTTGTTTTATTACAGTTAACATTAACCATGCCTGTCCTGGAAATTAAAACAAACTTGGCCAAAGACAAGATTCCAGCTGATTTTCTCAAAAGCGCTGCTGATAAATGTGGCCAGGTTACCGACAAACCTTTAGAGGTAAACCTTTAATGAACTTTCTTAATATACTGGTTTGCTAATTCATATACGCATCTATGTATTATTAGAAACCCATTTATATATATAAACCCAAAAAATGTCATCAAAGTTTGCTGCCAATCCTTTATAGACCAAAAATTTGTATTACTTTTCATATTACTTCAGAGAGTAGCCTGTCACATTCAAACCGACCAGTTGATGACATTTGGAGGATCTGACAGTCCTTGTGCCAGTATTACCATCCGGTCGATTGGTAACATTAAAGACCGTTCTGACAAAATAGCCAAAGAATTGACTGATTTTCTAGCTGCATCGTTAGGAATTGGCAGCGACAGGTCAGTTAAAAATTTTTAAAAAACTTTCAAAATTCCGGTTTTTAAAACCTAAATCAAGATAATGTTACCTTTACAAATAAAATTATTTTTAGGTTTTACATCCTGTTCCACGACATGGGATCAGATGACGTCGCCCACAAAGGACTGGTAGTCACCGAATTGAGAAAAGCTTAATCATAAAATTCTGATTAGTCACTTTACATCGCTAGGAACAACGCACGATCTGTGATTGTAAAACCCAAATAAATCAGTATACAATGTACCCAAAAACCCTCTGTAAAAAATAATAATGACAAAGACATAATGTTCAAAACATTTCGATCTAATCCTTAAATTACGTTTATTAGCAATATGAAACGCTAACTAATACTATATAAACCTGATATGATAATAATTAAAATGGAAACTTAATTATCACAAGCGCTACAAAATGGCAAGATAGAAATAGAAGACATGGTTAACATATTCGTGATAAACAAGAAGCTCACCAATACGTTAGCATTAATAGACGTGCAATCATACAAGTGACATACCGTAAAGAAATCACTGTAAATTAAGCACTTTCTCCTAAAGCCTTCTCAATGTCTGGAATCATGTCATTAGGCTTGGTACTAGGAGCATAACGAGCAACAACTTCTCCTCTTCTGTTGACCAAGAACTTGGTGAAGTTCCACTTAATAGCGTTGAACAAGAATCCAGGAGCTTCCTTCTTCAAGAAGTCAAACAATGGATGGGCATTCCCTCCATTAACATCAACCTTGTCATAGAGATCAGGGTCAAACTTGAACTTGTCCTTAACAAAATTCTTGACGTCCAAGGCGCAGCCTGGCTCCTAAAACATCAGAATAATTCTTTTTTATATTTTAAACTTTAAATAAAGTAAGAATATCCAAGAAATTTAAACGTAAAAAACAGTTATAAACCTCATATCTATATATCAATAAGAAATTCTAATTTACTTGTCTTCCAAACTGATTGCAAGGAAAAGCGGCAACTTCAAGTCCTTGACCCTTGTATTTGTCCAAGAGTTCCTTCAACTGAGCGTAGTTCGAGTTTGTGAAGCCACAGTGAGATGCGGTGTTCACAATAATCACAACTTTGCCTCTAAAACAATATACAGTTCATTAATAAAAACGAGTCCCTAGCATTTGATTTTATTTTATGTAAAACAACACTGTTTAAATAAATCATTACCTAAAAACCAAACAATAAAATAAACGATTACCTGTATTTTTCCAACGAAACATCAGCTCCATCGGAATCCTTGGCTGTGAATTGATAGATGGTGTTTTCGGCCATTTTAGGTCCTTCTTCCTGGCTGAACAAAAGTGAAAAGATAATTAGAATACTTGGCAAGAAAACCCAAAATAATATTCGTTTCGAAGTGCACGTTCCCATAAATGACTTTCGCGAAAAGCTAAAGATAGTTACAATATTAGAGTTTTTATTCACAAATGCCGTAAAGTTCTAGTTAAAATATAATGACCTATATCTAAATTATTTCAATTTTAAATTACAATATTATTAACTGGAAAAAAGGCGTTTAAGAATAGAAACTGTAGTATAATAAGTAATAAACTGTTTCGCTAAAAAGTGGAAAAAATCTGACAAAAAACAAAACTAGAAACAGTTTTTGCAAATAAAAAGCATTTTTCAACATTTCGCCGTTCCTTTTGAAGGTCACTAACTCATTGTTTATGTTCAAAAGTAAGTTTAAGGTAAAAGATAAAACAACGTAATAAAAATATTGTACTACTATAAAACAAAGCAATTACCCGAATTGGACCCTTATTTGGCCAAATAACAAGAAACATTGAGTGAGCCGATTTTCCCTTTTCATTTTGAGTCAACTCTAGCTCGCATAATTTTCATAACCGCGGTTATAATCGGTAAAATTTTTATGAAACTATTCTCTTTGAAACAGCCGCTAGCGGGAATGTGGGTTATCCATTTTTGAATAACAAGCTGCAATTTCATAAATTTAAGTTTACTTTAGTAACAACATTATTGTTTTAAGCTAACAATTGTAAATTTATCAGAAGCAAAGAAAATATATTGTTTTAAGTGGAAAAAGTGGAAACAAGTTGAGAAAAGCTATAAATAAGACTGGGGTGAGGTCTGATAAGGTTTCATACTTTGATTGCAGACGTATTAACCTACCACTACATTAATTGTATTTGTCTTTGAAGGTTTGTAACGATGCAAGAACAAAAGTAGTCGAACTGTGTACAGTAGAAGTAATTGACCAATTTTATTGTAGTCTTGCTGATTTGTGGAGCTCATGAAGTCAAGGTTGTCTTGTTGAAAAGAAACACAAATTAAAGGATGGCAATATACATAATTGGAGGTAATTAAGATTTTGGGTAATATTAGAGTAAGGTAAATTGTTATTTGATTTTGGAAAAGTGAAAAGAAGGACAGAGGTTTGAAGTCTGTTTTACCAAAGTCTGGGAATTTGTGGTAATAAGCTAGTAATAAAATTACGTTTTTTAATCGTTACTATGAGGCTGTAAACAGTCAACTTTGTCACACTACCTTTACAGAGTAATAATATGAGGTTACATTTTAAGTTCCAAAATGTTATACAAGCATATAAGTTTATTCTAATTTAAATAGGAATTGACATAAGCGACGGTATACTTTTACATTGATGATATTGTATTATTCGTTTAGTGGGAACTTCATAGGTCTGGCGAAGGGTAACGTAGATGGGAAGTAGACGAAACGTGTCACATGACGTGGGGCCGGCTCTGGATTAACTGAAGTTTCGTATTTTAGGACGACAATAGGTGATACGTCATCATGAAGTCTCATTAGGAAGAGATAAAATAGTACAATCTATTGCAATATTACACTTTGGGTTTAAGATTACTGTAGTTTTATATCAGACGTATTTACTGTATTAATGTAGCAGACAGTAGAAACGAGGTAAGATTACTATGGTTATATAAGGCCAGGTAACTTTGTTTTTTCATTTAATAATTTTAGTTTAACATTCGTAAGATTACTGTATTTATCTTACCGTTTCTTTCTTCTCGCTTAGCTGGTGCTCCAGACTGTGCCCAGAAGTAGTTCATCTTGGCATAAGGGTTTAGATTCTGAATGTAAGCAGCGGCCATAGAGAATGTTATCACGAAGAAGAACAAGACTGCTGACACTTTCATCTTCGATATAAACCTGAAATGTTGGATTATAAACTTTGTCATTTACTGAATTAGTTACATTATTGTAGGCAAGGTTAATATTTGAACACGAATACAATTTCCTTGAGTATGTGAAGATAGTGTTACCAAGTTTGTATTTGTAACAATATTGCACAAATATACAGTTATGGGCTATAAGGGAGGTGAAGAAGAGATGGATAAACGGGGAAGTAAAAACAATGTTACTTAATGTAATTATGTCAAAAAAATTTTAATTTATATACAATTTAAAGTTAACCGGATCAAACAATTTTCAAACATATCACGCAAAGTAGTGTTTTTTGTAGGGACATATGTACATATAAACCAAGGTTAACATGCTATGTAATGAAGTACATGCAGAGATCTTAATACAAAGTTACTCTAAAAGTGAAGTAAAATTTGTATATAAGCAACATCGGCAGGAACTTACCCTAAGAATTAAGTAATTGTAGTAAAAACGCAATTTGGTATTCACGCCAATAAGTAATAGGCAACACAGAGCCTATTACTATAATAGTATATATTAGAGTACTGCTATTCAAAGCTTTTTACGACAAGGTTCTATCACAATATATTAGTTTGTTCAGATAATTATGTGCTCTCTTTCTAAGGAAATGTTAGGAGTTAGGGGCGCAGGATTATTTAAATCACCTAATAGTAAAAGGGAACACAGAGTATTGCTCTTCAAAACGTTGTAAGGTTTAACTATAAGATGAGGTACGTACATAGAAAGATAAAGATACACGTTTTATATTACAAGCTCTCAATGTACGTTCAGATATAAAACAATATATACGAGTAAAGTCACGTTTTCTCCTCAAAATTTTGCAGAAAACGTGACAATTTTTATAATTTGATTACAACAGTATCATACTCCACGATTATGCGACATAAAGCAAGTATCTTTATATAAATTTTATGCTACATAAAGATACATAGAGATTAAATAAATTACATATGTTAACAAATTGCACCCATATACATACAACTACTCAGTTATACATTTTAATTGTATATATATCTCCAAATAGTCACATTACCAAATTCCTTTGCCATGTGAAGACCTATACTATAACGTTGACGTACTAAATAGCATAGGATCGTATCCGGGTGCTCGTACACTAATAACAATAACGAATGCTGGGAGAAAGACTGTATATATACTGGTCATTGTGAGGTTTTGTATAAACAATAGCATTAACAATTACTTTGACCTTTTACCTTTGTTATGGCCAAAAATATTTCACAGACAATGATGGTATGTTGAGCTGGCTTCATAGACAAAGATAATCTGTTGTTTAGTCTATGTTATGTTATAGACTACTGTATCTCTCCGCACTACGGTTTTGAAATTTTCATATTGTCGATAGTATATACAGTATCAAAATACTGCGCATACTATCTATATTAAGCGTAATAACCATACTTCCTTCGAAGAAAACACCCAATATAGTCATTGAAAATGATTTTTTTTTCTACTATTGATACCTAATGTACCATCGTAACGTAAAAGTAACTACGGAACTCAAACAAGTGGTTACATAGCACGTGGTGTACAATATCATCAACAGAAGCTGACATTGTACCTCCCCACATGTATCGGCTACAAGTATATAATCTTTTGTTTTCAGAAGATTAAAGTAACAACCTGGTAATGTAGTAATGTATAATGATGTTTTGATACAAATGCCAGATAAGCTATGATAATGAAGATGACATTAGACATTACAACGGTAATATTAATATTGGTATCAGAAGTAACAAGTAATTGTAATGATAATGATGCCAGCTTAATGGTAAAACTATATAGACAAAAACAAGCTTATCTAGGCTTTAATACAGTATACAAAAAAAACAAGACTAAATACGGTAGACAATCATTATAAACGAAATTAAGTTTAGAAGTTTAGGTAATAAATCAATTTTATAACTTAAGGCAATATATTGCAATACCTTAAGAACAAAAGACATAGTCATAAGGTATATAAGCACTAGTAATGTCACCTCTACTCCCTTAAATACCTAAAAAGATATATTATGTTAGGTACATGTATAATAATGTTAATCCATCCCCTCCCACATTCATAGCAACATCTTGTCATTTCAAAGTAAAGTAATCTGATGGCAACAAAAGAAGTATATCTTCATGGATACTTTGGTTACTTTGCGATTATTGAACCTACACTATATACATACTGGAAGGTGGTAGAACATCACGCATTGTAATATTTGGCAATTGACGTGACATTACACTGAACGATTGTAAAGTGATAGTAAATTAGTTTAAGTACAAGATGGTAAAGTATTACAACGGTGTGCAAAAGAATATTGTCATATACTATGACAATCATCAATTAGAAATATTATTTTAAAAACGTCATATTATAAAGTAAAATGTTATTCTTGATGCAAAAATTGTATATACATAGCTACTAACCTAACACAATAGTGTTTTAGTTCAAAGAATAAAACAAGTGTATTTGATATTTTAACGCAATAAATTAACTTACAAAAGATGATTAAACTACATATATTAAATTAATACTAATTTAAAAATTCAAAATTCACACACACGTCAATCCATATTTATTACTGTAACTTTTCTTTAAAATTACGAAAATAAAGTTATACACAAGGAATCTTAAGTTAAATGTAGCTTTGTTTTTGCTTTACAATAAGAGGTGTTTTATTTTTTTAGCGTTTGAATTTAAAGCTAAGATTTGTGCTTACAGTAGTAACCTTATCCCATGTTCTTGTACCTATCATGGATCCTAGAACTCGATTCCACCTTTGTCTTACTAGTTATTCCCCTAAGAATTTTGTATATATAGTCATACGTCACGCTTAATATTAAAAAGCGTTGTTAAACCTGCATACGTTACCTTTATATAAACATTTGAAGACAGCAACTTTAAGAATTCATTGTATACTTGACACAAAACACGTCATAATGACTGTATTCTGTATATATATATATGTATGCTCTACGTAACCACACTTTATAAAAACTTCAACAAGGAAAGTAACGTCAACCCAGAAGTGTAAATGTCGTGATACGACGATGAGATTGTATTTATATACTTATCATTGTAGCAATTACGATTCTCGAGACTAGTCAAGGGTTATACAAACAGCAATTCGTGTGAAAGTAATTTGAATAATAATCTAAACCAAGCAAAATTACAGGAAATGTAACTGTAACTTTACTTTAATTATATACTTTTGTCAGTAATCATATGTAATTAGCATACTAATGTCATTATTGGTGCAAGAAGCATATAAGTACGTGTAAAAACATGTGCATATAAAGTATACTGTAAATATGAAATCATCATTCTAATATCAAAGTAGTTTTATCGAGTTCACAAAAACAAAAATGCCCTACTATTGAGTTCACAAACATTCAATAACACATGTTTCTGTACTGCTTTTATTACTATACTATTCACTCTCTTTCCAACATCTTCTTGTCTTCAACCTCGTACTACTGTATTTTCTTTTCTACTTCTTTTTATATTACTATTGTGTTCAACCTCGTTCTATACTGTATTTCCTCCTTCCGATACCTTTTTGTATTACTATACTTTTCAACCTCGTACTACTGTAGTTTTTCCTTTTCAACATCTTTTTGTCTGTCTTTTGCCTTTGAATAACATAGTTATGATTATTATTGTCTTCCTTTGACTCGCCAATTGAACCATGCAAAATTGTTTATTGTAGTTAAGCCTTTGGAAACGCATTTTTACCTCGAGATATATCGAGTTTTTTCGGCCGTTCTCTCCGCGTCCTGTTTGGAATTAGAAAATAAATTGAAAAAAAACGGTGAAGCTCGCGGTTTCTGCACATTTCCTCTAGAAGGGCCCTAATACCCGGTTTATGGTTAGAAAATTAACATTTCTTTTACCACGGGAAACATTTCACATTAATCTAGGTGTTTTTGAGAGTAAAAAAGATGATTTTAAGAGAAAAACTGCCGCATAGTTAAAATGTAAATTTACATTTTTTAAGCTTTAAGTTTGAAATGATACCTTTTGTTATATTTCTTGATAATATACTTGTAAAAGTCTGAAAGACATTTTTACTCAAGAATGAAGTAACTGCAACGTTAAGCCCATCTTAATACGTTTTAATGGGTTTTGTGTTATTGGTTTTGGCGCATTATAAAGATGAGTTTCTGTGCGCGAAAACTTGGCAATTGTTCATTGCCAAGACAACGAGTCAGGAGAGAGCTCATGGAAACGCCTTAATTTCAATTCTCTTTGTTACATTTCCGGCCGCAAATGACCGCTGGTAATATATTATAATAGGCCAAGGAATTGGCAATGTCTTTTGCTTTCTATTCTTACTGAAATTTCAAAGTTTTAAGGATTTTTAAAGGTATAAAATACCACAAGATGGCAGTACAGAAGGATAATTTTAGTATTATAGTTAGTACGTTTTGAACTTACAGTGGAAAGTGTTTGTCATAGTGTAGTAACTTTTCTGTAATAACATATCTTTACTTCAATAATAACACACTTTACTGCAGTGTAAAAACACACCACAAGATGGCAGTACGTTTACTTTTATATAACCTTGCACAAATATTGTTTACTCCCAAACCACATAATATATCTTGGTCTGTCCCTTTGTCATCTTATAATGTGTACTGATTTTACTGCCAGATAAACTTGTCAGACTTAATCAAAATGGCAATTTCAACTTTTTTACTGCGCCATTTTAATATCGACAAATGCCGATGAATTGTTTAGTAACAATATTAATTTGAACTGGTCAAAAAGTTCTTAGCATTTTGCTTTTTAATTATTAGGTTGTTCAAATAATTTTGTGCCCCACTAACCCTAAAAATATGTTTTGAGGGGCACAGAAGTATTTGCAATACCTAACAAATGTCATTTATTTTATAAAAAAGCCTTAGCTTGTGACTCTTCCTATTGCACCGTATATATAAAAATAGGATTACCATGTTATTTATTTGATGTGTTTTTTTGTCGGCTATTCCTGGCTATTGTTATTCCTTATGCCATTTGTTTGTTCGGCCAAAGTTGAAAATTTGCTAAATTCGATATGAGAAAAGCAGTTTCAGCGGAAATTCGACCGAATTTGAACTCGCAGAAGGGATTTAGTTTACAAATGGAAAAGGGAAAATTTTAAATTTGGATTGTGATGAAAGGAGGGGGAGGGGGTATTTTTATTTACTTTTAATGTTTAAGGTCGAAAATTAGTTCGTTTGTAAAAATATTGAGTTAGACCCTGCAGCCCGGATAGTGAACAATTTTTTATATTACAAATTGTACTGTTCTTAGATTAATAAAATAATTCTGTGCCCTCTAACCCTGAAAATTGAAAACGGGCTCAGAATTATTTGAACAACTCAATATTTTCTATCATATCTTACCTTGCCCTATGGAGTTTAAACGTCTACTTCTCAAATAGTAATTAACCTTAAATGACAAAAACAATTACTTGATTTCAGATCAATTACGTTCAACTTTTATTGTAAATACGTTGTTATTATGTAGACCTTTTGAGCTACAAACAATTTCACTTTTTTAGAATTCTCACTTTTTTGACAATAAATTTCCTCCATTTCAAGGCCATCTTCTGTTTACATGTTGTTTTAGAAATATATTTTTACTTTTAATTTTATGCTTTTTGTGGATTAAACTAAGAATTAGATTGATAATAAAAACATAAAGTTTTACAATATTTAGTGAAAAAAGGAGTATTTACTAGAATGAGTTTCTTCCGCTTCGAACTGATAACTTCGAAATGTTTGAACTCTTGAGAGCGCTTATAATCTTTTGTAACCAATGTTTTTATGTTTTGTGAGGAGGCAGCAAACATGCAACACATAGTTATTATATTTTAGTCATTGGTATCACAAGAATTGTTTAAAATAGTTTTTAAATTGAATTTTTATTATGTGGTTTTGCCCCCCTCTCCCCACCTCCTTTTGCTGAAAACAATACTGTTTTACCCCCTCACGTGTTCCCTAACTCCTATATTAATTACCCTTTCCCGCCCCCTTCTTAATTTTTCATATTTTGTACTCTAATTTACCTCGCCTATCACATGGCAATCTATTATACTATTAATATAATTTATGCGCTAACTATCACTCACAAGTATCTTCGAATTTTGTTACAACAACTTTCTTTACACAGCCTTAAAGAATCTTTATGCAAATGAATGTCGCGCTTTTTATTGTTTTCCAAAGTTTTTTGGAATTCTAATTCTGAAGCCGTCCTTCATTTCTAGGCTTTAATTAATCTCTCCGAGATTTGACACAATGAAATAGGGATGTGTCTGTGATATATAGGCCTACATTCTGAGTTTATTTACATTTTTGAACAAGGATATTTTACGTCTTAATTGTTGGCTTTATATTATAGTATGTAGCTATATGTTAAAGTTATTAAAACCTTTATTTTTTTATGTTTTGATTAAGAAACGTATAAAATAATATCTTTTTTCTATAAAAACTAATGTTGTTGTTGTCTTTTGGCGCTTTCAACATAAAACACAGCTTAATTACCATGCCAAATCTCATTATCTACCCCATAGTAGCTAATGTTATAATCTCTCTAATTTAATAAAGTCTTAATTACTTTGTCGGCTTCTGAAGTGCACGGTGCAAACTTTGTGAAACTGATGTTGATTTAGAAGAGAAATGAAGATTAGCCCTTAGGGGATTTATCGAATCAGTTTCAGCTTGTTAAAGGGCCGAGCTCTTTCTATTTATTTGGCAGGCGGCCAGAGAACATTCCAAAAAAGATTAGAATAGGGTTGGGTGAACTTCTGGCAACTTATGACATTCTTTTTTACTTTCTTTAAGGCGTGGTATGCATGCTCGAATGCATATTTTTGTTTACTTCTTTGGGTAATATACTGAAAATGGCTAGAGTAAAGGTATTTTTTGTGTTTTGGGCTGTAAATACGTCTTTGCACAGGCGTTTTTTTATAACATAGTAAGATTTTGTACAAAAAACAGTACGTTGATATGCTTTAACGTTTCAAAAGCCTTCGTTGCGAGACCAATATTAATTCAAACTTTTCATTTTTTGATTTGATTATGACAATTTAGAGATGATTCTCAAATTTGTGTCGTTTCTACTGCTATTTGGACATGCCCATCCATATAATATTGTTGTATACAGTCCAACTGAAAGCAAATCTCATATGAAAACGAATGCACAAATAGCTGATGTTTTGGCACAAAATGGTCACAATGTTGTAAGTTACCTTTATTGTTGTTTATTTTAAACCATTTTACAATATTTAGTTTTAAATTGATAAGAAACGTCACTTCAGGGTTTTTAAAAATAGAAAACCGATAAAATTTGTGGCGTTTCGTTTACAAAAACAAAAAATTGTTAAGATTATGCCAAAAACGATAATTGATATAAAATACGAGTTGAAGGATGTAAAATACGTGTTTGATAAAGGAACTTTTGTAGACATTGTTCGAAGTTCATTATGATGAAGAGCCAGGTACCATCCCCAACATAGTCAAGTATGCAAGGTACGAAAGCCACACATTTGATTGGGAAAACAGGACAAATGAAGCTAATCTGAAGGGATTCATTCAAGGAATGTTCAATCAACGGAATATCATCACAGCTACACTCAACAACGATCTGTATCACGACAGGAAGGTGGAAGCGTGTGATTGTAAGTGTAAAACAAGGTGTTGCATGTTGTTTTTAACTATATTTGGGGGTTTTAGTGTCTTTATTTGTAATGTAAGATAGTGAATGTTAAAATAAGTTTAATCTTTTAGTTTTTGGTTGTATTTATATTGTTTTAATTCAAAAATATCGTTGTAGACCTTCTGAACAACACGGATATTCTCGAAGCGCTTCGAGAAGGTCAATATGATGTTTATATTGGAGAACAACTCGATCTATGTGGCACAGGGTTGAGCCATCAAGCCGGTATTCCAGTCCACGTGTGGTTGAGCAGCTGTCCGTTACCTGAATACATGACATCTTTGTTGGGGATACCTATAATGAGTAGTTTTACTCCAGCCGTGCTGCAAAACGACATGAATGGAGATAAAATGGGATTCTTTGCACGGATTCAGAACATGTTCAGAAGCTACTCTAACTACGTTGGATTCACGGGATCGGCGGAGAGGATTACTGAGGTATTTAGGAAGCGATGGTATGTTGTTTTAAGTTTGACGATTGTTTTTTCTGAGGAATTATAGCTAAGATAATGAATTATTGTTTCTAAATGGCTAATTGTATTAAAATTCTGCTACAATATTAGACGATAAACATAATTTTTAGATAAAATAACTCTTTCAAGCCTCAAAAATTTTGTTTTAGGCCAGAATCACCATCTGTATCCGAAATCGCAGCCAAATCCCCTATTGTTTTGGTCAATTCAAATGAGTTTATCAACTTCCCACGACTTACAACTTCAAGAATTATTGAGATTGGAGGTCATTCATTAACTGCATTGGACGAACCAGCAGAAGACAACTCTACAGCTACATTAATTGAAGATCTTTTGAATGAAGAGCTTGTTGATGTTGTTGTATTTTCTTTGGGATCTGTTGTCAAAACTCAGTGGCTGCCTCGTGAAGTCAGGAATAATATAGTAGAAGCGTTCAAGGAGCTACAAGACTATCAGATTATCGCCAAGATTTCTGTGGATGATGTGGTAGGTGTTTTGGGGTTGCTGAACTTTTAGACAAACTTTTTTTTGTTATAGACGGTGTTTTGTTATTGTTAGTTTCATTTTAGATCACAATATGTTTAAGATAATAACCATTTAAGGCTCTAGTTTATAAGGTGAATTTTCAGGAGACTAAAGCAAAGTTGGCTAACTTAAGTCACGTAAAAGTGATGGACTGGATACCTCAAACTCAACTTTTAGGTATGTTTTGCAGATATTATCATGATTTGTTACCTAGAAAAACTAAAAAAGGAATTTTTATAATATTGTAGTAGTTTTTACCGGTTAATATGCCAATTCTCTGTTTGTATTTGCCTATTTAGCCCACCCAAAAACAAAGCTTTTTGTAACTCACGCTGGCTACAGTAGTCTTCTGGAAGCAGCATGGTACGGCGTTCCAGTGTTGGCTATGGGAGTATTCGGAGATCAGATGCACAATGCCGAGATTCCGGAAAGAAATGGCTGGGGAAAGAGTTTCGACAAAAATATTCTAGTGGACACTCCCTTACCGTTCGCAGAATCTGTCAAGAACATCATTGGGTATCCACAGTAAGTTCTTTCTTGCCATTTTTTGATATATGCATAACAAGTTGTTGATTAGGTTTTTTAACACGAAAAGAATAGTGGTAGACCTTGCTATATTATCATATTGAAATATTGTTTGTTTAGTTACTGTAAAAGCCTTCTTACTGTACCTTTCTTACTTTAGGTACGCAAAGAAAGCCCAGAGAATCAAACAAATCCTTCGGAATCAGATTCCCTCGCCAAAAGATCGACTGGTAAATGCGTTTACAATGTTGGAGACCCTTAATGGACAACTTCCCGAGCTACTGCCAGCTTCTGTTGAACTCTCAACCTTCCAGATGTACAACTTAGACGTCTACATTGCCTTCATCTTGTGTGTATTGTTGTCGTTATGGTCGATAGCAGGCATCTTCGCGGCGGTCGGTCGATGTTGTGATAGGTTGGGCAACAAGTTTAGGACAGTGTAAGTTATAGTTAATATCTTATTAGTGCCTTTAGGTAGATTTTCGTGGCTTTTGGGCATCTTTAGTATTATTTAGTATGTTTTTTGTCATGTTTTCACGGTACCAGCACTGTAAAGACAAATAGATGTATTATTATTGTAAAGTAATGAAAAATATAATATGTAAACTTGTTACAGTAAGCCAAACGAACACGAAGCGGCGCTTCTCAACGACCACCCTGAACCTTAACTTACAAGAATTTACTATGTAAAGGCAATATCATTTTATAACACTTTAAGACTCTTTCACCGCGATCTCTACCTTATTTTAGTATCTTCAGGTTTATTAGTTAATAAATGCGAAACTTTTAAAGTTTTGATGATTACTATAGTCTGTTAAGGCCTCTTTGGTTACAAAATGGCATTGGTCTGTTGTGGATATTTTTTAGGGGTCCAGGCTGTAAAATAAGGTTAATTTATGTATACGTTTGCTAATGCTGATTGAGGTTATAGCCAGGGACATCGTTTGGGGGGTGGTTTGGGGTGACTCCCAGAGCCGATCCAAAAAAAAATCCACAGGTAGGTACCTGTACGTGAAAAAAACGAAAAAAAAATTCCAGTGGACCAAAAAAATTTTTTTACTAGGATTATTGTAGCATAAAAGGCTTTATACTGATATGAACTTACGAAATTTGTTGTCCACACAAGTAACCTCCGTCAACGACCAAGATGGAGCCGGTGATGTAGCTGGCTTCCGAACTACTGACGAAAGCAATAAGAGAAGCTACTTCTGATGGGGCCCCTGGGCGTTTTAGGGGTACCATGGAGCCGTACTTTACAAATATTTCATTTACAGCTTCTTTCAGTTCAGGGGCTTCGTGCCTAGCCAGGAAGTCAGTCTGGATCGGGCCGGGGCTGAAAATTCACATTTTCTCTTGTGTTAGTGGGTGATTATTACAAATAATGAAAATTTTACTTTTACTGTATGATAAACAGTAAAAGTAAATTCATCTGTGATGGTGGGCAAACTATTTATGACAGCACTGAACTCTCAATAGTTCACGAGCATTTTTTCTCAGCCTTGACAGCATCATCTTACCTTACAACATTCATTCTCACACCCTGTTCGGCAAAGTTGATGGCAGCACTTCTTGTATAGTGATCCAGAGCAGCTTTTGTCATAGCATAAGGAACCAGCACGGCTTGGCCTCGTTGGCCACCAACAGACGAGATATTGACAATATTACCTTTGGTCTTGGCCAAATGTGGTAGAGCTAGTTCGTTCAGTCGGTACACGCTAAAAAGTTTTATATTTTACATATGATTGTCAATATGGTGTTATAATAATATTATGGCAAATTATAAAATAACTTATGGTATATTAAGTTTGTGATCCAAATTGAATCATAACGTATGTTAAGCCTTACCTTCTAACATTGACCTGGTAGATAAAGTCCAAGTTGGTGATGCTGTTCCTATCAGGGTCAGTGCTGTTGTGAGAGACGGCAGCATTGTTAATGAGGACGTCGACTTGACCGAACTTGGCCAAAGTCTCGTTGATAAGAGCATCTTGTGTCTTTTCTTTTTGAATTGGCCCAGTTACGACCAGGATTCTGCTTTCTGGTACACCTTCTGACTTTAATGCTGACACTGTTTCCTAAAGAATTAGTTTTGGTCGAAAAGTACGTAGAAATAATAAAATTTTGATTTTTTTTAGTTTTTGTCGATTTTATTTTATCAGCTTATCATTTTTGTTTTATTTAGAATTCTGTTTAATTTTTGACCTATGTAAATAGTAAAATAGTTTTTTTTGGCAATTAAAAGTGACATACCTCTAACTTTTCCTTTCTCTGTCCATGTACAACAACATTAGCTCCACGTTTGCCCAGTAGCAGTACCGTTTCTCTTCCGATTCCAGAGCTGGAGCCTGTCACGATGACAGTCTTACCTTCGAAGCTAGCCATCTTCAACAGCATGGTTAATACACGGTAAATTTTTTGCTTGTCACGATGAAATTACAATATATATAGGCAACTCTACGCGATATCTACCTTACATGATAACATTACTACATAAATTGGCTGCTGCGTTATTATATGGTTTACGCGATTACATTACTGTGAAAATATTAAAAAAAGGTCAAAAATAATTAAAAGTAATTAACGAATCGTATACAAAAAACATTGTCATATAAGACTGTTGTAAAAATAACAGAAATTACTGTGGTATAAATATTATGAATAGTAGTAACGCATTACTGATAAATTGTCATTTGTGTCTATCTACAATTGACAATATTTTTAAAAAACTAAATTTTAAAAGTGACAAAAATAAACAAATTTATCAGATTGATTAACTTTGTAATTCGGACTCTTAGTCGCTTGTCACTTGTATGTATATATGTTGATCTTATCAGTTCTGTGACCCTCTCTAATTTAGTGTCGTATAATCGAAAAGTAAACATTTTACTTCAAACTACAGGATTCTCGTTCCAATTAACGTTATCTTCGTATCTTGAAGACAAATCTGTCATAAACTACAGTTTTATAATGTTTATATAGTTAATCAGGTACATGTGTTTAAGTATATTATAAGTAAGAATATATGTCAACAGTAATCGTTTTAAAACAGTATGATAGTTTCAACTTTAAAGTAATGTCCAATATATACAGATATAAGAAATGTTTTACATTATGTGCAATAAAAGTTGTTATATACACATATTTTAATGATATATCCATTTTAAACGATATATATTGATATACATGTAAATGATATATCTAACAATAAGAAAGAAGCAGACAATGTTCAGTAAAAAACTATTGATCACTCGCAGGACAAGAAGTAGTGTTAACAACAGTACTCATGGAAGAATGGAAAAAGTTTCTGCACAAAACTTTCTTTACAAAGTCTCGGTAAGGACTGATAATGAGCAGAGTGACAAGAGAGTTGAAAGCTGGTATCAGGCTGATGGCTATCATGAACACCGTGATCTCCTGATTTATCGTGATTTTGAAGAAAAGAGGTACCACCATCACCAAGATGGGTATGATTGACACAAACAGTGGGGCTATGTTCTGGAATGGCATTTTAAATTTAAAATTCTATATTTTATATACGGTAAAAAACAAACCTTCAAGTTTTTGCAAAATATTGTAGTAAGACGTTTTAGTTTCTTGTACTAGATGCCCTTACACTACAATATTCAGCCACTTACCTGAAACAAGAGACACTTGGACAACTTCTGATGTAAGAGTTTCGTTTTCTTCGAGTAGATATGATCAAAGTCACGTAGATGATTGACTGACATATACGCAAATAGAATGGAAAACGTATACGATGCAGACACGGTAATAGTCGATATCACATAGTAAAGCTTTTGGTAGATATGTTGCTGAAAAGAAACTTTATTTATCTCGCAGGGTATATAGGTTTCAAGTGGAGCTACAGAACAAGGAATGGTGAATTAAAATAAATTTTAAAATTATTTTTTTTATTTGGAATGTTATTTTACAAAACATACCACATCAACCACAAGAAGTGCTGGCAAAGGGTACTCTTTGTACCATAAAGTACCATAATTAAAACCTGGTCGTATTTCGGTTGAATGTTTAAATGCCATATACCCAATAACTCCTGACGGCGCTGCAGCTACTACAGCCAACATAAAAACAATTATTGTATGAAGGGTGCTTAGAGGTTTACTGTAAAAAAGTTAAATTATACACTAAATATTGTAGCACATTACAATTATAAATCAATATCAAAATTTAAATAATTTAAAAAAATAAAAATATTTTTTAATTTCAAAATTAAGTTTCTAGCCTTTCAATAATGACAAGACTAATTATAGTATATGTTTTAAAAAACGTACTATCTCAAAGTATGATATCTGTAGTATCCTTGAGCAGCAAGCGTAGTATGTGTGAGCACAAGAGTAGTAATGTAAACACCAGTAAGTATCATCTGATGTTCGTATGACAAATATTTGCCAATGCCATTTAGAGATATGAGGAAAACGCCGTCAATCTGACGACTTTTCTGAAAACATGTCATTAAACCGATGTGGTAAGGACCAAAAATGTTTTATCCAAGACTATATTACAGTTCAATAGACAGAATTTATTTATTTTACAGAGTAATGACAAAATACATTCTCACAACCAATATAACAAGCCATTTACCTGATGTAGAGTATGATCAATCATCCAGTAGAAGATGTCAGCTACACAACACATTACCAACATCCTACTGTAAGGTTTGAAACTACCGGTAGTTTGATACAGTACAAGATACAGTAATGTAAAGGACATGATACCACCAAATACCAAAGCCAAATTGAAGATGATACTACAAACGAAGTTGAACTTTGCTAACTCGTCGTATGGTAAGGTTACGTTACCGTATTCGTCTGTTTCGTTCAAAAAATTCCAAACATGTGGATTCTGATTTCTCATCGTCAGATTCTAAAAATGTTGATTTAAAATATCAAAAAGCTTTCAAATGATCTATTTACCACACCGAATAGATAAAAAAAACTCAGTCGGTTCAAATAGGTAATACCTAAATACAAAAATGTACGTATACGCTAGTTAAACTTTTGAACATAAGGTAAAATGCCTGTGCATGAAATAATTATAGAGTTCTAAAGTATCTTTAGATTCGTTTTTTTGTTAAATATATTAATCAAGATGTATAATTATATGAAAAACAAAACTTTTTTATTGCGGTAATGTATCCTAATATAAACTTATAAACTCTAAAGTAAAGTAAAACTCCTGTACAGCAAACTCCTTTATGACGAAAGTCCCGCATAACAAACACCTTTTAAATCGTCTTATATCACTACAAAAAACATCTTCGGCTCAAACTAAAAGATGTAATTTGAATTATTATACTATTATTTAAAGGTATACTTTCTGCCAGCTCATGCCAGAGGCATTTTTAAGAATCTTTCTAAAGCAAACAAAGACATCAAAAGCTAGCTACGATTAGACAAGAAGAACGGGCCGGGCCTGATTAAATTGAAAAACGGATCATGAAAAGTAAGCCCGGTCCGATTCCAAGGGTAGGTGCGATCAGTGCTGGGTGGTGACTTTTAGCCTGGGGGCGGGGGTCAAAAAAATCGGCACAGGTAGCTGTGCCGATTTTTTGCGAAAATTTTTTTTCAGAAATCCACAGGGGGGGGCCACGTTCAACTTTTTTCGAAAATTTTTTTCTGAAGGCGAAACGTGGGAGGTCGATGAGTACCGTACACGCCAGTACTGTAACCCACTTACAATTTGAAAGTTGGAAAACAATGTCTTAGACTAAAAATAAACTGGTTTTACTACGTGTGGAGATATAAGTTATTTGATTACAAAGAACACAATATCAAGTACTAACAAGCACAAGACAGATGAGTAATGCATAGTATGAGTTTAGTATGTGTACTGACAACGTACAAAACGTTATTGTTATGAAAATGACTTTTGAGCGCATAAAAACCGTAGACTAAAATACAAAAGTAGTTGTTAACAAGCTTGTCTTTTACTTTTAGTTAAAAATACCGAAGGCGTTTTTTTGCGAGGAGGAGATGAAAGGTAGAGGAAAGAAAGGATGGGGAGAGGGGGAGGGGGGGGAAGAGGGTGAGGGTTTCATTAAATTAATCGTGGAGTACAAGAAGGAACGTGAAGTCATTTAACAAGGTGGTACTACTCACAACTACTCTATAATGAAAACTAAAAATTTTAAAAAGTCACTTCTTTGCCCATTCACCTTATCCCACTACTTTTCAGAGTCATACCTCGTCTCCCCCCTCCCTCTATTACCTTCTTTTTTCACAAAAACTCCGTATTACCTAGTACTGGACACTTGTAGTACTAACAAGCAGTCACTTTGTATCCAAAACATTTTTTAATTTCAAAAGAAGAGACACAGTTCATGCTGTAGTAAAGAAACTTATATGACATGATAGGCCATGGTTGATGTATAAAACATATGACAGTACAAAAAACAGTATCGTCCTTGAACTTTTAAGTGAACTAAAATTACAAAAATAAGGCTAAACTTCGTACTGAGAATGTAAAATGTTTATGGGTTTATCAATTAACATTTTGAGTAAACAATCAACTTGTAATTCTCATATAACACGCAAAAGCACTACTGTGTAACTTGGCTCTTTTACATTGTTTTGGCACAAAATTGTTACAAAATCAGTGCTGTGAGTTCAATTTCAACCATACCTACATTTCAAAAGATACGACAGTTTTAAGTAGGTACTTTGGTACTTTAGAAAGCAACATTAAAGTTGTTAATGTTTGTCATTGGACAAGAACAATAAGTTGACTACTGTATAAATATTATACAATCATATATCTTCTACAAAAATGACATTATAAGGCTAACAAAACTTAAAATATTAATATTTGCTTACAAATAAGGCTTTTGTCATAGTAACATGCCTTTATTATGCCAAACGTAGTTTTTGAGATTACTATTCTTATCATAACAACAGCATCTTTTACTGAATTTTAATTATAAATTTTCATCAAATAAGTAAATACTCTAAGATGACGTTACTTATGAGTACAATACTTTGCAGACAACTCAACTTTGATAAAACTTCAAATTTGACTTTTAAAATTAAAAAAAAAATTAAAAATTAAAAAATAATGCATAAAAATGTATATCTATGGGTTGAAACAACTTTCTTTTTCAATTTTACAACTTAAACTATGTATGCTTTTTATTAAATGCAAAGTCAAATTTTTATTATGCTTAATTGGCCATTTGCGGCAGTAAACAAATTATCAATTTCTATGTTTTGACATGCTTCAATGATTCATTAATTCTACAGTATGCCGTTTTTGCTTAATCGTTTTTGTAAATAAATAAAAAAGTACTACATACAACATCAGTAAATTAAAGTTTAAAATTGTTTCTTATCTCCTATACTTATACTTCGTTTGCCTAAAATGACGTTCTTATTTGGAGCGGTCACTCTTCGAAAAAGCTTTTCCTCTTTCGGCCGAAAGAAGCTGGCATTAGAGCTTGTTTTGCACTTTTTTCTTGCACTTTATCGATTTTGTTACAAGTCCAATATTATTTATTAAAAACTATTAAAAACGTATTTTAGGCTCAAATATGCACTCCTTTTTGTATATATTGATAATGGCACCAGCTTTGGTAGTGTCCCGAGGCGGCATGGGTGGAGGGGCTCGTGGCATCAGTATAGCTCGAGTTGGAGGATTTCGCAGTAGTGGACGGTTTCTAAGAGGGTACAGTACTTTATACTATAAAGAATTACTGTCCTAAAATTAATTGTTGAAACTCTTAAACAGTTTTATTTCTTTTGATTTCAGAGGATACAGTACCAGACCGTTGGGTGGAACAACAAGGTTGTTCTTTTTTATGTCACCTTTGGAACGCCAAACAGCTTTGTAAGTTTCAAATTTAGTTATCAAGTCAGTATTATAAAGATGCATGCTTGCATTACCATAATATTAATTTCAGAACAAGGTGTATAAGAGAAAAGAGAGCTGAAGAAAGTAACGCCACTTTGATGCTACACAACGCCAGGAATCTGACAGAATCGGAAGCAGAAGCTAGTTGCAAACAAGAACTAAATTCGCTCAAAAACCTTGAAATATACTTCTTCCTTTGTTTCTTCGGTCCACTAATATTCTCACTATCGTTGTCTGTGAGTTGCATTCCAATTGCCATAATTCATCATATGCAAAAAGATTACTGTTATCGACCACCGAAAAAACCACTAATATTAGCACCACCTTTTACTATACCTCCGTCGGAGATGGTTTCAATAGCGAATTACATTGGACTTAGCAGAGACAAGGAAGACAAGAAAGATGGTAAATTTAAAGAAGATGATAGAAACAGTAAAATAATGTCAAATCGTGCCACTTCTGATAAAACACAATGGGTGTCTATATACGATCCAGAGATACAAAGTCTTCTTTTAGACCAATATTAAACTATTTCTTTTTAAATGTTAATTTATTACCATACCTCACTCTACCAAAATACTTGTAAGTTTTACTAAATTTTAATGTAAAATAAAATTTAAGTTTCAAAGCTTGAAGTGACGTAAAACAATCAGATCTTACAGTTTCAAACTAAACATTCACAGTGCCTCGGGGTTTTTAGTTGAAGAGACTTTAAAGTCGCAAACCCCGAAGATATCATACAGTTAAAATATCAAGGTAGAAAAAAAATTGTTCCAAAGCCTAAAGTAACATAAAACTACTATCTGCATACTTTACTGTAATATTGTCGTATATGAAGAAATAATAAATTTTTTAGATAGGTTTATGTGCTATTGTAATTAAGCTATAGTAAATACGTCACCTGTAAACTTCTTTTCTACCTCTCGCCTTATAAAAGGGCATTTTAACTTTTTTCGAAATTCTTGTTGTTGTTTTTTAAGAATTTGGTAATGTTAAACATGAATCTAAGTTTTTCAGCAATACCAACGATTTTTTATATTATTATTAACGACTACTTACTCAATAAAAGAATGATGTACTACATACTTATATTGATCACGATACCTACTTTAGCACTGTCCCGAGGTGGCCGAGGAATAGGACTTCACAAAAGTGGAAAGTTCTTAGGAGGGTACGATAACTATTAAAATAATTTTTAAATTTAAAATTATATCGAGTATTTTGACAGTTTAAACGACTGATTCAAAACTAAAAGTATATATAAGTATTGCTAGTTTGTGTACTTTTAGTGGCTACAGTAGCCGAAGACTAGGTGGCAGTGCATGGCCTTACATTCTTATGACATCTTCAGAACGGCAATCTGCTTTGTAAGTATTTTGATAACCATTTGGGTCACAAATCCTATCTTTATCATCTTATATACAATAATAAGACCCAATTCAGAGAAAAGTGTGTAAAAGAGACGATAGCTGAAGAAAGTGATGTCACTCTGATGTTGGACAACGCCAGGAATTTGACAGTATCAGAAGCCGAAACGAGTTGTACTCAAGAGCAAAGTAGTGCTTATACAGATGAACTAACTTTTGTAATGCTGCTAACAATAGCAATAATACTAATGATTCTTTTTAATCCTGGTTTGAAAGCGGTGAATAGATTGAAGGTTCACTGTAGCAAATGTGGTAATAAAAGTCATGACCGACTTTCATTACACCAAGATGACTCTGCTCAATCTAGAACTAACGTTTAGAAGAGCTCGAGATTGGGAAGATGAATAATATTCGTGTAGCAAAATTGCATATTAATTACAAAACAAGATAAAAAGTTATTTTCATTTTTATTTTAATTTACCTTATTAAAAAATGGTCAGATTTAATAAACTTATTGCAGTATAGTAAGTACGTCACGTCAGAAGTTATCTTTTCTTTTTGAATACTTATCTCTGAAATATTTGTTGTTTCCTAAAAATCGATAATTTTTAGCTGCTTTTTATATATTGATTTTACTGCTAATAATAGCGCTAGCTTACTTGTTGCAAAAGTAGAAGTATTACTATAACGTTTGATAGTTTGACGCAAATTGGTAAGAAATTTTAAAATCTTTTTATGTAAAACAGTAAATTTATATAGCAAAGAAGGTCTAGCTTTCCAGGGTACCCTATAAAATGTCATTCTTTTTTTCGCTTTTTCAAAAAGGTCGTCGTATAGGCTTTATTTACTGTGCTATCGTCGTATCTTTTTTCTTTTTTTGTCGTATCTTTTTTCTCGTTAACCGCTTTCCTAAACTCTTGCTATGGACGCCATAGTCTATTAATAGAATTGTATACATTTACGTAAAACTGTATTTATACTTTATAAGTGACACGTTTTATTAGTTATACATGAGACCTGTGATTGTCTTTATTCTTTTAAGTTTTGAAACTTCTTATAGAAAGTAGTAATGAAATAAACATAAACATTTTGAGCGTGCTGTAGCATCTGTTTACGTCACGTGTGACGTCTTTTTCTCGTCGCGGTCACTTTCGAAAATTCTTTTTCGGCCGAAAGAGCGGCATTCGAGCTTTTTTTTGCGAGTTTTTTGTTGTTTTTGCTTATTTCTAAATAGATGCCAATTCAAAACATGAGTTTTGAGTAATTTGTGATGTTTAAGCGGTAGTAATGATTGTTAATATGCAGAGTAATTGTGAAAAGTTAAAATGAAGTACTACTTATACATACTGATTATGATACCAACAATAGTGCTATCTCGAGGTGGAATGGGTGGAGGCTTTGCCAGAGGTATAAGTGGAGCTCGGAGTGCTGGCAGAGGAGGTGGATTTCACACTAGCGGACGCTTTTTAGGAGGGTAGGATATCTTTGATAAAATAGCTAATAAAAACAATTTTAAAAAATTAAAATTTTTGTGATTTTAGTGGGTACAGTAGTCGACATTTGGGTGGAAGTTCATACCCATATGTGATTATGACATCTTCACAACGGCACACCGCTTTGTAAGTTTCTGAATGTTATAATCAGAGTACCAAAATTATCTTTTAAACTTACAATACGATCTATTTCTTTTATATTATACTTCAGAAGAACTTGTGTAAAAGAAAAGATAGCTGAAGAACGGAACGTCACTCTGATGCTACACAACGCCAGGAATCTGACAGAATCTGAAGCCGAAACGAGTTGTGAAAAAGAACAACGTGATCAACGAAATAACGAAATATTATTTTTGGTTCTATTTTTATCATTGTTATCACTCTTGTTTTTGCATGATCCAGTAATGAGATTGGTAGAGAAGTACGATGCTTACCGTGCGGAACGGCGTAGAAACAAACAAGATCAAGTGGCGGCACAACAAGTCGATAAGTGGAAGAAGGTCACAGCGTTTAAACAGATTCCAGCTGTAGAAGAAGATCTGAAGATGGGTAGTATCAAGTCTGCAGGACCCAAATCGACGCCTATGTGCAAGGAGTAGATACTTAATATTATTTTTATTTTATAGTATGATATAATTGTTGTTTTTTTAATACCTTGTGTCTTGCCTCACATCGTTTTATCACTGTCTGTATATCAACTTGAACAAAATTATTGTGGATCACAATAAATAATAAAAAAACTTAAAAATGGGTAACAAAACTAAAAAAAACAGGTTTATTTTCTGAGGCACATATGCCATTCTTTTTGTGATGAGCATTTCTTAAAAAGCTTTTCTTTTTCGGCAGTAAAGGCTGCGTTTTACGTTGTTTCAGAAACGCTATATGAATATTAAGGTAGATTGACTGATTGATTGGACTAATATTAAAGTTATTATACTTATTGTTACCTAAATTATTGATTTAAGCAACTTATATATTAAAATATAATAGTTTGAAGATAAAATGCAGTCCTTCTTGTACATATTGATCGCGGCATTTTTGCTAGTATGGCTAGTATCATCTCAATGTGGTGGTCGTTTTTTAATTGATCGAGGTGGTGGGGCACGTCGATCTGCTACTCCACGTTTCTTAGAAGGGTGGGTTGCCTTCCAATTTATTTTTTAAAAAACTTTAATTAATTTTTTTCAATTTAAATGTTTTTAAATTCATTAAAGGTCACTTTATTTATTTCAGTGGATATAGCAGTCGACCGTTGGGTGGTAGTACCAAACCTTACTTGTTTATGACATCTTTCCAAACTCAGGAAGCTTTGTAAGTCACTACTACTACATTATATGATATAATACGTTTGAATTAAGAAAACCTGTCGTAGGCGCTACGACCTTTACTTAACTTCAAACAGGATCAACTATTATAATACTAATTTAGGAACATATGTGTGAAGGAGACGATAGTTGAAGTAAGAAATGTAACTTTGATGTTGGACAAAGCCAGAAACCTGACAGAATCAGAAGCTGAAACTAATTGCGCAGGAGAACAACGTTGGGCACGTATCTTGGAAATAGTTGCATGCATTCTTATCTTTTTTATTATTGTCCATGGCATGGCATCAGTTGTTGTATTTGTTATAAGTTTTGTTCGACTTATGCGATTGAACAAAGCAGAAAGGGAAAGAAAGAGGGAAAAAGACATACAACTTGATGATTTTAAAGGGACAAAAAGGTTGCCATATCAAAAAGAAGAGACAAAGATAAGCCTGAAGAAGTTAGTGTGTAATCTGAAGGATTGTAAAAGCAAATCAGGAGAATAAAGACGACTAAACATGGGTATCTATATTCAGATCAGAAATGTTTAATCTCTTTTTGAAAAAGTGTAGTTTGTAATTGATTTGTCCACTTTATCAGTAACTGTACCTCAAGTTTCACGTTTTTAACTTTGAACAATAACTCATTATGATAATAAATATTGTAGAAGTTTTGTCATTTTATCAAGGGTAAAATCGTTACAGATGACGTTCTTTTTTACTTATTGGAAAAGCTTTTTTTAGAAAAGAATGACGTTTCATTCTTTTCTGACCTGACCTCTTTTATGATATTGCTTTGCCATCCTTACTTAAATGATACTTTTGCTTCACCGAAAAGTAGTAATAAGATTGTTATAAATAAGTTCATTAAATGTTATTGAGTTCCGGAATTGGCCTCACTCAGTACGTATGAGTTTTTAATTGTTGAACAATGAAGTATTAAGGTAAGTTTGTCATGTTTCCAAGATACGAAATAATACAAAAACATGATATTATCCTGTATTACCATATTGGTTGTTATCTTGGCTGTAAGGATTGTTGTAGTTGCCGTATGGATTATAATTACTGCCTTAAGGACTGTAATTATTTCCCTTGATTACAGTAATTGCAATAGGTGTTGTATGGGTTACTGTACGGGTTATACGGACTTTGTTTGTAGTAGGGATTACTGTAGGGGTTCTTGTTGTTATATGGATTACTGTAGGGATTTTGGTTGTAAGGACTACTGTAAGGGTTGCCATTAGGATTACTGTATGGATTTCCGTTGTTGTTTGGATTAATGTATGGATTTTGATTATACGGTTGACTGTAAGGGTTGTATTGTTGACCATTTGGACCGTAATATGGATTGTAGTTCCGTCTATTTTGATTAAACTGCCCGTTATTGTAGCCGTTGTTGTAGTAGGGGCCGTTTGGTGGAATTTCATTTTGTTGGTCTGGTGCTGTAATTGTACAGTATTATAGGTTTTTAACGTAAAATACGAGGTGAAATACATAGGTAATTTTGAGGTTTTCTATTACCAGTATACGCTCAGGAAGTAAGATTTAATTCTTATTATATATACGATAATATACATACATTTTGTTCTACTGAACCCGATTCTGCATTTTTGAATGTCATGTACTTGACAGTACGATCTTATCCATGGTTCTCCTAAAAACACGTACTCGCTCTTGGACGAACAACTGACTGCCAATCTACACATATCACTGCCTTCGGCCTTCGTATCTTCAGCGTTTAACGGAATCAGAAGTTCTTTTGTGTTGATTGGGAACTCTTGTTGATCTATGGCTACAGCAAAGTAAGTAGTGGTATTACAGGGCAAGATGTAGGTGTTCTGAAATTTGATCATTTTTATTTTGAGAAGAAATGTTTTTAATATGAACATTTTTAGAAGGCATAATATATAAGAATATGTTATATTATGATAACACTGTAACTTACATCCCGAATCTTTTTAGGCTTTAAATCCCCAATAACATTGTTACACAATGCCGTAGGTAATACGATATTGGTAGTACCACTATCACTGACAACAGCCGTATTAAACAAATGCACGTTGTTGTTGATCTTAAGCCCATTCGCTCTAAACACCCATCCAGGGTTACGGTAATCAACAGAAGTCCAGTGAATGAAACTGTCACAATTCTGTCGATCCACATCTCCAAACGTTATCTTACCACTCTTGCGACACTTGGTACTGTTACATCGGTTCATGTGGATGGTGAAGATTGGATTGTTGAAGAGACCTTCGTAGTAGGCCTGATGGAAGATGGACTTGTGGACATTGCCATAGGGGTTGTAGTAGTCCTGGGAGGGCAGGCCAAAGATGGCATCGTCACTGTACTCAATTTCTGTAGCAAGACCGAAGTGGACTTTGGAACGGACTTTAAGGTTTTTGGTGTCTGGAGCACCGAACTAGAATTGAAAATGTTATTTTAGGTAACAATGGCTTCTTCAATATATCAAAAAATTACAGTACACTCACCGCCAATAAGTCGCCAAAAACCCATCCCTTGGCCTTCCCAGCACCGTACTTCTCTTCGAATGTGTATGTTGTGTTAGAGGCAGTAGTCGATTTTCGGAAACTGAACAAATTAGATCCGGTTTTGCAATTATTGACCAGTACTCCGGTCGATTTACACTTGACTGATGGTACCCAAAGTATGGTACTACCAGTATCAAATATGACTCTGATGTTTTGAGGTGGAGTACCCAACGAGATTTGACCCATATAAACAGCATTTCTATGGTTGGTGAGATTGGCATTGTACACGTCATAGTAACGTTGAGGAGCTTTAATATCTTTTTTAATGTTAATTACGTATCATATATAAATTAATAGTAAAAATGGACAGTATGCAGTACTAAACATACAGTAAAAAAATACCTTGTTCAACCTCGGTCAACTCGATGTCAATGACATGACATGTTAATGTAGTTAGAGTGATAGAAAGCAAAAGCAATTGCTTCATTTTTCAAAACAAATAAACGTCAGCATTCTGAAAAAGTTACAAAACTACAATTGACTCAATATTTTAGTTGGCAGATGTTCAAATAGCGACAAACTCAAAAATAAAAATATATTTTGGATTTGAAATTTGAAAAAAGTGTTATAGCATAGTCTAGAAGACTTGATATGTCATAGAATAAAACATTATAAACTATAGGTTGTACAGTGAAATCTGTATATAGTTTGTTATAAAGAGGTTTTGTTATATAAAGGTGTCAGCACTGTTTAGTTTTCGCCGGGGATTCTAAAGTTGTTTTTATACAAAAAATCTAAAAAAATCGAAATGGAAAAATCCATTTTGAATTTTCCGCCAAATTGGCATTGTGTTTCAAACTTATAACTTTGTCATTTTCTGACTTTTAATCATTGTTCGTTAAATACTAATAGAAAACCTCTAAATGAACCTACACTTATAAATTTGTAAGTATAACTTGACTGGAAGTTAAAAAAAACTTGAAACACTATGCCAAGTTTGCCAAATTGGCGAGACACTCAAATATTGAAAAATTAAAGTTCAAAAGTGCAAAGTAAAAGTTGGTTTTTTATAGTTTATTTGGCCAGAAATAAAAGTTACAGCATACAACGTGATTATACTTCTTATACAACTTCACACAACAAGAATGTCATATTCATTCTGATGTCGTAACTTCTGAATCAAAATCTGTAACAGTAGTAGTTTCAGTTCCTGAAGTGACATCATCTTCTGTTGTTGTAGTTGTTTCCAATTCTGCGGTTGTAACATCAGTAATGTAAGTACTAGTAGTTGTGTCGGGGTTAAAAGTACTGTAAATACCAGTGGTCGTGTCAGAGTTGCTGTCAGTGGTTGTGTCAATGGAAGCGGTCGTAGTAGTATCAACAGAAGGTGTTAACAAGGTGGTATCCTTGCCGCCGTCGCAGAATCCACAGCTCTTTCTACAGTACTTGCCAGTAAAAAACCTGACACTTTCACAGTAATGATTTTCAGTGTACATGTCACACCTGAAGTTAGAAAAGACATAGTGTGCTACTTGAACTCTGACCTTAGTAGTTACAATTAAATCAACTTTTATAAAGGTTATATCATAGTATAACAAAGCTATTATAAGATAGTACAATAAAGGTATTTACTGTAATATAATACAACTTACGCCCAGGACAAATCTTCACAAACATCGCACAGATTACAAGTCTTGCGACAAGTAGAGTGCAAGAACATCTTCATGTTAGGGTCGCCACATCTGTTCTTCATTAGGTGACATATCATGCCTTCATCTCTACACTTGTTGTCATCAAATTGACCGTTTACAGAAGTTACAGTAAGAAGAGCAGATACGACTACCAAGGCGAACATTGTGGATGTTATAGTAGAACAAGAAAGAAATGATCCAAGATTACTGTAACTGTTTCAGATATCAATGTTATAGTATTCAGCTTAGATTACCGTAGTAACTTCAGAATACTGTAGACGTTGTAGATGAGATTTCGATAGATTACTTGATATATATACCTTTAATTAAACGTAAATCTTGACAAACAATGCTGTTTGACCACCTGTCAGAATCCACATGATATCAGCAGACGTAGGTGTCGAACTGAGTAATCCTCTAATTTTAGATATACATCATTTAGATGTTATCCTATTTTTGTAGTTTTAAATAAAGATCAAGCATATGACAAAACTGAATGAATATTTTATTTCAACAAACAATGGTTACAGTTAACCTCACAATCAATGATTTTAACTATGGTTACACTGATAAACATAAAAAACATCAACACAAGTGACTTAGGTAGTTGTAGTTTGTATACCAGATGTTGTAGTAGTATCGGAAGCAGTTGTACTCTCTGTAGTATTAGAAGGAGTCGTGATTGTCGTGTCCGTAGTAGTTGTTGACGCGGTTGTTGTAGTAGAAACAGTGGTAGTATCTACCGTATTTGTTGATGTAGGTGTAGTATCAGTAGTCGATGTTGTGGAAAATGTAGTACTTGTAGTAGTTGACGCCGTGGTTGGTGTAGTTGGCGTAGTAGTCGCGCTGGAACTAGTAGTGGTCAAAGTGGTGGTAGTGGTAGCCGTTGTAGTAGTTGTAGGAGTTGTAGTTGTGGTTGATACAGTAGTGCTAGTCGTGGTAGCGGTGGTAGTACTAGTTGAAGTCGTACTAGTGGTTGTAGTACTAGTAGGTGTGGTCGTAGTAGTCGTACTAGTGGTAGTAGTACTAGTAGTTGTAGTCGCATTAGTAGTTGTAGGAGTTGTAGTTGGTACAGTAGTGGTAGTCGTGGTAGCGGTGGTAGTACTAGTGGTAGCAGTACTAGTAGTCGTAGCCGCTGTAGTCGTACTAGTGGTAGCAGCACTAGTAGTCGTAGCCACAGTAGGCGTACTAGTAGTAGTAGTACTAGTAGTTGTGGTCGTAGTAGTAGTCGTTGTTTTTTCATTGCCATCACAGAATCCACAGGTTTTTCTACAGTATTTGGAAGTCAAGTAACTCATACGTTGACAGATATTGTTGTTTTTGTAAAAGGAACATCTAAAAACAAAACAATGACAATATAATACATCCTTAATATGTTAACTTAACAAGTGTTATTACCCTCCTACTTTAGGCTACATAAAATGGTGTAGAATCAGAAGCTTAAAACTGTCAACAACAGTAAAAGTATATTATAACAAGTACCAGAATCAAAAAAAAACATACAAAACAGAAGTATCTTCGCAAACGTTGCACAAATCGCAGGTTTTGCGACAATTTGCTTGAACGAACGCCTCCAGAAGCGAATTGTGACACTTGTTCTTGTACAAACTACAGTAATTGCACTGATCTCGACATTGATCGTTCTGGCCGTTGATTCCATAAACAGAAAGAGCAAGAGTTACAGCCAGGATTTTGAACATAACCATTGTTAATACACTAGATCAAAGCTGCAGCTTCAGACTTGTGGAGAATAAAAAGGTAGAGGTAATATGTCAACATTTTACCTCGTATTTATACTAAAACAGCATGTAAATCTTGACAAAAACATGTATGAACATCTGCGAAACAATAAGGGAGGTGTTGAACATTGTTAATTTTAGATGTTCATCCCTCAAGTTTTGTTGTTTTAGTCAATATTTGTAGTATCGAGTCGATTATGATTAAAATACGTATTTCAACATCAGCAAACACGTCTTCTGTCAATATCCAACCCGAAAAGAGCACAATGGATTCGAAGTTTGTCTGTTTTGAACCGGAAATTGAAAGTAAAACATGATTATGAGAAGAGTAACATCAAAATGCATATATTTTTTAAATTTTAATCCTTAACTCATTAATTTACTCTTTAAATTATAAACTTTATGACAAAGATTTATCTATTTTTCTCTTTTTTCTTCAAAATTTTATTTGTAACACAATTTCGCCTTGAGCTATTCTTTTCCCGGTTTGGGCGACAAGTTATACGAAGGGATTTATTTTTCGTGGGAATTTCCTTTCTTCGGAATTTTTGAAGTTTTCTTGATGTTCTTCGACTTTCCTGTGGTTTCATTGTGAAAGTTTTATAATTTATCTTTGTTTTATGATATCTTCGATGTTATTTTAGGCTTGTCTTAATTATATTTTGAGTTTTAGGGAAGATGGATGAACAACCAGGACCATCGAACCAACCAGGTACAAATCAACAAAGACCACCAAGGCAAATACCATCGAATGAACAAGAGCCACCGAATCCACAAGGACCAACAACTCGAACACGGTCTCGAAGTCGACTTAGAACTTCAAATAGGATCGCGCCATCGAATCAGCCTGAAACAGATGATCAAGGGCCTTCAAATCAACCAGGACCTTCAAGTGAGCCGGGATCGTCAACTCAAGAAGCACTAGCAGTTCGACGGCCTCGCAGTCGACCAGCACCTTTATTTCGGAAGCCGCGTGGTGCCCGTGTTGAACCGGGACCGCCAAGTCAACGAGGACCGTCAAATCAACCTGGTTTTGATCGGGAACATCCAGCAGTAAGAGACCTAGAACGTGAACTAAATGCATCGAGTCGATCGTTGTCTCCGCCCTCACCAGAAGTCCGTATATCATTAAGAGATGTCCAACCGAATGCTGAAGCAGTTCCTGAACAAAATGCTGGACCAGGTGATAGACCAGATCGAGGTATAGAAGCAAATCTTGGACAAAATGCGCAATTAGATGCTCAACCAAGTCTTGAAGAAGATTCTGGTGCTTATTCATGTCCCGATGCAGATGCTGGGCTAAACATTCAACCAGATGTTCAACCAAATCCCGAACAGGCTGCTCGAGGAGATGCAGGTGAAGAAGATCTTGGACAAGTTGCTCGACCAGATGCTCAACCAAATATGGAAGAAGATGCTGGAATAAATCTCGACCAGAATATGGAATTAGATGCCCCAGCTCCTGTAGATCGCGCTCCTATTCCTGAAGGAGGTTCTAGAGAAGTTTCGGGTCTCGAAGCAAATGCTGGAGCAGATCCTGGACAAAACATTCGACCAGATACTCAACCAGATGATGGAGGAGACCCGGATTCAGATCCAGAAGAACCTGTAGCAGGCAGATCGCCACAACTTCCACCGTTGGACTACGAAGCTGCTTGTCACAATTGTTTTATCTTCCGACTCCCGAAGGAATCCTGGAATACGGCTTATATATAGTAAGTTAATGTATTTGTTTGTTTTATGGGATTTTTAGTAGATTTGGTTTTCATTATTGTAGGTAGAACTTTTTTATTTTAAAAATTGGGGTCTGAATAGGAGTTTTTTAGGTAATATTATTTTTTGCAGAGGTTTTTGAGTGAAACGTGTCATTATTGTTATCTATAGGTTTGGTTTACTTGTGTAATTTTTAAATTTTATTTTAAGTAATTGATTTTCAGTGCCAATCAAAGGGTTTACAGTGAAGATTTGCGTGATGATGATTCCTACATGTGGTTACGTTTTGGAGCCAATACAACTCGTTACTGCTATTTGTTTGAGGATTTTGTGGTGTTGTTGGACTTTGACTTTGATAAGATTGACGATAAAGAAAACTACATGTTGAGGATCTTTGAAGTCGACTATCCTAAGGAAAGGATCTACGATGTTCGTATTTTCGACACTGGCAAGAAACTGGCATTGCATATTACAAAAGATGAGGGACAACATGTTCGTATCTACGAAGTGGACGCTAATTACTGAAGTAGAGACACGCAACTCCACAAGCAGAAGTACGTCACGGGTTTCACGGACAAAGTGAACGGTAAAGTGGTAGACTTGTTGAACATGAAAGGTATGGACACGGATGGGAAGCCTTATCGATCTGGAGGCGATGGTGATTCGAACAGGTTTATTTGGACATCGGAGGAAGTAAATGAAGATCGTCAGGCGGTACGTTGTTTGTTGTGAGTTTGAAGTTTGGTTGACTGAACTAGTAATGTTATTTAAAGTTATAACAAATTATATTTTATTTTTTCTAATGAATTTTTAAGGTAAATCTTTCAAATATTTTTTAAAAATTGTTTTTAATTAATCTTCTGCGGAAACTGTTATTCTCATATCAATTGACTCATATGTATAAGTGTTTTATATTTTGTGATTCTATTATCCAAATGATTTGACGTATTTCTAGAATACAGAACGAATTCGCATCTACGAAGCAGCAACTGGCCGGGTTCTGTCGAATATTAGGTCTAACGTCTTGCCACATGCAGAAATAAGTCTTCTTCCACGTTCAAGGACGATATGGATAAGTAAGTTGGATTCAACTGATCTCTGCGATCTTTTATTTGTTGCAGTATTATGTTAGTTCTTGTAATATTGTAGACTATGTTTGTTGCTTGTAATATTGTAAAGTAGATATCTTATTATGGTAGATTTATTGTATATTTTAGATGAAATGATTTCTAATAATCAATATCGTGATAAGTATGCTTGGTATCGAATTCCTCGAGCTCTTAAGTTTAATGGTAAATTAGTAAGGCCGACCAACGAGATTAAAAGTAAGTTATTTTTTACATCATTGTAAGTAAATATTATTGTAATTTGTGATTGACACATTTCTCATGTTTAACTTCATATAGGGAATTGTAAAATCAACGATCACTTTTGCACTTCTCAATGGAGACCTGTCACAGACTACCTACTTCAGAATTGGCTTAATGGTGAGGTAAGTGATGTTGCGGTATATTATTGTCTCTAGTAATCTAGTTAAAACCTTTGTTGTATTTTTAATATTCAGCTTTTCATTGGATGGTAATTATGAGTAGTAGAGTGGTTTTTTTTCAAGTGCCAGACTTCCTAACTACATTAATATTGGTTTTAGCTTTGTGTTTACGATGAAAGATTTGAGGTTTGGAGTGACAGAGATCCATCGTTTACTGTTCAACGTGTTGGAAGAAGACTGCACAAACGAATCAAACAGTTAAGGTCTCACAGCCTTGGGGACAAACATGCCATAGTCTCTGAGAATAGTCTTCGGGTGGACGAGATGAAGAAGACAATGTTCATGTTGGAAGTAAATAATGGTACGTGTTTTTATATACTGTTAAAGGTTAAGTTCTAATTCTTTTGGTTGTAGTTTTTATAAATTGTAAGGTTTGGGTCAATGAGTACCGAGATTTTTTTAGTATATAGAGTTGTGTTACGTTTCAGGTTTTTCTGAGATGGATTTTATACTATAATGTTGTAATATTTATATTATTGGTTTTACGTGTTTAATGGTCTTAAGAATTGGTATCATAATTATTGATACATGGTTAATATAACTTCTTGTTTCAGGACAAGTAATTGCAAGAGATATTGGCAATTGCACTAAGCTTTCAACTCTCAAACATCTCTTTTACAAGATTTATGTAGAAATTGAGAGAAGTGAGGCAACAGAATTATGCCATCAGGACTTTAAACTACATCTCTACGAGAATATCAGACGGTGTGTGCTCCTTTATCAACGAGAGGTGTTGGAGCAATTGAGAAGGGAGGGGATTCATTCAAATTAGTAGGATACTATGGTAGTACTTACAGATTTTAGTTTAATATGAGGTGGGTGTAGCGTTTTTCTAACGTTTCTTTATTAACATTGTTTCAGTATTGTTCAGTTTCATATTGTTGTTAATTTGAATTATTGTACTATATTACAGTAGCTATTTGTAGCAAAAAATTGATTATTTTAACATTAATTTATTATTTAATAAATTCTGGCCATTAATTTTTGTATATTACGCTTGTTATATGTTTCATCGACATTAGTAATTAATCAGTACAATACCTTATTCTATTGTGTTTTTAATAATTTTTATGTTTTATTGCGTTAATTTTGCTTGAATTTTATTTTTATGATTTATTGGAATTTTTAATTTTATTTTTTTGTGAAAATTTTGTAACTTTGATATTATTTTAGGCTTTCTTTGCTTTTAATCCGATTTTCGTCAAGTTTTGGAAGAAAATGGACGACGAACAACCTGGACCATCAAATCGGCTACCAGTGATTCAAATTGAACCATCGGATCAACCGGGACCGTCAAACCAACAAGAACCGCCAAACCAACAAGAACTCGAAGATCAACCAGATCATCAACAAGGTGGAGCGATGCGACGAGGACATCAGTCTCGTCGTTCGGCACGACAAGCCCCCTACGATCGGCCTGAACGCGGGGAGCGTGATCGACAAGATGATGATGAAGTGCGGCTACGTGTGCCAGAGATTGAATTACGACCATTCAATTTTCCTGGGCGTGGTCCTCCGGAAGAACTGTTAGCTGAACTAGTAAATCAATTAGTTGCAGCAGAGCGGTCGAGGTCTCCATCGTTAGACCGTTTTGACGGGCGTGTAGAATCACCCGAGCGCGATGTCCAGCCGATTCCAGATGAGATGATGGAGGTAGTATTGCCAGAAGTTCCAACGTATGACTACCAAGCTGTTTGTAGGAATTGTTCAATTTTTCGACTTCCTAATGAAACTTGGGAGACTGCCTATTCATAGTAAGTTACCTTTTTGTTTGGTGTTCAACTTCTTGCAGGATTTAAATTTATCTATTTGGAGAAACAAAGCTGTTTCGTTAAGTCTTTAATATTTGGATTATATTGCAGTATTTTTTAAAGATTGTATATTGTTTTGGTTTTAGGCTTATGTATCTTTCACCTAAAATTATAATTTATTGTTTTTAATGTTATTTTTTGTTATTTAAAAGTCTTGCTTGTCTTTTGTAATGGAAAATGTAATTTTATCTATTCTTTTCAGTACCAATCACAGAATCTTCAGTGCTAGGTTGTTTAATGATGAAGAGAAATATAAAGTGTCTTTTGGAGCTAACGTCACTCTTTTTTGCTTCATCTATGACACCTCTGTTGTTGTGTTGGACTTGGACTTTTACAATGTTGATCGTGCAGAAAATTACACGTGTTTGAGATTACAGCCGAGAAATAGCGACGAAACAGTGCAAGAAGTTCGGATTTTTGACAACGGAAAGAAATTGGCCATGCAAACGAAGACACCTGATGGACAACATTTTAGTGTCTTCAGCCTGGACCTTGCTTTTAGATCAACCAACCGCAGATTGAAAGACATGTTTATCTACAAGACCATTTTACACCCAGGTTTCACTGAAAGAATACAAAATATGGGATACGTGGTCGACTGCTTGAATAACATTGGTGTCTACGGAGGTGCGAGGCTGTATCGATCTGGCGGGGACGATGATTCCAACAAGTACATGTGGTCGTCGACGGCAATACGAAAGGAGGATCAGGCAGTAAGTCATTTAAAAAACCGAAAGTTAATGCTACTGAATTAAATATTTTTTTACTTTGATATTTTCTTAAATGTCATCTCTTACTTTGTGCGAGGAAAGTAATTCCATTTCCATGCTATTATTTAACTCACCTTCATGTTTCAGTCAAGAGAAGAAATTCGCGTCTATGATCTAACGAATCCCAGAGAACCCTACGTTATTTTTAACAGAAAATACAATATCTTGCCGCAGGCGGAAATAAAGATTTTGTCACGTACTCGTACTGTATGGATCAGTAAGTTATTTTTTATAATGGGTTTTCAGCTGTAGCAGCTAATTTCCTTATACGTCATTTTAAATTTAAAAAAATGGAAGGTAATTTGCCATAATTTTATTTGTAGACTCAAAAAATTTAAACTTCTTTTTTTCTCTTCCCTCCCAGATTGAAATTTCTTTTTTGGAATTGATATTGGTTGAGAACAATATGTTTTTAGACGAAATCCGATATTATAAAGGTAAACCAATGGAGAGAAACGTGGCTCATCGTGTTCCACGAGCTTACAGATTAGGAGAGAATACCATAATAAGACCTCAGTTTAATGAACTTTTTGGTGAGTGCTTGTTAATGCATATTGCCATTTACTTTAAATTTACTTTATGATGTTGTATTTAGATGAGTGCACTATACATGCAGACACTTGCACGTGCCGATGGAAACCTCTCACCGACTACATTCTTCAAAATCATGATGGGGAGGTAAGAACCTATTGATAATTGTCAAGTGATATAACAATGTTATCTGTATTCTGTGGTTCTTATTATCACACTTATAATATCTATCATAACGTTATTGATGAATTTCTGGGTATATTAAGAACCTTCTGTTGTGTAAAATATTGTTTTAGATCTGTGCTTACAATGACACAAATGACACTTGGGAAGATGTAAGTTATGCTCAAATCTTAGGGCACAAAGTGGGCAAAGAGGTCAACCGGTTGATGTCGCACAGTCTCGGCGACAAACATGCCATTGTCTCTGAGGAGACTTGCGACACAAATGTTATAAAGAAGACTTTGTTCATGTTGGAAATAAAGGAAGGTATGTGTTGGTTTATGGCTGTTATGTTTGGATAAGTTTAGCAGTTTTTTAAGGGGGGGGTTGGATCAGAGATCGCATAATTTGTAATTTTTAGAAATTTACGATAAAAGTATTTATTTTATATTGAATGAACTGTCGTACACCTGATGAATATTAAGTTGACTTATTATGTTCAATATATCTGTTATATTTCAGGACTACCATATCCCATTGATATTGGCGACTGCACTAAGCTGTCGATGGAAAACAACTTATTTTCTGAACTAAATGACCGCATTCTTGCCGGCTTTGAAAATTATACTGGCGGCACGGACATGAATCTACATCTTCACAGGATCGTCAAAGAATGTGTGCACGATTATATACGGGGGTTTGAAGAACAACATAGAGCGGAACCTTATTATTAAGCTGTTACCTTATTGTTAAGATTGTTATGATATCAGTATCAACATTTACGAATTGCTATTATCATTGTTGGAGCTTTATAACCTTTACTTTGTTATTATTAACCACTATTGTATATTTTAATTATTCTATTATATTACAGTAGCTATTTGTAGCAAATTTGAGTATTTTAATATCGATTTATTAATTAATAAATGCTTGGCATTAATTTTGGTATATTACATGTTTCATGTTACTGTCAGTACAATACTTCATTGCCTTTTGAGTGAACAATGAGTTACATTATGTTAAGTAACAGTTATAGTTCGCCTTCTCTAATGCTGCCATATCTGTCTTTCAGTAGGTATGCTGCCATTTTCGGTTGTCGTTGGCGGGTCAAGACTCCCTTATGGTTGCCCAGAGGTCGAGTGATGTCTGTAAGTATGGTATTGCACAGGATGTTAGGTATAGGGAGTTGTTATATATTAATTTGGCAAAGAATATAATTTTTTTGGCATATTGTTAATCGAAGTTGTATCTTCGGCGTATCTACGGTCTTTTTGACCTAATTTGTCAATTTTGGTAATTACCTGCGGCTGTCATGAAATCAGCAAAGTTCCATATCATTTCCCCGGTGATTCGACCTTCTTTCCTCAACCGGTCGAAGGCTCTGTGATTGGCTTTGATCAGAGCTGATTGATATTGTTCTGTGAAAGGGGTACCTGGTTGCTGAAAGTGTTTATGAACGAGGACATTGTTTATGGTTTTCTTGGTCGACAAGGCTAGTTTAGTTTTAAGTTTTATCTTACATATCTTTATGATTTTAAGCCTAATTTCTCGATATGACACGTCTTTTCTGGTAAATATGATCTTTATATCACACAAGCCTTTAATAGACAAAGTCTTACCTGATACATGCCCGGAATCCCCTCTCCACCGTACTCCATGACGATCAGAGGTTTTCCCTTGAAGTTGGTAGTCCATTGTATCACCAGTTCGTACATCTGTTCCTCGACCACTTCTGGATGGTCTAGATTCTGATACCATCCATCATAGTGATTTAGTCCTATAAAGTCAACAAAGTCGGCTACTCTACTGTAGTCATGTGTTGTATATGTAGGGCCAAAGACTACAGTAATATGTCGTGTTGGGTCTAGTTTTCTGGTATACGAAGCTACTGAACTGAAGTAGCCACGAGCGTTGTCTTTGGCCGTCCACGGTTCGTTGGCCAAGGACCAGGCAAAGACGGAAGGATGGTTATGGTCACGAGCTATCATCTCGGTCATCAGCTGCTTGTGGAGTTGTGACATTTCGTTATTGAAAAAACTGGAAATTGGGCTTTAAGGATAGCTTTACAGTGATATTGTTTTAAAATTTATTTTACTATGTGGAGCGGTCGAAAAGTGTGTAGTACTAGCCACATTTATTGTCGAATGAAATACAACGTACCCAAGCCCAACCGTTGGAGCTTCAGTAACCACCATGATGCCTCGTCTGTCAGCTTCGTACGCTCTCTCTTCACTGTAAGGATAATGAGAGGTCCTATAGCAGTTGGCGTTCATCCATTCGAACATGTTTAAGTCTCTTATCAGCACTACTGGGTTGTAGCCTCTGCCGTGTAGCTAAAACAACAAGATTTTAAAATTCTTTACTATGTTCTTACAAAGTCTTCAGTTTGTGTTGTAAAAGAATTTAAAAAATTGAAAACTGTGTCTGTCAAAAGTATGAGGTAACTTACATCAAAGTCTTCGTGCATTCCGAAGCCCATACAGTAGAACTGTTTGTCATTGACGTACAGTTGGGTACCTTTGAATTCGATTGTTCTGAATCCGAAAGTTTCTTGGTACACATCTAGAACCTCATCTTTTGAGGAAATTTGGACCTAAAAATGAGAGAAAACGATTGTAATGTATAATACCAACTTAACTGTAGTGTAAAATATAATACGAAGTTAAGTGTATGTAATTAGAAAAAGGCTTATTAGTTACCAGATTCTTAGGCTTATAAAGTTTAATGTTTGTGTGAGGAAACATGACACCTAAAATGTCATTTTTTAGCTTATTTCTGAAAGTTTATATATTAAAGGAACATTCAGCATTTAAAATCAAAGGATTTACTAACCCGTAGCGAGTACAAGTTGGCTTTTCCATATCCTCTTGGCCACCACAGTTGGGCATCTTTGACTTCTTGGAACTGTTTGAAGTCAGTGACAGTCTCAACTTCATCTCCATTCGGATCAATTAAGGTAACTGTGACTTCAACTGGACGTTTTTGAGGATTGTCAATGGACAATTCGTAGTTTATATAGCCTGAAACAGGAGTTATGGCATTTAGATTGTCTTTCAAGAAGTAAAATTGGCTATAAATACGTATTTTAGGTAATAAAAGTGTGAGATAAAGCTTGTAACTTTTAACACGATGCACCAACGAGGTATACTTTACTTAATTGTTGTAAAAATACCATGGTTAACAAACAAAGAATTTAGTCTTTAGGTAACAAACAGTAACTCACGATTGTTCTTCGTAGTAATCCAAAGTTCTTTCACAAACACTTGACTCAGAACCTGCACAACGACCGGTCGTAAAATGCCAGCATAATTAAAGAAGTCGAAGCCTGGCTTTTGTTGGATATAGGTACTGTTACCATAGTGCCTCACTTCATATTCTCCAGGGGGGATGGTACCTGAGTGTAATGTATTGTTGACAGCTACAGTGATACGGTAAGTTTTTGCTTTAGATAGTTCAGCTTCAAATGGCAGATGTCCTCCGGTATGTTTGGTCAAAAGTTGGCCGTCAGTGTACTGTAAATAGGTAGGTGTAACTCCTTGATAAATTTTATAGCTACTTATAAGCAGGTGTGGTTTACTGTTGCAATTCTTTTAAAATTTGGCATAATTTACAGGAATCTTTGCTTATACTATTAATACAGTATCTTTTGGTAACTCTATCATAACTTAAAAAAACTTACAACAAGAGCATTGTAATTGACACTTCCAAACCTGATCACTAGTCTCTTTCCATTCACAGCTTCAGGGGTACTGTATTTTGTCTGGTACCATACCCATCCGACGTGATTCCTCTCCTCGTGCTCAGTAAAGAGCTCGTTAAAGGCTGATGGTACTGGTACTCTGGTCACGTTCTCAAACTTGTCTATGTCTAGTTTGTACCATTCGTTTTGGATACCTAAATTATTTGAAAAAGTCGGTTCTCTGACGAAAGACCACAAGCCATCGAGAGAGTCCAGACGGCGGATCTCGTTTTTCTGAAACAGCTTTGTTTACAGACGAATTTGGAGGTGTTTTAGTTTTGAAATATGAAAAAAAGTTTAAATTAAACATTTTAAAAACTTTTTTTTACGTTGCAGAAGTTTTGTTTACAGATAAAATATTTTAAAAAATGGTTAAAAAATTATTAAAAATTCTTACTTGTGGATACAGTAGCCCATTACTAGTGATCGCAAGTAGTGTTAACAATAAAAATGATATAAAGACTTTCATTAAAGGTCTGCTTTTGTACAAAATGGTTTAAAAACAAACAGTTTAAAGAGTAATAGTTCCTAAAACAGTCGCTTCGATGGCAAACGGTCAACTTTTTATCGATAAGGTAGGTTTGTTTATAGCGTCGGAAAATAAACAAAGGGAACAGATTATATAGTGGTTTGGTTGTTGTAGTTAATGGTCATTCGAAGAGAATATGTTAACATAAATTACACAAAATAATCATTAAAAGTTAAAATTATGAATATTACTGTCTGGCCACATTTTTAAAAGAAAAAATTTTTGAAAAATGTGGTTAAATTCGATGTGGCCGAGAGGTGGTGAGGTTCCTCTGAAGGGCAGAAGGCGTTGAGTTCGAATTCTGCTGGTTTCATTTTAGCATTTTGCTATTATGACCAGGCGATTTGACTAGTAAAACAACGTTTTGAAAAAAAAATATTTTTTAAATTATAACAAGGTTCGAAGAATCGAACATCGGTCAGACAGGGGCGATGAAAAATTTCAAACTATTTTAAAACCGCTCATTTTTTGACAAAAGGTAGTACTTGGGCATAAAAATGCAAAAATGTAAAAAAATTTTCAAAATTTGGGTTACGGTAGGGTTACGGTAGGATTTAAACTTTTTTTGTAACTATTGTACTAAATATCCGAATGGAATGGGACTTTTTTTAAATTGTTTGTCACTCTAATACATTTATTTTATCTGTAGACAACTTTTCTTTATTACGCCCGGAAGGCATCGAAAAAAATTAAAATTTGCCAAAAAATCATGAAAATTTTACGAAATTTACAATTTCTCAAAAAAACCTAACATGTGATAAACTTTTGACAATAGAAGATATAACTACATGCTGTTGCGGTTTTAATGACACTAATTTTGGGTCATTCCAGCGCTGCCTGCGGGAGCTACGAATTTTTAAAGTTGGCACCCTAAGGTGATTTAGCATAAGATTTGGATGTAATTTGATTCAAAATGGTTAAAAAAGGTGCATGACACATATTGCAAGTTTTATAAGCGTTTAAAAAAACAATTTCCTTTATATTGCCTTAGAGAAATTACAATTTAAAAAAAATATTTTTTTTTAATTTAAATTTTAAAAAATTTTTAAAGCTCGGAAATTAAAAAGAATATGACATGACTTTTTGGAAAATGGCCCATTCGTAGCTCCCGCAGGCCCCCGCTGGAATGACCCAAAATTAGTGTCATTAAAACCGCAACAGCATGTAGTTATATCTTCTATTGTCAAAAGTTTATCACATGTTAGGTTTTTTTGAGAAATTGTAAATTTCGTAAAATTTTCATGATTTTTTGGCAAATTTTAATTTTTTTCGATGCCTTCCGGGCGTAATAAAGAAAAGTTGTCTACAGATAAAATAAATGTATTAGAGTGACAAACAATTTAAAAAAGTCCCATTCCATTCTGACATTTAGTACAAGAGTTACAAAAAAAAGTTTAAATCCTACCGTAACCCTACAGTAACCCAAATTTTGAAAATTTTTTTACATTTTTGCATTTTTATGCCCTGTACTACATTTTGTCAAAAAATGAGCGGTTTTAAAATAGTTTGAAATTTTTCATCGCCCATGTCTGATTCTTGGGCGAACCTTGTTTTATATTTTTTGTTTTTAGTAGCTTTTAGAATAAAATATTAATCAAAAAAATATAATTTTTCGAATTTGAAATTTATATTTTTAAACTTATAATAATATTTTTTAACTTGCTAGGCAAGGCTATCTAGCAATATTTTAAAATGGTTTTCCGATAACTTTTTATGATTTTTCATTCTATATAGGTTTTTTTCTGAAACTCCAGGGATATATGGTGCAGTTTCTTAGATTAAATTATTAATTACAGTGTCTTTTTCTCCAAGTTTTCAGTTACAGTACTCTTTTTTTGTCGAAATTCGAAATCTTTGCGCTTCATTACCTATAATTGAACGGAATGAAATTGACATACAACTTGAACATATCACGATACATCATCAAGACTCCAGTTGATGAACGTCAATTCGTATTTACAACTCAGCCTTGAGGTATTTCGTCTTTCTTTCTCTTTTTTCCATTCCGATGAACTGCACTGTTTTTGACGGCTGTCATTTACATTTGGAGTTATCACTGAGGTGTCTTTATTATAACGACTTTCACGCTTACTCACTTCTTGCTGAGGGGGTTTTAATTTGGGTTTATAATATTATTGCTATTTTACTTTAATTTTATATTTTTTTACGAAAATTGGGGTTTTTTGTCTTTGGAGTTAAGAATGTGCAATTTTGAACTATACTCACTGCATTTTCTTGAAAAGACGTTTTTAAATTGCAAAAAGTGCTTATAAAATAAATGTGTTACTTTTTATATGCATATTTAAAGACGTTTTATGCCAATACTTTTTTTAAAAGCCCAAAAAGGTACTAGGGGGCACCCGGATTTGAACCAGGGACCTATCGATCTGCAGTCGATTGCTCTACCACTGAGCTATACCCCCACGGTCACTCGCCTTTTGTTTTCCAAGTGGACTGTTTGTTTGTTCTTTTTGTCGCTACAAAACTGCTCTTTCTGAAAATGAAAATAATATTATAGATTAGTAATTACACTACTACCTGGAAAAGATAAGTAAAAATAAATTTTTACATTAATTTGATCAGTTATTTCACCAATTTTACAAACACTGTTGAATCATAGCACAGTTATCTTTAACTACTACTATTTGTATTATACAAGTCTTCATTTTAAATTAAGAAATACAGTAATCTTAATAGTAAAGGGTAAACTAACCATAGTTGTTCCCATACGGCAACGACAATATTATTTTATGGGAATATCGCGGTTTCAAACTTTTTTTGCCGATCAAGGACCTTCGTCTTCATTTTTCGCTAGCCGGAAATGCAAATTGCTTTTGTATGTAAAAAGATAGGAAAGGATGTTGTAGTAGAATATGGTTAGTAAATGGGTTTATTTCCAATTTTTGCTACCGTATTTTAAAATATTGAGTTATGTTTGACGGTTTTGATTATTACATTTGGTTTTGGACATAAAATTTGATAACAATATGTATTGTTTTATATTATGGTTTGAAAACAGCTCTTTTTATTGTAAAATACGGGACAAAATACGCCTTGGAGTAATATGTATAATTTTAATAAACTTTAAAGCCAAAACCACCAAAACCTATTGTTTATCGTACCTAAAGCAAGGAAAACAGAAACCACAGTGAATTAAGCGCTTACTGATCTGAATAATCAATTTGTGTTAAGTCGATCGAGTTTGTTTTTGAATTTTCCGAAATTTTTGGGTAAATTTGAGTTGATGGAATTGGGCGACAAGTGAAACATTCAATCACTCTGACGAGCTGTTGAAGCGAATTTGACGTGATCTTCAGCTACAGTCGTAAACTCTTTGTCAGTCTTGTGAGAGATGGGAAAGATCGTATAGTGGCAGGTCGATATGACATTTTTAGTGGATGGACTGGGGCTTGGTGGGGTAGTGCAATATCATGTTATGGTTTAGTACAAAAAGGTTGTACTACCTTGACTTGTGGTATAATTTTTAGTTCTGATATGTGTTACCAATGACCTTCGAGGATCTTATTTTTTAATCTATAGGGGTGGAAAGGGACAGTAGTTTTTTTTACAATTACTGTAACTTTATTACCTTTTATTTTATTTTCAGGCTAAAAAATGCTAAATTCCACGTACTTTTTGACCAAAAATTTACTTTAATTTTAAAGTGAACTTGTATCTTGAAAATCCCCAAAGACTATTCAAGCTTATCGTAGCCAGTAATGTTTTATGATCGCTCATCAAATACCCCCTTAAAAGGCCCTGAATGGTGGTTATTTCCCGCAAAACCCCATTCAAAACAATCAACCCTCTCCAAAACACTAATGAAATGGGAACGAAATTGGAGCAAAATCTTTAAGGATAAGTTGGGGTCAGGAGTTAACTAATTGGGTTGTTTTATGTTGTTTTTGAATAGATTTTCTTAATTTTCAACTAAAAATTAAAAAATAATTCTCAAAAAATTGTTTTGACTTTGGCCATCCTCTAGTTCATTTATAAAAACCGTAGCAACGTCTTGTCCAACCATATCATGATATATCTCATTTGTCTCTCATCTATTCCTATATTAATCATCCCAAAGGTGCGATGTTGCACTTGTAATTATGGCCTTTGAAGTGTAATTACAAGTGTTTCCGCCTGTCTGCACCACATTTGTCGATTTTTTCGGTCATCGGTCGTGTGATTGGCAATCATTAATTTAGGTATTTGTCTGACAATGTGACTGGGTAATCAGATAAGGCGAGGAATTGTGTCGCGGCAGGTGCAAAAAACGGCAAGAGTGGTCAGTTTTTCAGGGATTTCTTCAGATTACCTCACCGATTCGGATTTGAGGGTTGAGCTACGTGGGGTGGGGTTGTCGGTTGATGTTAAAGCTAGTTAAGTTTTTGAAATTTTGATTTAAGGAGTTCTGAGCTTCTTAAATCATCTGCTAGTATTTTTAAATAGAAAATGGTTGATAGTAGTAGAGTTGTATCTTATGTTGATTTCGTGCCATTTTATAACTTATTTTGTAAACTATTGTTTTTGCTTCATTATAGTACTGTTTCTAAAGATTTTGGCTGACACACAATAAAAGCTGTCAGTTTGTCTTCTTGAAAAAGGTTTATGGACTTGATAAGAATCTTAAGGAAACCTTTTGATTAAAGAAGTGTTAGCCCGCTTTTTCTAACTAATTGCTGTTTACCTTAACTATTAATACAATATATTTTTATCTTTCGATACTAAACAGTATATGTTATATGTTACCGTTCTCAACATTCGAAATGTCACTTTTGAGTTTATTTAAAGCATTCAAATGTCACAATATTTTTAATTAATCTTTAAGGTATTCAAACTCCAAAACTTTAAGAATTTGACAAATCGTCACTTTCGCCAATCTTCAATCGTTTTTTATGCAGATGCTGACATCTGCAAACATTAAAATAATAATAAAATTGGGCTTTATAACATTCGGGCGGCATTCCGCTTCGTAAAATAATTTGTGGCCTTCTTTCGGTGGGTCCGCCTTTTCATTGGTTGATCCAGACAAATCACTTCTTGGCACTACCCTTTTTTGTGTTTGAAAGTTATTTTTTAATATTAAAAACGGTTTATGAAGGCGCGGGTAAATCAGTGTAAATTTAAAAAAGGGTGGTGTGATTGTTTTGAAAAATTTTTATTTAAAAATGAAAAACTTTTTTTCATTTTAATAATAGACTTTGTTGTCCAGCTTTTGTATTTGTTTTTCCATGTTGCGCAGCATGGTGCCCGTTAATTACATTGCGTTCGCTTCCACCGAACATCAAAAATGACACATTTACACTGTGTTTACATAAACGCTGTTGTTCGGAAGTGCAACAGCATTCTGGATGACTTCAGGACATTTTATTTTTATCTTACCTGGATGTTACTCTTGGCTTTTTTAATTTATAAGAGAGGATAAGCTTCTGTTTATCTACTCTTCACTTCTAAGATTTATAGTACAGTGTCTATAGTTTAACATTTTTACTTTTTAAATATCTTTTATGTTGTCGTAGTGTTTAAATTTAGCTGTTATTTGTTGTTTAGTCACGATTTCATGCAAATTTCCGGCGAAAACGGAAAACAATCTCTGCGCGCTCAAATCATATAACACTCGAAAAGGATTTGATCGGATTAGTGAGCCAGATTCAAAGCCTTATAAAACTCGACAGTAATCTCGAGATATTCGACTAATTAGAGCTTTTGCATCGGGAATGGCACAACCATTGTTAGCTTCAATGACTAGCCTATTTTATTGCTATTATTGTATTCTTCATATTAACCTTGTAATAGAATATTTTATTTAAAATGCTGTTTGATAATTTTTTTTGGCATGCTTATCGTTATACGCTAGTTTATTGTCATGTAGTAAACTTTATAGCATTAAAATTAAAATTACAGTAGCTTGGATTAATTTTATATTAAAAGTCATTTTACTTTACATCTTTTGCCATACTTTAATTCCCACCATCTTCAAAGATCGACCGACTTTGAAACTTGAGCCGTATTTTACTGCGGGAGCCGAGCACCGTCTATTAAGTGTCTTTTGTCAAAAAATAATTGACATTAAGGGGTTCTGGGGTCATCCTCACTCAATTTCAAGTACATCTCTTATTAAGATGCCGTTGTTCATCGACTTTGTCTTTTACACTATTGTAGTCTGTTCGGTTTTGATCGGTTTTTAACTTTATACAACCATTTTTAAATTGATTCTGTTTGCCTTTTTAGTTATATTATTTTATACTATCAATCTAATATTTATTACACTGAACTTCAATTTCAATCCCTCACTAAAATATCCCGTTACGTTCCCTAATTAGACACATCTTTTCGATTCAACTTCAGATATTTTAATGTCGTTCTCATTCCTTTTCGATTATATTTATCCTCAACTTTTACTTTTATGACGCATGTTATAACGAGATTTTTATGGGAATCGTGGGATCTTGAATTATTCATTCCACAACTTGTAGTAATGGTTTCTGAACTTAGCGATCGTATTACTTTTCGAATGACATTTTTTAGTGAAACCACGTTTTAGCTTGTTTAGATTACCGTGGTATCTTAGTTTTATTCTTTTATCTTTTATCACTAGTTTTTAAAAATTTTCTTACTACTTATTGACTTTAACATGTTTTTCTGCTTTAAAAATGATCATTTCAATATGGCGAGCTTACAAAATTAATTAAAACAGTTTGTGACACCAAGTCTAATTTATGATTTCAGGCCTGATGGAGCCCTCTACCTCAACTTCTTTAGACCACACTCCCGACAATGTGATTTATTCGATATTGCGCGAACTAGAACGGGCTGATCTTCTCAATTGCAAGTTGATCTCACGCCGCTTCCAACGCTTCATTAGTCGGAACGCTGCGTTTTTGGCACGGCCGTCTGTCAATGAGTTATTGTAAGTTGTGATAGACTTTTTAATACCTGAATTTCTGTATTGCATCAATTTTTGTTAACAATCCATCTAGAAACAAAAACATGGTTCACCTTAATATCATTAAAACTTTTAGTATTCAAATGAGAGATGCCGAAATAAAGTCAAAAAAGAATGGCAAAGTCGAAAAGAGCTACAAAAGTCACTGCATCCAGCTACGGAAAAGTCTGCACAAAAGTCGTCGAAGTCTGGACATAAAAGCAAAAACTTTTATTGACGGCCTAGAACGGACCCTCAAGTCGTATACGATATCAAATAGTATCACATTAGATGGCATTCAGATCGATGATGACATTATCGACCAATTCTTGAAGCCTACAACCGACTTGAAGCACGTTGACAGCGTAAGTTTCGTGTTAACGTGCTTCAAGAACGCTGATTGGATGTTGGGGAAGGTTTTGGAGAAGACCAGCTGTCGTTCCCTCATCTTTGAGTTCTGCAGCAATGTTCAGGATGTTCTCACAGATACGGTAAGTCTAATCCTACATTAAAATCAGTTCATTAAACATTTATCATTCACAAATAAATTTTGTGGACTTTCTCGCGCAAAGTAGCTTGTCTTGCCTTTTCAAAACAACACCTAATTCTCGAGAATCTCGAGTTTTATTACAGACCGAAGTGGGCGGCGAGAGCGTTTGATCTCTAGGGTAATATCTTTTATGACATGTACATCACATAAAACTTGGGAATAACTTGTTGATTGGTCCCAGTTGCTCAAGTACTGTCAGATGTCATCAGACGCAAAAAAGAGAATACTTTTAAAAATTTTTTTAAATTACAAAATTTCAAATTATTTTAAAAATTTAACTTTTAAAGAGCCTTAACAATCTTTCGACATCGTATTTTAAATATTTCAGTTACTACGGGTAGCTCCAAACCTGGAAACGCTTTATCTTCGATTAGCAGAGCCAACAAGACTTACAAGCCTCACCAACTCAACTCTCGACCATTGGAGCGACAACGAAAAAGTACCAAAAATGATAAAACTAGACAATTCGTTTCCTAAGTTTACAATCGACAGCATCTTCAGACTCATTCAAGTAAGACACCATCCTATAAATTCTATTTTTCATGCTTGAATCATAAAAGGTTTACTATCTTTATCAATCTTTACATGCCTTTTAAGTGTTAAAAAACCAAATATCAAATATGTAATCAGAAATCTCTTTCAGAAGCTAATATCACAAAGCCAACAATCTCCTACTACCGTCTCAATCGACTGGTCGTTTGGTTGTATTGAAGTATCCCCATCAGATCTCCTTCCATACCTACAACAAGCAACTACAAACCCAACAGGCTACAAAACCAGGTTACGGCCATTACAACAAAATTACTATAGGATATTCGTGGATATAGACGCTAAAACGAGTACTACGACACCTTCGACGCCCTTGGCCGAGCTGGAAAGACTGGCCAAGTTCGGGTCATCGACCAAATTAGAAGATACTTGTTCTATCACATTTGACGTTGTTATAAAGCCGAGTACTTACTTGTAAAAGTTATAAACTGGTTACAAAATGATATATGCTTGCTTAATTGTAAATTACTTCATGTTATTATAGGTAGTCATTGTTCTTTTAGACAGACTTTTTAATATTCCTAACTCAGAAATCGGTACCTTGAGGTTTGAAATATAAAACTACCAATTGCTCAACCTTTTAAATCCGCAATAACATAAACTTTATACGTTATCAGATTATGTACTCACTTCAGTTACAATCAGAGCAAGTTTTGTGATAAGTTTAGCGACGAATCTAGCTGTTCATCGTCGGTTTCACTCAACAAAGGCAAACTAGTACTCAAAGATGGTACCAGAGTGAGAGAAGACATCGAAGACAGCTCTCCGACGTTATCCAGACTAGTGTCCAGCCAATTGTCCAGTTCCTCATCGGTTTCCGTTATCATTCCATCGATTTTTTGATCAGAATTCTGAGAAGAACTGAGAAGATCCAAGAAAGCTCTTTCGTTTTCCTTTTGTTGAGATCGAAGAGGAGATCGTAGGGCATTAATGAGATCAATGGGGTTTAAGTGTACATTGTTGTTGCCCTTTGGTTTTTGCTGCAAAAAAATAAGTTTTAATGTGCTTTTGCATCAGGTTGCCAATATAAACATTGAATAAAACATTTTTTTCTATTCTTATAAATTAAAATGCATTCTTGAATGAAATGAAACCTAAAACTACAACAAGAAACAAACAAACAACTTACAATTGTCTTAGACGCTCCGCCTCGCTTCGTGCGAACTCCTTTCTTCTTCAAATTAGCCAAAACGTCTTTGTTCTTGTTGAAATTCTCAGATTTTTGCATAAACTCAGTCATTTTCTTTTTGACATTATTCTTGAACTGATCCAACGTCTTAGCACCGTCCATCAGCTGCATTGCCTTCTCTCTGAACTCGTTATTCTCACTCATCCCCAACATCGACTTGAGATGTTCAGCTAAAACATCAATGTTCTCAGCAGCACTCATCTTGTGATCTGATCTCCCGTCTTCCTCTTCTGATTCAGAAAGTACGAATGAGGAATCGTCCGACAATAGTTCTTCCAAGGCCTTCTCTGCTTGTGATTTGGAGGATTCTGGTTCTGATGAAGAAAAGAATGGCAGATCGTCGACAGTTCCGTCTGATGAAAACAGCTCATCGCACCTGGCAGATGTATCTAAAAGCGCAGAGCTATATTGCGATATTAATTTTGGTTTAAAATTCTATTTTATAGACAGCTAATTAAACCAGTCTTATTTTCAACTTACTTACCGCCCATTGTGGTAGATTATCACACACCGTATTTCAGAATATAGAAAGACAATAAATTAAGTTAGAATAGACTATAAAATTCACAAAAACATTTTACAGCAGTTTTGCAGCCGACTTCAATATATTTTTTATTTTTAAAAGACGAAACGCCAAAAACGATTTCGTCGTGAAACGAATTGTTCGTGAAGCTGGTGGGCTTTTTGTAATTCAATGTGAACTTTTACTGTAAAGGATATGTAGTCATAATTCAAAACCTTTTCTTTTTTGCAAATTATCATAAAACTTCTAGTACCTCAGCGTGAATCAATATTTATTTAATTAAAACAATATCAGCATTATCATAGTGTTAGTGTCATGATTGGTCAAAGATTAGTTATAAAAATTTATACAATGATCAAGAAGATTGTTCGTTATCCGGTTTGTAGTGTGAAGCCACCCATTCGTGATGCATCACTTGTTGTAAGTTTAATCGACCAGCCGGATCGACCACTAACAAATTGCTGATTAAATTGCAAACTTCTGGGGAGAATGTAGATGGAAAACTGTACTCTCCTCGTTTGATTAGTCGATAAGTTTCTTGTGCCGTTGTAGTTTCGAAAGCCGGCTTCCCACATAGTAGTTCGTAACATAGTACACCAACAGCCCAGTAATCGACTCGCTTATCGTGAGGATTCGAGCAAACCATCTCTGGAGGTAAGTAGTCTAATGTGCCACACAGCGTCTTTCTGAAATTAAGCAAGTCAAAACACAATGAAAAAAAATAAATATAATCAAAATGACACGTAAATTAAAATACGTCAAACAAACAATGACACATTATTAACCTCTGAAATCTTAACATACCTATTGGAAGCTGAGTGTACAGACCATCCAAAGTCTGCAATCTTGAGGTTGCCGAGCTCGTCAATCAATATATTTTCTGGTTTTATATCTCTGTGGATAACATTTTTGCTGTGGCAGTAATCCAAAGCATCTGATACTTGATAAATATACTAAAAACATTAAATTATTATTCAACTTGAACAAAAAGAACTTAAAAAACTTTTTTTAGATAACAGTTTTAAAAGTACCTATTACTCCATCAACTTAAAACTATCCACTTCCCCCAGCTTCAAAACATACCTTTGCTGTCCTCCTTTCACTCAATCGTCCCTTCTTCTGAAGTTCTTTGTATAGTTCTCCATTCAAAGCATACTCCAATATTAAGTAGATCTTCTTCTCGTCGTAAAAGTAATTGTAAAGCCGTAATATGTTCGGATGTCTAAAAACAAAAAGAATCTATTAAAAATTGCTAACTGACCTTAAGTGTGCTTGAATCTCCACTTCTCTGACCAATTGATGTTCCACATTGTTCTTGGTCAGTTGTGATTTGAAAAGGATCTAAAACAACAAACAAACTATATTACTTTATGCTAAACAGCAAAAAAAGCTTTAAAAGTCACTGTAGAGCAAATGGCTAAAAAATAAGACGCTTAGCGAGTAATTGATTTTCAAAAAGCACACAACAAATAGTATTGTGACCAAAATTATACGTTTTCACATCAAATATTCTTATTCTAAACAAATTTTTTGTAATAAACATACAAAACTTACCTTTAAAGCGACTGGTATATGACTGTAAACATCTCTAGCAAGATATACACTACCAAATTTTCCTTTTCCCAATGGTCTCCCAACCTCAAAATCTGACAATTTCCATGAATGTGTCGGAGAAGGTGTTAAATCTGGCATTCTCCGTTGGTTTTATGGCGTATATTCCCCAAAATACGAATTTGCAAAACGTAAAAATAGAAAAATTCGACCAGCTGCGATCGAAAAATAAAAAATAGAGAAAGCCAAAGTTTGAAAAAGAAATTCGCGCAATTGGTTTCGTGGCGGGACTCCTAGACTAGCTTTGAAATGGCATAAAGTAAGATCGTAATGAAAGACATATTGTGGGAGTTCTATTTATATAAAAAAATCATTTTGACGTTTTTAGATATGTTTAATATGGCTTGAGCGCTGTAAAAAGAAGTCTTACTAGTTATTTACAAAGTTTATTATTTTTGAATAATAAATTACAATAAAATTGAAGATAAAATATGGATTATGCAGCTGCACAAGCTGCGCATGCTAAGCCGCATTCAGCAAAACACCGCAGTAACTCTAAACAACTAAAACAACATAAACAACCGTTATTACATAACTTGTCTTGTTCATTGGCAGTATTCGGTTGTTGAGGTGGAGGTTGATAAGTGATTGGAATCTTGTAGGCATCGTTTATGTCAAATGGAGTTACAGTGGTACTTTGAGCTGGATTCAGTTCATACACGGGTGGTGCTGATGATGTTGGCTGGGAGGTACTGAAAGTAAAGTAATAACAAACAAGAGAATGAGTGGTTGATTAGTGCGCAAAAATAAGATTCAAAACACATTTATCAGTTTAAAACACTTACATTACATCGTCGTAGGCTGGTGGAGCAATATTTTCTTGTTTTCTTTCCATCTTTGTTATAATATTCTTTTAAATAAAGCAATAATAATACAAAAAATTTGTATTTGAATATCAGTAGAAGTCGGAGCACTTAGTAATATAAAAAGTATAGTTGAGTTTAAGGTATTATGTAACACCTAACTCTTAAATTTGTAAATTGACTCAAAATACACCAGAAATGAATTTTATTTTATATAAAAGTTTCCTTACAAGTAGTATTACTAGCTTTGTCTCTTATCAGCTGTGAAAAGTCACTTTTTGTTAATGAAATGATAACATGTAATAAGATGACGTAGTACAGAATACGCAAAGATTCTTGTTTTACAAATCGATTAAAAACGTAAAATGTTTGAAGCCACAGTGATTCATCATGTTTGTCTTTATATGGAGCTATGACGTATTTCTCATAATATACTTATAACGTTAGTATTTTTAAAAATAAAAGCATGTTTTAGCCAAATTGATGTAATACGTAAAACAGTAGACGATAAAGTGAGTCACAATGTTCTTCTTTATCAATTTTATGTTGTATAATAAATTTTCAAGAAATTGGAATCATGAGTAATACAATTATTTAAATTTTCAAATTTCAGTTCCATGACATTTCAATAGTTAGGTCAAGTCTTCGTAAAGAAAAAGTAAAAACCATATCTAATAGTAAGTTTATTGGTCTAATTATTGGCCGACTGTCCTGTCATGAACGAATCCATCTCGTCGCCGTTCCCACTTTGGTCCGCTTGCTCCCCCGATGGCTCCATTATCAAGGTCTGGACGTCAGGTGTTACTGCGCCTTCCGACATGAATTCGTCGACCTAGAACGGATTTCAATTATGCAATGTTAAAGTAAAAAACTTGCACAGTAAACCCTCTGTATTATATCATAACAAAAATTAAAAATTTTAAACTAAATAAATTACTCAAAAAATTGATAAAAAGCAGCTACTACAACGTTTTCAATAGCATTTTTAAGATTTTCTAATAATAAATGAATATGCACCTCACGTCAAACCGAAACGTGAAATCAGAGAGTAAAATAGACGTTTTGTTTAGCGCATAAAAAAAAAGAGAGCGTGCATAGAAAAGCGAACGAGAGAGCAAAAAACCGAGAGAGCGCCACGCAAACGAAGAGAGAGCGGTTAAACATTTTGATATTTCACTCATTTCTATTAGTTCGGTTTGACGTGCACCTTACTTGTTAAACTATAAAACTTACCGGTTGATGCATGTAGTCCTTCTCTTTGACCTCTTCTTCCATTCTTTCACGTCTTTTAGCGTCTTCCTTTTGTCCTCGTCGTTCTACTTTCCTTAAGAAGTTTTTGGCTGAAAATAAGATGATAAATCAACAATATTACTGTAATTTCAAAATTTCAAATTTAAAGCCTAATAATAATTTTAAAGATATAAAAATTAAGTTTTAAACTAAAAGTCAGTGAGCAACAGTAAAATAGTAGAAGATAATGATTTTGTATTCAAAAAAGCACGACTTGAGAGGAGGTATACATATTAAGATACTACCAAAACATCATAAACTTACATGGTCTCTCAGTTTTCCTACAAATTCCAAGCAAAATGACTGTCATCGAGACTATTATATTCACCACGAAGATAGCGACGATCAAAGATATTGTGATTATCAAAAATTTGCTTGTCAAGTCAGTCGGCAACAAAAACAACAGCTTTACAGTATCATCATATTCATACGTGTCACTCATAGTCGTTCAGCGGGGTTTACAAAACACCACTGGTCGATTCCCGAGATATAAAAAGTAATGACATTTTGAGTTGAAAAGAACCCAATTTGCTTGCCAGAAATGTTTAAAAATTAAAAGTTGTTATGTTTGTTTGAAAATACAGTATGATACAAAAATTTACAGTACTACCTAAAAGTACAAGATTTTGCAGACTATTGACTAACATATTAGCAGCTTCAACAACTTTAATATAAAATAACAAAACTGCAAAAAACTACAAATATTACTTTGGAAAAGTCACATATAACGTCTTCAGATATACATTGTCATAGTATATAGTCGTGTTTTGTTTACTGCCCAACTATTGTTGTGTATGGCGTAAGAATTATGTGTTTTTGGAGGAATATGCTAATTCGAATGCTCTTAAGCGACGATTTATATTATCTTAAACCATCGCATCTTAAACTTATAAACAGAGGGTATGTTTATACCAGTCATCTTATTAGAGGTCAAACGGAATATTGAGTTATGAGGAGGTTTTTAGGCTTTTAAAGTATAAATTCATTTTTAAAGATTTTTTTTTATTTTAAAAATAAAAAATTTAGTTTTTAAGTATTATATATGACCTTTTTTTTAAATTTTATAGGCTTTGTAAGCACTTTTTTTTCTGTATTTTATAATTTCCAAGTCTTTCTACCCCCCACCATGCCCATGCTCAATACTTATGAATAAATTGTCATATCCAAATCGCTTGCATTTTCTAATTAATGTTTCTGACAGCCGGGTAAAACATTTTTCGTTAAACTGAAGAGTTGGGCGCCGAAAGCAGAAAAACGAGGAGATCGGCCAACTGGTCCAAAAGTCTTCGGAAGAATGTGGACTTTTTAGTTTTTGGCGTTTTGTTTGTAATCTGACCAGTCGGCACCAGATTTTTCGGGATTTTATCGAGATTTTCGGGTTTTTTGAGGAATTTCAATTAGTTTTTAGGGTTTGGGAGCTTGAGGGAGAAGAAGAGTTAAGAGTTCGGATTGAGAGAAAGAGGGGAGGTTATGATAGAGGCCTGGAAATTGGGAGGGGGAGGGGGTAGAGATAGGGATAGGGGTGAGAAACCTAGCCTTACAATCAGGCCGGACCTAAACTATGAGTCTTGGGCAGGCTTTGAAAGTAGGTCCGCCTGTTTCTCACTCTTTGGTGGGGCGCTAAAAATAAAATAATAGTTTTGATAACCCAACATAGCAAATGAGAAAGTAAAAATCTTACAATATTTAAATTTTTTTAAAAATATATTAGTACTAAACTGAAAAAGTGTAAAATAAAATCGTATCTTCTCAAATCCCTGACACTTTTATATGCAAACATCTGTTTAAACATACGGCCTTAGCAATAGCTATTGTGACGGTCGTATCTCACATTCTTTGTCTATAAAATATTTTACAGTCACATCTTTTACTACTTTTTACATTTATGTTATTGTTCTTATATGTAATTGTAAATTCTCAAAATTGTAAGATTTCGTTTAATTACCACGTTACCATGTTTAAACAAAGTACAAGGATCGTATGCGTACTTTAAGTCCAGTAATGTTGAAAGATTTTACTCCGTAAAAAGCGGCGTTTGAAGGGTTTTGGAAGGGAATGTTGCACTGAAGGATATCCAATTTCACATCCATTTTGAATAAATTTGTTGGTTTTCAAAAGGTTTTCAAAGTTTTCGGCTTTACTGTGGCTTTATGTTACTGTGATTAGTAAGTAACTTAAAGTTAATATATAGTTTTAGATATGTGCACTTTGTCTTGAATCTGTTTGAGTAAAAGATGCCCTAAACCTACCTATATAAAACGGTTTATGTCCCAGTTTAATTGGGCGGTATCGTATTTCGGCGGATGTTTTGCTCATTTAGTATTTACATCCTGTTCCTTAGACATTGAACTGAATGTCATAACGGTATCAATTTTCGCCCCAAAGTATTATCTGGAAAGTATCGGTTTCCGCTCTTTGGCCGCGATAGTTATGGCCATTCTTCCAGGGTTATGGCCAGATGCTAGGCCAAGAAAAGCTTGTCTTGTATTTGTGGGGAATATGGTTTATTTCAAATCTTGATGAATTTATTTTGAGTTTCATTTAAAAAATATTTTTTTATTTTTTTTTAAAAAAAACTTGAGATCAATTTTGATACTTTGTCATTCACTGTTAATCCAAAAAGATGTGATAAGCATAAAGCAATATATTTATTAGTCTTAATTGTAGAAAACTCACTAACCCGGAGGAGAAATAACTTTATATTAACCATATCAAGCCCAAATTACCCTTTTCGAGCTCAAGAACGCAAAATTCAACCCAAAAATGCCCTTAGGCCAATTAAAATGAGCCAAACTTTTCCAAAACTTTTACTAGACTTGGCCTAATTAATTACCAAGTGTAAAGTCGGTTTATTGTAGCCATTTGAGTGGAATTGGAACGCCGTAAAATGATCTATGGGGAATTTGGCTTTGACACTCGAAAAACGTTTTCGGACAGCCGTTTGGCCACAAATTCCGCTAAAAATTTTGGGAATTTATAAACAACAAAGTGTTTATCGCAAGGGTAAGATGGAATTCGCTCGTTTTTATCGATCTTCTAACTTATTTTTCAACTTGACAGTAATTTTCAATTTTTTTGAAGGGTTTTTTGAAGTATGTAAAAGTAGTCACGATGACGGATTTTTGTGGAAGAATTATTTTTAAATTTATTTTTTTTGAAACGGTTTTGATCACAAAATGGGAAACATTACTGCTTTTAGTGCTTTAAATGTGTTTTAATAGATGTAAATGGCCATGGTTTTTTGTTTCATCTTTAAATTACACTGTCAATCATATTATTCATGAGGTAAAACCAATTTTCATCTTCTGTTTTTAATGATTTTAGATGTTAAAGCGTTTCTACGCCTAAACATCGATTCTGATTTTAAAGTTAAACATGTTCTACAACACATTTATAGATTAATATTATTCCAAAATACGATTGCTAAACATGGATATTGTCAAATACGTTGATTACTGTCATTTAATTTTAAAAAATGTTCTAAAATACGATTATCTTCACCTAAAATAAGATTAGACTGTATAGCCTCATTAAAATAATTTGTTTTTTGTGTAAACACGACTAATCTTGTTCGAAGTTATGTTTAATATCAAGTGGGACAAGTGGGAAGTCGCGCAGACTCTCGACCTCTTTCATCTCGGTCGATGCTCGTGAACTTTAAAGAACACCTTGTTTTTGGGTATGACGAATTCGAATTGAATTGTGGGAAACCGGGTTTTCGTTATTCAACTCATTTTTTTGTCGAATTGCATATAAAAATGCATTTTTGAGCTTTCTATGTTGCAATAATGGCTTTTTTGGTAAGAATTATAAGGTTTTAGGTAACAATCATATGTAAAAATGAAAATGTTATAAAGAAAAGTTGCAAGATCTGTTATTTAAAAATTTTTTAGCTAAATTTATCAGTTTTTTGTAAAAATAACTCAATATTATTATCACTGTCATAGCTTTCTTCACTTTTAAAGCTTTAGCAGTAATGTATAATTAATGTTTTTGCAATGCTCTCGTATGTCCTAATATTTAATCATGTGTGTAAATTATTCAGTTTTGCACGTTTTAAATGCTGTTTTTTGTAAAATTATAGGTTTTGAGGAAATTATTGTTGTTTTGACAGTAAATACTATACCTACGCGCTATAGGGTATTTATGAAGCGTAACAAGTTGTTGTGCTGTATATTTTAATACATATTTAAGGTTTTTACAGCATTTTTTATTTTTTTAATTATTTTATGGTACGTTTATACAGTCGTTACGCAACATATTGAGCTAGGTACTTTAATTTTCATAGTAATAATGATTTTAGGGTTACTTTGCACTGTAAATAATGTTAAATTAACATAAGAACTAGATGATTATCAAATGAGGCCGATTTGTTATGGACCGGAGACCTTACTGTTGGTGGGGTTCTTCTGGACCGCCACGATCTTGGTCTTCTACTTTGTCAGTGATGTCGGTAACGAGGGACCCAAGTTTACTGTAAGTTTAGTATAAGTTGTGATACGACGATCTACTTTTGTTTTATCGGTGATTTACTGAGTGTTATAATATATTTTATGTATTTTATTTTGATATTTGACTTTCAACGTGTTCTTATTCCAATATTGTTTTAGCCCAGTTCCTACAACTACATGGCTGACAGTAAACCAGATGATATTGAATTTAAATACTTGAAAATTCTACCAGACATGGTGGTACATCAGCCTAAAGATGAACAAGTAACTTGGATGGAGTTTGATAGTGAACGTTTCTTGGCCAAAGGTCGGCTACAAGAAGGTGAAGATCGTTACGCCAAAAACAAATTTAATCAGGCGGCTTCCGATGCCATTCCTATGAATCGAGAGGTCATTGATTCTAGAGAGAAAAGGTAAATTTCACATCATTCTATACAACAATGTTACAATATCCAGAAGATTTAGTTTAAAATTGAAAAATAGCTATTTAGTAACCATTAAAACCGTATGTTACTTATAACTTGTCATATTATTGTAGTTGCAAAGCAATAAACTACTCAACCAGCCTTCCCTCAACCTCTGTAATTATAACATATCACAATGAAGCACGATCTACTTTGTTAAGAACTGTATATTCCATATTTCTACGATCTCCAGCAAAGCTACTGAAGGAGATTATACTAGTCGATGACTTTTCTAATGACACTTCGATTGGTGTAGAGTTGGCTGAGATGCGCTGGGTCAAAGTGATTCAGAATACGAAACGAGAAGGTCTGATACGAAGCAGAGTCAAGGGAGCTGCTTTGGCTGAAGGAGAAGTTCTGACCTTCTTGGACTCTCACGTTGAATGTAACGTCAACTGGCTGGAACCTATGTTGGCGAGGGTTGTTGAAGTAGGTGCTACACGTAACATTACTTCTAATAGTTTTCTGTTAGGATAAAAAAATATTTAATGTACTGTAAATATTAATGTGCTAGTCTAATATAATTCTTTTTTTCAGAATCCGAAAGCAGTAGTAGCTCCAGTAATCGACGTTATCAGTATGGATTCATTCAACTATGTCCCAGCTTCGGCCGATCTTCGAGGCGGCTTTGGCTGGAACCTGGTGTTCAAATGGGACTTTATGTCTCGAGAACAACGTATCTACCGTAAATCCCACCCTACCGCACCGGTAAAGACCCCTGCCATGGCTGGTGGTCTTTTTATGATTACAAAAAAGTGGTTCGACGAGCTAGGAGCTTACGACCTTCAGATGGACGTCTGGGGCGGAGAGAATTTGGAGATGTCGTTCAGGGTATGGCAATGTGGCGGATCGTTGGAGATTATACCGTGCAGTAGAGTGGGACATGTCTTCCGAAAACAACACCCTTACACCTTCCCTGGAGGTAGTGGTAATGTGTTCCAGAGAAATACGAGGAGAGCGGCCGAAGTATGGTTAGACGACTACAAGAAGTACTATCTGCTACAGGTACCAGCTGCCAGGACTGTGGATGTTGGAGAGTAAGATTTGAATTCAAATTTTGTTTTCGGTTTTTAAAATTAACACTATGTTATAATTGAACTGTAAAAGGTTTTTTATGGTCCATTTAATACATTATCCTTCGAATTGTATCTAAAATATTACTTTTCAGCTTAACGGAACGCAGAAGCATCCGTGAACAGCTACAGTGCAAAGATTTCAACTGGTTTTTGAAAAACGTGTATCCTGAATTAAAGTAAGGCTTTGAATAACACAGATCCTATAACTTATTGTAATCTTAATAAAAAATTATGTCTAAATTCGAATTCAGAATCCCCACAGCGACGAAGCGCTTCTCAATAGGACAAGGTACCTTTTGTCTGGATTCGTGGCACAAAGTCCAGGTAGATGAGAGTCCTCGAGTAGCTCAATGTCATTATATGGGAGGCAACCAAGAATGGGTATACAAAGAAGACAAAGGCCAGCTAGCTCATGCCAACCAGGTCATGTGTCTTTCGCTCACTCAAAACGGGTTCTTGATCAACAAACCTTGCAAAATTGTAAGTGGGCTACTGTTGGACGAACAGCAAATTTTAATCTTTACAACATTGCTAAACAACAACAATATAACGATCTAACGTTTAGCCAATGATTTGTTTCAAAAATTGAAAAATAAAAAAACTAGCTAAAAAAACTAAATTTCAAATTAATTTAACCTGTTGCCAATCTAAAACAACACTTTTCAGCCACAAAAACAGAAATGGTCGCTGAATCCTCGGACGGGCCAGATCTCCAACGCCAATCGTTGCCTCGCCCTCATCCCCAAGACTGTCATAAGTGTTCAAAACGAAAACTTTTCGGTCCAGGGAATGCCTTGTGATACTTCTGATGTGCGACAGAAATGGACCATCAAGGAACTGCCTGAGGTTTAAACTTTCAATTTAAAACAAGTGCTTTTACATTCGGGTTCACACTTTTAGCATTATAATTTATTTAATAAACTAATAATTACCTACACGTTGTAAAGCGATATAATCGTATCTGGTTGGAAAATAATATTTTTATACAAAGAAAGTAATTTCACGGAATTTTTGACCTGATAAGAACTACTAATAGCTTGTACACTAAAATTAAAACAAAAATTATAACAAACTAATTGTTTCGTCGGGCGCAGCTTACAAACTAATACTGCAGGCTGCTGAACCCAGTTTTTTTAATTTATAAAATGTTTTAAATTTAGGAAAATTAAGTTCTTATTTTAAAATTAGGCTTATTGTCAACGTTTTTCACAAATACCTTTAGGCAATTCTATTCAACGAACGATAAAACTACAAAATAGACATTACCCGTTAAACTAAGACAACTTTTAATGTTAGGAAGCAATTTTTGATTAGTAAACAGTAATTTATACGTTGTCTGGGAAGCTTTCGCGAAACTCTGCCTAAATCAACATTCGTTTAGCAAAAAGGTCAAATGAAAATGACAAAAACCGTTAAATCCGAGAATAACATCACATGGTGAACCTTATGTTTGGCGATCTCTTAAGACGCTCTAATTGCTGAAAGAACTTTTCAACATTGACGGAACTGCCTTTTTATAAATGATTAATCAATTAAGGCTGGGAAATGTTGAAAATAGAGGGTTTTAGGTTACAGTAGACAGTTGAACACATGGACGGCTTAAACCATGGTGAGTTTGACGAAGGAAGTCGCCAAAGTTGCTAAAACGTCAGGATGAGATTATCTAGGGGTATATAAACAAAGGCATACCTTCTGATTATATAGTAGGCAAAAGTTACCTCTACGGTTTGATAGTTACTGTAGCTCAAAGTGGTGTATACTGTCTATAAGTCAGGTTGTTGTTCAACTACTAAAAATGCTTTCATCAAGGACCTTACTTTGTGTTTTATTGGTACTTTGTGTGGGAGTAGCGGTACTAGAAGCAGCCCCACATTACGGTGGTTATTACGGTGATTACGGTAAGTAAAAATCTTGTTAGTGTAGTTTTAAACTTTTAAATTAAAATAAAAAAAAATTTTAAAGAAAAAATAATAAAAAGTTGTTTTAGGTTTCTACCGTCCTTGGCATCGCCATCATCATCACCACCATCATCATCATCATGGCTGGGGATACGGTGGTGGGTACGGTGGCGGATATGGCTACGGGGGTTACGGTGGCGGCTATGGTGGCGGATACGGTGGCGGCTACGGATATGGATCACCATATTACGGTGGGTACCGCAGATAGAAATGTATTGGTATATTGACGACGTAAATCAACGTGAAAACTTCTAAATCTTCTTTCAAGAATCTCAGCGTGAATTCTATTTACTGAATTGTTTGTATATACATATGTACATAATGGCATTCCCTGTAATTGATATCTTCAACAATGTCAACTTTATGACTAAATTATTATAATGAATGATTTTTTACATTTTTTTGAGGGTTTGGATTTTTTAACAATGTATACACCATTCAAGTTAAAAAGCTTCATTTTACATATACGTCAGTATATATATACATAACCATAACACTTCTCTACGTCAGCTTATACGACGTTAAAAGTTCTACGAAAAGACAAAAGCACCGCCTTAAGGCAATTTGATTTATGGCCACATAAAGACCGGGTTGTTTGTTGGACACGTCTTACTCACCCGAATGTTTTGTCTGATTTGTTTTCCGTCATTTTGACATTTTTGTCGGTAGAGTTGTTTTCCTCGTATTCATATGATTCGATCAAGTTTCAATGCTCAACGATGAACTTTCGACTATAAATTCGACCTCACAACAGGTACATTTACTCACATTCAGGAAGGTCGAACGGTTTATCTCATTTTGTGGGAAGGTCTTTTTAAAACTTTAAGTTGAGTACATGTTTAGTCAGGATTAGGTGAGGGTAGATCAACAATCTCAAAGCCTTCTTTGACAAGTGAAAAGCTAAATATTACTTTTACGTCTACATTTTCACAATAAGGTCTCAGTTATCAATTATATCTTTTAACTTCAAAATAAAATCTAGAAATTTTGATAGTGTCTTACATTTAAATCACTAAAATAATATGCAATATCTTAATCCCAGGTTGCTCTGACTTTGCACTCGGTCCATAAATCTCAAACTTCCAACTTGTTGATGACGGTTTAATAGGTGATCCCCCTTTGTTTACTAGTCATTCTTCTTTCGGATTCTTCCAGACCTCATGTGATCGCCCAGATCGAAAACACAACTGTTATGTCCTTGTTTTCTTGTGCCATTTCTTCGTCCGCTATTACTTTGTATGTGAAGAGCCCGCTTCTCCACAATATTGGCTAAAACAACCTTTTGAAAGCGACAATATTGGGTTTGAAAGTAAAAATATGGGCTTAAAATAATAAATTCAAGTGTCATTTTGGAGAAGATGTTTGTTTTACCGAGCTGTAGCTTCTTTTACCGAGCGGTTTTTTGCACTTTCCCGGCGGTTTTTGATCGTTTAACCAAAACTATTTAAAACTGCCTCAAGACTTTCGAAAATAACTTTTAAAGTTAATGTTGTTCACTGTAACTTCGTATAAACAAATCAAGACGTGTTTATTTTCGATTCCTTCCTTGATTGTGTTGTAGTCGTATAGTTAGACGGTCGTATGCGTTTGTTTAGTCACAGTTTGTATATCTGATAGCTTGTTAATACGATTTCCTGCAAATATTCGTATATTGAGTATGTTAATATAGATCTGAGAATTTTAAAGTGGATTTAACACTATAATTTCATTAAATTGTTATTAATTACTGATTTCTATATAAATAGGCATTTGAAAATCGCGTTATATAACATCTGATAGGCCGCTAAAGAAGTTAATATTATATAAAACTAAGGTTTTAAATTTCAGAAAATGATCAATAAAACGATAACAACTTGTTTGCTACTCTTGCTATCCATTACCTCATTAGTAAGTTATTGAGTAACCTGTAAACCTCAATTCCATCAAAAACAAATAATTGTTTGTCAAAAAATTGTTCGCAATAAGCCGATAAATTAATTGACACTTCGTCAACACAGAAACAAAATTTTGTCTAGTTTTTATAAAAAATGAGTTCAATTAATTGAACTTGTAAGGATCCGTTTTTTTGATTAAAAAATTGATTTCAGAATGCTGAAAAATATACGATTCGTGCTCAACGATCTTCCAATGATCCTCCAGCTGACCTTTTGACCAGGAACAAGGAGATCTCTGAGCTGCCAACTCCACAAGCTCGTGTGAAACGAGATGACAAAGTCGGTAAGTGTTTACAACAACACTTATGTTCAAGGTTTTTTATTATTTAAGTAGTTAAAGATCTTTTTGAGCACAAACTTTAGCGTTAGATCTTTTAACTTATTTCAAAATAAAATTAATCTCTTTACGACAATTAATTAAACTGTCTTTTCAGAAGAAGGATTGACGGAAATCAAAGAAGGTGTGAAAGATACGGCTGAGGGAATTGGTGAAAGTGCTCAGGACGCTGCTCATCACGCTGCTGCTGGAGCCAAACAAGTTGGTCAATCAGTGAAACATGGTGCTGAGAACGCAGCTGAGGGAGCAGGTGAAGCCGCTGGAAAAGCCTGGGAAGGTACGAAGGAAGTCGGAGCTGGAGCCAAAGATGCTGCTGGTAACCTGGGAACAGGAGTTTGGAACGCTGCTGGTGAACTTGGCTCAGGATTCAAAAATGCCGCTGGCGAGATTGGAGAAGGCGCCAAGAACGCAGCTGGTGAGATTGGCGAAGGAGTTAGCAAAGCTGCAGGAAATGTGAAAGAGACAGCTAAAGACATTGGAGAAGGTGTCAGCAACGCTGCTGGAGCTGTTAAGGATAAGGCTGTCGCTGCAGGTCAAGCTGTAGCTGATAAAGCTGGAGAAGCCAAGGATGCAGCCAAGAACGCAGCTATTGGAGCTGGAGAAGCTGTAGGAGACGCTGCCATTGCTGTTAAGGACAAAACTGTAGCTGTTGGACAAGCCGTTGGAGAGAAAGCTTCAGAAGTTGGCCAGGGAGTGAAGAATGTAGCTGGCGACGCTGTTGACACCGCCAAAGAAGCCGGAGCTGCTGCTAGAGATAAGGCTGTTGAGGTTGGAGAAGGAGCTAAGAATGTTGCTGTTGGAGCTGGTGAGGCTGTTGGTGATGCTGCTATTGCTGCCAAGGACAAGACTGTAGCCGTTGGACAAGCTGTGGGAGAAAAGGCTTCTGAAGTCGGACAAGGAATCAAGAATGTTGCTGGATATGCTGTAGATACAGTTAAAGAAGCTGGTGTAACAGTGAAAGACAAGGCTGTAGAAGTAGGAGTAGGAACTAAGAATGTTGTTGTTGGAGCTGGAGAAGCTGTAGGAGATGCGGCTATCGCTGCCAAGGATAAGACTGTAGCTGCTGGACAAGCTGTTGGAGAGAAGGCATCAGAAGTCGGTCAAGCTGTTGGTGATAAGGCTGTCCAAGCTAAAGACGCGGTCAAAGGAGCAGCTGCTGACGTTGGAGAGGGAATCAGCAATGCTGCTGGAAAGGTCAAACAGGTTGTGGTTGAGACTGCTGAAAATGTGAGAAAATCAGCTGCTGCTGCTGGTGATGCCTTGGGAAAGAAGTTGGAAGCCGCTGGAATTAAAATGCAGGAAGCCGCCAAGTCTTCTGAATCTATTGAGAAGAGCAGCGAGGTTACTGCCTCTTCGTAATCTTTTTCTAAGGTTAATATGAAAAATAATAATGTAATCTCCGCAATAACTATGTATTTACATTTATCTTCCTATAGTATACTTAAAGTTTACTTTTTTATTTTATTTTGTATTTCACTATCACATTCAAATTTCCAGATTTTATTTTGTACAGTGATTGAATAAACATTGTAAAGTTACTTGATCTGTCGTTGTAGTAGAGTGAAATACGTATTAGATCGTACGTTATTGGCCATGTTTAGTTCTTCGATCTTCTTGTTGTTTTCTATCCGACGAGATATGATGAGGTAGAATAGAAGGCACAAGCTGATGTCAAAGTAGATTACCTACAACAAGATACGTCACAATTATTCAGCTACTAAAATACTCTTAGGGTATGCAGTGGTTTACCCTCACAGTATTTTTAAGAGTAAGATGTTTTTCTAGGCTGTAAATGCTACGTCAAATTACTAGAAAAACGGCAATTTTGATTTAGCAAAGTAAGATTATACATTGCATTACGATAATACGATATTAATCAAGTTTCTTGGTAAAGTAAGGTCACAAAATATGCAATTTACTATTGTTATGAAGTGGCATCATATAAACTGTAATGAACGAACCTGATGTGCCAACGTAAGCAGAGATACGTTGAGAATAGGGTGTGTGTCATTACTAATATAATTCCTGATTAACTGTGCGGTAAATAAGTAAAAGGTATATAATACCGAGTGAGTTATTGAGATTGGCAGAACCAGCACACTGGTTATGTAGTTCTCAGATTTTTGGTACGATTCTGTCAACGAGTAGTGACTATATACTCTAAAGTATATAGAAATGATAAAACATATGGTTATCTTTGTGTCATTTCTCGAAATATATCTATATGGATAATTACATTTTGACTTTAGTGTAATTGTAATAGGTAATGATATTGTATATAAGGAAATGAATGCATAATGATATGCTGTGTTATTTCCTTATGACATTACGTACTGTACCTAGTTTATTTATATTCTGGTCGTATTGTATATTTAGGTAATAAAATGCACAACGAAACACTTACTTTCTTTTAACTTTGCGTCTATTTGTAAACCATAGGTACATCTCTCCTAACACTATAAACATGTTGCATGTTAACATGCCATTGGCCATGTATCGTATCCTGTCTTCGTTTTCTACTATTGTAACTGAACATACGGCTACTGTAGTGTGGTAGTCGTGTACACGGTAGGAAAAGAAAAACAAGGTGATCAGGAGTGCCCACTGAAGGATAAATTTTTTATTGATATGCAAATTTGATTAAAGTATTATTTTTTGAACCGTTGATAACTTTTAACCTAGGTTATGTACATATAAAAAGGCTAGGTTATGTATAAAGTATATCATATATAGGACGTAGTACATAATAGTTAGTTTATGTCTGTTTTCAGACTGTTAGATTCTTCTGCATTTTAATCTTTGAGATACTGATAATTACATGTTATATTAAGGCTGTATATAATGGGTTCGAATAGTATGTTTATAAAAAGTATGTCATATGTTATAGTAGTCCACTTATCCTGTTTAAGACATAAAATAAGGCACTCCGTACTTAGCAAAAACACTTACAGTAAATAAAATGAGGAAAATACCCAGAAACTTGCATCCATTTTCGTATCTTTTGAACATTTGCTTGGCTACAGTACGCTCGAAGAAGATGGCAAAGTGAAAAAAGTTGATGGCACAACTTGACAAGGCTATAGGCCATCTGAACATCAGACATTTGTAGTAGACGTAGGTGTTGTGGCATGGTAATGAGGTTAACTGTAGGACTAAATCATACAAAAAGGCAATTATTGTAGTCCAGAGGTATACGAACACTACCATCCAGCTGTTATATAATAGTATCTAAATAATTCAGTGTTATATTAAAGAATTAATAATTAAAGTAGTTGCATAGTCAAGGTATAGACGATTAATTGTAAATTGAGATGGTATTTAAGGGAAAAAGTATGAGAATAAAGTATAGTAATTTTAAAAAAAATACAAAGTACAGTAAAGTCTACCTTAAAATACCAAAATAATAGTACCTACCCTAAAATTGAAGTGAAAAACCAAACTTCTGGTTGACCGTGTAGCCGCAACATACAACAATATAATCAAAGCAAACAAACTGGCTACGATGTTACCTAAACTGTTGATACTGGTCGATAGACTGTTCTGATACAAAGCAGCCTTGTCGCAGAGACCGGTGGGCTCAGCGGTGGAAAGTAGTGTCATTTGAAATACCACGACACGAAATGGTAACACATACGATGGAAGCTTTATTTTCATGGCTGTTTCTCGTTTGGCTAATGAAGGCTTACAGCTGTAATTACTGTCACTGTAAAAAAATATAAAATTGTGTAAAATATTGAAATAAGGACAAGGTACTGACAAAGAAGAAGCATACTATTCAGTATGTTATGCCTAACTTTGTAGAAGGTAAAAGAGTAAAAGTGCTCACACAGCATGATGGTCGTGTAGGGTAGAGTTACATATGATTATACGGTTCAAAATGGCGACAGTTTCTGTTGAAGTCTTATGTTTACAGTATCATTGGGTTTATGCGACGATTAATTAAATTTAATTAAAGTGTTAAAAAGTATCTATAATTCTATGTACATGCGTATAGAGTGCACATCTACAAATGCTCAATAGTACTACGTACTTTATAGGTTTCGTTACTTTTGCATCACAATTTCTTTAAGATTCCTTCTTTATATGTTTTGTGAAATTGCATGTTATAGTTAATATCACAGTCTGCTTACTGTGTCTAAAAACGCTACAATTTTAATTACCACGCCCGTTCTAACTAGTTACTCGAAAGTTGTTACCTAATTGTTACGTTCGAACGAGTAATCTATTGTTATTTAAACTGGTTTTAGAAGTAACAAGTGATATCAGTTATTCTTTTTATTAACAACATAAATAATGACATAGTGAGATCGTGGTATGAGGTGATATATGCACATATTGGATCAGTATTATCGTGATATGTACATGGTTATGTTTCGACTGATGTGACGAGTGATATTGTGTTATCGATGGTGGTATATTGAATTAGTGATATTGCGTTGAAGACAGAGTGTACCATTTTTGCCAAAATATGGTCAAATGTACTATTTAGAGCCCATTACCAGTACCAAACGATACTCCAAAGGATCGTGTGTTAGAGGCATCATACACAGCTGGAGAACGATAGAACAGACCTTGAGGCTGGTAGTTATAGTTACTGTAGTATGGAGCATATTGACCACCCATACCGTAATGATATTGAGTTGATACTGAGCAGAGAGCCACGAAGATCAAAGCGAAGACAGCCAAGAAGTTCATATTTATCGTATATTGTAGTAGAAGCAGTAGAAAGGAAGACCTTGCAGTAGGGTTTGTTGGTGGATTCATCTACTGCAAAGCCTTTTATTCCCTCAGGCGGATAGAACGCCCCGCCTTTGAGGACGATTTTACCCCAAACGACCACGCCTTTTCCTCTTACCATCGATGAAAACACTTCTCTCACCAAAACAGAAAACAATTCTTTGTTATCATTGGTTGTAGCAACTTTACACTGTTAAACTCGACTTTTAAAGATTGAGTAATCGTACAAACTGTAAAAAAATTTTTGTTGTAAACGACACTAAACACTAAATACCAAAATGTTAAGGTTTAAAGAAATAAAACTGCCTTTGAATAAGTTCTGCAATATCACCTTTATTTCAATTTTTTAATTTTCAAATTATTCAAATATCGCCAAAAGCACTTTACTGGGGAGAATGCGATGAGAAGGCCGTCCCAATGGCATAGGGTTGGTCCAATCGAGGCCTAAAACTTTAGTGGTAATATTCTAATTAATATCATCTTCATACCATAAGATATTACCTTTATCGTAGGCTTATTTCAAAAAAATTGTGCAAGAAATCCGTATAACTTTAAACCCTTGACCAACATGAAGGTAAAAGAAAGAATTTTAATACGTACATTCTTTTACAGTAGTCATAGTTATTTTGCAAGTGTTTAGTCAATTGTTATTGAATCAACATTCTTCATGATTCAGTAATGTGTCATTCGGTTAAGTTATGTGACTTTTTCAGAAACAGATGTAATTCAATTTTTTGGTGACTTACTATAGATATTTTAACAAAATTTACAATAAATTCTTCAAAGAATGCTTTAATTTTTTTTAAAAATGTTTGTCTATTGACGTTTTATTAAACTTGTCATTGTGTACTATTATACTTTGTACCATAAGTACTCAAAAAAATATTTAATCAAAACTTCCTGCCTTTTATTGTAATTACCACTGTTTTTCTAAAGTTGTCAAGTTTAAAAACAATTCTTAAAATAAGATGGCTATATTTAGCGGTAAACATATTACAATCGCCCGTCTACTTTTTGATTCACCATTGACTTTTCAAGATCAGTTACGCACATTTTTAATCGATTAAACTCTAACACAACATAAACTGACGAAAACATGCCCTTGAGGGTGTTAATCGGTGTCTAATTAATTAGACTTTTTGAAAAATAAGGATTTTATTAAAATATGTTTAAATTTCAAACAAAATTAAAATTGAAGTCTAAAACTAGAAAGAAACATTAACCATAGACCGTGAATTAAACTATTAAGACCATGGTTAACGTTGTAATAAAGGTTTGTTCGACTAAAGTTACATAATTACTCTTTCAACTTTCATATCATCTAAAACAAACTTGGATGTTACCTAAAATAGAATTGTTATCCAAAATAAACAAGTTTTACAACATTGTACTGAAACTTTAATAGTCATGACAATCCGTTTTAATTAAACTGCTGATCATTACTGCAGTGGTTACTGTTATGTAAACATGTGTTTCTAATTGTAAAGTTTATACTATCATCTTATGTCGTAGCTGTCTTTACCCTCTGTTTCAGAAGTTTATTTTACTGCAGAAATAACTATTAAAGACGTTTTTGCAAGTGACATTCTTTATTTCTTTTTATTTCAATGTCTTTTTTTACTTCAATAGTTGAGCGATTGAAAAAAGAAAGCTCTAGAACGTGGCGATCTTTAAAGACCGCTAAAGGCTATTTTGATCCGACATCTAGGTTGACATAGTTACCGATCAAAACACCACAGTTAATTTTAAATCGCAATTACAGTACGAACGGAAGTAAAAAGACCGAACGCTTCCTAATTTGCTTTTAAAATCACTTTTTTGCAAGTTCATTTAACACTTTTTGATGTGCTCTCAATTTCATATAAAACGTGTGCCGCACTAAAATAGCCTTTAGCAGTCATTAAAGATCGCCACGTTCCAGAACTTTCTTTTTTCGATTGAAGTAAAAAATTCTTTAAAAAAAAGAATGTCACTTGCAAAAACGTCTTTAATAGTCATTTCTGCAGTAAAATAAATTTCTAAAACAGGGGGTAAAGACAGTTACGACACAAGATGATAACATAAAGAACACGACCATAAACAGATGTTTACATATGGTCAGTCGTCTAATTAAATCGGTATCGTGTTGTCTTGACCATTAAAGTTTTAGTACACTGTTATGAAACGTGTTTATTTTGATAACAAGTTTAATTTAGGTTACATTTACGTTTGTTTTAGATGATATGAAAGTTGAAGGTGTCATTATGTCGAAAACAACATAGTATCTTTATAAAATAATTTTATGGTCTAGCTTTAGTAGGACAGAGATTTTACAAAAAAAATTAAAGAAAATACCTTTTCCCAGTACCTTCAGTTCCTTCTTACTTCCTACAGTTGGATTCAACTATAACACTATGAATACCGTAACTTTAAAAATTATTTAAAGTTTTCAAACTTTGCAGTAAATGTTGTTACAAAATTGTACTATACTTCCATCAACAACCCTAACTTTGTCACATTTCCAAAGCAAAATCATTAAATTCGTTTGTTTTTACTGTTGGCTTTACCGTAACCGGAACTGCAAAACAACATGACCAATGAAGTTCAAAAGCGATGACGTCGCCGTTTTTGAACTTTGGCGGGATACCCTCACAGATGGTTTTAATTCGATGTCGACGTGTTAACAGCCAAGTTCAAGTTGTTAAAACTGGCTCTGCCTTTATTGTAACATCCGTGAAACGCCTTACAATTAGGTCTTTCAAGACACAGTAAGAAAGTAAAAAGTTATTAAAATGGATCATAAATCAAGGCTAGGCAGAGGCGTCGAAAGCACAGTAAAGGCGTCTTATCAGTGATAAAGTTATTGTACATTTGTTTACCTTGATTGTTTACTGTTAAGCCTTTAGGCTTGTCAAACTAATGTAGAAGATTTAATTAGGAAGTGATCCGAATAGCCAAAACAATACGTATTGTAATAGCAAGCTAAAAAAAGATCACTTTCATCAGACAGTCTAATTTTACAATAAAATCGGGTGTAATAAATTCCAGCTTTAAACTTATTAAACCTGACATTTTGAACACAGTACCAAACTAAATACTATATCAAGAGTATCAACTCAGGTGTTGTAATATAGTACTTGTACATGTATAAATTATGTCAGATTTTAAACATTTCTTTCCAAGTTTTTGAATTTGAACTTATGAAAGTGTCCTTTTCAGTTCAAGAACCCAAAATCACAATTCGAAGTGAAATTCCTTTGCAGAATCCTTGTTATTTATAAGCGTCACTGCAAACGCGTTTTTTACGCGCAGCGACACATTCTTATATTACTCATGTGATTTGCTATTAAATTTAAAAAGTAAAGTGGAACTAAGCAAACACAACTCTGTAGCATCACGTGATACCTGACCAACATATACATTTGCAACAAAAATAAAAGAATAGCAAAACAATTGATCTACTATTGATCTATATAAAAACCTACATTAACATTGTCACCAGTTTTGCAATGTCATACCTCCACTAAACTTTTATGACCTCATTTCCATCAATAACATACTATTTTATTTTCTCAAAACTCCCAATGAATCGATAAATTAATTGACACTTCGTCAACGAAAAAAAAACAAAAAATTGTTAATTTTTCAGAATTTTTTTGATATTATTCAAGAAAATGGACTTCAAAAAGCTGCTTGTAGCTTGATTTTAAAATTTTTGGCTGCAGAATGCTGGAAAATACTCGACTCGTCCTCAACTATCTTGCAAGGATTCTCCGGCCGAGCTTTTGACGAGGAACAAGGAGATCTTCGAGTTGCCAACTCTACAAGCGATCGTGGGAAACGAGAAGACAAAGTCGGTAAGTACCTATACCAAAAACAGTTTACTTCTTTTGCTATTAGAATCTTAAATTATTGGCCGCTCTATAGCTTTCAGAGATTGTAATTTGATTAAAAGTAAAGATTTAGTTATATTTATCTGTTTGCTTCAAAATGTCACCTTTCGAAGCATAAACATGATGTGTAGGTACTGGGTCCGACATTTCTCAAATTTCTGTGAATTTTCTCACTGAATTCGCTTCAAAAAAAGAAAGGAACAAGTTTATGTTTACATTGTGACGATGTGTTGAAAACATATTTGGAAAGGTTTTTCTTTGTTTTTAACTTAATTAGCAACCTAATTTGACAAAAAAAGTCGATTTGACCTTAAGGGTACATACTACAACTAAGAATTGAGAATAATAGCTAAAATTCAATCCTTAAACTTTTTAAAAATTGAACAATACCTTAAGGCCAAGGTTGTTGTACTCTGTTTTGGTTGTTTATTGTCTGATGCTTGTTTGTTTATATCATTTTAAACTCAAATCCAAACAAACACTCCCAATACGATGCTTGATAGCACCGTGTTGACAACGTTTTACCATTTCCAAAAGTTTTTTTTTTCGAATTCCGCAGTTCGTTTTACATAAAGTGTCAAATATCAAATTAAGTGCACACGGACGTGCTACTTTGTACGAGTTAAACTGCACTAAATTGGATTATTTTGTTTCGTTTTTTGACTTGTTGTGTTAGCATCATCTTTGTTTTTATTTTTTAAGTTTTTATTTATTTATTGTTTGACTTTTATTTTATGTTGTTTTAGTTATATACTTCTTAATATTGTTATATTTAACAGATTGTTTACAAAAATTGACATTTTGTAGTCAATATAAGCTTATATAGACAACTTGTTCCTCTCAGTGAAAAAGGTTACTCAAAATATAACATTTCAGAGCAAGTTAGCATAATCCTCGCATAATTTCCGGCAACTTTTACTGGAGAATGCATTAATTATGCGGAATGCTCCTCTTAAGCGCCAAATCTTTGTTTTTTCGGCCGAAAGTAGTTCAATACTTTTTAGATAAACACTTTGAGTGAGGTACTTGATAGTACGGAAATTATTAATTTGGTCGAATGTGCGTCACAAACATGTTTCTTGGCTATATTTTGCTAAAAATTATGATTTTTTTGTTATTGGTAGTACTAAAAATAGTAAACTTTTTTTACAGTATTTTCAGTTGTTTATCAGTGTTCCAAGTTCATTTGTATATTACCATGTATTTTTAGACAAGATATCAGTGTCGTTAAAACTATGTTGGTGTACAGGCTATATACATGGATTTTAGTGTAATTAGTATTTTCCGTTTACTCCGTTTCAGTTGCTTTAATTCGAAAAACAACAATTGAAATGGAGCTAATCGTCGAAATTGGTTCCGATTTGAGAACCCTGTGGCCTGACATCAAAATAGTGCAAATTACAAAACGCCAACGTCTTGGAACATGGAGTCTGCTCTGTAATGTAGATATTGGTCTTAAAGGACCATTCAGGATAATCTAACGATTGGTCATTCCGCAACAAATCAGGGATCCACTCAAGACCATTTACTCCAAAAATTATTTTTTATTTTTCCAATTGTTTTTTGTTGAAATTGGTTGTTTCTTGACTTATCTTCCAAGAAACAAGCCTAATTTTTGTCCTAATTGTTGAAAATATTTAAGAATTAACATGGTTTTACTGTTTTTTAACGCTATTTTTGTTCAACCAATTTCAACAAAAAACAATTGGAAAAAGGAAAAATAAAAAATAATTTTTGGAGTAAATGGTCTTGAGTGGATCCCTGATTTGTTGCGGAATGACCAATCGTTAGATTTTATCCTGAATGGTCCTTTAAGAATACAGCTAACTACATTTTTGGCCAATTTTAGGCTTAATTGAACAAAACAGTAAGGGTTGGGTAAATGTATATTCAATATACTTAATAGATAATATTATAACTCAGGACTTAAGATATGTAACAGTACAACATAAGTTATGTAATAGCGTATACATAAAATTAATAACCAAACAGTAGCTATATTTTTAAGGATGTGATAGTCTTGCCAGACATCAGTGACTCTCAAGTCCATTTTACTTTGTTAGTTATGCCTTTGTTGTGAGTAATTAGGTGTCATAAATAATTTAGCACGTAACCAAGGGAATCTTAATGTGTACTTGTTGAATCTAACAGATTCTCAATCAATCTTTTAGAGATATTTTTGACTTTCATTATCGTTTATATACCTATAAATTGTCTAAATGATGTACATCTGCACTTGTACTCTATAGCATTGTCTATTTAATTCCACGCTTCAATGTTAATATATTTGAATCCGCCTTCTATAAATCACAAATGAAAAATGGAGTTTTGGCCGAGACTCTCGTGTCAATCCTTAATTTCACACAATATTTATCATTACATCAACCCTCTGGCCTATCTTGTTTTTCACGATTGAATTTCAAATTGCGTGCAACTTGTCTATAACGTCATATTTGGCATTCGTTTTACACTTTTTTAATTTAAAAGTTTTAAAATACGAAGTTGTTTAATTTGAAATTCAAATAACATAGTTGAAACTAGTTGAAGTTACTTTTTGTCGTAATAATTGTCTAAAATTTAAATTTTGCCAAAAAATTGTCTACAAAGTATCACGAGCTTATGCGTATAACTTATAAGTTTGACATTACATTTCACTTGCATTAGTAGCCAACATACATCATAACCTTTGCATATTAACATGGATTTACGGTTAAGCTGTGTAATTGTTAAAAACACGCTAATCTGGAAAACGCAAAAACGAGTTGTAAATTAGTTTTCTCAATAAAGTTAACATATCTTGCTAAGTCATTTTAAAGTTTATTTTATATATAAAAAAACATCAAAGTTGTCTGACAGGGGCGTCGCTATAGATTTTTTCTGGGGGGGAAGGGGGGGTGGAGACCCAAAACTTGGTCCACGGGTAGCTATGTTATCTACCTGTAGAATTTTTTCGGATCGGCTCTGGGGGTTCCACTCCACCCCTCCCCCATTTAACGGTAAATTTACAATCTTCCAAATTATCATAGTTTTTGTACGACTACTAACTACGTAGCCTGCAAATAACATGGGAACCACAATTTACAGATTTGTAATAAGAAAAACAAAAGATTTGTATTATATTTTTTCATATTTTTACGACTTTCTTTATGCCTTTATTGTGCCAAAAAGTCAAACCAAAATATTCCTTTGCTTTGGGCAATAAACAAACTTTAAAATCCGTGAATCTTTGCGAATTTGGCAGCAAATGATTTGTTGCTTTTATCGGTCTGGAGGTTTTTGGCTACAGTTTTTTACCAGGATATCGTGTATTGTCTTTTTATATTCTTAACAATATATAGTTCTGAGTATTGCTACTTTAGTTTAAATTTTTTTGCAGTTATTATAGATTTCATTGACCATTATAATGTACTAGTCATAAGTGTGTGTAAAGTACATTTCCCTATGATTAACTCCAATTCCTCGAGATGAATCGGCATCTGGAAGATGTTTTCATAATTGTTTCAGACTGTTTTTTAAACTTTTATGGGATTTTAAATGGGAAACGTGTTATGTACTTGCTTTACATAGTCGTTATGATTTTTAACATAAATTTTTTTAATTGCAATCTTGATTTACAGTTACTATGAAATTCCAATCTAAACACACGTGTTCGTGCTACCCCAGCAAAACTCTATAACCACATTATTTGTGAAAACTTGAATTCCATTTTTGCAAATTCATAAAACATTTTTTTTCGTTTTGTGAACATTTTGGACGCATTCAATAACTCTTGTTCTTGGTGCCCCGAGGGGATCGGCCTAAATACATTGGCTAGCGATGTCTCGGGCTTATAACGCGTTTCTGCTAAATCTCTTCTCTATCTGCCGCTAGGGTAAAGTTCCCAGAAACATTTGAATAATAGTGCGGGAGTTTTCAGTTACAGGATTCAATAGAAATGCGCGTCAGAATTTTTGAAATTCAATTTTGAGGTTCCAAAGACTCTTTCTGTGGATTTTGAGGTTCGAAAACAAAGATTATGTTGTGACAACTGCGAGAACATCCATTAACCAGAGTTGTAGCCTTTGCAAGCACCGCTACATTGTTGTTTATAGCAATAGGATAAGGTTACATTAGGCTCTAAATACATTCGTAGTAACGTAAAACTGTGTAATGACGGTGTCACGGAATGTCTTCGAACTTGATATTATACTCTCGTGGCACATTCGTCCATAAACTAGCTTTCGCTGAAATGGGTCCATTTAGTCGTGTAGCTATTGGTTATTTAATACAACCCCATTACCAAGTCAAATTGAAAGTCTGTTAACTGTTGTGCGGCGGAGACTTATCCAAATTATAATTAACTCAAATCTTTGAGAGCATGTCACTTCCAGGCTAGCGGCGTGATTACAAGTGGCTCGTTCAAAAAATAGAAATTTCAATTTACGCGGAAACTAAGTCTTAGGCGGAAGTGTTAGTCTCTACTTGCCGCTGCTGACACGTAACATTTACAGTGTTAGCCATAATTCGTTTCTGACAAACTCAAGTTATTTTTGTGCCTATCGGGATTCAGACATCCGTGATAACCTTATTTATACCATAGCAATGATATCTAAGTCGTTTTACAGCAATAAGATTATATATCATTCTTTTGTCCCATACCTAAATTTTCTTATTTTCAGGCCAAGTGAATGCCCCGTGTGCCAACCCTCCGCCAGAGCCGAATCCAACGCCGACCCAAACTCTTGGCCAACGATGACTTTCTCAACAACAATAGGGGCTCTCGCAAATCACACGCTACATTGGAGCCGGTCGATTCGAAAGTCGACCGCGAAGAGATCAGATCGGTCTTGGTCAGACATTGGACTGGACTAGACCGGGCACGGCTTCACACTTTCCACTTATGGCTCTTATTTTATGCACTGGCTCAGATATTCCTATTCCATTACTTGTGTCATCGGGTAGGTATTATACAACGTAGTAGATGAGTCGTATTTTACAATTTTATCTTTAATTTAAACCTTTATAAATTGGTAATTTTAGGTCTGGTCCATCATATACTTTGTATTTTGCCTTATCTTTCCAGTATTTATATTAGTTAGTTTTGCCTTGATCAGGTACGGCGATGAAGTAGATGCTACAAACAATAGAAACTCACCAGAGTTACAGCAAAGTAGATTCACGTTAGTTACATTGTCCATGATTTCGTCCGTGGCATTACCTGTGTTTTTATGGCTAACTCATTTGCCGTTGATTTCCGAGGTAATAACTGTTAAAAAAAATTAAATTTTTATTACCATTTTTGTATTTTATTAATTACTTCATCTTGCATTAAAACGTGTTCATTTTAGCTACAAATCAAGCAAGAACGAGTAGCCGAGCTTTCCTCGTTATGTTCGTCGCTAGCCATTTCAACCTTCTACCAGTTCTTCGTTCTTCCTCGACATCGTCGTATCTTCCTCTCAATATCCATCCTGTTCAACTTTGCCAATATCTTTCTTGTAGCTTTAGTACTATACGAGTATTCATCTAAAATTGCCTTAAGGGAATCTCCACTATACACGGTCATTCCATTGTTTTGTTATCAGATGGCCGTGACATTCGCTGGCATGGTATGTGAAGCTAACGGAGCCTACAGTCGAGCTACAATAGCGCAGAAGCTCGGCGACGCTGTGAAACGAAGAACAGAATTGGAAACGTTGAAAAGTCGACAAGATCAGCTCTTGTTGAGTGTTATACCAGCTTATTTGACGGATAAAGTAGGTATCAATCACAAAATCAGTAAATAATATTAACCTTAACGTTGATTATAGTTTGTTTGAATATTAAAAGATTATTACTTACCTCCGGCCCTATAATAACAATGTTGTTTTAGGTGAGCCAGTCCATAATAGCAACAAGCCAAACAGATTTGGCCAAAATGCCAACAAAACATCACAAATTGTTTCACGAATTGCACGTACAAGTCCACGACAATGTTAGTATTTTGTTTGCAGATATTGTCAACTTTACTGTGCTCGCGGGTCAATTGAGCGCCAAAGATTTGGTTAGGACTTTGAATGAATTATACAGCAAATTCGATGAAGACGCTCAAGTAAGTCTGAAAAACAACAAAGAATATGTATTTGGAACAAAATTAAATCATTAAATTTTAAAATCCTTTGTGGGTATTCATGGTTGTTTTGAAGCAAAGAAAATGCGTCCTTGAAATTTCCTTTTTTTGAAGCGCGGACGCAGGCTGCGAAATGTTCCTAATTTGTTAAATATACCAAACCCATTTCAATTTTATATAACGTCAACAAAGGGTAATTATAATATGAATTTAAAAAGTTAAATTACAGTTTTAAGCTGACTTTTCAACAAAAAAAAATTAAAGACTAAAATCGCACTTTTTTGCGATACTATTATGTTTAATGTTAAACTAGACTTACCCTTATATCATCGAATAGAATGCCGTTTAATGTCGTTTGTGATATAAATATTATCTTTTTTAACAACTACAACGTTAAAAAATGTAAAAAAGTTAATATTATACTTTTAGAACCACTTGAAGTTAGCTTATTTCAAATTGAAAACTTTAAAAATGTACAAAATACCGTATTTTCGTACTTAATTGTACATAACTTTAAACGTGACCATCCAATTGTAACCAAACTTAAAATACATAAACTAGGAAGAAATTGCTTACATATAAATGTAAAAAATTAAAAATCGAATCGTCGGAACGTAGTCGTTTATTGCATTATACTGCGGCGCCTCCTATAAATCGGCTCGAATAGTATTTTTGTACTTAATTGTACATAACTTTAAACGTGACCATCCAATTGTAACCAAACTTGAAATATATGAACTAAGAAGAAATAGCTTACATATAAACAAAAAAAATTAAAAATCGAATGGTCGGAACGTAGTCGTTTAATGCATTATACTGCGGCGCCTCCTATAAATCGGCTCGAATAGTATTTTTGTACTTAAAGGACCAGTTCGCCCATTCAAATATCATTGGCAATCTGTCGCAAAAATTCGACGTTCATTTTTTTGGCAAAAAATCTGAGCAGGTCTGTCCCAAATTGGAAAATTCATTTCAACACCGACCCACTCACGTTTTTTGAGAAAAATGATTTTGATTGAAATTGCCTGATTTTCGACGCTTTTTGCGACAGAATGCCAATGATATTTGAATGGGCGAACTGGTCCTTTAATCGTACATAACTTTAATTTACAGGGAACTTGTAAATTAAGTTTATAAAGCTAATAACAAGTGAAATTAACTGCTCTATATCTACCCGGCTTCACCCCTGATTTTTTTAGCCCTACCCAATCTCACTCTCACCTATTTTAGCTCTACCCGATCTCACCCTTGACCCTTTGCCATACCCGACCTCGTCCCTGACCTTTTCAGCCCTACCCAACCCTACTTCTGACCTTTTTAGCTTTATCCAAGTCTACCTCACCTTACCCTACTATACTATACCATACCATAACTTATCCTATCTACCATACCAAACCCTACAATACCCCACCAGATTATAACATACCATACTTTATTATAGCCTACTATGCCATATGACTATATTATACCATTTACTTGCTTTATTTACCTACTCTACCCTACCCATGGGTAGCACACAGTAGTGTTGTATAAGATTGGGTAAGGTAAGATATGATACAGCATGCTATGGTAGGATATGGTATTGTATGGTAGGGTATTGTAGCGTTTGGTATGATAGATAGGATAGGGTATGGTAGGGTATGGCATGTTAGGTACAATATGGTACGGTAGGATCGGGCAGGGCTAAAGGGTCAGAGGGTAGGGTTGGATAAAGCTATAAAGGTCAGGGGTTGAGTAGGGCTAATAGGGTTAGGGATGAGGTCGGGTAAAGCTAAAATTTTCAAAAGTGAAGTGGAGTAGGTAACACTACTTGTTAGAAAATCAATAATTTTAAACTGGTTTTTATTTTTTTTTCAAAAAAATGAAAAAAAAATTTTCACCGCGCATTTACAGGGCATTACCGGGCACGAAGCAAGCCCTGCCCGGCCCTGTAACTGATCGCGAAAATGGCCCTACGTCCAAGCCTGACCCTGCATCCTTCGTTTAACAGACGAATGCTCTACCTATTAAGCTACCGGGGCTCCTTCTTTCAAAGCCTTAATCTCGATCAGTTTTTATCTATCCCAGATGCTATTGTTTTATCCGAATATTTAATCGGAATATTCGACAATAACTTGTGTAGCAAAATTTACGTATTTATTTAATTTATAAGAAACATTCTTTTTATCGGGTCAATTGTTTCTGTCTGCTGTTTTTCTCTCGTATAAGCTACTTTCGCAAACTGCGTTGAAATCTTTTCGGAGACCTCGAAAGGACGCGATGGAACAACCGTGTATTGTAATACTTTACAAAAAATTGTTTTCTGAGGCCGTGCCTCGCGCCCACAACAAAATTTCCTTGTTTTCCGCAGGCTGCAAGGCTATTTTTGTTTTTTTTTGCGTATTTCTGTAGCTTGATCGGGGTATAATCTATTGTAACATCTTTTTTATATTTGTGATAATAACAGCTGTGTTTCAGAAGCTACAATGTATGAGGATAAAGTTCTTGGGAGATTGCTATTATTGTGTCAGTGGAATGCCAGTTAATCGACCAAATCACGCTGATATGAGTGTTTTGATGGGTTTGGAGATGATAAAAACTATAAAGTAAGTGCTTTTAATATAATTATATATTTTAATGGCTTTCTAGTAATATATTTCAGTAGTTTTGGTTCAAAAAGTTTAAATAGGTATTGATAAACTGGAAATATTACGGTCTATTTGTAGACAAGTTCGAGTGGCTACTGGAGTCAACGTAGACATGCGAATAGGAGTACATACAGGCTCAGTACTATGTGGTATCTTGGGTCTGAAGAAGTGGCAGTTTGACATCTGGTCGGACGACGTTACCTTTGCCAATCAGATGGAGACAGCTGGTATGCCTGGTCGAGTTCATATCACTAAAAAGACAAAAGATATGCTGATTGGAGACTATAGGATTGTGGAAGCAAAGTAAGTGCCTAATTTTACTGATTAATGTGGTTTGTAGTTCTGAAGATGCGACGATAAAACAATATGGTCAACCCACGTATCATATTCTGCCTGATAAGACAACTTTGCACGAACGAACAGCTTCTATCTACAGGAACAAGTAAGACATTGTTATGGCTTATTTATACGTTTATATTATTGCCTTAATAATAATTTTTTAGATTTAAAAAGTCAGGTATGGACTTTGGAGAGAATTTAGGAGTAACGAGGAATGCTTCTAATCGAGTGTCAGTTAAGGCCAAGATGTCGAAAATGGCTGAATTTTGGGGCGCTGAAACACCGTTTGCCAATCTGGGCAGAGAAACTGAAAAGTTTGAGAATGGGGTAAGTGTAAAATACGTCGACCTTAGTTAAGTTATTGATCTTCAGGACTAATTATGTTGCTTAAATTTAAAGCTTAAGTTTTATAGGTTTAAAATTATTAGGTGGTTCATATAATTATGTGCCCCAAACCCCGACAATGTGCTTTGAGGGCACAGAATTATTTGAACAACCTATTGAAACACATTTTAAATGTAGGTTATTGTGGTATGACATTAATCGAGCTTTTTGTAGAACACACGACGAGCCAACTACGGAAACACGATCCAAAGTATGACGCTGATAGAGAACAACTTGAATAACATCAATAATACAAGGTAGGAGTAAAAGTACATCTAAACTGTGGTTTTAGTCTGAAGAGTATGTTCAACTGTACGACTGGTGCTTACAAGATCTCAAAGTTTTTATTGTTTCCGTTTTGGTAAGTAAATTACACTAAATTTTATTTTTTAATTGAAAGCTTTTTTGTAATGTAAAATGCGTTCTTCGATACGTATATATTATGAAAAATAAAATTTTTAGGCGCTTTCCAACATCACTACATCTCTCTGAATGTCGTATCTTATTTCTATTATCAATTCCAATATCGATTGCCAATTACTTTTTGGTTTTGTGCAATGTTCCGTAAGTTATGTTCAATTTACTGTAGGTTTCTTATATTTATATGTAGTAGGAAGTTACTCTAGGGTTCATGGAAATGTATGTGCTGTAATTTCAAAGACTTCAGACTCTAATTTCAAATTTTTTTCAGTTATTTTCTTCAGTATAACTCGTTAACCTTAACCCATTTTTAAAATGTAATTTTAGATATAAAGTGCAGCACGTTTTGAACTATCAGATATTATTGTGCATGGTACTATTGTTCTTAGTATGTTTAATTGAAAAATTTTGGAGAACGGGTAAAATATTTTTAATTTTGGTAAGCTACGCGGCTTCGGTGTTCTTGGCCATAGGACAGCATGTAAGTATTTCTACATTTTGTTGTAAATGTTTAGGTTTTTGTTTACTGTATTATCCGCATAGTAATTATATTATGATATGTTATGCTTTAGGCTGTTTTGTCATTTTTGTCTGTTGTGCAATCTCATGTTCCAGTATTTGCCATTATATGGTTACCTTGTAAGTTAAACCTTATTTTACAAAATAAATTTTAATTTTTGTATTATATACATATTACATTGTTAGCTATTAGTTTGCTCGTTACTAATGAAAGGGATATAAAATTTATAGACCTTTTATAACAGTTTAATGATATGTAATTTCAGCCAGTATATGTCATATGTGTGTTATATTCGGCCTGTATCGACTACCATATCCTTTCCGCTGTTTCTTAGCATCAGTCGATTGCGCATTATTCTTATTGGTACTGACCTTGTTCTCAACATCGAATGTGTCAGAATCAGCACCGATTATCAGTTGTCAACTCACTATCATATTGGTTAACATCATCGCACTGTTTCTGTTGTTACTGTTTGTTGCATGGATTGTAAGTTACATTAATAATAGGTGTAGCATATTCATTATTTTAATATTGTAATAGTGTTTTGTTAGGTACTAGGTTGTTCAATTAGTTCTGGACCTTCTTTCAAAGCAAATTGTGGTTAGGGGGCGCAGGATTATTTGAACAACTATAATGTTTTTTATCATAAAAATAGTCGTTTTTCGTTTAACATTAATTTTCAGACGGAATACGAAAGAAAAGTGGAAGCTGCATGTAATGTGGCCTTCAAAAACGAGGAGAAAGATGTCCAAACAATGCAGGACATCAACAATCTTCTTATCGAAAACATCTTGCCAAGGAGTGTGGCCGCCAAGTTCTTGGCGCCTGACAGAAACACTGATGTAAGTAATGGAACGTTAAATCACATTTTTAAATAAAATTTACAGTTTATAAGGTTAAGACTTTGTTTTAAAAACTGTTGGACTGGGCTCTTTCTTTTGTTTCTTGCTTTAGGCTTTTCTTGATCAAATTTTGCATTTGTCATAGATAATAAAAGAATTATTGAACTGTTATTGTCATAGTAGCGGATATAAATTAACTCGAGTATTGAACTTTTATTTTAGGAATTATACGCGAGAGATCACAACTATGTATGCGTAATGTTCGCCAGTATCCCTAACTTCAAAGAGTACTGGAGTGAGTGCGATTCGAACAGAAAGTTGGAATGCTTGAGGGTTTTGAACGAGATAACTTGTGAATTCGATAAGGTAAGATAAGTTGCTATTTGGTTATGAAAAAGATAAGTTTTTACATATAGTAACATATAAGAACTAACGATTGCTGTCAAAATTATTTTAGTGAAACATCATAATTATCATATATTTTAGCTACTATCCAAACCCAAGTTCTCATGCATAGACAAGATCAAGACAGTAGCGTCCACTTATATGGCTGGTGCCGGACTGAGTGATCACGAGACTGATGACAAAGGGCATCGATCAGCCACTGTAATGATAGAGTTTGCGATGGCGATGCATCAATGTCTCGAACTTCTGAATGCTGATGCCTTCCAGACATTTGAGTTGAGGATTGGAATGTCATTGGGACCATTAGTGGCTGGTGTTATTGGAGCACAGAAGCCACAGTACGACATCTGGGGGAATACGGTAAACATGGCGAGTAGGATGGATTCGCATGGAGTTGTGAGGCATATTCATGTAGGTTTAAGGCTTTTTTGGGGGATTAGATATTGTAGGGGATCAAAGTCTTGTGCAAAACGAGGGAAAATTTAGAACTTAAAACGAGTGTCTGTTTGCTTGTAGATGACTGGTGAAATGGCAGCAGCACTACCTAAGAACCAATACCGAGTACAAAGTAGAGGACTGATACGAGTCAAAGGTGTAAAACATGAAATGGAGACTTTTTTGTTACCTCTGGCGACCAAAAGGAATAGTGGTTTTACCGGTACTACTATCAATCAGCCGCTTTTAAAGTTTTAGATTGTAGTTTGTGACATTCTACAATTGTTATTGATATGATTCGGAACATTACGAGTAGTAAAGTATTGTAGTAACAGCTATAGGAATTTAAACTAATCAAAGTACAGTAACTTTTAAATATGAATCAAATTGTAAAAATGAATACTGTTTACTTTTAATGAAACTACATTTTAAACCATACAATGAGTTTGTGTAAATGTTATTTATTAAGTTACTAACAAAGATTATTACCATACAACTAACACATTTAAGTTACAATAAGTTAGTGACGTTAGTGGAATGTTAATGTAGGCGGTGTAAGAAACAGCTGGGATCGAAGCCGCGTGATGGTCCCATCGGTCCCATTTGGCCATACGATCCACTGGGACCATATGGTCCCATTTGTTGGTTCATAGGTTGTCGGCTGTAACATTAGTTGTTATAGGTTAGTAAAAGTGAAAGAGTATTATTATAAGCTCATTATTAAATTATTAGAAGCCCAGTAGATAACCAAGAATTAAAGCCGAAAGAGTTATTGTTATTAAATTAGGTAATTCTGAACAAAGTTTCCAGAATCTGAACGAAAATGGCTGTCAGGTCGACTTTGGGAGAGCGTTGAAGTCTGGTTGCCTCAGGCATTAATGCTTCTTTTTCTTGCCCAAAGCATCCATAGTATAGACAAAAGGAGAGCGGGCAAGGTAGGGTGTACCAACCATGGCTCTACTGTAAGGATAACCGTACCCATTCATTCCACTGAGGCCACTCATGCCCATGCTACCGTATCCCATTCCCATGCCTTGACCGTACATGCTGTTGTAGCCGTAGGGGTAGCTGAAATGTAGGATAAAATTAGTTTGCGTAACGATAAAAATTTGGCTTTTGATGTTTTAATGAGTAGGTAATGCAGTTTACTATACTTATCTTACTATGATGATAAAAAAGTATTGCACAATAAAGATCAAATGATATTTTTTAAATTTATGGTAACAGTTTTTGAAATCTTATTAAGGTAGTGCACTTACCCTCCCATTCCACTCATGCCATTATAGCCGCCCATACCGTACTGACTCATGCCGTACGGGCTTCCGTATGAGTTGTAGCCTCCCATTCCTTGAGGTGAGTAAAGCATTTGAGCTGATACGACTGACATTACCATGAAAGCGACGATCAGAGAGGATGAGGTCATTGTTGTAGCAATTGGAGGAGATCTGGCTAGAAGTTTTATTAATGGTTTGTAAGGGGTAAAATACGCGATTATGTTCAAAATAGGCTAAAGCAACGTTTTTAAACTGTCTTTTTAGCAAACCCATATGAATTTACCCAAAAATATTTTTAAAAAACTTTCTAAACTTTGAAAACCTCAAAACTTCAAAAACCTGATGGCTAGTCTACTCTTTATCAGCCTTTATATACTCTATGTAGCGTCCATTCGACCCAGTAACCATTACGATTCCAAAGGGCGCGGTTTCACGGTATTGTAGGTCTGAAAAGCGAACTCATACCAGAGGATTAATGTCCTCGAATCGAGGTTGTGCGCGGATTACAAACTCTCAAAAACTGGCTGTGGTCAGGAAGTCCTGGCACCGTGTCTTCTGGAGATTAATCTAGTTTGCTGACTTTGTCAATTCATTGTATTCTCAATGTTATTGTGGATATTATGGATGTTTTGAGGTCAAGTGTGAGTCATTGGTCAATATTTTAATAAGCATATTGTAATTGTCTTACTTTTGTTCAAGAAGTGTTAGAGTAATGACATTCTTATTGTTGTTAAGGTTACTTTTACGCTTATAAACTCCTTTTCCTTACCTATAAACCCTTTCAAAGGTACGAAACAATTACGACTTTTATCGCATCGAGTATCAAGGAGGTATGAGGAGTGTTTGCCGAGTGAATCGCCTCTTTTGCGATAAGCGATCCATCAGAAGACTGCCCTTATTTTGTTTTTCTTTCGATTCCTTAAAGTTCAAAGTTATCTTTTTTAAATAAATAAGTCTAGCTTGGCCTTTTGATCTTTTCGTCAATCACAATATATATCCTAATAAACTGGCTAGTCTTTGTCTAAAAAAGGTTATCTAACCGTCATTTTTACAATTATTTTCCGGGTTATATATTTTTTGTTAACTCCAGAGTTTTTACATTTTTTACTGAATGTGGGCTATGAGGTATACATTATAAATAAATTTAATGTACATTGAAGTGCATTATCAACACTTTTGTTTAGAACTTCTTAAAGTGTGTTTATATAATGACTTGTCGGTGTTAAGTCTAAATTACCAAAAGATATTTTTAGTTATTTGTGGCATTCACGCGGGCAAAGGCCAATTTATGGCCTCAGGGCGTTTATTTCCTGAATTTCATGTGCTAAATTACAACAAAGGACGTGCATGTAATTGCCAGTTCTTGTATACTAAATATAAACTGTGGTAGTTTTTAATACTTTTACAATTGTAGGAAGTAGTATAGTTTTGGATTTTGTAGTATGGCGGCGAATTATTATGAAGTTCAAAAAATTCTGTGCTTTCTTTCAAAGCACATCTTCGGGGTTAAGGAGCACAGAATTATTTGAACAGCCCAGTATGTTTTCTTTTATTATACTTTAATTTCTTTGAAAATACAATAGAAACTCTGACGAATGACCATTTTTGTTGACTGTAACGTAATGTTGTTCAACATAGATATGCACTATATTTTGAAAGTATTTTAAACTTATTAGCTCTTTGACTTGCAGTTTTAAAGTCTTGTTTTACCATTCAAATACTATTTATATCTTGTCATTCTACCATCATAATTTTGTTTGTACTGTTATATATATATTCAAAGCATAATTTTTAATTTGTACTATTAATATGTATATAACATCAACTTTTGATGTTTTACATAATTACATGTAGTTATGACTCAAAACATAATAGTAAGCATTGCTATAGGCTGAGAGTAAAAGTTTAGAATTACCGGAAATTGACACTTTCATCATAACAAATGTCCATAATTACTCGGAATCACGTAAGAACGTCTGGCTGAGTGCGTGCTTACTTATTAATACTTTTAAAGTGTAATTAGGTATTTCCTTGCCACACATAAAGATATCTTAAAGGGCTTGTCTTTGAGCTAGTTTTTAAAATTTAAAAAAATTGGTTTTTTAACTTTAGGTCTTGAAATGTTTTTAAACCTACTTCTGAAAGTCTTAAGTATAACATATTGTGAATTTTTTGAAAATTTGGGATTTAGAGTAAAATATATTTTGAAATGTTAACGTATTTTAAATTTAAAAACATTAATCAAAATATTGACACTTTTCTACTGTAATATCGTTTGTTTTAACATGATATTAATAAACATAATCAATTGTAATTAGTGTTAACTATAGATGTAGGCAAGTTTAAAAGCTGGATTTACTTATTTTATCTACTTTAGGTCTAATCTTTAATTCATTTCTCATTAATGTGATTTCGAACATTTAATTATTTACAAGTTAATTTTATATTTAATTATTGGCTTAGGGCATTACTTTCATTCATGTACGTTTTTCATAACATGTATTTTTTGTTGCTTTAGAGTAGTTTTGGTTTACATTACAAAACTCTCATGGTTTTTAACAAAAATGTAGTATATGTCCTTAAAGGACAGTACCTTGTTGAACGAAGTTTTTTAAAATTAAAAGAGATTGTTGACTATAACGAGTGTTTTCTTTATCGACCGTTTTTACCTGTAGATAGTGGTATCGAAACTATAACAAGGTGTTTTTTACATTTCTCACAACCTGTAACTTCTATTGTCAAAAGGTACTACATATATAATATTATAGAATTTAGAACTTCAAGTATTTTAGTATGTATGTTAACTATTACTTCGTATTCAAAATGATAACAAACAAATTGCAATGCTTGTTGTTATTGTAAACAGACTGACGTACTGAGAAATCGTTTGTACTGGCTAGTGCTTATATTTATTAGTATATACAATCGGCCTGGGATAATACTTTGGGCCAACATTTTCAATGGTATTAAAGGATTTACACTGCAAAACGTAGTCGTTACGTCAAAAGTAACTGGAATATCAAAGAAATATTCTGCAAAACGCTTAGTTTTTTCAATTTTAGTGTTCAAGACTGGACAATGGAAGATTTTTGAGATCAACTTTGTTTTAAAAAAGAGCTGATAACAGTCAACTAGTTATAAGGTTGTTCAAATAATTCTGCACCCCTTTCAGAGCAAATTTTTAGAGTTAGGAGCACAAAATTATTTGAACAACCAATACTATAACTCTCTTAACTATAATTGCTGACAAAGACCCTTTTACTCATTATAAACACCTGCGTTTTAAGCCAATAACATGCTTACTGTAACCAAACTTTACAGTAGAATATTTACTTTGCAATTATAACATTTTAATTATCTCCAACAACTGATAACCATATTGTTCCTCAATGATTACTCAAATAACTGTTTTTTGCGCAAAAATCCATAAAGACGCAAGATGATGAGTGTTATGTTATTGTAACATATTTTGTCTGAAAAAACAACTTAGTCAGACTAATGATGTTATTGATTAGCCAAATCTTTCTGCTGTAATGTTATTAAAGTTAAAAGTTTTTCCCTTTAAGGCCCATATTTTTAATTAGTTTTTAGTCGGAAGTATTGCCAAAAGTGGCAATGGTGTTATTACATTACAAGGAGGAAGTTATGGTAAAACGGATTTAAAAATATGCTACAGTAGGTATTTACAATAGAGAATTTAAAGATGTTTTCTAGTGATAAGGTCGTTTTTTAGTTTAATACTGCTTTGGTTGGCAAAATATTTTTTCGTGTGTGGGTTACAGAACCACTAAATACAAAAACTATATTATAGTAGGTTTGGTATAATAATCTTTTTCGTATTTCACATTCAGGTTTACAAAATATTTTACCTTCTAACCGCCTTCAGTCATCAGATCTAAATCTCATCAGCCCTTAATTGCAGATTATATCGTACTAAACTATATGTTATATGTATTGTGAGTCAGAAAGTGTTACAGGAAGGCTTAGTGTTAGTGGGCAGTACAGTCTGACTCCGATTATCTTCCAGCATTAACATTTCCTGGGCTGGATAATCTTGAAAAAGGGTTTAACATACGTTGCCACTGCTTGTCGTATATAAGCCCCGATAGATTTGGTAGTTTTGACAGTGTTAACTTGAGGAATCTTTTGGGTCTTGCTAAGGTTTATATAATAGTTAGTTAGTTAACTATTAGAGATTTTATTAGGGTTGTATAAACTTTGTGTAGCCAACATGTTTTGTATTCTTTATTCTTGCCAAATTTCTTTGAATTCTGAAACCTGCATGGTGCAGATGTTGTGAAACGTTTATCATATTTTGTTTCGAAAACGATTTTTACCTGTCAGTGCTCCCTTAGTGACAGCTGAAAACTCTTTGGGTTAAAAGCTGCTACATAGTTGTGTGTTACCACTATGATATTCACATTTATTGCAGCTGTAGTTTTTACCTGCCCGAGGGCTGTACCATTTTAGTGATTTTAAATTTTATGCTTTAATTGTAAAATGTCAATGCTTGTCTGACTAAAGAGTTCCTGTTTTTAAAAATGATTGTTTTTACTTTTACAGTACTTTTCATTACTCGTACTATATATTGTTTCCCACGATTGTACCACAATAGTTTATAGAGGGCATGTTCTTGTAATTTGATAATTAGCTTCCCACTATGACATTGAAAAAAACATTCGCACACTTTTGTAAAGCCACACAAGATACCACAATACTGTGTACAAGCACTCTTTTCGTTCACATTTACTTTCTCAGTACAAAGACTTCTTCTGCATTATATACTAGAAGAGTTCATTACAATAGTCATTTACACTAACTAGTTATACCATTACAATAGTCAATGCATTAACTGCTTCCACAGTTATAATACCACAATAGTCACATGTTGGTTGTTAACCCATTACTGTACGTCACAACATTGTTCTTTTGTTAAAGAGTCCGGATGTGATTTATGAAAGGGATTACTTAATAACGATTAAAGATTCGGTTAATCTCCAAATATATAAGAGTGGGCCAACATATTCATTTTGTATTTACTACGCGACATACGAAACCGTGTTCTCACGCACCATATTTTGGTGTGTTTTGGTAAATTTATGATGTACGTAGTTACGGTCATAACAAGTATTTTGTTTGAGCGTCTACATTAATATCGCAGTAATGTAGATCTATTTCTTTACTATCAAGTATAATATTTTTAATTTGCTGTGTTATTTAATAAATAGTGTTTTGGCAAATATGTTCTTGAATTTTCACATTTATTTTTAATCTACATTATTATCGTTTTATTACGTTTTTTTTTGCTATACGGTCTTCAATATCTACAATATACTAAATATAGTATTTCAGAAGCCATTAAAAGACAGAATCTCATAACTCTCCTTACCAAACCATATAACTTATTGCCATTCACAACTTCATTTATAAGCTTTAACACTTTTATTGCTTCAAAACGCCGTTCAACACGATGTCAGTAGATGCCGAGATACAGAAAGTACAAGATGCACTAGCTAGAGTACACCAGACCTTCTATGACCTCGCCTTTGGCATGAAGAATATTACTGCTGAACTGGATGCCAAGCTAAGTGTCTTCAACCAAGAAGTTCAAGGAGTTGAACATGAAGTCGCTTTGGTCCGAAGCGGTGTTCTGACCGTTACTGATAGTGTAAGTTTTTAAATTTAATACCTATTAAGCAATAGCTTTATTTAAAATATAGTTTTAAATTTCAAAAGCTATTTTTAAATTCTTGTTTTTAATAAAGTTCACTTTAGTTCCCCAACCGAACATCGTACATGGTGATCCTACTAGTTATCGACTTCATCATCTGGATACTGGCCGGCTTTCTATTGTACAAAATAGTCCAGAACTGCCGTTTTGGCCCCAAAAACTCGACCAAAATGATCTCGAAGTACGAAAAGTTGATGAACAAACAAGACAAGAAAGACACCGTGCCTGTCTACAGTCCCCCTCCAGAATACTACGCAATTACAGTTGACATGGACGATGAAATGGAGGTACCACCATCAGAGTACCAAAACGAAGGACGACATTGGAACATCCTGATGCCTAAGACGTTCTGGAAGAAGAACGTTCCAGTTGATGCCGTTTAAATGCCGTCGTTAACATGTCAATATGACTAGCTATTTCTAGTAGCTGCACATTAGTATATAAAACACATATATGTATATTTGTATATTGGTTGACTAACACCGATGTACCTATACCCTTAATAATTTATTATAGTACACATATCTATATCACTGTTACAAGTACGACTAATATATAATATTTAAAAAAGTATATTATTGTAAGCCACTGTCCAAAAACATACCTACACAATTATGTCTCATGCCGTCTATTAACTATACCACTCATAAATTATAACTTCACCAATAACTATGTTTTAACTTAACCAATATCCATTTACATACGGGTCTAAATAAACTTATTTACGTTATGTTTTGGCTTATCTTCAACATACCAGTTTGCAATACCCGGAATCCAGACTGTAATTCTTTTCCGTAAACAGTTTCAAAACCATTTCCAATGTTCGGCCCATCAATCTTGTCAAAAATGTAAAGGAATCACGTAAGAACTGTTTTCATACTACTTTTACTACTTTTTGGTTCTCAATTGATTTTGCAAAGTAAAAACAGTTAGAATGCAAAAAATCATAAAACCCTAATAATGTTTTTAAAGCTTTTATCATTTTGCTAACCTTGTTTAAAATACACTACTGTACGGTGTATCCAACTTTCAACATTTAACCTAATCATCAATGGCTCTTGAACGTCTGTCATTTCTTAACCATAAATTCATTACAATTACTATCGCTAAAACATTCAGTTAGGGTCTTACTTTACACAAACGTTTCACTTTTTCTTACTTTTTGTGCAAACTTTATTACTACAGACGGTTTGTTTGTTATATTAATCAATTAATAATTAAACCTAGCCAGCTTTACTCAAATTCATCCAATTTGAAAATATAAATTTATTATTTTTTGAAATTTGATTATTAGGCCTTTCGCATGTTTAAAAACCCAATTTTACGTATTAATTTTGTTTTTGAAAACTTACATTTTGTAATTTTAACTTTCAATTCTAAAGCTATGCGAAGCCTTAAATATTCACAACACAATGTAATTAAAACGTCACGAAATGTCATTATTTGACATCACCTTTAAAGTGTCGTGTACCTTTGACATCACAGACAACCATTTATAGACATTACTTCCGGAACAATCAGATCATGAATCAAGCGACACCCGTCGGTTACCTAAAGCCTTGTAAAAACTTTCGAGAACAGGTTGATTTCGTTTTGATTTATGGTTATGATCACCTGCAGTGCAGGGAGAAGTTTCTTGCTCCGTGAGAAAAAGTTGCCATTTGAACTTTTCCGAAACTGAATCTTCGTTACAGTCTCTCAAGTTGACAAAAGTGCAACGGTTTAAACCTGCTTTAACAAAATATTTTCTTTAAATTCGTAAGACATAATCTGAAGATTTTGCTACCTATAATAGTTTACTTTAAAAAACTCCAAGACGAAACTAACCAAAACTAATAAGATAGCAGAAGAACAACAGGCTTAAAAACAACAAAGAAGGCAAAAAAGTCAACAGATAAACAACATTAAATTAAAAAAGCAAATTCACTATAAAAACGGTGTAAATACAGTACAATAGTAAGACCCGAATTGATCGTAAATAACCCAATGACCTTCCAAAACAATAACAAGCATCTTTGCAAAACAAACCGCTCGTAAACCAGTGAATTCTACAGAACTTACTATACAAAACCCATAAATTATGAATAAACTGTACAGCCCAGACAGTTTGTAGTCATTACTGTTGTAACAGTGCGTGGACTTTTGATTTTAATCATTATATTTTAATTTTATAGCCTTACAGCAAATTTTTAAAAAATAGCTAGAAGCTATCCAACAAGCAAAAGCTGAAGACAATATAAAGTAGGACAACTCAGATGACACACTTTTTAGACCTAAAATCTAACAAAAGCATTTCCATAATATTACAAAGCACCACAATCAACCGGATAGTAAAGAATCGGCTTATATTTAAAAAAAAGCTACTTTTCGTATTATATCTTCTTGCAAATTGACCTTGATCGTTTCTCTTGTTATCTTACAAAAACTCACATCAATCTACTTGCAAACCCTTTTCACAATTTTTTATACCAAGTCATTTTTATAGCCATAATTATTTAAACACAAAACTATTATCTATCTTATTTTGTTCATATTATTCACATAATTCTGCGCCCTTTCTCAAAGCAAAATAGGGAAGGAAGCGCAGAATTATGTGAACAATCTAATATTTAAAAAATTATTGTATTTTTTTAGAAAAATATGCATATTTTACCGGAATTTTGAAATGTATGTCAGTCGTAGCGTTCTTTTTTATATTGTGCTTCTTTTAAAACGCCAGAACGTTTTGGAGCTTCGATAAAATCTGAAAAAAACCTAACAGTAAAGCGGTCGTTTCTGTTCATTCCGAGAACACCGTCTTTTTTAGAAGCCGTACAAAACACGACGAAAAGCGTTCAGACAAAAAACAGAACCTTAAACTTTCGCCTAGACAAACACACCTTAAGGGTAACCCTCAAATAAAAAACACAAATGTATCATTGCGCGACCTCGAGAGATAACCCTGTTTACTGCGCCCCCATTGGCCTTCTGAAGCAAACGTGAACGCCCATACAAGCAAAAAAAGAACAGCAGGGAGTGTTAAAGTGTTTTAAACCGTTTCGTGTATTTAAGCAAGGGAACGGCACCAAGAACTTCAGAACATCGTTTGGTTTCTCATTTCTTAAGAAAACTTCGAACGATTACAACAGGATGCGTGTCTTTCAATTGGCCCTTCTGTCCGTTCTCTTGATCGGAATCCAATCCAAATCATGTAAGCCAAACTCATCTTACTTTATTATTGTCCCCTATTTAACAACAGTTTGTGATTAAAAAAGATGATTGTTTTCCTTACAAATATTTTTTGTTTCAGTGTACAAACGCGATAACAGCTATGGGGATGAGCCAGTGACCCCAGCCCCAGCCGCCGCTCCAGAAGCCGCCCCAGCTGCTGAAGAATCAGCCCCAGCCGCCGAATCCGCCCCAGCCCCAGAAGCTGCCCCAGCCGCCGAAGAAGCCGCTCCAGCCCCAGAAGCCGCCCCAGCTGAAGCTGCCCCAGCCCCAGTTGAACAAGCTGCCCCAGAAGCCGCTCCAGTTGCTGCCTCCGGATACAGAAAGAAGAGAGACAACAGCTACGGAGATGAGCCAGTAACTCCAGCTCCAGCCGCTGCTCCAGAAGCTGCCCCAGCCGCCGAATCCGCCCCAGCCCCAGAAGCTGCCCCAGCCGCCGAATCCGCCCCAGCCCCAGAAGCTGCCCCAGCCGCCGAAGAAGCCGCTCCAGCCCCAGAAGCCGCCCCAGCTGAGGCTGCTCCCGCTCCAGTTGAACAAGCCGCTCCAGAAGCCGCCCCAGTTGCTGCCTCCGGATACAGAAAGAAGAGAGACAACAGTTACGGAGATGAGCCAGTAACTCCAGCCCCAGCTGCTGCTCCAGAAGCCGCCCCAGCCGCTGAAGAGTCTGCTCCAGCCGCCGAAGCCGCTCCAGCCCCAGAAGCCGCCCCAGCTGAGTCTGCCCCAGCTCCAGAAGCCGCTCCAGCTGAAGCTGCCCCAGCTCCAGTTGAACAAGCTGCCCCAGAAGCCGCTCCAGTCGCCGCCTCCGGATACAGAAAGAAGAGAGACAACAGTTACGGAGATGAGCCAGTAACTCCAGCCCCAGCTGCTGCTCCAGAAGCCGCCCCAGCCGCTGAAGAATCAGCCCCAGCCGCCGAATCTGCTCCCGCTCCAGAAGCTGCCCCAACCGCCGAAGAAGCCGCTCCAGCTCCAGAAGCCGCCCCAGCTGAGGCTGCCCCAGCTCCAGTTGAACAAGCCGCTCCAGAAGCCGCCCCAGTTGCCGCCTCCGGCTACTAAAGAGCGTCAGATCTCCCAAAAAATATGATTTCAAAACTACGAGTTACCAGTTCTTTCTGAAAGATCGTTTACTGCCATATAGACTTGTTTTCAACCAGGGATTTGTCTCTTTTGAAACAATAAAATTTATAACACGATTCGCTTGTCCTCTTTGAAGTTGAAAATAAGACTACCACAATTACTATTTGTTTTGACTTCAATATTACAGCAAATTTTTTAAATAGACAGGAACAACGGGCCGGGCTCAATTTTCAGGCCCGGCCTGTTTCTCATTTTGCTCAAGCCCAGCCCGTTTCTCATGTTTAATTTTAAATCAAGGACTGAAAATAAAAAATATCACATTATACAAACCTTCTCATGATTATTTGTTTCCTGAAAAGTACAACAAATTTGCAAAACAGTAATAAAAAACTTACATTCAACACAAATTTAGGTAACAAAAATGAAAAACGAAAAACAACCTAAAAATGTTAAAGTTGAGTTTAAATTTTCAAATAACGTGTGTTCACTGTAATAATATTTTACACCTACAAATACAAAATTTCATCATGTAACTTATCCTAAATTTTCCACAAACAAACCACGACAACTAACAAGGAAGGTACCCAACCTGCAACGCTCACATTTCGTTCAAACTTTTTTTATTGAAAGATCATGTAAATGTAAGGTCTTATGCAAAATTCTAAGTTGCGGTTTGCGGCCACTCTTGAGAAAATCGAGATCAAAAAGTCGCGTTTTGAATTTCCCGCCATATTGGCATAGTGTTGCAAGCTTTTAACTTTGTCATTTTTTGACTTTTAACTATTTTTCTTTAATATAATGGTAGAAAAGCTCCAAATAGACCTGCAGTTTTAAATTTGTAAGCCTATCTCATCTGGAACATTAAAAAAAGTGCTTGCCACACAATGCCAAATTTGCCAATTTGACGGAAAATTTAAATATATTAATTTTAAAACTTAAAACCTAAAATTTTTTATATAGGTTATTGGTACTACAAAGAATCCGTACAAAAATTTTGACCTAATTCTGAGAGTTGCAGGTTAGGTACTTTCCTTATAAACATAAAGCTGGTTTGTGAGTAAGAAATTGGTGGTTTAAAACCAAATTGATTTTAATCTGTTAAAATAAAACTATTTAATAAACTATAATAATGGCAAAATAAAGAAGGCAATTTAAAATTGTAAACACCATAAAAAATGGTAACTTCTGTCCGATGTTTTGTTCCAAAGCATTTTCTAAAGTTGTTTCGCGCCCTTGATGCTGCAAACTGCAGCCTCACTGACATTTTTCTGTCGGCCGCGACCGTCAAAGATGGCTCTTCAGAAAGATTTGAATTGAAGTCAATGGAGAACATTGCACGTTCGATCCGTTTGGAACTCAGAGCAGCGGCGACTCAATGCCAATCAACTATTTGCGTTTGTTTGTTTTCGTGTCGGGACCTAACGGAAAGTGATTTGTAGCGCTTGCTTTTGCAAATAGTTCCTGCCTTTTAGTCACAAAAAACGTTTTATTATTGCTAGTTTGGTCAAAAAATACGTAGAATTTTAAATTTTATGTTTTTTCGTCTTATTTGAGTAGTCTATTTCGTTTTTGAGCAAACTAGCACAAAGTAAATGAAAGCAAAAGATTTAAGCCCGCTCTTTTCAACTCTACCCTTCCACTGACCTTTTCAGCCCTACCCAAGTCTAACCCCACCTTTTTCAGCCTGATCCTATCTCTGTCCTTTTTAGCCCTACGCAAGTCTACCCCCCTTCCCCCCCGCCACCTTTTTTATCGCTACGCAAGCCTACCCCTGCTCTCTTAAGCGATACTCTAGCCTATCCTGCCATATCTAGACATGAGAAACGGGCCGGGCTCAATTTTCAGGCCCGGCCCGATCGAAATTTTGCTCCACCATAATATACCCTATCTTACCATACCATACTATTTTATAACATACCATACCCTATCCTAATATAATTCACCATACCATCTTCTATTCTACCAACAACAATATATTATACGTGCTCCTATTCTATCTTATACAACACCGTCGTATACGTTTAATGGGTAAGGTAGGATAAGTAACTAAGGGAAGGTAAATGGTATGGTATGGTAAAATAGGGTATGGTGGTATATCATGGAAGCTAAAACAGTTGTATCAGTTTTATTCAATTTGAAAGTTTTGGCCCTAACTTGGCCATAATCGACATTTTATTTTGCAAATTTTGACAATTTTTTAAAAAAATTAAAATTTAAGTCTTAAGCAGTAGTTAACTTGATTATAATTGACTCCTTTTCATTACATTGCACAATTAAAAAAATTTAGTTTTACTTGAATTGCAAATTTTTGGTTTTTCAATGAGAACTTGTGAACCAAATGCCGTACGATCATCATATTTTCACAATTTACGTAAAAACACATTATCTTCAATTCGTGTAGAACGATTTTGGATAACTTCTTTTTAAACCGAGTTACAGTAGTTTTACCGTAATTTCAGTGCAAATTTTGGGTTTTTCAGTGAGAACTTTTGAACCAAATGTCGTATGATCTTAATTTTTTCATAGATTACACACAATCACATTACCTTCAATTCGTGTAGAACGATTTTGGATATCTTTTTTTTAAACCGAGTTACAGTAGTTTTACCGTGATTTCAGTGCAAATTTTTGGTTTTTCAGTGAGAACTTGCGAAGTTTTTAATAAATTTGGCTTATTTTTTTTACCAGAGGTCTTGATAGTGTCTTCTTTAAATTGTGTAGAAGAATAGTTAATTACTATTGTAGTTTTTAAGTTACACTGCTTACATATGATATTGTAACGTAAAAAACGCGCAGATTTCATAATTTGGGCGCAGGTCGACCCGCCATTCTGAGTTCCCTTTTTGTTAAAAGTGGACCGAACGTGCATTGTAAAATAATAAAATTATTTATGGTTCTTTTACTTACCCTGTTGTTTTACAGTTTTGATCAATCAATTGTTTATTTAAAATATCCGCTAAAACAAGATCACTTTCAACTTTGTTATTGAATATGTTTAGGATGTGTGATGTTCGAGAAACGGAAATGATAAGTTGAAGAATGTGATCAGTTTTTGCACCAACAATGTAAGTATTATGCCGAGCAGGATGCCAAAGAAGGACGGGCGAAAGTATTTCAGAAAGGCTGGAGGGTAATTGCGTCGTTTAGATAACATTGCCAGTTGTTTGAACTTCTTCTCGTTGTATGGTGGGTATCGGCATCTAAAGAAAGATCAGTTTAAGTAAGTTATGTTTAATTTAATTCATTAGGTTAATTCTAACTTACTCCAACAGCTTTTCCCCGAAATATCCTCGGATCAAGACCGCTTTCTTGTGAGAAAACTCGTCGAATCCATGTTTTCCTCTATAAGCTCCCATTCCAGCTGTACCAACACCACCAAATGGCAGAGTGTCCACAGAGTACTGAAGCAACATGTCGTTGACCACCATACTTCCACTACTGATCTGATTCACAAACTTGTCGACTTTCTTCTTGTTCTTACTGAAAACGTAAGACGCCAAAGGAGATGGCCCTGATTTGATGTAATGGAGAGCGTCGTCGTAAGATTTTACTACTAGAATAGGCAAAATGGGGCCGAATATCTCGTCGCTCATAAGAATATCGAACGCTTCTACTTCGACGATGGTGGGAGGAATATAGAGATCACTTCTATCGAGATGTCCAGGACACAAATGAACTTTTCCCAAGGTTTTGTCCAACAAAGACTTCAGTCGACTGAAGGTAAGTTTTTAATTAAACATTATTGTGGTTCCAATGTTTTCTTTTTATGTTACTCAAAAAGTGATACTGTTTATGTTTATTGCAAACTTACTCAAAATGGCGCGTGTTGATTATTCTACCATAATCATTGCTGTTTTGTGGATTTTCTCCATAAAACTCGATAACAGCGTTTCTCATTTCTTCAATCAGTTGATCAGCAACGTCAGCTGTGACGATAATGTAGTCGACAGTAATGCAAACTTGGCCTGCGTTTGTGAATTTTCCCCAAACAATTCTTTTTGCACTTATTCTGATGTCTGCATCATTTAATACAACTGCGGGACTAAAATTTTGAATCGTTTTATGTTAGGTAAGGAAATCACATGTTTATTGCTTATACAACATCTATTTATAACATGTTTTTATATGAGATTATATTGTGGTAGACTTACCTTTTTCCTCCAAGCTCAAGGACAACAGGAGTGAGGTGTTTGGAGGCTGCTTCCATGATGATTCTACCAACTGCAGGGTTACCAGTGTACATTATTTTGTTAAATGGCAGCTTTAAAAGATCAGTTGTGACTTCAGGCCCTCCAGTGTAGACGGTTACGTACTCCTGTAAGTTAATTTTCATTATTTTACAGATAATTATAGATACTAGTCCTGAAACTCAACAAGAATAAACATACTGGCGGAAACATGTTGTTGATGAGTTTGGCCAAATAGTTTGTGGTTGCTTCGCAAAGCTCTGACCCTTTGATTATCATTGTATTTCCGCTTGCTAACATAGCAATCATAGGATAGAAGTACATGACAGCTGGGAAGTTCCATGTTGTGATAAGCAAACAAACTCCATAAGGCTCTCGGACTATCATGGGAGTATCGATGGCGGTTGCTACGGTTTTGGGAACATGTTCTGGCTTGGCCCAGTCTTCAAGGTTCTCGATAAAGTAGTCGATTTCAGTTATTGAAGGCCCTAACTCAAGATAGTTTGTGATGCCAGCGTTACGACGAAGGTCTTTGTGGATTGTACGACAAATGATCTCGTTCTCTTCTTCGATAAGTCGCTTGATCTTTCGAAGCTGTTTCTTGCGGAACTCGATAGATCGTGTAGCGCCGGAGCTGAAGAACTTACGCTGCATGGCCATTACCTAAAAACCGAATAACACTATTTCATAAAAATTAAAAAGGTTTAAAAGTGCTTATTTTAAAAGACGTTTTTATAAATTTTAGCATACCTCTTCGTACGATAAGATAGTCATGTTGCTGATGGTATCTGACTTGTTTTGGTTGATCACCTACAACTTTCCATCTCTTAAAATTTTATTTATGTCTGAAAAACACGTAATAGCAGTCGGACAGGTAAAATTACTGTTTGTTCTTTGATAGTTTTTAAAAGGATTTTTGAAATTTTAAACAAATAAAGAAGATAATTAACAACAAAGTTAAGATTTTAAAATCTACATTTCTGTCTTAAGAAACTACTACGTAAACATTGGACTAAAACATTTAAAAACGACTCGGTCGTATCAAAAAGTGCGTGTACCAACATGATATGCACATTGTTTATGAGTATTAAGTTTAAGATATTTGAAAAAGCGAGAGATCGTTAAAACATTAAGGATTAGCGTGCTATAAAAAGGCTGATTAAAGCTTTGAAATTTTAATGAAACATAAAAAATGGATTTAGGCTTAAAAAAGTTTTGGTATTATAATTAGCGGACTGAAATTTGGTTGTTGTGAAAGACATTGATAATAAAAGTACATTAGTATTACAAATTTTGTGATAGTATGGTGAAAAAGAATTAAATTCTGTTTGAGAAAATAAAAAAACCTTAAAAAAAGAACAATATATATATAGTGTAAGGTTATAGTTTGTTTTATATACACATAGGAAATCTATGAAGTACCTAATTCTTTCAAGAAATCGCTGTAGCGAATGTCGTAATTTTGTAATCGAAAAGACTAACCTAACAGACCTGTCGAAAAGTCTTAAATACGCAGGCAATGTTGCCTTACACGAAGTTCACGGTGAAACTAACGGTGACTACCGTGAGTTTTTCCGATTAACGCGTTAACAAGTCTTAATGCGTCAAGATAATGGAATTGTAAGTGCTGGCTAGCGAGGGAGAACGTAGTTTGAGGTGCTTTAAGGTTATCATCGCGCTAGTTTTTAACAATTTTAGATGAATTTTGTGACACGTTTTAAGTAAGCACAAAAAAAAATAATAAAAAAGTTTACTGCTCATCTAATGGTATTACAAAATAATATTTTAAATAGAATAACTTAAAGCTAGAAACAAAACCAGTGGAATTACTGTAAGCGATGTTCGATAGCTAAATGACCTAACGCAGTAGTGACCCGAACATCTCGCTATTGTTTCGTCAGCCGGCTGCTAGATATGAGTGATCAGAGTAACAAAAAGTTATTCAATCCTCAAAAACATTCCATCAAAAAGATCAGACATTATTCCGCTTGAATGGCGCTTAACGGTAATTCGAAAATAATTTTTGCACATAGTTTGTGTTTGATATTACGTTATACTACAGTGTGGTTAAAGTTTGTGCGCTCTATGTTAGGTGAGCAAAGAACGGCGGTAACTAGCGTTTATAAAAGTAATCATGCTGCAAGATATGACAGTAATGTAAAAATAAGAAACTGTAAGTTTAAAACTTACGATAAAGAGTGTCTGCTTTGACAGAATATAATATATTATATGAAGCAAGGTAATTGGGCACTTGTAGTACGTAGAGGTTAAGTAATGTAAATAGTTTGTACGAACTGTTTGGTTTACTATAAGTTTCGCTTTTTAAAAAATAAAAAAAGTATCATTTTCTCGCCAGACCTTTTTAAGGATTTGGAATAACAAAAAGTTACAATGGGGGAACATAATTGCCGTAGCGACCTTTCACCGAGTTTAATTGTGTCTTATGATCAAAAGCAATTTCAAAGTTATGCTTAGTACCGGAGTTTGTAGGCCAAAGATGAACTAATAATTGTCAAGTAAATTTTAAAATTTTGATCAATTTTACTTGTTTTTGGTTAACTCATTAATTTTTATTAAATATCTTTAACAACTTTTGAGAAAATTATCGTTTAGATACACCTAAAGTAACCTTGATTGTTCCTTATCTTCCTCTGTTCAAATACGTTTGAAACAGTTTTGTTCTGCAAAACTTACTTTTTACACAAAAGAAACGGTTATTTTTGTTGTTTTCCCACGTGTTGACAATCTCTGATTGATTAGATATGTTTCAACGATATCTTGTTATTGATAATATACAAAAATGTACGTATAACATTGTAAAATAAGAAGATTAAATGCATTTTTATGCATTCTTTTTTACAACTTATTTTATTGCAAACTTATTATGATTGTTTTGTTTATTCTCCTGTTTATCCTTCAAGAACATTAAAGAAAGGACGTTACGAACGTTCTTCTGACCGCCACGTGGGGACTTTCTTCATGTACGTAATATTCGAGTTTTGGTTCCGAATAAGAGCAATTACTACGGGGTCAATCACTGCTAAACAGCTAGATAACAGTTTGTTTTTCTGTAAAGTACATCAAGTCCAAGTACTCCTCCTCCGACATCCATTACTATATAAAGCGACATGAAGTTAGCAATACCAACCACATCTAAGTGTTCGGTTAGCACTACTACTTCAATACTACTACTGTTGGAAACAACTACTAACTCGGCAAGATGACAACCTACGAGATTCCAAAGATGCAGAAAGCTGCCGTTTTCGACGAACATAACGGAAAACTTGACATTCGAGACATTCCAGTACCAGAACTTGGCCCCGATGACATCTTGGTAAAGATCACCTACTCTGGAGTATGTCACACTGACCTCCACGTTTGGCTTGGTGACTTCCCATTGCAAACCAAGAAGCCACCACTAGTTGGAGGTCACGAAGGAGCTGGGATTGTGGTCAAGTTGGGATCGAATGTCAGCAACTTCAAGCTGGGAGATCGCGCTGGAGTCAAGGTAATTCATTCTTGCTTATTTCAGATGTTTGAAAATGTCATATTTGAAGAAATATTGTTCTAGTGGATCAATTCGTCGTGCTTATGCTGTGAACAATGTAAAATGGGCCATGAGCCAAACTGTGAGAAACTAGTTCTCTCTGGATTCCACCGTGATGGATCCTTCCAACAATACGCTGCTGTTAAGGGTACTGAAGCTGCACCAATTCCTGACAATGTTGACATGGCTTTGGTGGCTCCCATCCTGTGTGCTGTAAGTTTTTTTTTTGCGTAAAATCTTTTAAAACTCCTGTGTTTGGCTTATTAGCGACTTTTTTTAGGGATTGACTGCCTACAAAGCTCTTAAAGAATCTAATGTAAAGCCAGGAGAAACTGTTGTCATCACCGGTGCTGGAGGAGGTTTGGGTACTCTAGCCATTCAGTATGCCAAGGCCATGGGAATGAGAGTTTTGGCTATTGAGAACGGTGCCAAAGAAGACCATTGCCGTGCTATGGGAGCTGATATGTTCTTGGATCCCTACAAGACCAGCGATGTTCCAGCTGCCGTTCAACTACTAACTGAAGGAGGTCCTCATGGAATGTGCAACTTTGCTCCAACTACCAGAACCATTGAAGACGCCATCAAGTACATCCGCTCTCATGGTACTGTGGTTATGGTTGCTTTGCCAAGAGATTCTAAGGTTACTTTTGAATCTTTCTTTGCTATTATTCGTACCATTACCATCAAGGGTTCTCACGTCGGTACCAGAAAGGATATGGATGAGGCACTCCAGTTCTTCGCTAGAGGGCAGGTCAGAATCCCGTGTGAAGTTGTGCCATTGAAGGACCTTCCAAAGGTCTATGAAAGAATGCAAAACAACCAAATCAACGGTCGTGTTGTGTTGGACCTGTGGAAGTAAATGCTTGATGTACTAGCTATAAAAGTCACATACGATATACAATATGTAGATTAGATTCAAATTAATTTCAACCTTTTTTTACAGTTTTATAAATGTACAATAAAGTTTTATAAAAAAGTTTACAATTTTTCTTTTTGATTATTGGGGTTGTCCGAAAGGTGTTTGTACCGTTCTTGGACTAAATATGCAGAGAGTTTAGGTTTCCGTTGTCTTGTTAGTACTCCTTTGTGATTTCCATATGGTCGCGTTAATGCTGAAATGTAATTGAGTTAAAGATAGAATATTATGTTCGCATATTTTGCGGTAAAAAAGTTTAAATGTAAGCTTACATGGGTATGTCATGAAATCAGCATAATTCCAAATCATCTCTCCAGCTAAAATACCTTCAGTTCTAGCTCTTTCTAGGGCTTTGAAACTTTTTTCAATTAGGTCTTTTTGGCATTGTTCGCTAAAAACCGCGCTTTGTTCCTAAAAAAATAAAAATTACTTTTATAAACTTTATCATAATTTCAAATTCGGTTCACCCTATTAATAAGGGGGTTTTGATAGTAAAAACAAAGTTAAATTTTCTATTAAATTTTTTGCAAATTAATTTTAAGCCTGAAACTTGCGTTAGATAGTCCAGGCAGCGCTTCAGCACCGTACTCTGTCAAATACAGGACTTTGTCTTTTGCTGCATTGTACGAACTTTTTATCGAGTCGTATAATCCGTCTGGTACCACTTCCAAGTGGTTCATTTCTTTGTACCATCCTTCGTAGTGGTTTATACCAAAAAAGTCGAACGGTTCTATCAACTCTTTTCTATTGCCAAAATCACCTCCGACTCCTAGTGCAATACCGACCGGTCGATCGTCTAGAGTTCTTGTGTAGTCGGCCAAAGCTTTAAAGTAAGGGATACTCCCATTGCTACCGGCACTTGGCTCATTAGCCAGAGACCAGGCGAAGACAGAAGGATGGTTTTGGTCGCGGAGAATAGTTTCTGATATCATCTGTTGGTGAAGGTTCTTCATTTTGTCGTTGAACTTACTAAAGTTTTATATACATGAGATGTGAGTTATACTAATAGAAATTTAACAAAAGGAAAGGTTAACGTAGACTTTTATGTTACTCTTATCTTACTTTAACGCCACAGCTAGTGTTTCAGTTATGACCATAATGCCTCTTCTGTCTGCTTCGTATGCTCTTTCTTCACTGTAAGGGTAATGAGAGGTACGGTAACAGTTGGCGTTTAACCATTCGAACATATTCAAGTCTTTTGTCATTACAACTGGGCTGTAGCCTCTGCCGTTTAGCTGTAAGTTAAATAATTAGGTTTTATGTTGAAAGTGTAGATAGATTAGAAAAAATGTTTTAGTTGGTCAAGATGTAGCGTAGTTGATGATGAAAATCGTCAGATAGAAATACAGTTTTTCCTCAGCATTTGGTTAGCTTACATCGTAATCTTCGTGCATACCGAAGCCATAACAGTAGAATTGTTTTCCGTTAACGTAGATCTGATTTCCTTTTTTCTCAACGCTTCTGAAGCCAAACGATTCTGTGTAGATGTCTATATCTTCATTGTTCTGTACTATTCTTATCTGAAAACAAGTTTTTTCTAAATTTTTGTATTTTTAATATTTAAAATGGCATTCTTCATGTAAGAAGTGTTCCCTTACCTTTATGTAATACAGGGTAGCTTCTCCAAAGTATTTTGGCCACCACAACTTCACATCTTGTACAGGTTTGAATTGGTTCGGCCACTTGACTGTCTCAATTTTCTTGTTATTAGGGTCTAAGGTAGCAAAGTTTGTTTGGATTTTCCACTTCGATTTTATAAGCAACTTCTAAAAAATGCAAAAACTGATTTAAAACTTGATTAATTTAACTTACTGTTCTGATTAGTTGTAATTTTCAAGGCTTTTAAGTAGATCTGGTCGAGAATTTGGACAACGACAGGTCGAAGTATTCTTGCATAATTGAAAAAGTCAAAGTAGGGTTCTTGATACGTAATGTTTTTCTTATGTCTTACACCAGAGTTAGCTTGAGGTAACGTATCTGCAGTCAATTCATTGCTTACAGCGACAGTAATCTTGTATTCTGTAGTGTTAATTGGTAGCTCGGTTTCAAATGGTAAATGACCTCCTATATGTTCTGTCAGTTTTTCTCCGTTTACATACTGTAAAGGGGCATGATTGTTTTGTTACATTAAACATATTCTTTATCTTTAAATTAAAGTTCAGAATAATAAAATTGTAAAGTTAATAGCAAGCTTTATATACATTTACATATATGATGCATAAAGGTACGAAAAGCTTATGCAAACAAACTTAACCAACGTACCACAATAGCATGGTAGTTCACACTTCCAAAGCGTAGTAGTAGCCTTTTGGTGGCATCAGTCTTTCTCCTATAGTACGTTGTTTGGTACCATACCCATCCTATATGATCTCGTTCTTTATGTTTGTTGAAAAGTTCATTAAACGCCGCAGGCACTGGAAAATTGGTTGCGTTTATGAAATTTCTGAGTTCTTTTTGGTACCATTTGTTGATTATACCAGCATTACCAGACAATGAATCCTCTAGTACAAAAGTCCATAGACCGTCCAAGGAATCTAGGCCTCTGATGATGTTACGCTGAAAGGATAATGCTTTACAATGGCTAAACAGTTTAATTTAGTGACTTCTTTTATGAGAAAAATTTTTAAATTGTAAACTATAATCTAAAAGTACTAAATTAAAAGTACCAAACTTTTTAAGGGCTAAACGAACAGTAACATACTGTTTAAGTGAAAAACAAACCTGTGGGTACAGTAAACCTTGTCCCAAGATAACATTAAAGAACAGTAGTGCAAAGTTTAGTAGCATTACGTATTGTTTACAGGGTTGTATACAAGTATATTTATATGGCGTTCTACTTTAATGATAACGTTAAACAAGCAAAAGCCTTTGGTCGGAATAATTACGTTAACATTAGGGTAGATAATGATATGCATTTTTAACACTTAAGAGTTCATTTCTAATTTGGCGGTTAGTTATTTTGTATAAACCTTATGGTACTGTTTTGTCTTTAAAGGTATTCCTAGTATGAAAACTATATTTACGTAGTAATGTCATGTTCTGTAAGTTAGTATTGAAAATATAGCTCATTATGGTTAATAACATGTTGACGTAGGCAACTTCCTTTTTTTATTCTGTTTCTATTACTGTACTTTCATTTACAAAAAATACAAGCAACTTTTGCATGAAAATGAAGGCTTGAATCAAGGTGTTGTTACATATACTTTGAAGTAAGCTTTTTTACTTAACTGGACTGAAACTTTGCATAAATGTAGCATGTGGCCACTGCCGGGTTGGAGCGTTTGATCAGAGAATGAGGGCAGGCAGGGTAAGGGGAATCATTCTTATTTTAACGTCTGTTTATGATGTCATAAAGACTGTTACGGGCAGATCTCATGTCGCTTGAAACACAGAATAAGACCCGTAAGTACTGTAAAGGCATTTACTTTGTTTTAGGCGTAGCGAGTATATAGGACCCTCTTACTACGGGTCTCTCCAATCAAGTATCAAATGAAATGTTGGCTTTGTATTATACTATTCTGGGCTTGTTTTAGGAAGAATAGGGTGGCGTTAAGTCCTAAACTGTTTGCTTATTTCAAGTGTTTTTCTTTTAAAATTGGGCTTAGTTTTGCATAAAAATAAAACCATAACTACAGTCAATTCTTAAACTTACTTAAAATTTATTCTACTGTTTACAGCCTGAACATTAAAAATTTAACAGTGCAGCAAAGAACGCTTAAATTCATTACAATATAACATTTTGTACAAAGTATTTTGTAATTTATTAAATTTAAAGGCGCAAATCATAAGGTTAATGAACAATTGCAAATTTAAAGCTACAAAGTTGTAAACTATGGTTTATGCAGGCACAAAAGACGAAGTTAGGTGGACAATTTGCTGTGGAACTTATCTCCCACATGACATGTGAATATTCGTATCTGCTCGTGAAAGGCGCTACGGTAATTGCGGCTGAAATGTAGTTGATTGTTATTGATTTTGATGTAGTTTCTAATGAAATACAATTTAAAAATGTGAGCATTTTGCCAAACTACATTACATCTTATAAATTTCTTGCATTTAAAATCAATGTAAAGTAATCATTTACCTAAACCAAAGCAGAAGGTAACTTAACATCATTGACATACTAACAGGTATATTAGCGAATAAAACTACAGAATAATTGTGTCCTTTGTAGCTACCGTACATCGCACCATACTCTATAGGAATTAACCATCAGTAAAATACTTTTACCACGATCACGGGTATTACATTTGAAACACCATGTCACCTACTAGTTCTAAACAAACGCAGTAATTAATTTAGGTACATAGCACGTATCTTTTGTCAGCGTAGTACAAATAACTATTAGCTATGTCATCCCTTTGTCGGTTACGTATTATAGTTATACCTGTTTCTATGAAGTCTCTCTATTTATGGAAATGTATAATAAATAGCAGAAAGTAACTTACAACTGCTTATACTAATTATTACTACTAGTTTGATCTCTACTGTTTAATAATTGGCACCATGCTGAAAGCTAAACTCTAAAATTATCGACCAAACTAGTTGTTACTGTACTGTAAATTTCGAAAAAAGTAAAAGTCGTGTCTTTTCTGGAAGATACATGTTTATATAGTAAAACAAAACCTACTACAATATTTGAAAAATAACCCACTCTCAAAGTGTTACTCAAAAATATATTTATATTGTTGTCGGTTATGTAATTGTGTAAGTTAGCGAAGTGGAGTCGAACACATTACGTACAATATCTACGAGTGAACGTCTGGGTATGTGCAAGATACGAAGATCTTTTTAAATTTAACTACAGTTTGTATTTTATTTTGATTAATCTAACAACATATAGTTATGTCACAAACTATAGAGTAATATTTTTTTTATTATTTTAACAAGTACAATTACAACAACTAAGGTAACATAACAGTTCATGGTCGGAAAACGTCAACAGATGAATTGAAGACACCATTGAATTTGTGTCCCACATGACATGTTACGATTCGTATTTGCTCTTGAAAGGCGTTACGGTAATCCCGGCTAAAATGCTGCCAGTTAGTGTGTTCCACTTAATTGGTTTATACGCTCAGTAAAAAAGAAATACGATTACATAAACAGTTTTTGCTAAACTACATTATATTGTTATTGTGGGTAGGTATTGTACTGACAGGGTTGCATTTGTACGCCTTATATGTCTTGTGAAGGTATGAAGGTTAAGTGAAAACATATTGAAGTCGATGACACAAACCTTATATTATACTAGTTTTTTTACAGTTTTAAACTTATATTTGAAGCGTTTAAAATGAAGTATATACAAAACATACCTGAAGATATAGAGTAAAGGATAGCTCAAGGCCATGGACACATTGATTGGCAGTCCATGAAACAGTATCATTGAATACCGAGGTACTGTGTTGTTGTTACCCTTGACAGCCAATCCTATTGATATCAACCATCCCGTACAGATACACAACGTCGTCGAAGTAACAGCAATCAGTACCTTTTGTGACTTTGTGTGACTTTTATTTTTGACGTAAGTCCACATTACTAGGTAGAGGAACAAAGTAACTAGACATATAAACAAGTTGGCGGCAAAGTACTGCTTGTCATACTTATGAGGTAACCCTTCGAACAACCCACAAGTGCTGTCTATATCTCTTGGGTTCGTTAGGTACGTTTCTATTGAAACTGTAGAAGCAAAAAGAAGTGCGGCTACTATGCCTGAGGTCATGGTATATGCGCGGGACATGTTTTGGTATCTAAAAATTGAAAAATATTTAAAATTTAATATAATTTAACATAATATATAAGGTAATAAAGTTAAATTTGAGTAAAGATAAAAAGAGCACCCCCGTATTGCCGACAAATATGTCACTTACACTGTTGGAAACCCGATGCAAATGAACCTGTCAACAGCAATGCTTAACAACATCACAGCTGACATATTAAAACCGAACATAGGTATACATTGGAGGTAGAAACATGTGTTTACAGAAAAAATAAAGTTGTTAGTTAATGTCATGTACACTAAAATAAAGTGAGTACATTGATGAGCAGCATCTCCTAAGGCAGTTAAGGCTATGAAGATATGACAAGTTGTTTTGATGCTTCTGAAAAGACTATCATAACAACGTGAATAACATTTATAATATTATAATATATATAATACAAGTTTATAATAGTACGAGTACAGTAAACAAATTATGCTTCTGTAGTCTACCGTATTTTTGAATGCTAAATAAATTGTAAATTACAAAAATTACCTTTTTCGAATAGTAGCCCAAATAATGTTAATATTGCCTGTAATTCCAACCACTGCTAACACAAACATGCATACGGTAGCTTGTGGAACGTCCTCGTCAACAATGACACCCATCTAGTGAAGATATGGCCAAATATAATAGGAATTGGTTTATTGGCCCTTAAAAAAATTAAAATAAAAAATTTAAAAAATGGCAAAGAATGATAAATAACTTGCTCCCGGAAGGGTTAGTACAGTTAGTCATAAAACGACCGTCTGAACAAACTAGATTACATATAATTACGTTGCGTCTATTACGTTAACAAAACTCTAATTAATTTTTGAAAGGTATAATGCACTTCTGTAGACATATTAAACTAAAATCATTAGCTATGAGATATAGGTAATGTTGTGGGATTATCGTATGAAAGAAGAATGAAGAAGTACTAATGTTAAAAACGATTTTTGCTACCTTTTCCCTTCCAAAACGTCACTTCAACCTTCTTCCATGCATGACTTTTGGGAAAGGCGGATCTTTAGGCTATACTCTAAGCTCTTACTGTTTTCAGTCTTGTATACAACCAATATTAAACTGGCACAATTTAATACAGAAAGAAACTCATTAAAAACAAACGCTGGTGTTACATACCAAGGCATTACTACTTTGGCATCAGTTTATAACATGTACTTATAAACTAATCTGTATTTCCTTAAGAACTCTTCAATTTAACGTACCTTAAATAGCCAATATTACACGAATTCAACCCTACTATCAGTTTACAAAAAAATGCTCGCATTTGTACCGTAGCCACTCGCTTATATACAGAGCTTTGGCTAGATACAATAGTTGTAAAGATGAACCACTTCAGGTTTTGTTTAAAAACAACTCTGTAAACATATTTTCATAACCAGTAATTTTGCTCTAATTATTTATATTTTGGGTTTCACGGGCTACATTTCGAGACATCGGCGGTGCCACGGCGTCAACGGTGGACGTGCAGAATCAAAGTTACTTTTAAATAGAAACTTGGTTCACAAAAATTTTTCATCTTATATATCACTTTTTTTCCAGAAAAATTTATTAATTTTAATTTACAGTAATCTAAATTTTTATGAATAATGCGAATTAAAAAACCTGGGCAAAAAGGTAGGAGAAGAACGAGGGAATAGCATTAGAAACATTAAGAACCTAGTTCGTGCCCTCCCCTTTAGACATGAGAAACGGGCCGGGCCGGGCCCAATTTTCAAGCCCGGCCCGGCCCGATCAGAAAATTTCTAGGCCCGGCCCGGCCCGTTTTAAAAAATTTTAAAAATTTTAAAACTTAAAAACTAAACGGAAAATTGGCTTTAAATTGTTTTTTTAGATCATTTATGGATCATAGAACCCAATAAAATCTAAAAACATAAACGAGGATTGAAATAAAAAATTTTAAAAAATTTAGAAATTTTTTTTCCAGGCCCGGCCCGACTTTCCAAGGCCCGGCCCGATCTAAAATATTGCTCAAGGCCGGGCCGGCCCGGCCCGTTTCTCATGTCTACTCCCCTTTAATGCACTATTTTGACTGTGCTAAGCTTCAATTTTGTTGTGCCCCACTCTCAGGCAGACAATGCTATGCAGAGAATGATCAGCCTTGCACAATTGCTATGATAAGCCGAGCAAACCGTGTCTCAAAGTTTCACCTATTACATTAATATTATTTTGAAACAAATTAAAAACTGTTATAATATAAACAAATCATATCATACACATTCTCATCTTTATCAAACAGTAAACTTTGTCACAAAGTACATGTTCTCGTTTGTAATCTTTAATGAAACATACATATTGTACCTACAAAATGATATTATGTGACATAAAACAAAACAAACTTATCAACACCGTAAGTACAACAACGCAGTATTGTTACTCACATCCAAAGTACAGTTAGTGGCAGTGGCCACAAGTAATCGAAAAGGTCGCGATAGGCGATCGGGACTTAGGTGGCAGAGAGGGGAAGAGAGGACGGAGCCGCGAGGCGGCGAGATTATATTCTCTTCTAGATTATGTTTTCATCTTTGTTTTATGTCTTAGTAACCTTATATTGTAATCAGCATTTAGTAGTGTTATTATATGATTGTATTTGAATAGTCTATGCTATAAGATGTAACAATAAATAAATATTTTATAAATCATTCGGACAATGATTTAACTGTACCTAATTGTATTTTATGTTAACCTTGTATTAGATGTTGTTAAATAGCTGCAGACATATTGCGTTAGTTTATATAAAAATATTATTCATATATACGTGTAGCATACGTTTTGACTATAATTTTGTTGATTTAAACACGCAAAAACAATTTGTAAATTATTAGGTCGTTCAAATAATTCTGTGCCTCTATTCCTAAAAATTTACTTTGGAAAAAAGCCCATAATTAATTGAACAATCTAATAAATTGTATTTCTTAACTTAAAACTCAAAAAATATTTACCACTATTAAAGCCAACTTGTAATCGATGTTTTGATAAAAATTTTACAATTTGAATAATATTTGCCAACTTCAATTTATTGCATTTGAGAAAAAAACATTGTATTCATAAACTAAAAAATGGCACAAATGGGCGCCAGATTATACAAAGAAGATACCAACAGGTGTAGAAGACATACTATTGAACGTATCTCCAAATGTGTCTCAAGCTTTTAACTTAGCCATTTTTTGACTTTTAATCATTTTTCTCTGATATACTAGTAGAAAACCTTTAAATAAACCTACAATTTTAAATTTGTAAGCGTAGCTTGCCTGGAAAGTCAAAAACAGTTATTGAAACACAATGATAAATGTGCCAAATTGGCGGGAAACTCAAACATTTAAAATTTAAAACTCAAAAGCGCAAGCTTAAATTTTGTATAGCTACTATTGGTGGTACAAAGCACTGATATAAAAATTATTAGCTGATAAGAAAAGGCAGGTTGAGTACTTTCTTTGTAAGCGTAGACTTTTCTACTAAAAAACTTAAAATATACGCAATAAACTACAAAAAAATGATGACATTGTACCCAAACTTGAAGAGCTTATGACTAACGGCGCTTTGTACGACAAGCAAAATTATATGCTATTGGGTTCAACGTACCACACTACATCAAAAACTGTCATTAAGTTTAGAAAAAAGAACAATAGGTGTACTATAAATACCTGTAATTAGAATGTCACGACTGTCATAGTACCATAAAGATGTCAAACCATCCTCAATTACGTTTACTTAAAAAATAATGAGAGGAGTAAGTTTAAAATTTCTGCCTACAAGTAAGGGCTTGAAAACTTTCTTCCTATTTTTGAAAAACAGCTCTAAAGACTTCCAAAAATTTTTACCCGTCACAGCCCGGTCATTTGTATCTATATTATCGTTGCTTCAAGATTGCATAGAAAAGGCTGTTTACATTCTAAAGAATATTGTGCTATTTTATTAGTAGTCGGTTGGAAAATGTGCAATTCGAATTATGTTTTTGCAATTTATTGCCTTTTAACATTAAAAAATGAAATATTATGCTGTTCAAATAATTATGTACCCCTAATCCCAAAAATTTTCTTTGTGAGAGCACAGAATTATTTAAACAGCCTAATATAAATTAAAGCACAAAGTTTGCAGCACCAGCTCATGCAAAGAAGATACCAACAGATGTAGAGAACATACTATTCAGCTTATCTCCAACATGACACGTTAATATTCGTATCTGTTCTCGAAAAGCGTTACGGTAACAACGGCTGAAGTGATTACAGTATTAACTTTAAAGTCATTTTGTACATTTAAATAGAAAAATTTAAAAAAGCATAAGTCTCCTTCTACCTAAATATGAAGAGCAAAGGATAACTCAACATCATTGACATATTCACGGGAATACCAGAATAAACCAACACAGAGTACCGCTGACTTTCAAAGTCACCGTACATCGAAGCATAACCCATGGAAATCAACCATCCTGTACATATACAGAACGTAGTAGAAGTAACGGCCAGCAGTATCTGACGAGACTTTTGGTAGTTTTTATGTTTGACATATATCCATATTAAGACATAAATCAATAAAGTAACGGCACATATAAGCATATTCGCTGTGAAATATTGTTGCATATAAGGTAGAGGTAGCCCTGCAAGTAGACCACAAACGCCATCTCCATCCATTGGATTCGTAATAAAGGCGGTTACTGTAATCGTGTAGGCATAGAAGAAAGCAGCCAATATTTCTAATGTCAATATATATGTTCTTGATATACTTTGGTATCTAAAGTAAATTAGATATGTAAGGAATGAGAATCTACTACGAACCATATTATGAAAGAAAGTTTGCTGCAATGTATAAACTAAATACATAAATATAAGTTTTTAAAACTTACACTGACGTAAATGTGATACAAATAAGCCTATCAATAGCAATATTGAGCAACATAACAACCGAGATGTTGAACCAAAACATAGGCATACATTGAAGGTAGAAACATGTTTTCTTAGAAAATATAAATGTTCTTGTCAAAGTCATATATAGTAATGTGAAATGAGTTAACTGATGCACTGCATCTCCAAATGCTGTTATGGCTATAAACATATGACAACACGTCGTCTTGATGGTCCTGTAAAGTAAGCGTTACTTAGCTACAAAACACTTGCACCGCTGCTCAACTTCTTTTCTAGCACAAGAGTAGTAAAATAATATCTTCGAAAGATAGAACCTTGTAAGCTTAAAAAATTAAAATTCATTTTAAAATTTTTGAAAATTACCGTTTTCGAACCGTCGCCCAAACAATGTTAATATTCCCTGAGATTCCCATCAAAGCCAATATCAATATAACTACTGTAGCCAAGGGAAGACCATCATCAATAATTTCTATCATTTGATGAAAAGATACCAAAATTTACACTAGAACTATCACTCAAACACACCAGGAAGATACTCCAAGGGACTATCACAGTTTTAGTTACTGTTATATGGCAAGTTTTTAACTACTATGATAAACAAGATGGAATGTTATTTAGTTAACCTACTAAAGTGTTCGGCTGAACAACATATCATATAATCTTGTTAAAACACTCTCATTAAGTTTTGAAACAGATCATTTACACTTCTAAACGTGCTAATTTCTGTAATGTAAATGTGTACTACACAATACATGACATTAAAACGTCATGATTGTCATTTAGAAGCACTTTTGCGACATAAAATGTCAGCTTTATTAGACTTACACGTACTCTTAAAAGAATGCATAAAGCAATGATGTTGATTATTAACTTCATTAGTCTAATATTACTACAGCTAAATTTCATTCTTGTATTATAATTAGCCCATTATCAAAGAACTTCTAATCTTTATTATTTATGCCTAATTGTAATTTTATTTTTACATAGTAAAAAATATAAATTATCATCTACAACATATACCCGTTGGAAAAGCCATTAAAAGTTACATTAGACAACTACACACATCTTGCAGTAATATTTGTTTACACCCGTTTTTGGCCTCGAATATCATTGACTTGGCCACCATTCTGGCCTCGTTCGTATCTACATTGTAATTGATTTGAGATCGTATGGAAAAGTCGGTAGACTGTTCTGACTTTACATTCTTCCAGAATATTGTGATTGGCATGTCGAGTCGTACCTCAACACTGTCTAACCTGGTCGGTAGTACTGTAGTATGAAAGTTGTTTATCCTGTCGGTCATATTGTAAGAGTACACATATAACCTGTCAGGCCGAGCATAGTCAACCGAGTCTACACACGGTAAACGATACAATTGGTTCAAGATACGATGCTCGTTAGTGTTTATGATTATGTCCTATAAGAAAATGCCAGTTCAGTATCTTAAAACAATATGAATATACTGTAACTGATAGTATAAAAAATAACTTTACCATACCCTATCATTCAAGCTCAAGACTTGGTCAACAGCCACCTCTCTCATACACCCACAGTATTCATCAGTACTAAATATATGTCGACATTCCCTGATAGTTGACACTTCTCTCAACAGTGACATTCCTACCGTAGACCTCTCATACCCCAGTAGATCTTTTACTGTTTCGTATATGTCAAAGTACGTAGTGAGTCTGTTCTCATTCATCTTCAAGTTGATATACTTGTCAAGATGCGAATGCTTATATGACTTTGGTACACTCATGGCCAAGAGCGGAAACTTATTCTCCAGATTGCCAGTTACGGTATGTGGAATAGGACCAAAGCTAGCTTCTTGAGTACTACTGAGAATCAGAATTGTTTTGTCGAGAGCTCCAGATGATTGAAGAGTGACAAGTGTATTGTAAAGATATTCATCGATTTCCGGAATTACACCGTAAAATTGTGTAGCAGCTGAGACTATATTAACGGACAATATTGATGACGTATTGTAATGTCGTATAAAGCTAAAAGTGTGTCAATATTAAAGCAATAAATTTGAAAACATTAAAAAACTTACCGTTCCATCTCATCGATTGTCCTCATCGATGTCATTTTACCATTATGACATATAGGAAACAAAGAAATCTTTTTCAGAATCTGATGAAACCTTCTAAAACCCAAATAAAAGTTAAAGTAAAAGAGATTGCATTACTTTTAAAAAAATCTTTAAAACTGTATTCAAGGTACTAAAATCGTAATTTACAAATTAAAGCCCAAGCAACTAAAGTATTTTACCGTAAATTTACATCCACCGAAAGCTGAATCTTCTTGTTTAGACCTTCCAACTCTTTCAAAAAGTCGCTGTCATCGTTGAAATGGGTAACATATCCTTTATCATTAGCTACATCAAATAACCACCCAATATCACCATAAAGTTGACTTCTGGAAAGCTGCATCAATGTTGGCATAGAAGCATTTAAACCATTATGTTCAGGTTCCAAGACTTTACCAGTCAGTGTAGCAAGTATGTTCTGGTATGAGTCTTTACTAATCTAAACAGTAATATTGTACGTGTCTCTATTTTTTTACTACACCAAAGTATATACTTTACAGAAAACCATAAGACGCTGAATTTTAATGTAGGATCAATTACAATACTGTTTTAAGATATCTTAACACTACAACTTTAAAACCAATGTTACCCTATTGAATCCCTTCATGAAAGCCGTGTTCTTCTTGTCCAAAAACAATTTTGTCAATGGCATCTCACGTTGGAATCCGTTACTCGTCACACCGTCAATCAACAGAATCACAATGCTTGGCTTTTCTTCAGATGACAATACTTCATTTTCTTGTACCTTATTTCTGTTGAGGTTACTGTAAACATCATTAAAAACTACTTTTTCATTTGCATCTGTACATTTTACAGTGTATTCTGGTGAAGCTACACGTTTTTCTTCATCAAACCAATGCTAAAAAAAAAAATCATTTGAGCAGCCCTTGGTAATAAAGAGCAAGGTTGTTCGACCAGTCGTTAGCCATAAATAATAATAATAAACCATAATAAATAAACAACATACAACTGCATCTACTGTGCCATTTAGAAAGTCAATATGACAATTATAAAAACCTTGATTTGAACTTTCAAACTGTAACATGTCTTCTGCTGATCGTCTTACGACGTCAAGATCATTATATAACGGACATTCAAATATAGACCTATTGTACAAATTTAAAAACGGTACCACATCTGGTTCAGCTAAAACTACGTAATAAAAAACAGTTAGCATATCTTTGCAACAAGATGTATAATAGTTACAATGCAATTTTTAAATAAAGCATTTTTTTCGCATTTTACAACTTACCTGCCGTTATAATTGATAAAACGCATTTATTAGATAAAACATGACTATAGTTGTAATTATAACCATAACTTTTAGTAAAATCATCAGCATTATATTGGAAATCCATCCACAGTAATCTTTTATATCTTTGGAAAAAGTTGTGCATTAGGACAACGAATATTACTATTAACAAGATCAAAGACTTGTTCTGCAAATACAGTACGTAAAAAAACGCAATTAAATAACATAACAGCACTATAAAAGCACAATTTAAAAATTCAAAAATAAATTCTTACCCTCCAGTAATTTCCGCTGACTTTCCGCAACTGACATTTTAAATACCGTAACTCTAGGGCCAGTAGCCGTAGACTTGCCACAAAAAAGTTTCTGAAAAACATATTTGAAGATTCTAAAACAACAAGTGAATCCTCGTCAACTTTGAACTTGAGTTTGACGGAGGCATCTGATTTTAGATAACAAACTGGATTCACGGCTTTTAAATTTCAAAACTTTAATTCGCAAAAAAAACAATCTTCTTCATGCAGTTTTAAAAATTTTAAATTTGCAACATGTAAAATTAAAAAATTTTAAATAGAGAAATAAGAATATAAAATCGCCAATTGGGCTTAAATTACAATTTATTGTAAATTGTCTTGAAAACCTGGCCATATCATTATATTATTGTATTTGAAAAAGCTTTCGCTTTCCATTTTAGAAGATACGACATGTTAAAACAACTTTCATCCTATTCTCACCCTCACACCTCCACAATACGTTTGATAAATCCGATTTCCTGAATGTTTAATTAAACCGTTTACTTTGAATTCACGGTTCACTGGGAAACCCAGCAAGAGATTCGTCGCTTCTTCAGATGTCTTCCTTTTCACATATGAATAACAACATCTGCAATAACAACATCTCTGCTATCAACTATATGAATGTTTCTACATCGCGGATCAAGTTTGATTCCCTTAGTGACAGCCGTAATTTACTGAACGGAACTTATAGTCAGACGGCTTTTTCATCGCTGTTTCATTTCGAATTCAGCGACAAAGTTATTTATTTTATTTGTTTTCCAAATTTTAAGACTATCTGGATCAAGGTTAATATATAGTAGGCTTATGATTTGTGGCGCGTCTATATGTCATTGTTTTTGTAGTCTGTGACAGTTGTACAAAAGTGAGCTTAAACTAATATCGTCATACAGTATCTGATGGTGACAAAACCCACCATGAACCTTTGTAAAAATACTTGCAGACAAAATATCCCCGGTTAATGAATGTCATAGGTGAGATGCCTTTCAAGAATTGTTTTGGACTCGTCGCCGACGAACTCCGTTCGATCTAAATGAGCCGAAAACAAGTGACAGCCGGTCACTTTTTCATTACGTGTTGTTATTTTGACCGCGGAATTGGAGTAATCCTGATTAGTTAGTCGCCAATTACTGTATTATCACTAAAATTGCGTAACTTTCCGCGGATCCTACAGTGAAAACTGATAGTAACTTCGCGGAGTTCACAGTGATTAACCTTTCTGAATAGTTATTTTTCGCCAATTCTACAGCAATTACCAATTGCAAGTTTCGCGATTCTACAGTGATTACAAAGCATTTGCAGTCAAAGTAAGCTACCGTACGTCCTTCGTCGAGAACTTTCTTTTGCTACAGAAACTACCATTGAAATTACAAATTATTGTCTAGGCAGTACCTTCATGGATCTCAACATAGAAAACAAGAAGAGACAAATACACTTTCACGGTGTTATTGTAGACGAGAATGGTGAAGATGACAATGAAGACATAGCATACATAAATGTACAGATAGTGTGGTAAGTTTTTACATATAATTACTTTTTTTTGGTATAAGGATGTCATAACAAATAAAGAACGCCAATAAAAAATTATAAAAACAAAGTTTTAAATATTACCCTTTAGGTTCTACGTAATAAACTACTTCGTACTATTCCTCTTTGCTATGTTAGCCATATTCTTTGCTGAAACAGAATACGACCCGCAGACCAATTTTTTGCTTAATGCAACATACCGTGTACTACATGAAACTATAGGATACTGTATAGTAAGTAAAAAAAACAATAACTAAAACAGATTGTCATTACCCTTCTTGATTAAAACTTTATATGACACTTGTAGGAACTAAAACCGCCAACCCCATACATCAACTGGCTCTCGATATTAAGGATGGTAGACACTTATGTCATATCTAACATCATGTTCAGATTGGCGTGTGGTCTTTCGCTGTGCTACAGAATCTTCATGCCTTGGGCATTATGGTAAGACTTACTATGTAAACCAATGCTTACATTGTTTTAGGGCCAAACTTGTATTTTACTGTCCAAGGTCACTGTCGTTCAAAATCGGTGCAGCTGTCATGCTAATACTACAAAAGTTGGAAGTGTGCTGTTTGATGATCTTCTCCATCAATATGCTCAAGTTTGATTATAAATGTAAGTTAAACTAATGTATTATAATACACACTAAGAAAACGCAATGTAAAAATGAACATAGTAAGAATTTTTCGTGTGTCTTGTGTAAGGCCGAAACATACGAAAAGTGAGACTGTGATAAGTCTTATATATGTTAAATTAAGAAGATTTTTTAGGATATTCAACTAGAATAGCAAAACATAATGTTTTTCTTTTAAGTTGATATAATTATAACATTTTAATTATTATTATTTTAAAACTTTGCAAAACTGGAAAGAATTTAACACTTACCACGACATTGCAGATGTCTACTACACCTGTTTTGTCACTTGGCTGATCGCCAATCCCTGTATCATGTTTTTATCGTCATGGCTTCAGTGCTACGATCCATTCGAACAAGGTATCGACCGATTGTCAATCATAACAAAGATAGGTTCAACCATTATATTCATCTTCTACGCTCCACAGTTCTACTTTACGCACAACAACTTCATATGGGCACCAAAGTGTCATCCTTATGTTCGAGCATCTGAAGCTCTCGTAGAGTATTTCGTGTTTATGGCGTACTTTGTCTTCAACCTATGCTTATTACCCGACATACGAGACATCAGAGGGTTAATCTATCCACGAAGTATATCTGGAGAATGCGAAAAAATAATACCGTGTAATTACCGAAAAGGCGCCAGATACGAACGAGGACATTGAAGGATGTGGCATTGTTGTTTAGATGATGTAGCAAGGTGTTGTTAATACTCGAATGTGCAATTCGAATCACGAAAATCTCATATCCCATAGAATTTCAAGTTATATTTAATAAATATATTAACATTACACTTACCTTTTTATCAATTCTTTAGAAAATCGTGATGAAAATCCAGTAACCGTCTCATCTTCAAACAATAAAGTTACAAAAGCAACAAAATATAATTTACATTAAGTCACATTGATCTTCGTACGGTCTTTTATTTAGCAATGGGCAATATCTTCGAACGAACAAAAAAAACAATATCAAATACAGAAAAATCAGAAAAAAAAACTCCAGAATAAAGTTTTTTCATAAGATATTGCTTTAGCCAATATTCCTATAAAACCACTCAATCATTGTTAGTTTACTTGTTTTTTCAGATCATTTATGGATCATAGTAAAATCAAAAAACATCAACGGAGATCGAAATAAAAAATTTTGAAAAATTTTTTAATTTTTTTTTCGGGCCCGGGCCCATTTTTCAAACCCGGCCCGTTTCAATTTTAGCTCAAGGCCAACCCGTTTCTCACCCCTATTTTTTGCATCTGCAAAACGTCTTTGATCAAGCTTTTTTTCGAAAGCCATAAACAAGTCATGTACTTTTATGATTTATCAGCTCATTTACCTTCTCCATTTATTATTTTTAACCCAAACTTTAGCAAAAAGTAAAAATTCCGAATGAATAATTGGGTGACAGGTTTTCTGGAATTAAATTGACCCCTTTATTGGGCTAACAGTTTTTTGTTTATTCTTTGAAATTAGTGAATTTTGTTTATTTTTCTATGTATATGTATGTACTTTTACTCAAAATGTTAGTGGAAAGTGAAGGTCAAAGGTTATCAACATTATCGATGTTTTATAGATAACTATGGTCAAGATCGTTATCTGGGAAGGCGTTTGCTTATGTAAGTTTAATCATTTGCTTTGTTTTTTGGCTTGAATGTTTAGAAAGAGAGGTCTTCTTGGTGGTTTGTTTGTGATAAATATACTTTTTGATATCTATCTCACAAAGAATGGGCATTAAACTTGCCTTAAGATAATTATTTTGTTACCTAAACTTGTAAATTTACCATTGAAAATAGAGAAGCAAATTTTACATTATAAAAGTGTATTTTATGTCTATAACACACGACAACAACGTTCTCTTTGTTTATGGGCTTAAAACAGAACGTTAAGCCGGAAATGAAGGAGAACGTGAATTAGGGCCTCTTAACCACTTGCAGATATTATACTTTAATAACGTTGGAGTTTGGTTGTTAGCTTATAATCGTTTTACTTGTTTTAAGGTGCATTTACTTTTGTTTTGTATTTTTTGGTTTAAATGCATTTATTAATCTTATTTATTAACATTTTAATCATTTTATTTTTATTTTGTCTTATCACTTTATTGTTTTTAGTGAAATGGACTTTTGTGGAAAGACTATATTACCTAAATACGTCTACATTGATGGTGAATTTAAGGAAAATGTAGCTATAACAACTGATAGTTCAGGTAGAATCACACAAATTGTGGATGTTAAGGAAGCTCAAAGTTCTCTGATCGAGCTACCTGAATTGGTAAGTTTTTAGGTATGAATTTTAACAGTTACATTAATGTCTGGAACTTACCTCTATTTATTTAGTGCATACTACCAGGTTTTGTGTCTGCCCATTCTCACGCCTTTCAACGTGAACTACGTGGTCGTAGTGGTATTGGTGCAGTTGGTACTCAAAACTTTTGGAGATGGCGAGACGACATGTACAAGTTGATAGAACAAGCCGACTACGACAGGATAGTGAAGTATACGTCTAAAACATTTAACGAGATGTTGTTGGCAGGGATTACCACAGTAGGAGAGTTTCATTATGTTCACCATGGCACCACACCTTTCGATCTTGATCTAGCCATCATTGAAGCAGCTCAACGAACGGGTATCCGATTATGTTTGATAGAGACATTGTATTTGAGAGCTGGATTCAAAGAGAACGATGTTAACAGTCAACAGATCAGGTTTAAAACAGACGTTAACGACCTCACAGCTCAAGTGGTAAAGTTGATGGCAAATCTGTCGGATAATGTAACTATGGCTGTCGCTGCTCATTCGCTTAGAGCTGTGCCATTAGATCAACTACATCAGTTACATGCTTTCGCCGTGGAGAAGAGCATACCTTTTCATATTCATCTTGAGGAACAACCGAAGGAGATACAGGACTGTCAATCAGCTCATAATTGTACTCCGAGTGAGTTGTTGCTGGCTACATTACCTGGACTAGACCCTCATACTACTCTGGTGCACTGTACGTACACAGACAGGTATGTTTTTGATATATATTTGATAAGTTATGTGAATTCAAACGTATATACGAGACAATGTTTTTTTTCGAATTTAGGAAATCATTGGATGAGTACGCCCGTAGGGGAGTAAATGTGTGTATTACTCCAACTACTGAAGGCTTTCTTGGTGACGGTATACCAAATTTGTCAGAACATGATTCAATATCACTTGGGACGGATTGCAACAATCGATTGTGTTTTTTGGAGGAAATGAGGTGGATGACCTTTTGTCAAAATGTATGTTCTTAACTAACTTTTTTTTACTTTAGATGACACATTTTGTCTATATTTTTCTGTTTTTTTTTGGTTGAACGGTTGGAAAAGCATTGCCATAAAGTCGATTTTAGACTAAAACAAACACTCGGAATCATGCTGGTTTCGATGCGAAGAAACTTCTGAAGTGTGCTACTGAAAATGGAGCCAAATCGTTGAAGTTGGATCAAAAAGTCGGAGAACTAAAGCCTGGATATTACCTAGACTTTGTAGCGTTTAATTTGAACTCTCCACGCTTAAAAGACATTCCAGGAGCAGACTTGGCTGATGCCATCGTCTTTGGAGCTGGCAATTCTGACATAGCGATTGTTGTTGTTGGGGGAAAGGAACGGGGACAGTTTTAGCTTCATACCTATTATTTTAATTGAGATTTAATAATTTAAGCTGAGTTTTGTGTTTATTGAGGCTTAAGAACTTGCAGAATTAAAAGATTACATTTGGGAATGTTGTATGTAATAAACCTTAAAGTGTAATTTGCAGCGAACGGAAAGATTAATTTGCAATTTGTGGTCATTATTACACTTTCGATTGTAAATTCTTTAGGCGGTGGTCTTCGCGGGTTTCGGACTGCAAATTGTAAGAGAGTAAAGAACTAAATCGCTTGACCGAATGTGCTAATATTACTCAGTAGTACTTTTAGCCCTAAATTAATATTTTTAAAATTGTAGTGAGTTGTGTTGTGAGATATTCACTGACGAAGCCCACTGACCTTACGCGAGTATAAACCAAGTATCTAAATAACCAATTACCAAATATACCAAAGTTATGATCTTTACGATCAACCAAATACTAACTACCAAATAAACCAAGTAATCCAAATAACTAAATACCAAGACTTTATTTACACCAAACTACAAACCAAATATATATTGACCAGAAATGAGCTGATCGCAACCAACCGCACTGCGGATTTGATGGCACCAGACTGAAGTGAAAACGACCAAAACGCGTTGAAACCAATTATTCAAATATCGACAATTTTAAAATGAACCAAAGCGGTTGCATCCGCTTACAAAAATTACATTAAATTTTTTCTTATTAAGTTCAAAGTGTTGTTCAGTATCTGTTTCAATTGAGAAAACTTAACACTTTTGAAAAGGCAATTTCTTTTTTAAATTTTAGGTTTTTAAATTACTGTACCATTTAATGTAAACCTTTTATAATCTTCTAAACATACCAATTTACATAGAAAAGCCAGGGTTTGCATGGTAAAACGAACATAATTCGGTCATAGTTGTGAAATTTGTTTGTGATGGACGATTAATTGACAGCCGTCTTCGATAAACAAAGTAAGACTTTGATTTTGCCATCAGATTCCTCTCTCAGTCGCGCACTTTAACGGTTTCCGGTCGGCGGGTTTTGTCACTTTTTGATTACATAACTTATTATTTGAAATTTTTTTTTAAATTCTACGTGATTCTCGCTTCGAATTCGGTGCAAAAGTTTTTTAAATGTTGATTGCAACTTGAGGAAGTTGTTGTTTTATAGGTATAGGGAGTTGTTTTGACATAATAAGTGGGCTTGCTACAATTAGCAAGCTTAAATGGTATTATTATAACTTTTTTAGAATTCTGAAACACTTTGGACGGTCGTTATTGCAGATCTAGAAGGTAAAAGATGACGTAGTATAAGCAAGTATAACGTTTTTTGTTTTAGGTATATATAGTGCAGAAAGTTAACAAAATATTAACAGTATGGGTTGTAAGATTGTGCACATTTACAGAATATAACCCTTGAATTCTGAAGCAACTCTTTGCTAATTGACCTGAGGGTTTGAATTGCAAAAAGAGCGTAGCTAATCGAAAAGAATTCGTCCACTGGGTCGAACGGAAGAGCTTTTGGGCGTTGGTGGAACGAAAATTTGCTCGCTGATTTTCGAAATTACCATTTTTTAAACTTTGAATTTAGTTTGCATTTACTTGGTACATAGGTATTTTCATAGTAACTATACAATATATTCTGTTAAATGAAACTTCGAATAAAGGGCATTTTTGTTGACTATAACAGGCGTTTCCTTTATGAGAAGTTTTTGGATTGCAAACTGTTTTCCGGCTACGATACTTGTTGTTTTAACAGTACTGATAACGGGATGCTATTGTACGGTTTCACTGTCATTCAGTCACCTTTATCACATTTATATGCTAAATAATACTTTTCAAATTAATCAAGAGACTTAAAAGTTATGATTACATCCTAAAAACGTGAAGTAACATGACTTGATTACCTTCTCTGAGACAAAGCAAGTTATTCTTGTAAGAATTATCCGTGAGAGTTGATTGTAAACTTTTCTGTGACTTTTTGACCTTAATGTATCAAAAATAATATATTTGATTAATGGGGTTATATCCCGAGTTTAAACAGTTATGTTTAGATTCCTTTGCGAAGTTTTATTTTTCTGTTCTAAACAAGGTTTAAATTAAACAAGCAAGGTTTTTCCACAATTTTAGTTCCTAAATTATTATTTTTTAATACTTTTGAAAGGATTTTGATTCTACATAGTGATTTTTTGGTTGTTCATTATGATAAGACAGTTATATGACTATACTAATTGATTTAATCGGGTGGTAACAAAAGAAAATCTTCAAAAAAGTGTTAGGGGGCACCCGGATTTGAACCGGGGACCTATCGATCTGCAGTCGATTGCTCTGCCACTGAGCTATACCCCCACGGTCACCGAGAATCTCGATTCGAGAGAAGTTCCTTTTTGGTAGCCGAGATTTATTTGTTTTATGCGATTCATTTAGCGTTTACTCTCGAAAATTCACCAAAATATACATTGACTTGTTGCAATAGTACTGTGCTGGTAAGAGTACCGTACTGATAAGAGTACCGTGCTCAGAAAAGTACCATTTTGAACAATTTAGTACTATGGATTGCATGAGCGTGTAGTATACTGCAGACCTTTCAAAGATGTTTAAAACTGTAGTCTTTACAAATTTGCAGTACAAAGGTTTACAGTTTGAGAGCAGTGTAAATAACTTCCGTTTAGTGTGACAATTTGGATGAGGCCGCACCCAAAAGATGGAAGTCGTTTACAATGTTTATTAAAGTTTACTTTTGGGGTCAACTTTCTGTAGCGGTTTAGTGTAGTTTCAAAGACATTGGTGGTCAAGAAAAGTTAGCTTTTTTTTAATTATCTTGTACTTTTTTATATTTTTTGGATAACTGTGTTGTAGAATGCATTTGTGTTATGGCTGTAATGGCGCTATGTTTGATTATTTTAAGTTTCGTTTTAAAATTTTAAAATTTTTTGCAATTTTAATTTTACAGTTTTATTAGGCATACCTTAATTATTATTTTTAGATGTTAATAGTACACTTGCTGCTCTTCTGTGCTGCGTCACAACTTATCAACAGTAGTCCAATAAAAACGCGACAAACTCTTGGAGCTTGCCTTGACCCTCTGGGCGGTAGACGGAAGGTTGGTGAAGAATGGGTAAGATAACATCCTATTATATTTAAAATTTATTAATATTTATAAAATGCTTTTTTTATATTGTGTTGGTCAGAAAATTTATAGAAAGGTCAATGAGAAGGCCAAATTTTAAAACTTAGAAGTGTTCTATGTACAATATGTTTGACTAGAACTCCAATAGTTGTTTTGTACAGTAATTGGTAGATTAAACACCAAATCGATGTAGACCATTCTATGATTACGATATTAACGTTTATTTTTCTAAACTCACGTTCAGTAATGTTCCACGTCTCTTTGTCCAAGGCCATCTTAAACATGTTATCAATCAACTTTCAGCAATACGATCGAAAGTTTGCACGTCGCTGTGTGGAGACAAAAAATGGCTGGCGAATTGAGACTTTTGCCTGTATCTTGCCTAACGGAGAATGGGTCAAGATAGGCGAAAGTAGGAATGGTGCTAACTGCGAGAGGGACGAGTACGGAGTGACCAAACTGTCGTTACCTTTTACTCTGAAGTGTGGCAGTAGAGAGAATGGTATGTTTAGCTATAATGTTGGAAAGATTACGTTTTTTTATGAATTTTAATTTTACTTTTCAGGAGAACAATGGGACGAAGAAGAGTTCCGGAAAGAATGTCACTATGGTACCATTAAGCCAGTTGGGTGCTACACTCGCTACAGACACCTAATCCCAGCTAATGGTGTATGGGTGGAAAAGAACGTTACATACAAGTACGTATATCTTTAATTTTTTTATATGACTATATTCTAATTTTTCGATAAAAAATGGATTTGTTACCCAAAAAGCTATTTCTTTCAGATGAATGACAACATTAATGATAAATGCTTACGTTATTAGAAATATAAACGAATTTTAGGTGCATATTAACATCAAAAGGCTTAGCAATGTCCAGCGATTCGGTAATGAGGTCACAGTAAACGATTCTCTACAATCATCATGACGACATGTTCCATATCATCTCTTTTACTCTGCCAACGGATATTATACTTGCTCTCTCTGCCATTTCTAGTCAACCCTTAGTATTTAACTATTTTTAAGATTAGCTTAATATTGTTAAAGCACACGGTTTACAGCTTTGACTAGCGTATACTTTTCATCGTATAACATGTCTCCGCAGTCTGCACTGGCTTTCTTTGGCCGCAGTTTGCATGGTGTAAAAGTCTGACAGTTGTGATTGTGAAACTTACTTTATCTTCTTCAAACTGTCGATTTCGTGTTATTTATTGTATAATATGGTACCTTTTATTTTATATGTTATGTTACCCATCCTTAACATCAAGTACAAGCGTTTCAATTTTCAATTTTTTAATTATTTCAAAGTAAAAACAAAACAAGAGATCACTCGAGATTTTTTTTGTAGATTTGATAATTTTTTCTGTATGAATAGGTAAAATTCAGCGAGTTAGAAGTCTTACAATCAACAAGATACGATGAACGATGGTAGATAACATGGTTTCAAGACAGGTAGGATGGTTTGATTTCTTTTTTTTTGATAGTTTTAGGTATGAAAGGCACAGTTTTGAATATTAAATTGGTGATAAACTTTGTAAGCCTTTGAAATTTGGTTGGAAAGTTTATATTTGTTACCCAAAACAAGGCTTTTTTAACCTAAAGTAAGCTTTCATACTCAATTTGATATTCTGAAGCTGTAAACTAAATTTTTGCTGTAAAATTACCTTTAAAACCATCAAAAGTGGAGAAATCGAGGCAGATTCAAGTTTTTTGTTTAGAAATTATTAAGACTCGTAGAATATGACCAACAATTATGAAAAACTCTAGATACGAACCGGGATACAATAAGAAAATAGTGTGTTTACAACGTACGATTGTCACAATTACATATGATTTCAACGGGATTTAAGAAGTAAAAGTTTGGAGAATGTAAAAAGAAATACAGAGAAGTTACAGTAAAAGAATGTTACTATGGAAGTAATGGTACTACTTTCAGTTATACCTATAAAATTTTGGGCTTTAGTTAGGTATAACGCTGATAAGCGTAGTTACAGAATAACAAATTACTTACAAACCGTTAAATGAGTTACAAAACTTTGAATCGTCGACTCGCTTATTATGATACCTAGTATAACATCAGAACCGGAGGCTTAAATTACTAGACTAATGTCCATGGAACAGGGCTGGCAGTGGTGAATCAACAGTTAAAGTCATCTTGGTTATTGCCCTGTAGAGAAATGGAAACGAATGCATCAGAGTTAAATGCTCTCCCTGCTAGGCGAGAATCGACTGGGAAAGTGGTCGATTCTCGAAAGTAAATGCTATTCCTAATAGAGTTGGGTACTGGGACTGTGTGTGGCCTTTGGTACCGGTTATTAGCTCTTTTATGTTAGTTAATGACCAGTTATAGTCTCATACTTAAAGTAATGTCTTTAAACAGCCTTCTACTATAACATAGTCGTGTTACAGTAAATGCTTGATATTAAATTACGATGTAACATTAGAGCATAACTAGATTATACCATATAGCTACAGTAGTTCCTTCTTAGTATGCCTAATTAAACTTTTTCAAAACGGAAATAAACTGACTGGAACGTGAGAAATGGAAGATAGTCGTATCTATCAACTGGTCCTATGTATGACCTTACAATTAGTCTGGCAGTAACGCAAACTTTGGTTGTCCTAAAGAAATGAATCCTACAGTAGTCCATAAGTTACTACAGACCTATTACTAAGCTAATGTGCAGTGAAATAAATTACAATGGTGATGGAACAAAACATACGATGATGTGAGACAGAATTACAATAAAACAACACGATGTAAGTATTTGAAGTCGATTTAGTTATTACCTTATGTGTAGGATATCGTAACTATTGTTTACATTGTCTCGTCATCTCCAATACCACATATCACCCAATTGCACGTTAAACCATGTTGTCCTTGCATTTAACGCACTGCGTGTTACTCAAGCATTGACCATGGAACTTGAGGTTGCACCGTTGACACTCGAGCCAGATGGTCCTTTCAGCACCATTCTGTACCAAAGGGTCCTTTCTATGACATTGACCACAAGTGTTACGTCTTTGGCTGTCCAACTCAATGATAGCCTTCCTAACCAACTCTTCGAAACGCTGATTCTGACCTTGTAGTAGGCCTAGTCCATTCCCAGTCAGCTGAGGTTGAGGTGGGACAACAGCTGTTTGTTGTCCTTGACTAACAGCCAGTAGTCCGGTCTGGTTCTGTTGCTGGATGCTTGTGGCTAGCGACGTCAGCACATTGCTGGCAATGTTGTTCTGGTTCAGCATCGGTTGGCCATAGACCGGGCGCTGGGCGGCGGCTGCCGACAACAGAAGGTTGAGCTGAGGTATGGAGCTGAGAAGAGGTTGCTGGTTCAGCATCGGCACGGCGCTGGTTAGGCTGGGACGGCTGTTCTGCGAAGCCATCTGGGAGTCGCGGAGAACTTGTTGAAGTTGCTGGATCTGCTGGTGGTTCTGCAGGATCGCAGCGTTGATCTGAGGCGTCGAGGATGGGAATGAGTTGACTTGGGTGTTGTTGTTGAGAGCAACAGTCGGTTGAGGACGGGATCGGGCACGGCGGAGTATCTCGATAATGGCAGTTGAGGCCTTTTCGATCTGGCTGAACTCCTGTTCCGCCAATTGGCCTTCAGATTCCATGAAGAGCTCGGCTTCTGTTTGGAGATCCTGCAAAGAGTTCATGGTTTATTTGTGAGAGATTTGTGAAGAGATAAATGGAAAGAGATAAGGCTTTAAATTTCTTGAAATTAGTCGAAAGATACGAACGTAATATAATATAGTAGACTAGCCCTAGTCTTTGGCCTGCTACACCTACACCCATGTTCAATGTTAAGCATGCGTTTTTGTTTAGTTTGTATCTTGCACGCGGTTAATCGTTTACTAATCTGCTGCTTCAATAAGGCTTTTCTGGTTGTGATTACGGTAGTTTTTTGTATCAAAAAGTTTTGTTACGTCTGAAGGACGTCAAAAGGTTTCAGATGATATCACTATATCTTAAGGTCTCCTTTCTCGAAATATGATGGTAAATCTACTTAAGTTAAACTCTACTTAATGTCTACTAATACCTAGAAGTACGGTTAATATTATACTTACTAAGGCAACCCTTCGAAGCTCGCTGTTGAAGTCTCGCTTCACTACAGGATCCTGTAGCAGCTCTTCTTTGGTCTCAACCTTGACCATATCATCTCTCAACGGACTGATGTTGTGACTTCTGCTGCTCCTCGAACTGTCAGGAGAGATGCTTGATGTCGTAGAGTCATCAGTCTTCACAGATCCACTTAGTTGCAGCGACATTGGCGTCGACGGCTTCATTTGCAATGCCGTAGGCATTGTGGGCGTGGGTGGTGTTGGAGTAGATGTAGTGTTTGGAGTCAGTTGTGTCGATGAGTTCGGGATGTTGTTATTGTTGTTGTACAAGGTGTTCAAGTCGTTGTAGTCGATTCTGTGTCCGAAGTGGGATTCACAACCCCGGACCTTGATAGTACCGTCGATTACGGTAACATTCAAGTAGAAGGTACAGTAGATACCGGAACGGTTGGTCGTTCGCTCTACTCCACCATTCACGGAACGCCGATACTGTCCTGAATGTGCACAGCACAGTTCGAAGGATTCGCTGACTTCGTTGTCGAAGGTCCTTGACAACATCAATTGGCATGCTGTCCGGTCTTGAAGCGACTTCATGAAGGCTTCCAACGACGGTTTGTCAGCGAATTCTCGAGCAATGAACTTGAGATCCTTTTCGTGAGTTGATTGCACATGGTCGATGAAGTCCTCGATGTGCTCGCACGTGAACGGACAGCCGGCTTGGGAGCATTCTATTTGGAGCGACTGAAAGAGCTTGGTTAATATAATTAAGAAAATAAAGATCAGATCATTTCCTTATCAAAAATGTGTTAAGCCTTACCTCAAGCCTTTGAATCTTGGCGGCCGGACTGCCATCTCGTAGGTGACCTTGTGCTGCGGCCTGCGCGGCCATTTCCCTGAGTTGAGCTTTCTTTTCGTGGATCTTGCGATGCCTTTGGAAGTTGAACAGTTTGTTGGTTTGATATCCGCATTTTTCGTGACTACAGGTGTACTTCTTGGGCTGGCTGCTGATGTCTTGCGCCTCCATCACTGAAATGATATTATTGTACACAAGTTGATTCATGAACTCGCTTTTGGAATCTTGGTTTCACGCGCAACAGATTACTGTAACACGAGTGTAACACCGGAAAGGGATTTTGCTTTAAATTTAAAGTTCTAGAAAACCAAACCTCGAAAATAAATAGAATCTGAAGAAAGGGATTAGATACAGGGACCAAAGAGTACCAAATACAAAGCCCAAATGTACAGAAGTAGTTGTGTATGTATTACATTCTAACATAACATAAGTTATTTCAATATTTAGAGCACTAAAGCTCAAGGTGTAGTGAGGATACGGTAGCAAACATAATTAATCCAGTAATTACCGAGTACTAAGTGAACTGCACGTATTTCCACTAATTAAGCTAATAAAGAAGATGTATATTTGAAATAAATACATTGATAAAGATATAAAGTTAAACTTTAGCCTTACTCTATTACAAATTTACACTACCAAAGGAAAATCTAACAGTAAAAGGTATATAACATCTACTAATTTCAAAACTGTGTGGTGTAGTTGCATTGGACATTAATCAAATTTGGACGTTGGTCCTTACGCAAAGTTTAAACGTCATCGTGCTCTCTTCAGAATCCCTTTTTACTTCTACTGAATCTCCTCTTACCCCTTTAGGATACCCCTTACCCCTTCAGACCCTTTTACCAACCCAACCAAACCTATCACACAACGGCTGTAAAAACACGATAGTAAAGAAACGTATCCCACTTGTTTCCCACCGTATCAGTGCCAGTAAACTCGAAAAACGCGTGCGAAACGTAGCTAACCTCGAAATGTATGTAAATGGACACAGAATCCGTTAGAGACAAAAAAGGAGCCGGAAAAGCCCCTTCGAGCCATCTCAAAAAAGGTTTAAGCGGTTTTTCAAGTAGTACACGCCGCCTACGGGTCTGCGAGCACACGGAACCTGGAATTACACCGGGTTCAACAACGTCATATCGTCATTTTACTATAGACATAACCATCATTTAATACACGCTGTTTCATATATTTATATAGCTCATATTGACATAGATTTATAAACTGACACCAGACAACATTCGTCAGTATAATTCACCAAGTCGATTATCGACACATGTAAATAATGCGATTCCTTGACAAGCCTAAAACAACCCCGAACTGTGGCCAACATAAATGCCATAAAAGCCCCCAGAGACCAGCAGATTTATTGCATCAACCTCTTCAGAGTGCAATAATGGCGTCAGCACGGAATTCCTCACGTCTTGCAAAAAGTGGAAACGAGCCGAAAATGGGGAACGATGAAGTGGCAAAAAGGCTCCAAAAAAGTGGGGTTTTGCTCAAATTGGAAGAGGAAATGTGGGTGGAGGAGAAGAGGATGACGAGCATCAATGAGGTTGATATGTAAGACGGTAAAAACTACAATAAAATATCAATACTATCCTTTATGACGTTTTGGAATACAGAGTATTGACTGAAAATAGGAGTAAAACAAACCACAAATAAGCTAATTCAAACCATAAATAATTTTGTTTACGTGAGCCAGATAAACAAGTAAAAGTAGAAAAGATACAATTAATTCTGCAAATTAATGAACCCCCCCCTCTTATGAAACAAAGTCTCCAGTTAAAGTCCAAAAAACAGTCTGATCATATCAACAGCCGAACCCGTTCGAGAGCGAACGGAACAACAGCACATGCAACTATCTGTTTCAAAAAAACTGATCGAGGTGTGGGCTCGCGCACAAAAAATAGTCAGCTCGTTTTCCTCTCTCATCGCCCCAGCACACGACCTTGCAGTGCGCCCCCGTCTGACCTTTCCGCCAGTCCCATCCGTCGACCCCGTCCCGTTTTTTGGAAAAATCGGCGAATCGAGCTGGAGATTCTGTCTCGCCCCGATCTCCGTTCCCCCCGAGTTCACCCCCGAGTTTACCCCGGCCGGGGAGGTTCCGTGTGCGGGCCCCCCCTAAACAATCCCCGCTCTGTTTTGCCTTTCGTTTTTTCCGCTCTCTAAGCTGGTCGGTCGGTCGGTTGGTCGCGGAGAAAAACGCACCGCAAACATTTTTTGGGCTGGGTCCGGGGTCGGAGCGCGCTGGCTCAGAATCACCCCCCGTTCGTTCGGGAGGCCGCGAATGTAAACAGGCCTGAACAGCTCTTGGAGTGTTCTTCAGTCTCTTCGCCTCCATTATTCGGTCGCTGTTAGAGCGCCCTTTTTTTGCATGGTCATTTGGGCGAAGCGGAGCGAGGAGATTAATGATAACGTGGCGCTGTTATTGATGAGGTCCTTACTGTCCGCTGCTAAACGATTGTGACGGAACGCAAACAGCTCTCCCATTATACAGCAAGGTGATGTGCAGGTAAAGGAACGGCTCTTTGCAATACGATTACAACGGCAGAAGGGGTTGGTAGAGTAAAGCAGAGATGTTTTTTTGGCTAGAGTTAGTGGTCTGGTTGAAAACTTTAAAGAATAGTTTTAAAAAATTTATTTTTTTATTATAATAGAAACCTGTTGTAAATAAACTATAACTGCTTGTAAATGACATCAAAGACTAATCTTGCAAAAACCTCGACATATACAAATATTCACCCTATTAACCAAAAATAACACGTCCCATTGACAAGCCCTCTGCAGCCCCAAAACAACTTTATCAGTAAAACAAAGCCAGAAGCAGAGAGCGGACATTACGTGTCCACGTAATCTACACAGATTTAAAACGAAAAAACGAAGATCCTGAGCACTCAGCCCCTCTCTCAAGCCCTCAACTCATCAAAAAAGTTGCCGCTGTAGAACTTCTCCACGCACATTCGAACAAACAAAATAAAAAACGCTCTCGACCGGACGGGACCCATTCGCTCCCAGTGGCCATCTGCGTCGGAAAAAAGGAAGGAGTGAGAAGACACAAAAAATAGACGGGCCCGAGACGTTATAAAAATTGACGAAAGGGCTCACAGCATCAGGCTGGCAACGGAATTTAGAGAAAAGACATCTGCGTCGTTCTCGCGTCAAAAAGATCAAGCACTGGACAATGCACTCGATATTCGAGATACACACCCGGTGTTTGACGTTCTTCGCTTTCGAGAGATCTAATCTCAAAGACAATGAAGAAACATATCACGGACAATGTGCACGTTGTGGTGGCCAGCAAGCAGTAAAGTATTCGATTGTGTTTTGGCTTCGTTTAATATAATATGTGTTGCGAGCAGAGCAAAAGCATATTATTCAAAATAAAAATAGTACAATAAGAAAAAGTGTTAGCGTAAAAATTACCAAGAAAATCTGTCAGCAAAAACCAGTAAAAGATACAAAACGATGTCCAGGAAATACTATCCTACAAAAAAGTACTACCAAAAATATTATTCTACAAAAACAGTCAGCGAAAGCTACAAAAACAGATTTACATGTTTAAAACGTAACGCTAATTAGCTTTGGGTAGAGCTACCAGCTCTTACAGAACTATTTTTGCGTCTGAGCTCGTGTTTGGATGCACTTTGAAGAACAAAACAGTACACGTGCACTATCAACCGCCCGTAGACGTAAACATCGGCGATGGAGCCGTCTATGAAAATTAGTTTTTACATGAGCTGCACAAATATTTTCGACAATCATGCTGAGGGGATACGGTAGTTCTCATGCATTTTTATAAACAATAGAGTAAGGCTTTAAAAAATGTCAGTAGATTTTCGAATTGACAGCATAACTGTTCGTTTTATCACGTGTCCCGAGCGCGGTCCAACTTATATATTATGTTCGCAAGTAATATAACAGTCATATTGTAACAAATACATTTCAACTGTACGACATGCTATAAGCCTTTACAACTTTTATCAAAATATACTGTAAACAAAGATAAACCAAGCCAAAAAAAGCTTCAAAAACTTTTTCAAAAACATTTACAACCAAATCCGAACAAATTACAAAGTTTCCGTAAACCTGCGAGCCTCGGCGACAGAGTTCAACTCGTTCTCCAGAACCGTCCGACTCGACATCGTGCGTCGTCTCCAGCCCCTGGGAAGTCGTTTACGGGTCAAGCGTCGCGGCGACACTCTGTTTTTTCATTAAGATGGTTGCGCGACGCTCTCAAGAAAGGTTGCGCCATAATGTTTCAAAGACGAAATCCGGAACAGCGCCTTCCAGGAGAAACCATAACCAAAGCTCCTAACCCAAATTCGAGGGCTCCTGAGCAAGCGCGGGCTAGCCACGGGGTTTTTGCGGTGGATCGCCGCGAGGGATTTTTGGTTAATTATCAGAGGCTGGTGGTGTTGCTGGATAACCAAGACAGATTACGTGTTTCGTTGACGAGTCAATAAGACTAAGGTGAGCAAGGTGGGCAGAAGATCTTACTCATCCGAGTCAGACTAGAAGAAACAGCAACTTTGACTCAAAAGACTATAAACTGCGAATTCTGTTTATACTAAACAGACCTAAAGTTTATGAAAATACATAATGCCTATCAAAGATACTACCATGAAAAACGAAAATCCTAAAGTCAAGTGTGCACAAAGAATGTTGTGTACAGCTCTGAAGCTCGCATAGCTGACCGATCTCTCAATCATCTCTCCCGAAACAAACCTGACCCCGCCAGCGATCGCAGTTATGACAAATACGGTCATATCCATCAAGAACTGCGCACTGTTTTTTACCATGAAAAACTTGCTGTGTTTCGAGTTTCGTGTACATAACCTCCAGAAGAGATTGCGAACGGGATTCGGCTGTTTCGAGCAACAGTACAGGTGCATATACAGTAGCCAGACTGATGTTATGCTTGGACTAGGATTTGTTTTGTTTCTAAAAACGCTACAAACTTGACATGGTTCTGTAAACTCATTAAAATAATCGTTTTAAAGTTTTTTCTTTAACTTGAGCCAAAAATTATTCAACTTTAGCCAAGAAAGGCCTGTTGTAACTAAAAACTATGCAACATTAAATTGGCTTCTTTAGGTCATAAGACAGTAGTAAAAGTAGCCACTAAAATGGATTTGGCAACAATCTCTTACTCTTTCAAATTTTACGCGCTATTGAATGGCCACCCGTTCGCCGCTGTCTCTAGGGAGCCGGAACACGCAAGCTCCATAGATCGAAAGTCATTAAAAATCAGATACCTACGCTTTTTTGATGCTTTCGCATTTAAAAAATGGTAATTTTAATATAAAATTGGCCTATGTTAATATTTTTCTTGGTATACGTTCTAGGCTGTATCCACTAAGATATGAGCTTACTAGTCAGAACACAACATTAAAATCAAAGCCCCATTTTATTCTGAAAAGTCCGAGTAATCTGTCACCCTCTATGGTATTAAAATCTCCATCGTATCCCCATACCGTACCAAAATCCCAACACATTTTTGCAAGACAAAAACCAGGAAAAGTTGATGGCCTTTGGCTCCATTTTAAGAGCAATTGCAGAAAGTGGAGAGAGGACAGCAGCTCTTCCTTCCCCCCACACTCTGACGTTCCGTGAACTCTCCAATTTAAAGAGGTGCATTTGCGAGAAAAAACGGCGCGCCTAAAACAACATGGCTTTCTGGAAAAGTGAACAAAATTCTGAGGAAATCTGGGTCACAACGTAACTTTGAGTTTACTTTGTGAGACTGGAGATGGGTTTGGATACCTGGTGAATTTTTGTTAGATAGAAACGTCATTTTGATAAAACAAGGTAAACAAGGTATGCAAGTTTGTCATAAGGTAATATAGTAAATAAAAACTAAAAAGTATGATCTCAAAATTCTTTACAGTATCCACAAAGTTTTTGAGAAAAAAAGCAAATTTCATACAATTTTTCTGATAAAACAATACCCCAACGTCATGCTAGAGGATAGCCCAAAAGTCCAAACAAATATTCAAAAAACAGGTCAGAATGTTGAGCCAGAAATTTAAAAAATCAAAGCTGTAGTGTCGGATTACATGTGCACGTATCTTTTTGGCCCACAAGTTGTGCCAAATGATTTTTAAAACGTTTTTTAAGAGCAAAAATTATCCTTGGCTTTAACTACTACTACTATAATTCATAAACTAATACCAAAGTTCGAGGTTATGTTGACCTTAAACCTTTGAGCTTAGAAAAACTGTATTACTATAACATCTACTTTAATCATTTTAAGCAACTATAATAATATAATAATCTTATTTAAATCCAGCTGCCATTAAAACTCAAAACACAATAATCAATACCTAAACCAACCCTAAAATTAAAAAAAGTTAAATTTCAAAAACTTTAAATTAAAAAAAACCCTTTAAAATTCGAAAAAAGTTGAAGATTCACAACTACCTTGACATTCGCCTTCAGAATACGCTTATAGTGTTAGCTAAAAACTCTTTCAGAAACGACCCACATTTACACTGTCTCTTCGTAAAGAGAAGAAACCTTAAACGTGAAAAGTTGTTATAGGGGTAAGGGCCTTCAGTTGATGGATAGTAAAAGTAGAGTTTTTTCGATATCTTTTTACAATAAAGTTTATACTCGGAATAGGTTAGTGTTAATTTTGAAATGGTTTGGAGCAAAAGGAAAAGGTATGTCAAGCGGGAAAAAAAATTTAAGCTTAAAGAATAAGGTTAGAAATTAGAGGTGCTAACACTGATAATGCCAAAAAATAGAATTTCATACCTAAAAGTAAAAAAATCAAAAAAGTAACGCAAACTATATTGCTTTAGGTTCGAAATAACAAACTTTTGACTTTATTAGAGTAAAAAACGGTCCGTAATGAACAGATCCTCCCGAATTACAAAAGGCAGGTAACCGTGGAACAGGTTGATTACAGAGAAGGGGTGGAAACAAGAAAACAGGAAATCTTCCGAGCAAAAATAACCGTTATCAAAAAAAACTGATAAACAACATACGTTAAAAGGGAATACAAAAGCGGTCACACAGAAACTGGCTCTTCGGTTATCTTTGCCTTAAGGGCATTTTCGTGCAAAAGTTCAAAAGAAATGAAACGGTTTGTAATCAGCAGTACGTTTTGTGAAATTTTTTAATATTTTTTTAAAATTTGTTACCTAAATATGAAAAAAAGACATAATTCTTTTGAATAATAGGTCAAACCAACTTCATTCTACCTGTGTAATATAATTTGTTTTAAATAAAAAAAAACATGTCAATACACGACCATCCCTCGGATCCAGAAGGCACTGTATCCCGTCACTTATCTCGCTGTAACCTCACAAAACTCGAACGCCGCCCTCTCTTTGCTCGAGGCAACTTATCTCCGTCAAGAAAGCATCAAACCCTTTTCCGGATCCATCGACGAGTTCATCGCCACGAATCTGACGAAGCATCTCGGAAGAGCCGGAAAATGTTGTTCTTGATCCACTAGCCCAATTGATATCTCTCGCGAAACGGGGCTAGTCTTTGCTCCTTATTTTTGGAGCAAAAAAGCATAGAGTGATAAAGCGGCCGTTCAATCTTCTGACCCTATCAGCTTCCTTGCTAACCATTTTTTGATTTTAAAATTGTCTAAAAATATATTTTTGAAATTGGGATTAAATTGAAGATTCGCTTTCAATATAAACTAAAATGACATTTTTAATACTACTATAACATAAAAAAATGATTTTATATTAGAAACAACCAAAACTGCCTCATCAATCCCTAAAAATTAAGTTTAGCCCATTATAAAGCAGCCACTGTTACATCTGTACATTGTAAACATTGTAACAAAGCCAGTGTTACCCACCCAAACCCATAAGTTACCAGACAAAACGTTAAAGGCCGTCTTTTTTTCAGAACACCCCAAATTAGCCATGAACTACTGCACACGCGCAATAAATTGCGTGTAAAAAATCACCGTCAATTAGCCTACTTTTGAGTCAAAAAAATGTTGCTAAAACATTTTGGAGAAGAATGTCGCCTCTCCCCCTCCCTCCCTCGTCGCCTGCTTTCTGCGGCTCCCGGACATTAGACAGCTTTTGAGAAGAGGTTGGGCTCCATCATGTTTTGTATACTTGTAAACAGATTGCAACGTTAGTGTTAAGTTACTTTGAAATGTAAAATTTTGGGCAAATATATTGATTTTTTAACCTTTAAGCCTACTTTACATATTATTGCGTGCTCAATTCAAAATATACAGTACAAAGACCTCAAAAACCTCAAAAATAACGTCTAAAAGCAATGTCATCAAAAACAAGATACCATTACTACACAAAGGTTACAAAATTCGTAGGAATCGCCAACAAATCTTGTCAATGAAAAACAAAATTTTAGGAATTGAGCTTTCTTTATCCAGACCAAGATTAGCCAAGAACTCCTATCGAACAACAAAAATTCATCGTGCACAAAAACAATACTATTAGAGGCTGCGGAGGAGATGACATAAACTGACTGGCTTTACTCTGTCACATATTATAGATACTTAGAGAAGCTTCTATAAACTACTAAAAAATTAAAATTTAAACTTAATTTTCAATTATTATACTAGAGATTTTACTGTTTTAAACGTACAAAATAGGCTCTAAAATGCACCGTCTTTTAGTGCCTTGTGCCTTAAGCATCATTACTATCTCCTGCAAGTCGCAATCCTAGTACACCTTAACTTTAAGCTAACCCATCTCCTAAGCCTAAAAAACGCCTAAACTCCGCCTTTTGTGGCCGAAAAACGGCCATGGCAATGAGATTATGGTTTTTGTTTACCTCGCTCTGATGCCGTAATCTGCACTTTGCTCGAATAAACTCTTAAAACGAGTCGCTCCGCCCATGCTCGAACGGAATGACCGTTCTTCCCTTTTTGGTGTTTTAAATTGTGAAAGAAAGAACAGTGCAAACGAGGTTAACGCGAGAAAACACAAACGGAGATTAAAGAGGAACGTGAGAGAACGGGGAGAATAAGAGAGTACGGACGGTTAGAGAAAAAGGTTTGTTTAGAAATTCAAGAGTTATTATGGAAGTGAGACTTTATGAAACTATATCATCTTGTACTACCTAACTATGAAATTTTTGTAAAAAAATAAAATCTTACAATAAAATAGGCATACAAGTTTATGAAGAAGTGCTTTATCACATCATCAGAACATAAAAACTAAGTTTACCTTAACTTAACCTCCCTATCATACTATAGCAACTTCACATCCAATGCCATCCCTAAACTCGCCTAAAACAAGTCGACTTCAGTTTTCGGATAACAAATCTTATTTTATCAACGGCCACATCCGCTGCTCTTCTGTTGACACGACGTTGAGAGCCTGGCACGACGAGAACGTTCCGAAAAAGGCTCGTCCAGTGAAAAGTCCAAACGAGCTGTCGCGTTCAAAGACCGAAGGGGAACGTGGTCAACAGCCAGGAATAAAAACGAAGCCAAAAAATGCTAAAAGTGCGGCCTCACCGTTCCACACCGTGCTGTTTCTAAAAAAGAGCCCCAAGGTTTGAAGTGCTACTGTCTTAAAGCAATTGTCATTGTTTTAGAGCATAGTTGTCACGTTGTGTACTGCAAAATATGTCGCAAATAGTGCTATTTAAAAGTGAATTATATTATAGTATGATGACTGACAATATTCAGTTTGAAAGTCTATGCTATAGAACCAAAAATACAAAAGTAAGCCTACACTACAAAAAAACTGGAAAAACCTCAAAATAAATCACATTAGTGTACTATAATGCTGTAAAAGTTTACTACCCCTTACCGTTTTTGCTACTACAATACTATAAATGGAATGCACAACTCAGTACCTATCGCATAAGAGTACGAATCTTTTTTTTTTGGCTCTCGTGTCGAGTTCGCTTTTTTTGGAACACCGTGCTGGGAACGACATGACGTTCCAAATAAAAGGTGAATAGAGAGCAAAAAAGAAAAGCCATGGTAGAAAAAAATTACAGATTAATAGTTTTAACAATACTTTTTGATACTGTACTTGTACATTTCATAAAACTCTAACTACTTGTCAATAAATTACAGTAAAAGTCATAATATGTGACATTTTGATACAACCAATAAAAAAGTAATTAACATTCCATCAAACGGCACAGTTTAAGTATGCAAAATCGGGTAAAGCTATGCATGTTATCGGCCTCGGCTCTCAGCCTCACGTAAACAATGGCGCTCAAGCGGAAAATAACAAAATATCAAAACAACTTTACAAGATTGTTATGATAGGAACGGCACTATCAAAAATGTAAATATTTGGTATAGTAGGTCGTTCCCGACTAGTATTTTTGTAAAAATTATTATATTCTAATCATTATTTATTAACATTAATATAATAACAATAAATTAAAATCTGTTCAAATTTAATACCTAAAGCTCTGTTTTTAACTCAAAATTCACAAACTCCAAGTCTTACCAAAAGACACGACCAACAGGCGTAGTTAACGTATGTTCAGCGTTATGTCATCACCTACCACAACCCAAGTCGTTTTGTACAAAGGTCTACAGCAGAAACAAAAACCTTTTGTTCATCGAAAAAACACAAACAGTCGGTCTTGTTCACGTTAAGGCGCTTCAATCGCCTCAGGCCTTGACCGCCGAAGAGCCTGGTCAGAGCCAAACAACCCCTCAGGGTCCGGTTCTCTCTCACTTTGTTTTGTTTTACGTTCCATAGAGCTGCTGTACAATCGAGGTAAATAAACAGTAATCGAGGTGAATGGTCACAAAAGTTATTGTAATGTGTATTATGGATCCTCGATTCTACTGTATGCGCTTGCTTTGTTACTGTATTTTATAAGAAAACATAATTATAATGCTGTTCCTTATTTAAAAAAAAGAAAAATGTGCTTTTTTAACTTTACCAAAGTTACTGTAATTTAAAACAAATAAAACCTCATAATCTGACGTTAAACAATAAAAAACAATTAATTCTTGAGGACAATAGACTCAATACAATGTAAATGCACCGCCTGAGTAGCTCCACTCATTCGAAGTTTGCGTAGCCGGTCAACGTGAAAGTAAACTCAAAAATGAACAAAAAAGGCATATTGCTTATAATTAACCGATCAAAAAGTAAATAGAGACATAAAATATAAACTGGATTTTAAAGTTGCAAGTTAATTTATGTCATCTTGTACTTTTTTTAAAACTTTTCACTTCGACATTCACCACAATACTATTCAGCTTATTTTCTTCTTATTTATGTATGGCTAATGTCAGCACAACCTTTTAACTCCAAGCCTTGTTCTATTGAACTTTTAACAACTTTTCTTAGCCAATCAGTCTCTTGGTTTTTGATGTACTTCCAGATAAGATTAAGACTGATGGCTAAAATGTGATCGTTCCAAATTAAGTGGCAGAACAGTAGCAGATTGATGAGTATAAGACTATAACTTTTGACAAACCTAAACTTTTCTTTGGCAAACATAAAAGTCACTTTTCAAAAGCCTTGAAACTTACTGATTGCAATTTTTTAAAAACGTAAGTTTTAAAACAGCTTTAAAGCCAGTTCTTTTTCAAATTTTAAGCTTACTAAAGTCGGTTAAAACTGTCACAACTCACACAAATTCATAAATTTTAAAGTTTCTCTTTTAAATTTCTTTTTTATCAAAGTGATTTGAGCTGAGAGAGTAGTATTAGTTACTTTCGAGTCACTTTTCTTTCCTCGCCTCAGGCAAAGAGAGTGTTCTGTTGTTTTTTGTGTGGGCAGAAAGTTGCAAAGCTAGTCCAGTGACATGTCATCAAACAGAAGCTGGGGTAAAACGTGTCACAACTCGGTTCAGTCCTCAGTTTGTGGAATTTGATTAAAATCAGACATTTTTTAGAATTTGTGGCTTGTATCAACATATATTTTACCAGCCTAACTTATGGATTGCCATTTGTAACAAAGAAATGCAACTTAAATTCAGAAACTTGTCTAAAATACGACAATTCTAGTCAGTTGGTTAAAAAACAAATATTTTGTTTCTACCTAGATGTTACTCATTAGAAAATCAATTAAAATACGTAAAAAAGTAAGCACCAGCTGAAAATCTACATCCCCCTACAGTACATACACGAAGCCCCTGCAAGCCCAATTCGTAAAACGTACAGCTCTTCCTCGTTTTTCGTGCTCGGTTTGTTCTCTTGCACTGGTCATTCGAAGCCCTGCGGCCCCCAGCACGATAAAAACTTGAAACATTCGTACTCGAGGGAAAGAACGTAAAAGGACAGGGAACGTTGGACGAACAGCGTTCCCTTGGCACAGCGCGGCACTTTTAAAGTGTAAAACGTTAAGAGTGCAAAGAAATACATCTTTCTCATGCAAAACCATGTGGGAGGCTGACAAACCTGCCCAAGCCAGGTGAAACACAATTACGGTGCAAATGGAAATAAAACTAATCATTAGCAATGTAAAGGTTACGGTAGAAAAGCAAAAATTAATGTTTTAAATTTTAGAGTAAGATCACGTCATATATACTTGAAGTAAATAAGTTACAAGTCATAGAACAGCTTCTAAAATAATATAACTATTTATGATGCAAGTTTATTATAAACAAAACCGGTTCTTCCAAGTCAAAAGTACTGTAGAATAAATGTCGTTTTTATATAAATTTAGCAAAATCTCCTCCAAGAGTTACTGTAACTGTAAATTAAATTCATATAAGAGTCTTAAAAAACTGTAGTAGATGCTCAGTAGTAATCGTTGACACGAACACATCTCTTTGGCATCTCAAAGTCAAACAGCTTGCTGTTACCCTTCAGATCCTTGATGTCTTCAACCACCTCTCCATCCAGAATCTGCTGTTTCAGCTTGTGAACACCATGTTGGTGACGGTCCACACATACAAACTCCTTCTCTTCTGTAGCCAATCCTTCGGCCGCGTAACCATGTGGACACTTGGGTAGTGTAGCCTTTGAGAAGCAGACGTACTCTCTGAATTCACGAAGACGTTGTGCCTTCTGGGGCTTGACCTGACGTTGGTTTGACTTCTTGTTGGTCAAGTTTTGCAATTCAGAAGACTCCACGGATTCGTAGTCATCATCCCTTTCGTAGTCCTTTTCAGTTCGGCTCTCCAAAGTCTTCTCCAATTTGTCGTTTTGGCATTCTGAGTCACGGTACAAGTAAGAAGCGTGGAACTCCTTCAAGGTATCGGCCAGTTGGTTGTTTGACATACGACGAGATTCTCCGTTTGAGTTCGAGAATTGCCCACAGACTCCACACTGGCGGTTGACAAAGTCTTCTGGAAGGTGGACAGAAGCAGATTCACCGTTGAAACGAACTTCCATGCCAGTCTTGTGGCAGTGGAAAACGTAGACTTGAGTTTCGGTTTGGCGAAGAACAGAGATTCTAAAATTTAAAATCGTAGTGGTAAGGCATAATTAACAAATACAATTTAAAAAAAACTTAAATAATAACATTGAGGACCAGAACAAAGAAAGATACTTAGATTTGCAAAATTTTGTTACCTAAACATTTTAACACAGCTAAAAAAATATAACAGAAAGTTTATAAAGTTAAAGACCTACCCATAACGTTGGAATTGTTCTTCAGGGATTCTGTCACCGTTCAATTTAACGATGAAGGTCTTGGCTTCTCTTCTGATACTGAAAGCTCCACGAGGAGTCAAAAGTTGGACGATCAATCTCTGGTTTTCATCTTCTTTGGCCAAAATGGCGTATTTTGGATGATCGGAAGAACAGTCAGCTGACAGCACGGTATAGCATGAAGTCAGAGGAATCTAAAAAGTATTTTTTTTGTGAATAAAATCAAGATAATATTTTGTAGAATATAGAGAGAGACACCTGACACAAAGTAGATAAAGAAAGACTTGACTCAACTATTTTTTGGAAAAAAGTTGGCTTACCTTGTAGGATTCCCCGGAGAAGCTTCTGATGTTGTGTTTGTTATCCAAAGTACATCTAGCCAGGTCGTGTCTGGCTTCAATTCTGCCGTTTCTTTTGTGTTGTTGATGTCTCACGGTAAGTTCAGTCTCGTGCTCGTCGTCAGTGATGATTCTGATCACTCCAGCATCTACGATAATATCATTCTTCAGCACGCTATGTCTTGGCAGTTCTCTCTCGGCACTCCATTGGGTACTGTAGATCATGCTCATCGGGTTACTGTAGAATTGGACAAACTTGACGAAAGGTCTGATGTGCTTGGTGGTCCAACTGTTCAGCTGGCTCTCCATGAGCACGGTGAAGTGTGTAGCCGGGATTCTGGTGAACATCTCGTTCATAACGTAATCAGGAGATTCTGAAGACAGTTTGCCCTCCAATTCTTGAGCTTGTGAAGCTAGAGGTCTACCGTACAGACACAAAGATACGGTGTTCTTGTCCTGATCACTGTACTTACTGAAGTGAACTTCAGCGTGGGCAATAACGTGTTGGGACTTGATTCCTCCGTGAATTCCGTTTAATTCTGGACGAGCCATTTGGCCAACCAGAAGCGCCTTCCATCCTTCTTGGCCTTGTTGTCTGAATCTGAGTTCAGAATCCAGAGAGCAGACGGTGAGAGTGGAATCGCAGGTTACTTTGATGTTCTTCTCGAACTTGGCGAACTGTTCGTTATTGGCCAAAGCCTCAAAGGTCATCTTAGAGCGAGTACGGACAGCTGATTTGCTTTCGAATTTCTCAGCGAATTCTCTCACGATGCTCTTCTCGTTGCTCTTGGCGTTCTTGAAGATCTGCTCAACGTGAGCTCCATCAAGAAGCTTCATCAACATCTTTGGAGTCTCAGACTGCTTCAAGGCTTCGTTCTCAAGCTTCAGATTCAGTTTGACTCTGTCAGCACTGTTCTTCTCAACGTGAGCGTGGAATTGCACGGTGTTCTCGCCTACGAACACACAGTCACGGTCAGCCAAAACATGATAATGCCCACGAAGCTCAAATCTGAGGCCAGTCATTGGAGACACGGTCTGCTTCTGGAGTTCGCGGAACAAAGGCTGGCACCTTCTGACGTGCAGAGTACGGTCTTCTGATTCGATGTAGACCTTGGATTCAGAAGGCCATTCGCGAGTCAGTGTAGATGGGTGAGAGGAGACCTGGAGAAGCTTGTAGGTATGCTTCTGTTCTGTGGGAAGCTTCATCTCTACCTGAAGCCCCTTTTCGTTGTATTTACCATTGATTTCTAATGGAATCTGGGCATCCAAAGACAGTTGGTTCTGAACTCCAACAGTCATCAAGGGAGAGACGGCTTCCAATTTGTGTAGTACTTGAGTAGACACCTTTGGAGTCATCTTCGCCATGAATTCAGCTTCATCAACGGCATTTCCAGTCGTTTTCAATGTCACCTTGGTCTTTCCGTTGGTGTTGTAGATGTGGGCAGCATGAACAGAGTACACAAGTGGTACACCGAAGACAGTTGGTACCTTGAGGATCTGTTCGATGGTCATCTCGGCTCCACTATAGTACACCTGCTTCTCTCCGTCTGTTTCGTAGCCACTCAGATCAAGTTGAGCATCAGTCAGAAGACCAGCTAGAGCTTCTGGAAGGTTTTTTTCGTCGGCGTAGGCAAAGGCTACATCCATGCCTTGTTCACGTTTGTAGATCAACATCTGGGGAACGTTCTCATCTCTTCTGGCGACGATCTTCAGCTGCTCGAACATGTTCTTCAACGTCTGAACTGGAGAGTCGACCATGTTTTGCATAGCGGACCTTCTTCCTCTGACTAAGAATCTGTTTTCAGATTCCAGTTTGGTCAAGAATTGTTCGATCAGCTTCTCCACGTTCTGTTGGCGGATGCCGGCTTGCATGAACATTGGCAACAGGTGTTGGTTGATCCAGGCATCAGCCGAGACTTGGAAGTTCTTGGGGATGTAAGAGTTGTTGGAGAGGATGGAAGAGAAGCTGTAGATGGTGTCAGCAATGTTCTGGCTAGATTGACGAGCCCACTTGTTTGAGAAACGGTGTTGTTCAGAAGCCGGCAGAGATTGACGGATCATTTGTTCTGATGAGTACAGCTTTTGGGACCTAAAACAAAGTTTTTGATAGTGTTGAAGTGTTAAGGGTTATTAATGTAAACTATTACCTACTTTAACCAAACAATTGCAACATAACGTTAATAGTTCTGTATGTAACATAAAACCTTACAAAATGACGTTTCGTTGTTCCAATCGCTGAGCCAAGTCGACCAAACAGCTGGCAGTAAAGCTTTTGATGTTCATATTAGCATCCCTCATGATTCCATAAGTGATTTGATCAACAACAGAGTCCTCAACATTGTCGTTCAGCAAGATTCTCAAGGCTTCCATTCTGATCTCTGGGTACTCGTTCTTGTCCATACAAACTGGCATCAGAACTCTGGCGATTCTACGGTTCATCCGGCGTCCGAAGAGTCTGAAGGCGTCGATGGCAACTTGACGTTGAAGCTTGTCCAAAGATTGGTCACGGATCACGGATTCAATTTGATGAATACTCAAGTCTAAGGCCATGTTACCGTAGGCTTTCAAGGCCAAGATTCTGGAGGAGGCTTCAGAAGAAGCGGTCAAAAGAGACTTCAGCTTCTGAAATTATTAAAACGTTATTCTTTTTTTTATGCTTCTAAGTTGTGTAAGATGATATAACTTCTAAAAACGTAAAGCAGTAAGTCCTTATTTCAGTTCCACATCAACACCTTCATACATTACACTTACCTCGTTCAACTCATTCTTAAACTCCTCAGTGCACATCTGTTCTCCACGCTTCTCCATTACCCACAAGTCACCGGTTCTTTCTCTTTGTTGGCACAGGTTGTTGGCCAATCTAGACCAGGCCAAGACACACAACTTGTGCATCTCCTTCTTCTCGGTGTGCATGTCACACAACTTCCACAAAGATCGTACGATCTCCTGGCTGACAACTGGAACGTTTCCTCCGATCCTCTTCAACAATGAAGCCGTCTTTTCTTCGCTCAATTCGCTTCTGAATTTGGTCAACAGATGGGTTACGGTAGTGTGGGTGCCAGCTGAAGCTAAAGCGTCAACCATCACGGACTTAACGAATCTGTTGACAGAATCGTCAAACATATTCTTGGTGTAGATAGCTTCGTGGATCTGCTCGACTTCAGAAGCCGAAGCGTGACGGAGAAGGCTGACGAGGTTGAAGAATAATTGAGGAGCTCTAGAATCCATCTCCCAGTGCTTGGCGGAATCAGCGACAAAGGTTTGGCTCAAAGCCTTCAACAAGTTGAGTACGGCATCAGCAACGTTCGACTTGGTAAGGTAGTTCTGCTCCTCCAGGTACTTCTCGTCACCGTTGGCGTAGAATCTCTCACGGAGAAGGTCGAACTCATCGTTGTAGCGTAGAGATTGAGCTTGTTTCTTGGATTCAACTTCAGGAATCGTCTCAGATTGTCTAACGTTCTGGAGACGAAGTTCAGTCACAACCCTGGCTTGTAGGTATTGGTTTTGGGTCAAAGTCAATGGAACAGTGTATTCAGCTGTCGTTCTGGAGAAAAAAACCACAAAGTCTTCAGAAGTCTCTCTCTTCAGTTCAAGTTCGATGACCGTAGATCTTTGGATTCCATCAGATTCTGAAGGTAACGTTTATATCAAATTGTCATTAAAATTCGTATATTAATACATTTTGCGGAGGTTACACATGAAAAACATTAAAACTTACTGCCAGAATACTGGTTTCTCTCCTGTTGAAGTCTGTGGTAGTTGTAGCGGAGTTCAGAAGACACTTGACATCTCTCAAAGTTGACATTCTTTACGATTCTGACACAAGACATTTGTTTTGGTTTGAATCTGCAGGAATCTTCAGGAAGAATCGTGTACAAAGTCTCACAATGTCCGTCAATAGAAGTCTCGTTGGCTCTGAAATGTTGAGCTGGCTCTTCTTGTTGGCTCAAGCTGAGTTGGAAAGAGTTGACGATACCTCTTTTGATGTTCTCTGAGAAGAGTTTGTCTTTTTCGCTGAAGATCAGCTCAGAAAGGTGACCGTGGTCGATGCTATAAAGTTTACATTATTTTGTGTATTAATAACAACAATAATATTTAATTTGCACTAGTAAGCAAAAAAAAACAAATATAAAAATCAATATCAATTTTGGAGTTTATAAAAACAAAAAATTGACGCTTACTTCATCTCAAAAGGCAATTCCAAGACCTTCAAGTGTTGAGGCTTGACGTTAACCTTTCTGAGCTGTTCGAATGGAACCAGCTGATCATCAGTCTTCAGATCGTCATTGATCTTGGCCATCTGAATCTCGCTCAATTTGCAGATCGCCTTCTTCTCGCTAGCGGCATGACACTTCAGCAAACTTCTAAATCTCTGCACGGCATTCTGTTGTTCTCCGGCCAAAGTAGAAGCCAGTTGTTGTTCCACCAGGTAGGTATACTCATGTCCTTGCTTGTAATGGATGGACAAGTCGGCTGGCGACAAATTTGCCGCAGCGACCGCGAGAACCGCCAAGAAGACGGTAACCGCGTGCATTGTAACGATCAGTTACAATAAGGTCGTATGAGTTAATGACAAACATTCTGGGCTTTTATATCAGTCTCCAGTGGACTGTACAACGTTTGATGGCCTACTGACCTCAGCTTATCACACATGTCAATCTGTTTGGTGATAACACGCCAAAGAAAGTGGTTTTTTGTAAATTTAAAGACCATTTGAGAACGAAAAATTGACACATTTGGAGAAATGACATACACAATATCACCACAACTTCCAGTTTGTTGCTATATATTGATTGCAAAGTGAAAAAATTAAAACTATGGCAAAAATAATATTAATATCTAAATTAATTTTAAAATAAGTTTGAAAAAGTAATGTAAATCAAGTGGTGAAAAAGTAAAGCAAATTGAACCTCCTTATTTATTTTTAAGAGTTTTAATATCTCTTTTGTATTTTTTCATAATTTTATTAATTTATTTTAATTTTATTTTATTAAGATTTTTATTTAAGTTTATGATTATTATAATTTAATATATTAAATTCAGGTATTAAAGTAAATCAAGATAAACTTTGTTCAAGAACTTATTTTTCGACAAAAAATATATTTATTCAAATGGCGGACTCATTTTATACGAATTTTTCATGGGCGCAGTTGAAAAGAAAATAATACAATTATTTCTGGATAAAAATTTCTTTGATAAGTTTAGTTTTAGGTATTAAAATACGTTTTTTAAACAATAGTAATGTTTTTTTAACATTTACTTAGTCAAAATAATGTTAAAAGTTATATTTATAAACTTTTTTATATTGTTTTAGGTTCAGCAAGTAGAGTTTTGAAGTTTGAGAATTGACAAAATTAGATCAGTTTATTACAAACACAGTTCAGTACTCGACAATCGTTTCCCAGTTATTTATGTAATTCTTTGCTCACAAACTACAATATTATTGTTGTTCCATGTCCAGATGTCCACGACAATGTAGTAGATCAGCCAGATGGGCATCGAGATAGTAAAGGTCTTTGAAGGGGACAAACGGCACCATTAACTTCTTGATGTTCACCAGACCTTCTATCAGCTTCTCGAACTTTACTTCGAAGATATTAACGTCGTCTCGGTCAGCATTGACAAAGTATTGAGCTAGCAGGGCTATTATTGGGATACGGGATTGCCTTGGGATCTAAAATAATATTTTATATGATCGATTTTAGCTTGTTTTGGCTAGGTTTTTAGTGGAATTGTCTTTACTATTGGTTTTTGAATTACTACAATATTTTATCTATATAGTATTAAAATAGAGTTACCATGTTTTCGATCAAGTGTAAGGTCTTTCTGATGATGACGTTGTTGACTCTAAGGGTTGTTCTGACACTGGGCTTCTTTAGCTGAGAATTTTTGGTCCTTTTGATACTCTTGACGAAGTCTCTGCCAGATACCTCACCATACTTTATCATACTCATGAATAGGTCTGTGGATGAGTCTTTTGACATGTTTCTGAATAGTCGTGGCACGAAGTTTAGCTTTTTAAGGACCTAAAAGATGAACCACTAATTCAGAACGGCATCAACTATTTGTTACATTTGTAACTTTTTTGGAAAGTTTAGTATATATACTGTAACGTTCTTGGCATAACATTACAGGTACTAAAAAGGTGTTCAACAGAATGATAAAAAAGTATCTTACTCTAGGCCTATTCTCTGTGGAAGCTTCTTCTTGATCATTAGGAACATTTTCTTCATCTTGACAGGCTGCTACAGTAATTAACGCAGCTACTATCACTGCCACTTTCATGTTATTCAGAAAGTGCTCTTGTCAATAGGCCATTACTATTTATGTCCGAATTTATAGTTAACTTAATGAATTGACAAGAGATCGTTTGAATGTAATTAATAGCTTATATTAGGCTATTTGCATGACATGACTGTGTCTCTAAATTACTAATGTTCAATGGTGGAGCTTCAAGTTGATATGAGTTCACCATTGAAGTTTAATGTTATAAATTGTGTCTTTATTTCAAATCTCGAATGATATAATTCAAAGTTTACTATGTAAGGTTTAAGATACCATGGAGTTGGCAGTGCCTGTCGAACTTCGTACTTCAGTTCTGATCTGAAGTAGTTTGAGAGCGTAATCATCTAGGTAGTCAACTTCTTTGCACGAGGCTACACTGCGAACGGCGCTTCTGATTTGAAACAATCGGTCGATCATGTCTTGGAACTTACGATCGTACACGTCGTAGTATACTGTGTCAGCTACACGGGCTAGCTCGACCAAACCTCCGAAAGCGTTAATCTTCTTCTTTCTGTCGTTCTACAATAATATCGTGGTCAAAAAGTATGTGGAAAATGGAGAATAAGGATTCTGAATCAAAGTAAACAACCTACCATCTTTGGAACGAACTGTAGCGTCTTGTAGAAGACATCGTTGAATCTCTTGACGATATCCTGAAGTGAAGGTGCCCTCTGATGTCTTTGTGTGACGTCAACGATATTACTGATGTATGTTTCTCCAGTTATGTTCAAGTAGTCGATGATATGGTAGAACAAATTCGCTTCTGAAGAGTTCCCAAATCGCCAAAGGCAAGAGCAGCCAGTAACTGAACGTCATTGCTGTTAAGACTGCTGGTGGTACGACTGTTGCCATTGTTGTTGTTGTTTGGGTTCGAACTGTACACGATGGGTTTGTTGACATTGGCGTTAGGGTTAGTGCTATACACGATAGGGTTGTTGACGTTGTTGTTGGGGTTGTGGTTATAGACAACTGGGTTGTCATTGTTAGTGTTGGGGTTATTGCTGTAGACGATTGGGTTGTTGACATTATTGTTGTTGTTGGGATTAGAACTGTACACGACGGGGTTGTTGACGTTGTTGCTGTTTGGGTTACGACTGTAGACGATGGGGTTGTTGTTGTTATCGTACTGGACATTTGAGCTCTCGGGGATGCCATGTACCACCGGAGGCTTGAATATTTAAAAAATATGTATGTTAACAAATAGTTTAAAGAAATTCATGATACTTATCAGTATTAAAACATATCTGCTACAGCTACAGTAATGAACATAAAACTAATACGTTGAACACATACCCCATTTCTACTCCTACCAAAACATCTTGCAACTCAAAAAATTAGCACCAGAACCTTCATGTTGTCAATTATACTATTTTAAGCTCCATTTGCAGGTTTATATACAAGTTTGAGCCATTTCAAACGCATAAAACAATATTATTTTAATTGAATATTATAGCATTCGCCACGGTGAATTATAATTTTTAAATGGAAGCCTGTGCACTTATAAAAGTTCAATTAACTGTTACTTTTTATTTTGCATAATTTGCAGACGAAAAAAAAGACTGCATTGCAATGGCAGCAGCAGAGAAGGGCGCAGTTCGCTACAAAATTAATAATTTTTCGGCTTTTTTATATTTTCTGGGAATTTTTTTTTAGAAATTTGAATTTTCTGGTATTGAAAAGGCTTGAATGATATTTAAATTTAAAGTATAGAATCTTCAAAGTGTTCTAAAATTAATATGTTGTTTGTTTTTGTTGAACCTTTGGCTAACTTTTAAAAATTTGAAGAGCTTTGCGCTTGTTTGGCAAGGATAATATAATTTTTCATGGTTTTATTTATTAATTTAAAGGTACGAGCTTTTGAAACTTAGATTTTATGATCGATTATAAAAGTACAAAGTACATTTCAAAAGTTAGAGAAGATTTTTTAGATTGGAATTCAGTGTTTCTCATAGCATACTTAACAAAATATTTTAAAAAACTGCTTATTAAACTACTTTTTACATCAATTTTTCTTTCTTTACAGCTTGTCCCTTTAACTGTTACAATTTTTTTGGTCTGGAGAACTTTTACGCAGGTTTGTTACCAGACTGTTACCTAAAACCTTTTAAAATAAAGATAATCGGTTTACTGTAACAACTTTGGTCGTTAAACTTACTCATGAGCAAAGTACGCTTTAGTGTAATGTCCCTAATCTGTGCTTAAACTAATCTTTTGAAATGAAATTGTATGGCCTTGCTCTTTACTTTGTAGCTATCGCAATATATTATATTCACCTACCTAAGATGAATATAATAGGTGGATGTTAATAGCTGATGGCGGTAACCATAGTGTGTATACTGGACTTTTATGCTCTTTGACATCTTACATTGCTCATGTGTACACTCAACTGAGGAAGTAAATTAGTGTTTTGTCATGGTAATTACTGTCTGGGTTCTTGAGAGTAACGGAATGTTATCCTAGAGATCTGTTTGCGGGGTTTTACAATAGTTTGGTGGTATACTTGTGGGAAAAGTTACAAATATGTTAATTAAAGAGTAAAACAGATTGTTTTGAAGGAGTATTACAATATTTTACGATCAAGTGTAACATAAGAATCTTTATACCTTGGTAAAGTACTCTATATATATTATGTAATAGTACTCTTACATTGTGTTTGGGGGTAATCGCAGATTATAATTTGTATTATACGTACATGGTGTTTTTGAGGGAATACTTACATTAGCTGGCTATTAGCGCTAATTCATATTGTTCATGGTAATTACATTACTTTGCAGAATTGTTTTTGTCAAAGATCTAGTCAAATTACTATTGTAAGGAAGGTTACAGTAAAGTAGTTTTGTAGTAAATCTATCAGCAGTAGTTTAATTTTGCTTCTCCTTATTGTAGGTTAGGAATAACTGCAGTAAATTAATTTATTTGGCTGTTATAGTAAGTATTAAGTTATTTTCGAGGTATTTGTGGTAAATATTAAGGTATTGTTGTAATAAATTGGCGCAATTTCAAAGTCGAATTTCTGGTTTTGTCGATGGAAACGTCTTTTATCGATGATTCTATTGACGATACAATCCGTCATCGGAACACAAGCTACGAGACAATATATATTTTGTTGGCAGCAAAGTACGTTTGTTACAGTTTTTAACATTGTAAGGCGGAGAGTCTATTGTTAACAGAACACTGGTCTTTAAATACTGTTTCGAATTTTATTTTTTAAATTTTTTGTGTAGAAGTGTTAACATTATTTGGTCAAAAAGTACGTAGAATCATCTTGTTTATGTTATATTACTCTTTCTACATTTTTCTATGACAATTTTGACTAAACGTTTATATATTTAGTTATGACCTAATAGTAGATAAAAGTACAATAAGGTTGTTATGGTTTATTGATTATGATCAGTTTACTGACTTTTTTGTTGACATATTGAAGTTCATTGATTAAGTACAAGTATATTGATCATAAGGTAAATATGTATATCAAATGGTTTATCTCTATGTCTGGAGGAGTTATATATAAACAGTCTTTTACAGAGTAATATATGTAAGTAGGGGCGGTGGTAAAGTTATCTTGTTTTAGTACAGGCTCTCACATCGTAAAGGCGTAACTTTTCTTCTGAGTATTTTTAGTGTCAAGGTAATGTTTAAAATACATTGCTGGGATATATCTTATATACATTATCGTGATATATCGTCTCATATCGTTGAATTACAGTCTGTTTATTTACATAACATGATAATTTTGAGTAATGATTATGAATATTTGTATTTTGCGTGCCATTCCTTATTGTACTTTTACTACAATTAGTTATTTTAGTTAATTAAAATGATTTCATGTTCTTATTCCTTTTCAGGCAAGATGCTGATATGGGTGAGTATCATCATACTATCTCGGTATGTCACGTCATATAACATCTTGGTATACTCACCCACCATCAGTAAATCGCATATGATTATGAACGGTAGAATTGCAGACGCTTTAGCTAATGATGGACATAATGTGGTGAGTTTACATAGGTAAAGGATGGTATATTATAATAGATTGGCGACTAAGTCAGCTGCTATTTGTTATTCACCTCTAAAACAACATTTTTAAACTTTTTTTTGTAAAATTTACTAAGTAAGGGCAATATTATGATGTCCTTGTAGACATTGATGGAAACAGACCTAGTCGAATACCCAGGGTCACTAAAAACAGTAAAATATGCAAATCATTGGACAGAGACCTTTGAATGGCCACAAAGAGTAAGAGATCTTACTCACGGAGCAGACATGTTGTCGTACAGTATCATGAATGCAGTTCGTATGTTGGATAGTATGAATCGATTTTCTGCCTCGGCTTGCTTGGGTATGTTGCAATGTTTTGTTTTTACTTTTTTGTGCTGTAATATTTTAAAACTCATAGTACTTCACTTTTCCTTCAAAGTACTTTTAAATTTACCTTGTAATTCATAGCTATAGTATCCTTACTTTCAGCATTACTTCGAGACCAACGGTTGATGACTAAAATTGAATCGGGTAACTTCGATGTGATCATGTTCGAACAGTTCGATGTATGTCCCTTCATCATATCTCATATCCTGAACATACCGGTCAAGATCTGGATGTCCAGCTGCCCTATAATGGAGCACCAAGCTGAACTAGCTGGAGTACCAGCCGCTTACAGTTTTGTGCCATCTTCTTTGAATGGCTTTGCTGGTGATCGTATGTCACTGTCGGAGAGATTTTGGAACACGATACAGAGTTTTTTGTTGAAATATCATTATTTGGATTACTGGCATGACTTCCACGAAGAATTGAAGACTGAGTTTGGGTAGGTGTTGATGGTTTCTTGGTCGAAAAGTCTGTAGAAACATCAAAATGCTTTTATAAAATAGAATTTTCGTTGTGTAATCTGATTATATTGTCTATAAGTTATATTTCTTACACTGAAACACGATCTGAGTTTCAAATGACATCAATAACGATATTGTTTTAGACACAACTTCCCCCACCCAAGCGACTTGGCCAAAGAAACCGAACTGATCCTGGTCAATACAGACGAACTGGTTGATTTCCCTCGACCATTACCTCCAAATGTCATCCATATCGGAGGTCTGGGAATGGACAAAGTAGACACTTCTCTACCAGATGACTATGTTAATATCATGAGTAGAGGAAAGAATGGCATTATCTACTTCTCGTTCGGCTCTGTTGTACCTACTAATGCGTTACCTCAGGTATACATGAAGAACATTATCGATTCTTTTGGCAGGATGCAAGATTACTATTTTGTTGTTAAGATCTCAAAGAATGACACATTTTCTAGACAATACTCGTCGAGGTTCAGTAATGTCTACACGAGGAGTTGGGTGCCACAAACCGGGGTTTTGGGTAAGTATTATGCGTTGGTATTGAACTGGGTACTTTCTGTGATACCAAGCTGTCAAAAAGTGAATAGAAAATCTCACAGTAATGTTATAATTGACATGAAAAGGCATGTATAGGGAAATGTTTTAACCAAACTATAACATCCGTCAAAACTAACCTCCGCAAATTTGCAATTTATAATATAGTAGCTAACATCATATAATTCCAGCTCACGATCGCCTGAAGCTTTTCATAACTCACGGTGGCTACAATAGCATAATGGAAGCCTCAAGGTATTCAGTGCCTCTATTATTGATAGGAATGTTTGGCGATCAACCAAGGAATTCGAAATTGGTGGAAAGAAATGGATGGGGATTGAGTTTGGACAAGACATCATTACTATATGGATCTCAGGAGTTTGAGGAGAAGATGAAGGAGTTACTAACCAATAAGAAGTAGGTTTTGAATATATTTTTTAAATTTTTTTTAATTTTTGGTGTTTTAAGCAAAAAGCTGCCATTTTATTAAAATCTTTTCAAAGTCTGTGTTTAATTCAAAATTATAAAAATCGCTCCATCATTCGACTACATTCAGGAAATTGTAGTTGTGTACATAAAGTAAGAACGAGAAGCTGTGAATCTAATCACCGAGTTCTCATTACAAGTTCACGTGAAAACACATGTTATACTTGATTTTCTGGGTACAAATTTTTATTAGGATTTTATTTTTATGTGGGTTCTAATAGCACATTATCAACAGTATTTTGATGGATTTACTGACAATATAGTTTAAAAAGGGTTTTCTACAGTAATTTAAACTTAAAAAGCGAGAATATATCTGATAAACAATTATAATATAAAAAACAACAGCAACAACTAACCAAAAGAGAAACAAGATAAACATAAGATACCTTCAGATACAAACAAACAGCAATCAGAACGACCCAGCTTCTAAAGACGAAGCCCCAAACAGGGGAACAACGTCTGTTGTCGTATGTCAGATTCCTCGAACTTAACAATGGTCGATTGCCGGAGCTTCGAATGATCGCTAATGAGCTGTCTCACATCGAGTACTTCAATTTGGATGTCTTGGCCATACTGATTGCTACTGGATGTGTGGTTACTGCTGCAGCTGTTTACATTGTTTCCAGGGTTCTTCAGGTTGTTGTTAACTCACGGAAAGTCAAGGTGGACTAGCGTTTTGTTGTGTAATATATTAGGTTATAAACTATGTACATATTCATACTATTTTTGGATTTTTGTTTGAAAAGAGGATAAAATGTTTTAACATAAGATTGTGACCCAATGTGTACTCTGATATACGGACAGAAAACACAAAGTAGATCACAGTTATGCCTTTAACCTGCAACCGACTTGTCATTGACACGAGTTGTCGTCGACAAACCTAACCTACAATATCATTCATTTTCTGTCATTACTTGGTCAACATTACCCACAAACTACGAGTTTGGCTATATATACGCGGTCAAAAGTACGTAGATAGATGCGCGTTACTTTTATTTCGTATCACTCATAGATAAATTTTTACCTACAGGTAACATTGTACCTATACATAAAATGGAGCTACTTCTAAAGTTTTGCATATTGTATACCTTAATTAGCATGTTCGTCGTACAAGGTATGGTCTCCTACAGTAAGCAAGTAACATATGATGCAGAATGGCAGAATTGCGGTTACATTATCTCGTGGTGGACATAATGTTGTAAGGTGTTACTGTATAATTATAGAGTACAATTTTGTACATTATGTAAGATAATAATCCCATTTTTCTGAATTGTGGAGATAAAAACCGCTATTTACAATAGTATGTTAACAATGTCACGTCTACATAAAATATATTTTCATATGTACATTGTTGGAACTTGATTATACAGTACCATCAGGCACTATAAAGACCGCTCGCCATGCCAAACTATGGCCAGTAACATTTGACTCCCCAACTCGACTTCGAACTATCATATACATACAAGGGAGATTTACTATCATACGATATCCTTGCTGAGTTTTATGCCATGACACCTTTCCTTCGTATAGCTGCAGATAACTGTTATGGTAGGTGACTTGTTCTAAGACATACGGTATTTCCAGCTTTCCTCCAAAGCAAGAACATAATGGACCAGAGTTGAGAACTATGATGCTATTGTGTACGAACAGTACGACTTCTGTCCCATCGTTCTGGCCCAAGTCATGAATATTAAAGTAAAGATTTGGACTGCCAGTTGTCCTCTCCAAGCCCATCAAGTAGCCATACTCGGAATCCCATTCGAACCAAGCTACGTTTCAGATGCCATGAACAACCCAGTAGGTGACAAGATGACGTTCGTCGACAGATTCTGGAACCTGGTCAGACTCTACAACATGTACCACATGTTCACAGATATAGCAAGATGCCAAACTCAAACAGATGTACGGTCCTGACTTCCCCAACGTGCTTGATATGGCCAAGACTTCTGATATGGTATTGTCTGGAAACACCATTCGGTGAGCTTATGCTACGAGGACAGAAGGGAGTGGTACTCTTCTCTCTGGGGTCTATTGTGGACACCAAGGCTCTACCAGCACAGTACATGAAGAACGTGCTGGATAATGTAGCCAAGTTCAACGAGTACTACTTTATAGTCAAATTGAGCACCAATGATACCAAAACAGCGAGTACGTTGTCCAGTTTAATGATGTTTATGTCTCTGATTGGCTTCCTCAGCCTGGAATCCTGGCTCATCGCCGCCTGAAGTTCTTTGTATCTCACGGCGGCTACAACAGTATCATGGAGGCTGCTACATTCTCCGTACCTATGATGCTGATTGGCATGATCTACGATCAATCTCGGAATGCTCGACTGGTCGAGCGAAATGGGTGGGGACTGAGTTTGGACAAGACTTCTTTGAAGCCCGGTCCAGAAGAGTTCGAACAGAAGCTTGTGGGCATGTTGATCAACGGCAAGTACAAGAAGAACGCCGAGAGAATCAACCGGTTGATGAGGACCAAGCCTCAGACTGGCGAACAGAAGTTCTTGTTCTACATCAAGTTCCTGGAGTAGAACGATGATCATCTACCTGAACTCAAGTCAATTGCGAGTGATTTGAGTACTGTAGAGTACTATAACTTGGACATTTTGGCAGTGGCACTAGTTGTTATCAGTAGTGTGTTTGTATTTTGTTATTGTGGAGGATAGCTTTAACTATGTCATCATTGTTGACGATTAAGACGAAACTCGAATAAAGTATACTATAGTTTCTATTTTGATATTATCAATGCTTGTCACAACTCAAAATACAATATAAGTAATGTAGCTTTTTACTTGATTGTTGCAATCAAGTTGATATCACTTGACAGATGGCTTTCAAGCCCAAACCATTGATAGTGTAAAGAAATGATTACCTAGTCTTATCAATGGGTTAGGTCAGACTGTCTTATCAGTCGAATGCAGCTGTTTGTTAGTATAATATAATATAATTCGTAGTTTGGCATGAAGCTTTATTTGTACATCATATTATTATCTCTGCTATGTACAACATGTTCATCTTACAAAATCTTGGTATATTCTCCTACCGTCAGTAAATCACATATGATTCAAAATGGCAGAATCGCTGATACTTTGCATCTTGGTGGACATAATGCGACTCTGTTAGAAGTTGACTACACAATACCACCAGGTTCAGTAAAGTCAGTACGACATGCCAACTACTGGCCAGTGTCTATTGACCTTCCTGACCGTGTACGTGAGATCATATACCATGGTGACTTACTATCGTTTGGTATCTACAATGAGTACAGATCGTTCAAAGAGTTCTTTAAACTCAACGAGCGATATTGTTTTGGTAAGTATAACTACGTTTGAAATGTTTATTGTTGAAGTTTCAATATAACAAACAACCCTATCTTTCACTATAGTAAAACTATACCAGATTTACTGTACTTTAAAATAGATCAGTCATGATAAAACCCAAAAAATATTCAAATCTGTTTTAGCCCTTCTAAGAAACCAAGAACTAGTGGATCAAATCAAAGCCCAGAACTTTGATGCCATCGTTTACGAACAGTACGACTTCTGCCCCATGGTAATCGCCCATCTTCTGAAGATAGAAGTCAGAATCTGGACAGCCAGCTGCCCCATGATAGCTCATCAAGTAGCCATATTGGGAGTACCATTCGAAGCCAGTTATGTCCCAGCTTCCATGAACAACCCAACTGGGGACAAGATGAGCTTCACGGACAGATTCTGGAACATCGTGAGGTTGTGGACGATGTGCTCTGTCCATATCTGGTCGTGGGATGAGTTCGATGTTACACTGAAGAGAATGTACGGTGATGACTTCCCAAAAATCGTGGACATAGCCAAGACAGCTGATGTCACTTTCATTAACACTGATGAGCTGATTGATTTCCCACGGCCATTACCTCCAAATGTTGTTCATGTTGGAGGATTGGGTGTAGAAGCTGGTCATCAGGAACTAGAAGCACCATTCTCAGATATTATGACAAAAGGAGACAAAGGAGTGGTACTGTTTTCATTGGGATCCGTGGTAGATACTCGGTATCTTCCTGACGGTTATCTGAAGAATGCCTTTGATACTGTAGCCAAGTTCAAAGAGTACTACTTCATAGTTAAATTGAGTAAAAATGACCAAAGAAACGCTGATTACGCTGCCAAGTACGACAATGTCTACGTGAATGATTGGATCCCACAAGCTGGAGTTTTGGGTAATAATAGTCATTTTAAAACTTCAATTTATTATACATATTTAGACAATGTGAATTAGAGTTACAGTCGTTATAACATTTTGCTTCATAACGTTTCATATCAAAAAATAAACCTCTCCTTTCAGCCCATCCCCGCCTGAAACTTTTTGTCTCCCACGGTGGCTACAATAGCATCATAGAAGCCGCTACCTTTTCCGTTCCCATGATGTTAATAGGAATCGTCTTCGACCAGCCTCGAAATGCACGACTGGTCGAGAGAAACGGATGGGGACTGAGTTTGGACAAGACTTTTTTGAAGCACGGTCCAGAAGAATTCGAGCAGAAGCTTGTGGAGATGCTGACCAACGACAAGTACAAGAAGAACGCCGAGAGAATCAACCGGTTGATGAGGACCAAGCCTCAGACTGGTGAACAAAAGTTCTTGTCCTACATCAAGTTCCTGGAGGAGAACGATGGGCATCTGCCTGAACTCAAGTCGATCGCCAGTGACTTGAGTACTGTAGAATACCACAACTTAGACATCTTGGCCGTAGCAATCGCTTTAGTTGTTTTAGTTTTGTTAATTGTTTTTACGGGTTTATTGTCTGTGCTAAAGCTTTTAAAATCTTGTTTTACATCAAAAAGTAAGCAAGAATAAAATAAACACGACATCCAAATAATGCAACACACTAATTGATGACAGTAGGTTAAGTGTAATTTTATAAATATAATGTTATACCAAATATGTATATACCATAAAATATTCAGAGATCTTCCAGTATGACCTTCATTTGGTTGATAGAATATGTCATTGGCCCAACGTACTCAAAGTCTTCAGTATCTTTCGCTTGTCGTATACGGTATCGTTTTAGAATACGAATGAGCATTAACTTTTGAATTATGTAGCCTAATCTCATACCCATACAGATTCTGGGACCTCCACCGAATCCATAGAAGTGGTCGGCGTAAGAATTCTCGAGGAATCTACAATGTCACAGTAAAACTTGTTCAAAACCGACCCAGTATAGTTCTCAATATAAACTTTAGCTTTTTCCAACAGTTTGCTTTTCGGCCAAGGTAATAGATATTGTACCCTACCCAAACGTATAATATACAAATGTTCAACACCCTACCTTTCCGGTCGGAACTCAACAGCATCTTCACCATAGATCTCCTTATTATGATGAACCGAAGGAATGTCCAACTCAATTGCAGTACCAGCTTCAATTAACAGACCATTGCTCAACTTTGTATCGTTAGTACATCTTCTAGTCAAGATTCTAAAGCATATGCATATTAACATACAGTAGGTTATGGATTCTTACCCCGAAGCAATTGGCTGTAGCCTGAGAGTCTCCTTGATGGCAGCTTCTGTATATCTTAATTTGCCCAACTCTTCAAATGTTGTCGTCTAAAAATGAAGATAGTTATTCTGTTACTTCAGTGTTTCAAATAGAAACATTCTATAGTACCATAAAATAAAAAAATTTTTAAATATTTTAAAAGCTTACCGACTCAACACAAGTTTCTTCAATTTCTTTTCGTATCTTTTCTTGAACATCAGGATCCTTGGCCATGTAATACATCAAAAAAGTGTTCGTATTGCCAATTGCATCAGGCCTAAAATTTTCATTTTATTTCAAACTTTTTTTTCTAACTGACATCACTTTACAAAGTAAACACCCGTAAGTTTGTAACTTCCTAATTTTGTTAAAACAATTCACAAGATACACATGTATGTTACAACGTGTCGTAGTCTTTGATTGTTAAGACCTTTATCAGAATAACACTAAATTACTTACCCAGCCAACAGAAACAACAATGAATTGTTCTCCACCTCCCCTTCTGTCAGCTTCTTGTTGATGATTCTGGCTTCTGATTGATTAAAAACTGTAGTCTTCTCTATCTGAATATCTTTGTCCATACTCTCCATGAAGAAACTGATGAAATCTTCATGTCCTTCCTCTCCTGCAGCCTAAAACATAACATACCGTAGTAAAACAAAGAACAAGTTATCAAAAGAGATAAAGAATTATGTCAACATCATGTTTCAGTAAATATGGCTTAGAAAATTAAAATTATAACAACAGTAAATATTATTCCAAACAGTAAACATAACCAAATCTAATCAACACATCATACAAAAACATGTTTTACCATTTGTTTTTGTCGCTCCTTGATCAGGTTCTTGACCTTAAACACCCCAGCGCCTCTGCCAGTTTGTGTTATAACATAACCAATGATCTGAATGACATAGAACAACCTCCAGGCAGCTGGAAATATCCATGACATAATTACTGGAAAGTCATTCGGATGTCTGACAAAATAGTTGATCTGATCGTTTACTGGATTATCAAATTGCATACTCTTCTCGTGACCATAGGCAATCCTGCACATAGCATCCATTGCCATCTCAAAGCTGTATCTAAAAAACACTGGTTACTTTCAGTAAACTTTCGATAACTAAATTACTTTTTTGTAGTAATACCAGGCTTCTGAAGACGATAGTTATAAAAAAGTTAATTATATTATCTTACGGCTTGATATCCACTGACTGATGAGGATTACTGCGCTTCTCAATGTGTTCAATCATATGTTCTGCTGAATCTTGGATCATCGGGATTAACTAAAACATTTTTTTCAATAAAATTATCGTTTCAAATTTAAAAATATTACCTAAAGCAATATAAACTATCCAAAACTTACTCTTTTTAGATTTTTCGAAGAAAACAGCGGATTTATAAGAGTTCGAATCCTCTTCCATCTTATGCCAGAAGCAAAAAACACATCAGACTTGTCCAAATTTGCGTGTTCTCCGAAGCATGGTGGCATCTGAAGGTTTTAATTACAATAACACCTTATATATCCAAAAGTAATGTGTACCTTGCAGTCTAAACCATCGCTTAATTCGTTTCAAAGTTCAGATGATCGAAATAAATGTTATAACTTACTCGTCGATCGTGAAAAACATTAAACTTTTCGACCAGTACCTCCTTGACTAGCTTTGGGTCGCTAACCACCAATAAATTTACAGCTCCTTTCTGTAAACCATAATATCCACCGTATTTCTTGGACCAGTCAGTTAACATTTGCGTGTAGCAGATGCTATTCCATCCAACTTCAAGCAAATTGCCAACGATCGGGTAGGATTTAGGTCCAGGTACATTTCGACGACGCCAATAGTAAGAGTGGTATATGGCGTGTCTAAAGTGATAATAAACTTAGTAATGGTCTATTATATTATTTTTAATAAGGCCTGGATAACGTATTCAATCCAGAAAATGAAAAAATATTGTTATCGTTGACAAAATCTTGTTTTGGGTCAAGTCTGCTACAATAAAAGCAAGTCTTGACACCCAAAACTAAAAATAGTTAAAGTAACATTTTGGACAATTTCTTGACGATCGCGAGCTCATTACCGATGTTTAGAAACCAAATTACCCAGCTTTATAGCCTTTTGGAAATTGTTAACGTAAGTTTCTTTGATTATTATTGTTGTTTATTTATGAAAATCGCTAATTATCTTGGTTTGTCTCTGATCAGCTTTTTAAATTTTAATAATTAGGTAAAACTTTTTTTTGTCAAACGTATCTTTTTGCATCACTAATCGTTTTACAGTGTGCTTTTGCAAAAAATGAACTTACATAACCCACAAGCAAACCAATGCGATAACCACGGTGAAAAACAAAGCCATCGCTGCTATTACCTAAACTGATAGACAGATCTTTCTTTTAAACTCCGTAGCACAAAGCACATTTATGATAACCGCCCATAAGCCTTGTGACTTTTTGTACACTACTGTTCAGATCTCTATAACACGAATTTAATTGAATCACGGTAAAAAAGCAATGTTCACGAGTGATTAGGTAAAGTTTCAACAAGAACGATGTTATTGTAGTCTTCACTTGGTCCGTGCGGCAGCAAAAGGGCAAGTTTTAATGTTTGAAAGGGTTTAAAAACCAAATCGTATAATAATTATGGTTTTTTGACATTATTTACATTAAACGCAGTGTTAAACTTGAGACACAAACGAAAACGTTATCACAAAGCAAATTTTGCATACTGTAAAACTGGTAGAGAGTTTAGAATTAAAAACGTTATTTGAAAAAATACTTATCGCGGAAAAATCTTTTTTTCTCAATATCAACAAGTGTCAACTTTTAATGATTATAATTTTACTATCAAAAATCGAAACTTATAAACGTGAATATCCCCTGATGAAACACTACTTGAGGTTTTTTTGCTAATAACCATGAGAGTGCAAAGATAACGTAAAGAAATCAAAATAACGTTTGTGATAGGAGTAACTTCTTTATGCAAACACTAAAGATCAATCTAAACTTGATATTATTGGTCTTTTAATTACAAACACAAATATAGAACAGTCATTTGTGGCCCTAATGAGGGCCGTTTGGGATCAATGAAGTGTCGTGAGAAGGGCTTCAGAAGTGGACGACTTATCCACCGAAACCGTACAGGGTTCTGCCTTGACGCTTCAGAGCGTAGACCACATCCATGGCGGTAACGGTCTTTCTCTTGGCGTGCTCACAGTAGGTGACGGCGTCGCGGATGACGTTCTCGAGGAACACCTTCAGGACTCCACGGGTTTCTTCGTAGATGAGGCCGGAGATACGCTTCACACCACCACGACGAGCCAATCGACGGATGGCGGGCTTGGTGATGCCTTGGATGTTGTCACGAAGCACTTTTCTGTGACGCTTGGCGCCACCTTTGCCAAGACCTTTTCCTCCCTTTCCACGTCCAGACATTTTTCAGTTGATTCCGGGTTGGTACAAATGAATGTATGAGAAATATTAGAATATCCCTTTCCTTTTATACGGCCTGGCATGTGTAAAGGCGGGGTTAAGATCTGGCGCCAAATATTCAGCGTTCAGCGCGCGAAAGGGTTGGGAGACCAGACTAGGCTAAGACTTGAAAGGGAATATGAAACTACGAAAATGAATACGTTTAAGTTTTCAAACGTTAACTTTGCTGCTTGTAGAAGGAAATTGAAGTAAGAAACATAATATTTTTTAAAAACAGAAATTTGACTTACTCTATAAGCTTTGTTTCATTAACTTTTGCTAAAATCGGAAAACTCTGTATTGCGAGTTCTTCTATACATCTTTAGTAAAACAGTTGCATTTTTTTAAATTTTCTGTTTGAAGGAACACTTTACTGTAAAACCTCTTTAGTATGATCCTCGATAGGTTTTGACCGCCCTTTTATAATATAAGTTCTATCAAAAAGTTTCTTTCTATGACAGTCGATTCAGATGACAATTGACTTATAATGACATTCTGGTTCAGCCTCTTGAGTGTCATACTAAGGAGTTCTTACTGTATCAGCCTTTATAGAAATCTTTGGTTTAAGATATGTCTACAAAAGATATTCTATATTAAGTTTCATGTTTTTTTAAATGCCATACATTTTTTTTGATTGGCATGAGTCACTTTTTCCAAGGTAAAAATAACAATTTTATGTTTTATGTTGTATAAATGACAGAACCAATTTTTGAAAAATACGGGGCGAAACTGGTACTGTTGCTTCTCTAGAAGAATAGTTAGAGAAACTTATCTTTTTAATATCTATTTTATTAAATTGAAATACTAAGATTAAAGGTATTTAATTGATAAATATACATAATATCTTTATAAGATAATAACTCTAATCTGATTTTTTACATTATCGGGTTATACGAAATTTTTTAAAATATATTTATGGTTATTTTTAAAATTTGTAGTTAGTTTTGTAGTTATTTTTTGTATCTTATTGCTTGTGTTTAGTTTTTAATTGGTCTTATTTACAATTAGTTTGCTTACAAATTGTTTAACAGACCTTTAGTTTCGTTTACTTACCGACCAGTAAACTCAGTCTGAAAAATCAAATTATTTAATATTATAAATGGAGATAGTAAATAAGTAATACAATAAAAGTACAAAATCTTTATTAGAACAAATAAATAGTGAGCAAGCGTTTGTGGCCCTAAAGAGGGCCGTTTGGGATCAAAATGGTAGCGGGCGAAAGCCGCGGGCACAGGACTCGACCAGTTTACTTGGAGGAGGTGTACTTGGTGACGGCCTTGGTACCTTCAGAGACGGCGTGCTTGGCCAACTCTCCGGGCAGGATGAGGCGGACGGAGGTCTGGATTTCGCGACTCGAGATGGTGGATCTCTTGTTGTACTGGGCCAGACGGGAGGCTTCAGCGGCGATTCTCTCGAAGACGTCGTTGACGAAGGAGTTCATGATGGACATGGCCTTGGAGGAGATTCCGGTGTCAGGGTGGACCTGCTTCAACACACGGTAGATGTAGACGGAGTAGGTCTCCTTTCTGGCCTTTCTTCTCTTCTTTCCGTCGGTCTTGGCGACCTTGGTCGACTTGACGGCTTTCTTCGCACCTTTACCAGTTGGCTTTGGAACCATGATTGATCTCGGGTTGTGTAGGGAAGTACACTGACGATTTCAGGAAAGCCCCGGACTTATATACTGGTTGCTAGCAGAGCTGGAAGAGGAGGCGGGGCACGAGGTAAGGCTAGGTCGTGCGCGAGGTCGAATTTGGCGCTTCAAAATCGCGCGGGATATTGTAGTGAGGGTGAATATGTTCTTCTTCGCTACGTTTGGCGCCAAATCTAAGAATGAGGAGAAAGCAATTGAATAACAAGGCTGTGGGTAGTTTGGTCTTACAATACTATTAGTAAATGTATTTAAAATCTTACAGTACTACTAGTAAAATTTAAAGCAAGGTTCTTAAATTGAGTTTTTAGTCCCGGTCTGTCGGTTTTGGCCGATTTGATTTTCTTATTACAGTAAATATTAACTTTTCGTTGAATTTGTCAACAAATTATCTTTGAAACAACGATGAAACAAGGAATTTTTTTACTTAGTTTTTGATATTAGAATTGTGACATGTGCCAAAAATTTATGGTTTACAAAAAAAAATTACATCTGCAGTTAAACATTGTTAATTTTTACCACAACAGTATTTTATTTATGAATACTTTAAGTAAGCCATTTGTCGTCTGCTTTTGATATTTCAAAGAATAAAATATCTGAAAAGAGACAAAATTGGAGTATTATAACTTGTATACGAATGAAAACTTTGTACTTGTATTTAACATGTTTACAACGTAAAAATGTATTTAGTTGTTTGACTTTGCAAAAAATGTTGGTTTTTAATTTTTTTGCTAAAAATTTATACATATAGCTCTTTATTTTTTACATTAAAATACACTTGTAAAGTATACCAAATGTGAATATAGGTTGGATAATACTAATGTATAGTGTTTAAATTTATTACTGTTTACAAGAAAATAGGTTTTCGTCTGCTTGATAATGATGATTTTAGTGTAATTTTGGTAATAATTACTTCTTTATTATTTTTTTTTCTAAAATTTTTAAGTTTTTTTTTATTTTTCTGATATTGGTGTTGTTTGAGTATTACAATGTCTGTGTTGTTTTAATTTGCGTAAATGTATAAGAATATTCCATTTCCAGTATAGCCTAAAATAAGTTGAAAATAGGTAAAATAAATTTATTAATTTACAAAAGTACGAGATTACTTGTGGCCCTGAAGAGGGCCGTTTGGGATCAGTTTGGCTTCAGTTGCATGTCCGAATGGAAAAGATTTAGGCACGTTCACCACGGATACGACGAGCGAGTTGGATGTCCTTGGGCATGATGGTGACTCTCTTAGCGTGGATGGCACACAAGTTGGTGTCTTCGAAGAGACCGACCAAGTAGGCTTCAGAAGCTTCCTGGAGGGCCAAGACAGCACTGGACTGGAATCTCAAGTCGGTCTTGAAGTCCTGGGCAATCTCACGAACCAATCGTTGGAAGGGCAGTTTGCGGATGAGCAACTCGGTCGATTTCTGGTAACGACGGATCTCACGGAGAGCGACCGTACCTGGACGGTAACGGTGAGGCTTCTTGACTCCGCCGGTGGCTGGGGCCGACTTGCGAGCTGCCTTGGTGGCTAGCTGCTTGCGAGGAGCCTTTCCTCCGGTGGACTTGCGGGCGGTTTGCTTGGTACGAGCCATGGCTAAAGCTGAAGTCGAATAGACTGATGGTGAGTAAGAGGTGGCTAGTGCTATTTATATATGGGAAAAGTCTGATAGGCGGGGTTGTTTTTCGGGCTTAGGTTTAAGGACTGGCGCGAGCTTTTGAGCGGGATTTTCGTGGGCATCGAGGTAGATGGCAAGGAGTTGGGGTCAGGCCAGAAAGCGCGCCAAACTTTAATGCTGTGCCCAACATCAAAAGTTATTTATATTCTTGGGAAATATATTATACTTTATATCAACAAAATTGATGGCAAAATTTGCTTTAAAAACTTTAAATCTATAACAGCTTATTGAGATATCCGCCTTTTAAAAGTTTGGTTGTAAAACCATTCTACAGAATGCAAAACATATTACTGTGCTTTGAATTCTTTACAACCTTATCATTTCATTGCTATGGTCGGTTCTCGAGTTCATCGAACACACTCAAAGTCTTATCTTTTACAATTACAATTCAATTTTAATGTTATACGGCGCGAATTGTGTTGATAACACTTTGGGAGATAACATAATATCATGTGCTTGGTGAAATATGAACGTCTAATAAATTATGACAGTAATGACTTTGTTTACAGAGTAGTCATGACTTTGTTAAAATGCTACAAATTTGCAAAAAAATAGTTTTTACCGGGCACGGAAATCTGATAAAGGCCTTTTAAGTTATTAGGTCTGTTTCACAATTGACTTTATTGTGAAAATCAGTTGTTTATGTCAGTTTTACTGCATCAGATAGTAGCTGCAGCCAGTGACTTTTAAAGTTGCATGACGATAAACAAGTACTTTGCGATTGGAAACGAATATAAATTATGTGAAGGGCATCTGATGTTTGTCTAACGGCGATTCTTTTCCTGATTAACTGCTGCGGAGGTAGTAAGTAATTCAGTGTGGTAGAAAAATTATTAATTTTAGTGTTTTAGGCTACAGTATATTGTAACAGAAAGTTTTCCTAATTGTAACTACAGGTTTAATCGTTTGAGTTGTAATCACAATATAAATGTCTTGAACAAGCCTAAAAATACTTTTATCACATTTATTGTAACAAGCATATACAGCAAAACAAAAATAACATTAGAAATTACTCCGTTCATCCGAAAGACAACAAATGTAATCAAACTTTATCACCGGGGTGGACTGGACTAGCTCATTGCTCTAGTTTTACTACTCTAAATTAGACACAGACTACTCTAAACTAGTCCAAACTAGATAAAATCATTAAAAACCTAGAATAAAACATTAGTCCAGGCGAGGCTACACTAACTGAGCCAGTCCAGTCTAAAAGTCAGATTCAGAAAATACGATGTAGACACTTTGGTCACATATAGTCGTAGTGGTGAAGATAATGTACATTGCACTATAAATTATAAGACAGTCATGTTATCAGTCATATTACACTTGAGATTTCATTGAAAGTGTGCTTGGACTGACAGGCTAGTCAACTGATTAAGTAGGAATATTATTTACAATAGAACATAAAGCTGTAGACCGAGTCTAAATCGACCGTTTTTGTTGGGGGGGGGGTTCCTATCGTTGAAATAGAGTGATTTCGGGTGAGAAGTCAACATTGCTCATGCATTTCCGGTGGAAACCCCGAAAGCTCAACTCGTCGGGTTTGGAACGATGTAAAACGTGCTTTGGAATGTTAAAATTTTCAGAATTGTCGGTATTGATAGGGATGTATCTTATCAACAGCTTATAAACCAAAATGAAATTTTGTTTTAAAATCCCAATTTAAAAATTTGAAAAATTAAATTTCAAAATTCAAGAAATCCCCCTTTCAAAAACGGTCGTCATTGAACTCCAGATTCTTCTTCTTGAGGATTTGGCGAAGAATACGATGATATAAGACAACAATTACCACGTTTCGAAACTAAAATAACTTATCGGTAACACGTGCATTTTACGCTGCCGTGGTTAAAGTGTTGTTGGAAGGGCTTAGGTGTAGACCACCGAATCGATGGATCGTCGACTGAATCGAAGCCAAATCGGAATCTGATTCCTCGTAGATGGTGGGCATGGGCTCGTAGTTGGACAAGGTGGAGGACTGGCTGGAACGGGCACGTTTCCTTTTAGCCGAGGCGTGCTTGGCACGGTAGTCACGAGGGTAGGTCTTGCCAACAGAGATGTCTGAAAACAGCTACAGTAAGTAAAAGTACAGTAGTTAAAGCATATTAAAATAATTTTAAAAAAGGTGGTAAAAGGTTACAGTGAAGTCACTTTACTTTAAAAGTTAGTAAAACTTGAACCGAACTAGTTCTTAGACTGACCTGGTTGCTGCAGATCAGCTAGCTCCATCATTCTCTTAACTAACGACTTTTTTAGCCAGGACAAGCTTAATGGGTCCATCTGGGCTATTAACATGGACTGGCTTTCCGTCAACATTTTAGACAAAAGGTCTGGATTACACAGAATAGCCGAGGCATCCATTTTCAGTTATTCTTAATATCGAGTATAGAGAATTACTGTAGTAATACAAGGAGTTTAAAAGCAGAGCGAAGAGTCTAGGTACAAGCGAACTTGAGCTGAGCTGACGACAAAACTGAGGAGCTCGATTAATAATTGAGGACCTCTGAACCGAAGCGTCGAAAAAATAACTGTTTCGACCGTTTGTCAGGGCTCTGATATACCTGCACAATTAAGCGAACTAATCACTGATCACCCCCCGCCCTCCCCTGTTTACGCTTTCGATGTTTGAGCGCTTCGCTTTGCCTTCGAGCGATCTGTCTGTCGCCCCTTTCGCAGCCGGCTGTCTCTTTCATGTGAGCCCTTGAAGCCGTCTCTCTAGAGCAATATGAATCTATGCCATCTGAAGTAACATGGCTCTATCGAAATATAGGTTTCTCTGGAGTAAGACGGTTACCGGTAATGTTTCGAAAACTCTCACAGATAACAGAATCTTGTGTTTTTGTATTTTTCACAATAACTACACTGTCTACCGTCTCTAGACTTTCTCGATGTTTCGTTTGATGAATAATTTTCGCGCAAAAGTAAAGTCCGCCTATTGGGAAGGTTTCGAAAACGTGGAGTACGCCGTGCCCCGGAAACGATAATATTGTGACAGAAATAAAAAGTATTGTGTTGATGTTATGACAAGACTTCTAGCAATATCACTTTAATTTACGAAATTAAAAACACTTTTTGGAATGTTTTGACAGACTTTCGAATGTTAGGTACTAAAACCGTGATCTATGTTGTCTTAGCTGCAATCAACCTACACTCACAGTGTCCCTAGAACGTTCTTGCCCCCTGGAACGTTCTTGCTCCCTTAGAGTGTTCTTGCCTTGAGGGCAGAGATGGAAAGAAACTCGAAGATCACAAACAATCTTTGAAAAACAATACGATGCACGTGAACAACTGGACCAGAGTCCAATCAGTTGCTGTTTTTGCGCTGTTTCAATGCTTTAAAATAGTCGAGTAAATAAGAAAACAAAAATGCGAGAGACAAAGGCCGGTGGGAGAGACGGCAGAGAAAGAGGGAGGGGAAAACTCTGAGAAAACAACAAAATATTACGAAAAATCAAAAAATGGCCAAATATTATTGTTGTCACCAACTCGGAAAACAACATAACGAGGTCATAACATGCTGGCAGTGCTTGTAAACGACCTTATTATTGAGTTTCTGAAGAAATCCTGAATCTTATTTTGTCATAACTCGTCATATCACTTCGTAACAACGATGTAGAAAGCTACACAGTCAGAATCTTCACGTGAATATGGCGTTGACATTACTGAGATACGACGACTTACATTACACTCTTGTTAGCAAGATACGACGACTTTAAACAGGCTTCTAGAAGCATTAAAAAACAATTTCAGTGATAACGCTACTGGTAAACAGAATTCCTCGGCTACATAGCTCTGCCACGTGATTTTGAATAATTCGAATTCACGTGGATCTTCTGTGGTTACAGTATAGTAATGTGGTAAGGAAGCTTTAACTAAACTCGTGCAATCACTTCTAATTAAGGATATTGCACTTGATATGTGACTAAAACTGACTTCTGACCTATCAACATATTGATCTGCTGGTGATTAATGTTACAGTAGTTACTGCAGAATCCACTGAAATATCTGTCCTTTCCTTGTCAACATGGCAATAAAAAATCTTGTGTAATCAGCCAAGGACAACGGTAATAATATTTACCATAGTTTTCTTAACATACGGTAAATCTTCTTTTAGATATACTACTAAGTTAGTATTATAGTAGCTGGTCTATAAATAAAAGTTTCGTATTCCAATTGGGGTTTCCTGGTAATGTTTGTCTACGATAAGACCTAACTTCAGAAACTCTCGAAGTCGGTCTTTGTGCTTACGATAAGAGACATTCCGCGACAACTCCTTTATGACTTTGTCAACAACTTGTTGTGTTAAGCCTAATCAATGAATAAGCCTAATCAGTGAATAAGCCTAACCAATTACTAATCATCTAGTTTGGCCAACTCCTAGAGGTTGATGTCAAAACTTTTCAACAAACTGGCTCTTCTGATTCCGCTGACTAATACCATGGTAAGGCATGTGATTGTCCACGTGATGACACCACCTACTCGTCAATCAACCGCCACAAGTAAACACTCACTCTACCGTTTAACTACCCTTTTGTTATCATCTTGCAGAGAGAAGAGTACTCACAACATACCATCGAAAGGTATTCTACAACAACAAAGCGACGTAAAATGAATTTTATTGTATTAGTTACTACCTATTTTACTAAATATCGACGAGAAAGTTTGCTACCATTTACAATGTTGTAAGACTACTGTAAGCCATGTTTTAAGTGACAAAGACTGTTTTATCTTCTACTGTTATATCATACATTGTCGTATCCAAAAATAGCATTTGCACGTTACATCTTGACATACCTGTCGCTACATTTGATTTTCGTTCAAGGTCATCATAATGTAAACCCGTGCAGCTCTCGCTTATTACAACAATATTAGAAATAGAAATTGTAAGGAAAGTTCCATCTTTACTTTACAAACCCATCTTGTTGTTGTTATTCTTACGAAAAAGTGTTTCTTCGTATATCAACAACATGACAGAGTAACCGTCGATAAAAAGCTTTTATTACATTGGAACGCCTCCAAATTGTTTTTGTGTCTATGACTTACTAAAACAATTTATTTTATTCTTTAAACTGATCTATTTACTACGTAGTGCACCTATTATATATCGATATTGCATGGTATTACTAATTTATCTTAAAGCTAATACCCAAAAACACCCTAGAACATCTTGCAATTCCTAGAAGCTACTAGAAGCTAATTGAATAACCAAATTGGATTAAAATGATCTGGAATCTGGCTAGGAAAACAGCTATTTTGGGATAACAACATCAACATAATCCAATATCCTCATATTCATAATCGAGTCCAGAAGTAAAGTTCAGATGTCTCTGGATGTAATTCGATTTCGAATTGTACAAACTGTTACTATTTATAACACCTCACAACTATATTACTATTTTTATCAAAAGTGATGTTACCGACTGCTATTATGTACAAAGTTACTGTAACATACTGTATGGTAAAAGTTACAGCTTTTACTTAGTCTCACTTACATAACCCTTTTAGTATCAAGCTATTTAAAGGTATAATGACAAATTCAAGTACCAAGTTCGAATAATAATGTTCCTATCAATCATAAAAACCGTCACAAAAGTACGAAAATGATTGTGCGTCACAAGTAAAAACGTCGTAATCAACGTCAATCGTAACTTCCGATCAATGTCAAAGTCTCAGTAATCAAACATGTCAACTATTACTAGCATTACAAGTTGAAAATGTTTAGTTCCGGTCGAAAAGTGAAAAGAACAAAAATAAAATATGTTTCTACATAATTTTTGACTAAGATGATGTTCTTATTGTACTGTAAAAGCGCTATTACTACGCTAAACTTTACAAGCTGTCTATACCTACACTTATATTTCTTTTTTTATAGTACTACCGCATTATAAGTCAAGAAAAGCCAAAACACTGTAATATAATATACTACAATATCGCCCTTATCCCTATATCTTACAATGTAATCTCCAATACTCAAGACAACTCACCTTTCAAAGTCAATACTCGGAACAGCTTGCTCAACAACTTTCGCTTCTTGGCTCCAGACTTTTTGTCGTCGCCCAACATGTTGTCGTCGCTGTTGGTGCTGTTGTTGTTGTTGGTATGTCTTTCCTGGTCGAGGCGTCGCTTCTCCGCGTTCGAACTCCTTGAATGAGCTGGAGAATATTTGGCCTTAGGGTCGGGGAAAGTAGATGTTCGCTTTCGGAATCTGCTATTCACTGAAACATAATTGAATTACCGTGGTATAACAAAACATAGTCAATGAATAAGCGATGGTATTATACGAGATATGAAGTGAGGATAAGCATTGGTGCACAAAGAGACAAAATATGTGCAAACATAATATAAGAAATGGCAAATAAAATTAATATAGTTAAAGAAGAATATTGAGTTAGCCTGTGAGTAAGCTTATAAATAAAATTTCAATTATTTGGATGTCGAAATGAAAGCAAATTTAATATTACCTAAAATATTCTAGAAGCTCTTTTTATAAATAATACTATTGGTAAGCTTTCTATAAGTAAACAGCCTCGTTATTGAAAAAGGAACGGTATGGAACGTCCAGGAAACTCTATTTAAAATAAATTGAAATTACGTAATAAAAATTATTCAAATTCAGACGAGCATTAACAATCACAGTTTTAGGTCTACTCAAGTGTAAAGTCTCTAGAATTGTAAAGAACACATTCTACCGTATAAAAGATATAACGCTGTTCATAAAGTTCAATTTTAACAGTCAAACTAAACGCTATATCTTCAATATATAGTCATTATTCAACGTTATAGACTTAAATTAATAAAATATATAGCTTACACTACTCAAAAAACAAAAATTTATAAAAATAAACCAAATTAAGGTCGTTTTAAGTGCAATAAACCTACTATAACATTGAGGATATTAGCAAGAAAATGTCAAAAGAGTAAAAGTATTCTTCGACTTGTAATCTACTGTAAAATCTTAAGCCCAGTCACTTTGTGGCACGACAATAAGACCACAAGAATTATGGGGTTCTATTTCCAGCTCTCACTTCCTAAGGCATTCGACTGTCGCAGAAAGACAACATACACTTAGAACATTAGTAAGTTTATTATAAATTGGTTGCTGTAAACTATAGACCTAGGAATAGTTGTAGCTGCTGTAAAACATGGAATTAAAGGGTTACTGTAGGAAAAACACCTTTTACTTTATTGGCAGCTGACAATATAAATTCAATAGTTAATTTGAGATATTGGTAAAATACGGTATCTCGGACGATATCTAATTTACGGTAAAATAAAAGTGTTACAACAAAATGATATGAGATATAAAAAGCATTGTGAAACATGACATTTCACACGAAATGTAATGGGAAAGATACCAAGAGTAGTTAAGGTAAGTTGAGGTATTATCCTATGTTTGGCTAATCCCCACGTGTTCCTCGCTAAGCTCAACATTGTTTATATATGCTACTGTTCATGCTTAATATACTTTGTCATTCACAGTATTTTAAGACAATAATAAACACAATAAATCAAAATATGTCATAATATTATATGAACTTTTTATCATAATATTGTATCAAATTTATACTACATATTACTAAAACTAAACAATATTAAAGTTTCTTAACTCTGCCACAATTAAAAACATTATTTGAGCCATTCGAGCCTTAAATAACCCCACCCCAACCCCATAAATGTGTAAATTTGGTAAAATAAAGAGAAAAACAAAATAAAAAAGATGGTAAAATACGCCCAAATAAAGTAATTAAAGGGAATTCCTACAGTTAAAATCGTCTGCTAAAGTAAACTTTGGACGTACGAAGCAAATAAGTGGTAGAAATCCTTACAATTTGGAAAGTTATAAGGCTTACAACTTTAATCTGCATCAAATAGTAGAACATAGATCTTGTTAATGTGTTGCGAAAGATGTACTGTACATCCGGGAGATATACAACAATATTATGGTAGAAAATTTGTTTTCTTGTGTAAAAGTAAACTTTAAGAATATAAAAGTAACAAATTTAATAATAAGACAAAAATTAATGTACTATAATATATTTGATTACATCAAGGTTAGAAATATAATAAAAATTAAAAAACTAAAACTAAATATACCCAGCTCAAGTACCGTCTAAAACAACAAAAAAGACAGTAGATCGATGTGAAAGTCTCAAAACTAATCAAAAACCTCTTTTTTAAAGTCTGCTTAATGATCAAGTAATATTCCGTTCGACTGGTCACCTTATAAATACGTTACACCTCTTCGATCGTATGTAGTATGTGTCTGCCCTTTTGAAATTCGTCGAATTACAAAGCAAAGCTTAAACTTACACTTCAAAGGAAATGTTAAAAGTTTTCCAAAATGTAAAGTACGTTCAGTTTTATGAGGTAGAGACAAGGCATACGTGGTATAACGCGATGATGTGTGAGGCAATTAGTTAGATGAAGACCTGGTACACACTTACAAATAAAGATTAGTATAAATGTATGTAAATATGTGGCATAACTACTAAATTGTAGACGAAATTTGTATACATTATCTTATAAACCTTAGTAATGCATAACAACATAGTCATACCTTAAAAAACCTTAAACCCTCTTTAAACGAAGTCCCAACTCAATGCCCACACCCTTCTACTGCCCTTTATGTTATACCTACGTTTATATGTAGAAGCCCTCTAATGTATTCAGCCATACCCATCGGCCGACTTCCCTGAAACGCAATAACAAGTGGAATTTAACATGTTAAACATGGTATAATGGCGGTTAATAACAAACAGCTTAAACATTTGAAAACCAAAAATCTGTTTTCCCCACCCAAGTCACGACCTTGTTTATCGTTTTACAAAGTTTTGGGAGATACGACGGCAAAACATTTTGCAATTTAAGAACATATTGACATGACAGAGCTGCACTAATAGGTACAGTAGCAAAGCAAGATGTGTGTAATGTCATATTCTTGGTATTAGTAATCACAACTTTGTAGAATCAAATACCAAAACGTTGTAGAGATATCACGACTTGTAACAAGATACCAAGAATCATTTAAGCAACATACCAAACATTTATAAACAAGATATTACGTCTTTCTAACACAACATACAATATCACTATAAAAATATCACCATAACAAAATACCACCCCCCACTAGATGATGCCAAGAATCCGTATCAATCAGAGAAGGCCAAGCATCGTAACATAAAGATATTATCAACAAGTCGCAGATATAAATAATACCAAGAATCGGCCCTTCAGACGGCCATAACCACAATAAACACAACGTGTAAACAATTGTGAAAGAGCCGCGCGATCTTGGTCATCACAAACCACAAGATAGATGACAGATGAACAGATCGGCGACATGTTCTCGTATCAGACTACACAGCAGAGTAAGGTTTTGACAATTCTAGTTTCAACTGCGTCGGAATCTACTGACGATGAATCAGATGGTGTAAATGAGAGCACAAAGGTTGTCACAGCTATTTTAATGTAAACAAAAGCTGCTATAGTAACATTAATGAACACAAGACCTACTACAATATCTCTTATTCTATTGTATAATATTAATGTAAGGTACAAAAAAACTTATGATATGATTGATATAGTTGCTTATTGAACACCAAGATATAAAAAATGTAAAACCCAACATACGAAGACGAGATACGACGAAGAAGTGAATCAAGTTCGCAAAAAATGTAATCTTAAGGGATGTCATAAATCAGCGTTTAAAGACACAAAGCATGTTGGAAGAGTCATATCCAACAACCGAGTCGGGTGGGTATGATGTCAGATAATGACTCTGCGTAGATGTACGTATGTTCGAAATCATTTTACAACAAGAACTAATCAAAAACAAACTTCGTCTGGGTCAAATAGAAATATCATTTGATAGTTATGATGTGTAAGGTACGTTAGTATCTTTATATTAAGTTAGCTAAAGAATAAAATAGTTTCATACTATTGTAACTACAATATAAATCCTTACTATAAAGTCAGACAACTTATCATTTCTACAATTTTAATAGTTATGTATTCACAGTGAGATCATCATACTATTCTACAACGTTAACATTTTTTCACACTACCTTAACTGACCCACATAGCCCGCTCTCGCCGCCGTAATACGACAACAACTACCCTGCGGTAACCTGTATATATAAGGTTCTTACTGAACCTTCCCGCGTTTACCCGCACTCTCTCCGTTCACCGCGAAACCAGTGAAATTGTAAATAAAGTTACTTTCCCAATGAAGGAAGTAGTTTTGCTGCAACTTTGCTTAGGTCATGTACACTTCTACCATGGTAATTTCCGCAAAATCTAGACTTTTCTATAGACTTGGGTTAGTATGTAGTATAAAATTTCAAAGGTAATACAATACTCTATTAAATAAAGTATAAAAAATTGGCCTAAGAAACATAAGTCCTACATATATGAAACTCTCAACCTAAGATATAAGATCTTTAAAACAACATAATTACCATAATATCAGCAAAAAAATTACTCTACAAACTCGAACACTTATAATAATATCAAAAATTTCACCTGCCGCTTACTATAACACCTGCCATACTATCAGAATTCGTAAAAAGACTAACCAGTGCATATACGAAGTTATGATGCGCCCTATGTGATAATCGAATTTACTGCTTCGTATGTTTGTGGAGGCGGAACAAAGTTTAGGTCATTCTAACATACCATGTCATCGACCTTTACTACTATATTAGGAGGTGTTTCCTCACTTTTATTTACTTAACAGCAACTACTTAGTGTTTTAGATTCATTAAAGTGCTGTCAAGGCTTTCTAGAAGCTTACAGAGTTGTAAATACAAAAAGAAATAGCACAAGGAGGTTGTGTTAACCATGTTACAGTAATGGCTTAACTTAACAAAACATTTAAAACTACAATAAAAAAGTTAGGAAGTATACGATAGTACTGTTTTTTCTATGATAATATCAATAAGTAAAACCTACCATATTCAATTTTGTGCCTTACAGAGTGCAGTAAATAGTCAAACATAGTCATGTTTAGGTAAGAGTAGAATAAAACAAGTAACTTTACTCTAAAACCCCCTTAATACATCGCAAAACAAATTATTCAAATTAAATTTAAAGTTGGAAATGTTGAGTTGCGTGTGCCATTAATACTGCTAAACGTTGGTCACCCCCTCCCCTCCCTACGCACAGTGTTTAGGCTACTGGAAATGACACAATGATTATGTTTTACATTGAAAGATTCCGCAATCAGTAAGAAACAAGTAAATAACAACTAAACCTACTCTAGAAACTAAACCATTCCTTTTCTCGCCCTAAGGGCATAACAAGCTCGCCGTATGTTTTATGATCTGAAGTCACAAATGACTAATTACTACAAACATTTTATGACACAGAGGCAATTACTGTTTAAACTTTGGTGTTTTCCAAAAACCGCTACGCCTATATGTTGTTGTTGACAGTGACTATGTGTAATTGACGTGACAAATGCAGTTTAACAACAAGTTTAGGGTTAGCTAGAGTTATATTGGCTTATATAGTATATTACTATTTACATTGTATTATGTATTACAGTAGATACTATTGTGTAAATGCCGTTATGATAAACTGAACAAACATAAAAGTACCTAAGTAAATGTTTTTCTATATAATATATTATTGTTATTCATAAACACTCTAGTTGCCACTTCTAAACATAACCCTAACACAAAATTTGAATCCTAAAAGTAGAACACAAAACATGATACGATTACATGCCAATTACAGGATAAGTCCACAAATGCCATTTTGAAATAAACTTTAGGCTTTGGTAATTACATGGACATACCACCATGTTGCTACTAATCTCTTGACCTTGTAAGATCAAAACTTAAATTAACATAAAAGAAAAAAAACTAATCTATCGGTCCTAGCTCATAGACCCGTATTTTATCATAACCTTTACTTTATAATTCCTACAAAGTAAACTCTGTTAACTACACCTTGATTAAAGATCCTTTACTTACCAAAATCTTCAGCAGTAAACTCAAAACTCATGTTATAGTACCCTTCTACTGCGACAATTGTAGCCTAGATAATAAAAGGTAAATATTGTGTTAGTAATAATTACCTTGTAACACTGTCACTGAGAATGAAAAACAGTTCGAAACCCGCTAATCTGACCTGGAATGGCTTGTGATCGCTGAGTAATATCTGATTCTAGAAGTTTTTAGGTAACAAACTTCCTTGTTCGGAATGCCTTTAAATTATGCAAAAACACTTAAGATTCAGAGAAAACAAAATTATAGTAATATAAGTAATTACTGCTTGGAAGTTTGGTGTAATTTAGACATTTAAGCAGTAATTGTGAGTAATATTGAGGTACAAAACACAAGAAAGAGTTGACATAGCCAACATTAACATGCAAATCCCCTCACCCTCTACTCTGACAATCCAAAATCAACAAAAAAAGCGCCAAACAA